TAGAGACGGCCTTCGATCAGAGCATTATTGGCAATTGCTGTGGAGTGTGGACAAGACAAGACAAGACGATAGTTTGCGGGGTACGCAAAAGCGGGACCTCTCGCGAGGCTCTGCTTGTGCTCCACTCGCCGCTAACACATCACGAGACCTTCATTATTGGGGTCTTCCTCAATAAGGATAAGAATGGCCCAGCATCCGTGAGGGGCCGGGAACTCATCGAATGGTCCACATGACTCGTTCAATTACTGAATGAGCACGGACTGCCGCTGGTTATGTCAAGTGCTGGCCGGAGGCATGGAATGTTAAAGAATGGCACGAGGTGGCACTATATTTGATAACCTAAACGCTAGTCTGACCACGTCCTCACTATACCAACCCCCTTCTGCTATTAGGTGGAAGGTCTTTACTCGACCAATTATTATGGCTCGAGCTTCACCTCGTGAGGACTTACCTATTAAAGAATCATGAACTCAACAATTTGAACAGTTTTTGCTGGCCAAAGACACTGGACAGGACATATCGAAGGCCTGCTGCTAGCTGATGGATCTTACCTTATAATGATTCAGTATCTTCAATTAAGATCATCAACTTGAATACTTAGATGAAGAAATGCATCTATGGTAACTGACGACTCTTCAGCAGCATCCCTCTTCCTCTTTCATCTAAAAAGTAGTAGATCGTCACCCTTCTACTCCACACAACGTAGATAAGGCTTAGTCACAAGCACAATCTCCATCTTATCTCTCAGCCCTACAGCGCTCCCATAACGCCAAACAAAAGCACACTTCTATACCTGCCCCTGTAGGTATCAACTAACAACACTATATACGCAATACACCCGTGACCACCATAGAACCATACCTATCGATACAAACACCCATATCTTGAAAATTACCAAACTGCAAATTTACACTTTCAGCCTCACTCTTCCCCATCTTCATCCCCATGGACCCCTGCATTAGCGGACCTTCGAAAGACACCTACCCTCCGGGCCTCCCATCCCGAAACCCGCCCGCAGAAACATCTTTAGCCGCGACACCTCATATCCCACATCTCACATTGCCTGGAAAACCAGAAACCGGGGCCCCGGGTGAGTCGGAAACGTGCAGCTTGTTGCATGACTTTTACCCGGTGCGTGTCTCCGGATCACAAACGGATATACCCGTGTCCTGGATTTTATGACATTCCTGAGTGATCTAGACCTGGCTAATATACATGAACAGTATTATGTACATTAGGAATTACTCTCCCTACTAACTTGACTGCGGTTATCCGCCCTACTCGAGCAGGAATAGTAGGTAAGATATCACATCGCACCAAGGGAGACGGCTGTTTGCCACCCGCGGTCAGACTACTACAGTAGTAGATAGATCTCACTTTTCTGTTTTTCTTGTTGTTGTCTTTCAGCTTTGTTTTTCTGTTCTCGCGTTTACACATACAAAGTAATATCTGTCTTGGATGATGGAATCTAGAAGTTTCTAGATTTCTTCTTTTCTTCCCGTTAGTTGAGACATAGGTTCGTTCTAGATTCTAGGCCCTGGGTTAAAGGGGCCAATTTGGCAGGATGTCTTAAGTTTACTATTTCGATGGCTAATCTATGGTTCAGCCCCGATGATGGCCCCTATCATCCAACCGGATTATTTGAGATCGAGATATTGAAGTATCTGAAAAGGTAGGGTGGGATTCAAGCGTGGTTATGTCAGTTAACACCTTGTCAGACTTATTTTCATGTTGTCATGTGCCTCCCCAAACTCTTGGAAGCTTTGATAAGAGCTGTTGTGAGATGATGTATGGGGCGTGAATTGGATTGGTTATGAAATTGGAAGGAGTCCATTTTGACTAGTATCTTAACGGCATGGCACATTGGCATCCAAACAAGAGACCATAGAAGATGAAAGGAAGAATTCAATCTAGATTTAGAAGCAAGTATGAGTAAGAAGCAGAGATGAGTCAAGGAAGTTCAAGAAAATCAAAATTTGCTTTCATGTCGATCAGAAATCTCAAGCTGATGACATGAGTAGTGGATATCTAAAGTCTTTCGAAAATCCCCGAAAAAAATCGATCAAAAAGATCCCAGGGGGGTACATGCAAAGATAAGCAAGTCTAAACAATCGGAAAAGAACTAGAACCCCAATTTAATAAACGCCAAAGGAAAAGCCATTTCCACGCCTAGCCGTCACGCTTTTACAGTGAAGGTTTCCCGAATCCTGAAGCTTGACAACTCAGATGACAAAGCCAGAATCCAAATTGGTAGTTCGTGGTCGCGTTTTTGTTTGTTTTTATTTTTCCTTGTAATATGATTCCGTTTACTCAACGGCCGAAGTACCATCGCCGCTGAGCACGGGATTGACCTTGGGGTTCCACTTGAGCTTGAACTCATGGCCCAATTCCTTGCGGACAGCCGCCTTGACAGCCTCGAGAACGTTGTCAAAGACACCAAAGTTGGCAGGATTGTTGGCGTCGTTCTCACCCTCCTTGCCTTGGAAGACACCAGTACGAACCAAGCAGGTGTTCCAGCCGTACATGTTGCCACCAATGATATCAGACTGGGGGTTGTCACCAACCATGTAGATGTTCTGAGGCAATCTGTTCTCATTGTGGATCTGCTCCATCCAGGACTTGAGCACCTCATCGGCGTAGGTGTAGGTCGCACGCTCGGGCTTGCCGTAGACGACACGCTCCAACTCGACGCCGGTCAAAGCCTTGTACTGGGCTTCGATCGCAATGCGGAAGGCACCCTGGGTCAAACGGGGAGGGCCCTTGTGATCGGTAGGGAAGACCAGGTCACCCTGTGAGAAGTAGATAGGGATACGGCTGGCGACAGGGTCCTTGGCGCGGGTCAGCAGCTTGCCGTCCTCGGCCAGAAGCAGATCGATGATCAGCTGCATGTCGGTGGCGTAGTCGCGGGAGTCAGCAAAGACCAGGATAGCGTCGAACTTCATCTTCGAGAAGTCACGAGGCTTAGCATCCGCGCGATCCTGCTCGGAGAAGACCCGCCAGGGCGAAACGGTGGGATCCCAGGCCAGAATGTCCTTGGGGTGAACGACATTCTTGAAGCCGTAGCTCTCGGCAACCTCACGGACCTTGTAGTCCTCGCCACCGCACACCAGAACAGTCTCGTAGTACTCTGCCAGGGCCTGCATGGGAGTGTGTGACTGGATGAACTGGTCGGTGGAGATGGGGGCTTCCAAGATCTGAGAGAGCTGCTCACAGCGGGCAATCTCGGTCTTACCACCACCGTTGGTGAGCAGGATGTAGGGAATCTTGATGCCCAGCTCGTTATCGCCATTGAGCATCCTCAGGGCCTCCTTGGCTTCCTCAATGGGCTCATTGCCGTGTGCCAGCACACCGTCAATGTCAAAGGCAAAAGCCATGTTCTTGGCAGTGGCCACCTTCTCCTTGGACATATCCTGGACCTGCGAGGCCAGGATATCCCGAGAGACGGACGGCGCACCGCGCACTGAAGACAGGCGAGACCGGCGAGGCGAGCGCGGAATGGGGAGAGAAGTACCAAAGGAGTTACGCGAGCCTCGTCGCTCCTTCATGGAGGGGGACAGGCTGAGATTGTGCATGAGGGAAGCGGCATCGCTGATGGAGCTGCGGGAGGCGGGGATCTCCACAGTGTTATCGGCATTGCTGGGGATGGGCAGGCCAGAGCCAGAGCGAGAGAAGCCGGGGCGAGTGCTGCGAGTAGGAGGAGGAGCATGAGCATGGGGAGCCGTAGGCTCAACACCAAAGTCGGTGTCTTCAAAGCGAGGCATGATGGGTCGATCGTATGGAGATGATAAAGTGGAGAAGATGGAGAGTGTGGAGATTCGATGGAAGAGAAGGATGTTTCTAATCGTCAGGATACTGGAGAGCCACTAGCAAGATAAACCAAGGGCTCAACGGGACGATAGAAAGGTAGAAACAAAGAGGATGATCTAGAGGGAATGGAATGGAGTGATAAGAGAATATTCCGGGAGGAGACGAGAGGGACAGCGTATATATACAGGAGAAGACTATCTGATAGCCATCTCCATTGGACAAACGAGGGGCTCAATCCCAAGGAAAAGTATGAAAATCCAAAAAGAAGAATAATAAATAAATAAATGGGACCCATTATGCCTGCCAGAGTACGGGGGGCGGACTCCACTTCACTCGGGTACCTCTTCCTGAGAATTATCGTCATCATTTGGCAACAACATGTCGTTGCATTTGGGTGGATCTATGGGAAGGTCTGTGAAGTGTGAAAAGTCAGCGTGAGTGAGCCAGGGGAGCGGGCGGGAGTACAGGGTACCTGCATCATGGTGGCGTTGATTGTGTTTTACCGTGTACTCCGTACTTTGCACTTGGTACTTTCAGGATGCCTCAGGACCCTCTTCTTAGCATGTGTAGGCCACTCCTGCCTTCCGCGAAATGAAGAAAGAGAGATCATGATTGGATACATAGGGTCTTAGGGGGCCGGCGTGAAGCAGCGAAGCCCGCCGAGTGGGTCGGAAGAGGCAGAGAGAGGTAGAGACAAGTCGGTCGGAGAAAGACAATTGGAGAGTGAAGACAGTTCGCCCGTGGAACGGCATAAGATCGATGGAGCCGATGACGATCAGAGCGGGTCAAACGCTTTTTGCGGGTGATGTCATCGGAGAGTTTTGAAAATTACGGAAAGTTTGCAAGTTGCAAGGTACACAACACATGAGAATTGCACTCAATTACATACCGTACGAAATACTGATAACATCAGTATGTCGTTCTGAATGCTACATTGCTTATCACTAACTCATTCATTAGAGAGCTTATGTATCTGACATTGATGCATGCAGCCAAACGACAAAAGTTATAGCCAACTGCCGCGAGCAGCATAGTAGTAGAGTAGACAATTCAATGATAGTAGCAGTTTGCAATCGAGGGTCCTGGATGTAATGTACAATCCACTATCATTATTACCGCAATTATACGCTCACAGCAACTCCTGTACTTACCCCTCCACCCCACTCTTCAGCGTCAACAGCGTCATCGCCTATCCGACCAGTAATCACCACCCCACCTACGACTACTTCTTGCCCTTACTCCCCGTTTAACCTTCTTCCTCTCCTGTACACATACCAATTGAGCCACAATCATGTCCAACGGAAAGACTTTCACATTGAGCAACGGGGTCAAGATCCCCGCCGTCGGTTTCGGCACTTTCGCCAGCGAGGGCTCCAAGGGCGAGACCTACGCTGCCGTCACCACTGCTCTGCGCACTGGCTATCGTCACCTCGACTGCGCCTGGTTTTACCTGAACGAGGATGAGGTTGGTGAGGGTATTCGAGATTTCCTCAAGGAGAACCCCTCCGTCAAGCGATCGGACATCTTCGTGTGCACCAAGGTCTGGAACCACCTTCACCGCTACGACGACGTCCTCTGGTCCGTCGAGAACTCCCTCAAGCGCCTCCAGCTTGACTACGTCGATCTGTTCCTGGTTCACTGGCCCATTGCTTCCGAGAAGGAGGACCAGGAGACCCCCAAGATTGGTCCCGATGGCAAGGTGAGCACCCCACACGACCCCCGCATTTTTCGGCTGCGCAGTGCCGAGCGCGATATGGAGAGCACGAGATGCAAAATCTAGACTACCATGGCTAACTGACCGCGATCTAGTACGTGATCCTCAAGGATCTGACCGAGAACCACGAGGAGACATGGCGCGCCATGGAGAAGCTCTACGCCGACGGCAAGGCCAAGGCCATCGGTGTCTCCAACTGGACCATCCCCCAGCTGGAGGCGATGGCCAAGTTCGCCAAGGTGCAGCCGCACGTCAACCAGATCGAGATCCACCCCTTCCTGCCCAACGAGGAGCTGGTACAGTACTGCTTCTCCCACAACATCATGCCCGAGGCCTACTCGCCCCTGGGCTCGCAGAACCAAGTGCCCACCACCGGCGAGCGTGTCTCCGAGAACAAGACCCTGAAGGAGATCGCCGAGAAGGGCGGCAACACCCTGGCTCAAGTGCTGATCGCCTGGGGTATTCGCCGCGGCTACGTCGTTCTCCCCAAGAGCTCCAACCCCAAGCGTATCGAGTCCAACTTTAAAAGCATCGAGCTGAACGATGCCGACTTTGAGGCTGTTAACAAGGTTGCTGAGGGCCGCCACTTCCGCTTTGTGAACATGAAGGATACCTTTGGTTACGATGTTTGGCCCGAGGAGACTGCCAAGAACATTTCTGCTTAAATTTCAAAAAGTTGTTTGCAGGAGTAGGAAGCGATATACCCAAGATTGGGATGGTGATCCTGTTGACAGGCACGAACAACGTGTAACGAATCTCAGATACGAAATAGATGAATTGGATATAGTATCCCGCTGTCAACAGTCTCTTTCATTCTCCAAAGATCCTATCTCAAATTTAGGATCCCTAGTACTGTGAACGCTCTTTTCCCGCCAAGATTAAAAGTCCACTCCAAAGCCGTACAGCATCCCAGCACAACCCGACAGCCCCAAAAACGCGTCTATTCCCACACCACACCCCTCCGAGAAAAGCCCGCAATTCCTACACTAGAGAATGAGTCTCAAAATTGCAAAAATGTAATCAGACAATTAAATTGCGAATTACCAGGAATTCCCGCACTACAGTATGAGGGAGTCACTCACCCAATGAGAAACACGGGCATTATTCCTCCTCCGACGCACTGACTCTCTATCTACTCCGTACAGTAGTCCGTGTATATCCCGTGCCCTGTACCACATCAGCATCGGCCATAGGCTACGACTCTCGGCGAACATCCAAGCTCTGAGCTTTGACAGAGATCGGAATCGGGACAGGGGGAGGCAAGAAAGAGAAGAGTTTGTAAAATCTCTTCATAGGTTAGTATCGTGATGCTTTGGTTGTACAGGGCTGTATACTACAGTACACATTTTGTTTTATGTATTTCGTTACTAGCCTCGGGACTACTGGACACACATCCAACAATGCAGTTGTCCCGCATATAGTAACTTAACCAGCATCGAAGTACGTTTACCGTAGTCCGATTTTCAACCCCACTGATAATGCACTTCCACGGCCATAGGTACGTACACAACATACATACGTATACTACTCTTCACCCTCATCTTCCATCCTCTTTCCATAACTCATATCTCTCACAAAGACCCAGGAGCACTCTGCTCCGACATCTGCAACGACGATGTCATCCCGCGTGTGGCTCGGAGCCTCGGAGCCCCTGCGCCACTCCCAGCACGACTCCACCCCAGCCTTAGCGTTGGGTCTGAATGCTGTGCTACTGTATGTATATTTGTACATTTTGTAAAGTATTTATACCAATTAGAGTATTATGATTTATACCTGCCGTATGTAATGATAATCATCTGGTATATGACTCTTCCCTCTAACTGGTCCCTACCGGGCAAAGCCGGAATCGCCCGGTGGGCAGATCCGGGAATCTTTCAGTATGCAACACCGAGACGCCCAATGAGGTATGGGTGGACCGGGGGGAGGATTGTATTGGTTGGACACTGACACTGTAGGAGATTGGATGAGATGAGATGAGACGTTAGACGAGAGGGCCGAATAACATACGAGCATACATACTGTACCGTGTTAAGAAAGTTAGAATAAGATTGAAATTGCCATGTGGATTGAGGATACAGTTTAGGGTATGGGATGGTGGCTGTTTCAGCCGCTGTGTTCCGTAGCCTACACTTTATAAATTTGTTTCTTACTGGTCAAACTATAGCCCTGATGTTATTTCCTCTACCAAATGTTCACCTTGCAAATATTGACAGTACCAACAGCCAGACTTCATTATCGACTACAAAATAAAATACTAGCGGTTTCACACAGCAGCACACCTTGCAATTCAAGATACCCATTGACCACTCACACAACCCCTCGCTATACACCCCTCAGCCCGCCATTATGGTCCAAGAAACCCGAGAACCCACTTAGTTGCCCCGTTTTGGGTAGCGTGCAGCCACCCCGGCCGTCGAGGACAGCCACTCCCCACGCCTCCCAGACGTATGGCCCGTGGCGTCGGAAGTTGCTTACTCTATCTCGTCCGGTGTGGGAATTGCCTCGCAGGGTGTGCTCTCTCTACGGGATCTTGGTGGCGCGGTCAAGGTCGGATAGCAGGGATAATCGGGTCGTGAGGTTTGTGTAGGTTTCGGGTTACAGACCGTTGAAGCTCGGGCTCAGAAACCGAGGGCTGAGCCGCATGGCAAGGTTCAAGGGGCGGCAGGGATGTCGTTGGTGATAGAACAGGTATCTAAAGACTAGGTTGTAGATACTTACAACTAGCATATAGTTCATCAAAAACATGGTATAAGCTAGCATATGGGTAGAATCGGAGCAAGATGGGTCTATGAATTGCAATCCCCACAATCAACAAAAACCCGCGAGCTGATAGTATGTAGCCCGCTTTCTCATCTGAACAACCCTTGGCGAGTTTCTATGCGAGCAATCGTCAACCCTCACCCCGGATAACCTGCTTAGTTAGACCAAATACCCTCGAGCCCTTGACAAAACTCGGGATTACCCCGCGGGGACTAGGTGACTTACCTGCCCAGCACATAACAGCAAGTGTGGCACTGATCGTCACATCCACGAGCCAGACCACCATCGAACTGATGATCAGATAGACGATATCCAGGGCCGGGATGCATGAGCAGCGGCGCAGAAGTCATCCCGGACCGTGGCTGGCCGCGGGATCTGCACATTGCAGATGCCCGATGGTGAAGATTAACGCGACATGGAAATTAAATCTTGAACACATTGGAGTCTGCATTGAGAAAAAACCGATGAAAGAACTAATGCAAAAACACAGAATCATCAAGACAAAACACAGCGCAAGTGGTATCTTGGAAACAGGCAAATGTAGAAAACTCCAAACAATGCGCGGCGGCGCCATAATAAACAAACGAAGTCACTACTGCATCCAATACTGCTAATCCAGACAAGATACGACACAATTATGACCGCGCCCGCACTCGTCGAGGCATCGGCGTGCACCCTGCATTAGCTTCCACCATACTCTTCCGCTTCGTCCCCTCCGAGCCAGCGGTACTTCTTGTTGGAATACCACTGACAAAATGCTGCTCACCCCCAGTGCTGCTGCTGGCCTTGGCTGCTGGCACCGAAAGCAGGGATGAGCTTGGAGACTTGGGAACAAGCTTGCGACGTGGCTTGGTAGGCGTCGATGGTCCTGCAGCGGCGGCCGCCGCAGGAGCCACAGAAGTCGCCGAAGTGGTGGGCGGCTTGCTGACACGTCCGCTGCCCGTCTTCACAGGTGTCCCCGATGTCATCGCAGAGTCTCCCAGCCGCCGTACGCGTCGCGATTTCGAGGTCTTAGATACGGGTGTTGCAGCAGGTGCTGGTGCGGTCGGGCCACTCTCGGCCTCTGCGTTCTCCGGAGCCTGGCTACGGGAGCTGCGGATACTGGAGGATGATTTCTTCTCCGAGCGCTTGGCTGCGGAGCGTGCACGCGAAGAGCTTCCGTCAGCGTTGGCCTTGCTGCTCTCGTCTCTTTCGAGATTGGCGTCTGCGTCTGTCTCAGAGGAAGGCGGATCCGAAATATCGCCTTCGTACTCAACCATCCGCTCCTCATTCCAGGTAACGTTCTTGCGTGACTTGGACGTGGCTTTGCGACTGCCGGAGGTCTTGCGGTCTGCCCGGCTCTGGCCCTGAATATCGCTATCTGTCGCGGTGGAGTCCTCCTGAGCCATGGCCTGAAGGGCATATCTGGGCATCATGGAGCTGCCCCTGTTGTTCCTGGTGTTGCGTCGTGTAGCTAAAGCCAGCTCCTGGGCCTCGGTTCGTTGCATGAAAACGAACTCGTTGCCCTTGGCCCGGCGCAGAGAGATTGTGTTGCGCACGGGGCGAGCGTTAGCTGGTGGTGCTTTGACGCGGGCGCTCCGTCGGTTTGCAGGGCTTTCGGGAGCTGTCTCTTCTTCATCTTGGGTATCCTTGCTAACCGCTTCCTCGTGCGATTCGTCGCCAGGGATGAAGTCTCCCTTGGAAGGTGAGATTTGGGCTTTGACAGGAGAGGGTGAATTTGCATTGGCATCCCGGTCCTCAAGAGCCCTCCGTGACCGCGGTGTCGCGCACTCTGAGTCTGGCGATTCATCTGGGCTTGATGATTGATCTGGAGAATCGGACTCTTGAGAGTTGACAAGGGCCGCCTTGGCCGCACGCTTAGCCATAGCCTTGGACAAGAAATCATTCAAAAGCATCGCGTCCTCCCCATCAAGCGAGCTTCGGAGTGCAGATCGCACAAGTGTACCCTCTTGTGCCTGAGTCAGGTTCCGAACAGTTTTCGTAGGAGTAGCTGCGACGTCGCCCTTTCCTTCCGGTGCAGCTCCATCAAGCATTGCGCGCTGTAGTTGGTTGGTCGATCCCATCTCAAATTGTTCGGTGGGCTCTACTTTTGAGGCCGTGAGGTTCGGTTCCTCCGTAGGCATGGTATCCTGGAAGATAGTTGTCTTAGGCGGGCTTCGGAGTGATTTAAAGAGGATAGGTGATGCGGTCGCCATGGCGAGATCACCATCAGCATCCAAATCGTAATCAATATCTTTCGCGTCCGATCGTTTATCATTTGTACAATCCAATGTGCCTCCCAACCTTTCATCATAAACGTCAAAGGGCGCGTCGGGCAATTTCCCTAAGAAGTGGCATTAGCGATTGTTCCGCAGCATAGCATTGAACACGTCGGCGCTCAATACTCACGTCGTTTGCGAGAGACCTCCGACTCCCACTTTGTCTCCAAGAAAGGACGCCCAGGTTGCGAAAGTTCCACATCGATTTTGTCTGCAGATTCCCCGGGACCAACACAAAGACGCTTCACGCCACGCACGTAAGATGAATCCTTGGATGTGTTGATAGCCGTCTGCAACGCGTCATGGTCCTTGGCGGTCGACGACTCGAGACTCTGCATATTGGAGAAAGAGCCCTGGAAGCGCTTCCAGAGTTTTCGCTTCAGGCCGGCCTTGAATGGGGTTGCTGGTTTGCGCTCCCACAAACGAGGTATTGCGCGGATGGCCTTGATGGGTGTAAATCTGAACGAGTTGTCGTCGGCGGGGGCTTCAGAGGTATCGCTGTAGCAAATTGCGATTGTGCGTTATGTTAGCCAATTGAAAGCGATATACGGAAGCATTGATCTGTGCAAGCGCAAGTTTTCGCGAGGGTGAGGGGAGCGGCGTTTAAGGAATCAACGACGAGTAATAATAGCCCCTGACCCAGGCGCGTAACCCGACAATCTGGCAAGGGAGACCAGCTTGATTGAAGGAGACAAGAAACCATTTCATGAGCGAAGGAGAAAGATGACCCACCATGATTGCGCCTGCGGAAGGGCAGGATCGGTGCCCATTGTTGGTGTTGACGCGCGTGGAATGTGTCAAAAGTCGGTTGGTATCTGGCCTCTTGGTTGGTGTAGGCCTTCACGCAGCGTAAGAAGGAGATATCGAGATTGGTGATAAAAAGAGCTTTCCTAGACAGTCGGTCTGAAGAAGGTTGTCGGTAATGTATATGTCGTCGTAAGAATTGTCGAGGATGATGTGGTGGTGAAGCCGTTATTTTGGTTAGTTTTGCTTGGGCCGACAGTTTGGACGGGACCCGCGCGTTGCCCTGCCAACCACCTCATGGATAACAGTAGTGGGGAGGGGAGAGCATGGTTTCTTTTATCTGGAAAACAGATTTGATTTTTGTAAAGAGATGGATGGAACAATCTGAGGCCACCGGGAGTTTCCGGCTGTCGAGTTAATTGGAAGGAATAATACGTGTATTATCTGGCGCTAATGTCAAGCTCCCCTGCTTCAAGTTCAATAGGAGCAACAACTTTGCATCGCGATATATGACATGAACACAAGATCTTCGCCTGATAAAGAACGAGGTATACTGAGTATCTTGAATTGATGGCCACACAAGTTGATCCATAGCAATACTGTATATTCTAGTCATGTTCCTCAGCTCCTGGGACTTGGTCAGTGGTCTTCTGCAGATAAAAGTTTCTGGATTTTGCTCAAAACGCTACTTGGCAATGATGTGCACACGGAGATTTCCCAAATTCTCTTCTATTTACCCCAGTCTCTCTAAGTGCCTCGATTAGAGATGATGTTGGACCATCCATGCCCTGGCCTATGTGCTGGTACACTTCAAGATACGTACCCGCAATCTATAAAGTCAGGCTGTTAGCTAGGCTTACCCGGCTGGACAAATCAAGGGGACATGAAAACTTACCGATAACAATCTGTTGACCCGTCATTGAAGTATTCTTGGAAAGAGATACGTACATGTCGGCACAATCATCAAGGAAGACCTGGATATATATTGTTTAGCGCCTAGGTGTGGATACGATGCAGATTAGTAACCGTATGGACTCACCTCGTGCTTGAGAGCAGACTTGTTCTTCCATGCCTCAATTTGCTCTGGAGAATATCTTACTCCCTAAACCATGTGTAAGCAGTATGTTATTCATGAGATTCATAGACGGAGACTCACCCATTCAGTCAATAGCAGGCCTGGAAGGACCGCGTTGATGCGGACCTTTGGTCCCTGAGATGCCTTTAAGCATTGCAAAAGATGTAGACCTGTAACATGTCAGGAACAATTGGTTTTCTGAATGGGAGGTATACATCATACCGGCAGATTTAGTGACAGAGTAAGCCATGCTGCTTCCACCAGCCGTTATACCCTGAATATAGTCATCAGTGAGCAAGTACAGGCCATCAAAATTGAGTCTCTCATACGGCAATGGAAGACGTTGCGATGAAAACGCCACCCTCGGGGTTTGCATTGAAAGTCGGAGCGGCTTCCTTGAACAACGAAAGATTACTCTTGACGTTGGTTGACCAACACTATAGTAATCAGTCTCGTATCTTACAGCTTTCCATGGCAGTTCTTTTCGCAGTCTTACTTTGTCCCATTCTTCGTCAGTCAATGCATCCAGATCACCAAAACTGGTAAACTTTGTCCAGCCCTTGAACAAGTTAGATATCGATTATACCTTCCATTGAAGCAACTTACTGCGTTTGAGATGATAATATCCAGACCCTTCAATTTCTCGATCGTGGCCTGAACCAGTCGTATACAATCTTCCTTAACTCCGGCATCCTAGTTCACGACACGTATTAGAAAGAAATCATGGAATCTTGAGCATTTAACAGCTCTAGTCAGATCTTGGACCAATACGCACGGCTTGGATAGTGACTGCGTTAATGCCATGTTTCTTCGCTAAGTCTGTGGCGAGGTTATCGGCTTGCTCCTGACTGAAGAGATAGTTGATTGCTAGGTCGCAGCCTTCGGCGGCAAATTTCTCGGCCACAACTGCTCCGAGTCCCCTGTTGACGAATTCTATCAGCATGAGGCTTTTGAACTGTAAGGACCAAACAAAATATTGAAGAACCTACCTTGCCCCGCCGACAATGAGAATATTTCGACCACGGAGGTTATACGGCATATTTGCGATCACGAGAAACAGAGAAAACAGAACTAGGAGACTCTTGATTGATTGAAGAAGGTTAAGCGCATGGATTTTATAGCGCGTTAAAGTATCCCTCGGCGTAACCCTCAGGCTTTTAGTCCGCGGCGTAACCCTGAGGCTTACCCCGCAGGTTCGGCACAGCCGATTTACCGATGGCTCTCCAAACGACCAAAAGAGGTTGTCGGCCTAACCGACGATAAGGGTAACGTGATGACCTGTTATTCGAAACGAATTGGCTGGGTCAATATGGCACCTTATTACATGAATATTTCCATTCTTCTGACTAGACAGCAGCCGCCTTCCTTCGATGCCATTGCTACACAATGAAACCCTTTTGGGAACAAGCCACGGTGGCATTTGCGACAATTAAATCTTTTAAAATGGCCCTGATTTTTATTTCCAGATATCTGAGTTCTGTCACTAATAGCCATGATGTTTGTCACGAATGGTTCGCTTCGTCAAAAAGGACAATCACTGCCACGAAAATTGAAAATACTCCCAATTTGCCAACGAAGTAATTTGGTCTTCCAAAAGATCGTCTAACAACGGAACGAATGGATTGAACAGAAAAGCTTGGTTACCATCCACAATCGGAGAATTTAATAGGCCCGCTACATCGTGATCTTGAGGACTTTCTTCACTGGGTGTATTATAATGACCCGTGGAAGTAGATACTACAGCGTTCAGATCGGCAGAGCTGCAGAGCATGTTAGCATAGTACAAGATGACAATAAAGGCCCCTTACCTCGGCTGAGCACAGTTTTCAGTTGGTTCGGATGATTCAACGTGTAGTAAGCGGCCATGTTGATTCTCCATCGAGTGACGAGTTTCACGAAGATAGTTCATGATCCCATCGGTCAGTCTCCGGGAACCCTCCTTTGATATTGGCTGATCGACTGTTTTTGACTTCTCGAGCAGCGCGCGATATAAAGAAAGCCGATTGATCTTGCAAGATGTTAGCGAGGAAAGAAAAAGAATTAGGAAGAATGTCATGCTCACCCAATATGTTGGGAGATCCCAAAACTGTCTCAAATTCTCCATTGCTTTGATCCCCTCTTCCAGGCTTGATTCAATTCTTTGATGAAAACCAACTTTGTCAAAGCCAGTCTCATCAAGGGACAGGTAGAACAAATTCACAACTGTGGACGTCATTAAACATAAACCCATGAATGGGTAGACGCCAGGAAACGGAGAAAGCTTCGTCATCATCCAACCATATAATTCAGTAATTGAATACGAGCTCTTCAATAGTTGTCGGATGGACTCTTTTCGCCAGCCTGGCGGAGGGCTTCGCCAGTCATCTGGTGTCGATGATGGGTCAAATTGGCCTTCACAGGGGTTGTAACCCTTTTGAGGAACAAATGGATAGTATTCTCGGTGAAGACTGGCTTTTGCCAGGAAGAAGAACAGATACGACAGTCCCCAGAGCTTCGATTGGCTGATACTGACCATAGAAACGGCTGTGAATGCACCAAGAGAATATCGAAGGTGAGTAGGGATTTGCCTCTCCCACTCGGCCAATTTCTCATCGAGAACTGTAAAGGGCATTCCCGATTTCCACGGCTCTCGCTTATCCGCATGCCGACCGCCTCTTCCATGCCAGGCTGTGATATCTCCAAATATTATGAGGATGCGGATTAGCAACACATAGAGATTGTGCTTTCCCTTTTGCCACAGGTCTGGGTCGTTCAACGAAAGCGACTGGCCGATCCTTCGAAAGACGAGATCCTCCTCAGAGACCGGAAGATCACAACAGATATCTTGCTCTTGGATTCCATTTGGTCGATCTCGGCCATTAGACAGAAGTCTGTCGAGAAAGAAGCAACTCCAGAATGTGCGACGCTTGAGCTCTCGGGCCAGCAGATCCTCGTCACCGGTCTGCTCTGGCTTACCCCAGTCAAATGGACTTGGGGGCTTATCCATAACTGGTAGCCGAAGAATCTGAGCCATACGTATCGCATTCCCAAGATGAATCCAAGCTCTAGACTCGAGGCCACAGCCTACCTCATAGACACAAAGAACAAGGTATGTCTGGATTCTCTGTAATGAGACATCATCACTCAAATTCTGGAGCAGCTCTCGAGCAGAGTTGTAGTATTTCCAAGAATCTGCCACAGAGCTCCAAGAGCTTACTCGAGCAACCAGAGCAAGTACGGCAAGGGTCAAGCTCTGAGATAGTTCTCCCGTGCTAAAAGTCGTTGCAAAAGTGAGTGGATCGAAGAAAAAGAGCAGGGTCGAGCCGAAGTTGTCCCGAAAGAAGTCCGCTGCTTGCTGTAGTTCTGCGCTGGATATTTGTGACAAAATCCCAGACTCCTGATTGGGTGGACATGTTGAGGTTGGTGATCTTAGGGCTGGTCCTGTGGTTGATGAATCTTGAGGTAGCCCGGCATACCGGCACTCAATTGACCGCTTCAGGCAGCCCCTACAGGAGGGCCAGCCACTAGTACATCGGATTTTGCGTTGCCTAGGCCAGGTAGTTAGCAATTGCCAGTAGTCACCCGAATATCTCGAATAATTACTCACCTACAAGGAATGCAAGCAATTGGCGCACGTTGACCCGGGAGGTGAGCCGGCCGGCGGCGCTTTCTCGTCTCCCCGACAGGCTTTGAACTCATCTTTGAACGGATACAAGCGGCTGTCTGTTGTAGCTAATTGTTTCAGGAAGGTTGTGCTTCCTAATTTGAGAGGGAATTCATTCGTCTAGCTTGCCGGAGGAGGGGCATATCTGACTAAACGGGCCCGGTCCAATCCATGGAATTCAGCGATGCCCAACACAACGAGGCAAACGGTTTACAGCTAGCACACATATACTTTCTGCTCTTTGCGCATTGAATGTGCGAGAAATTCTATCTACGTATACAGTAATACTTTAAATACTTTTTGTCAAAATAATGCAGGAACTCAGCCTGGTAAAGGAGCTTAAGCTATGACATTGGACTTGATTGAGGTCGTCCCGCATCACACAGACGAATGAGCGGCAATGCCGTCGCCATATTGTGGGGCATTCAACACGATAAGGCCGGCACTGCCGAGGCCAACACGGCATTGCCGACAGTATGCATTCGCTTGTCACCAAATCATAATCACAGAACAATTGAAATAGACCTATATAGGCGCGATCACAGCGAAATTCTAGGCAAATTTCGAGAACAAAATCAGTCGAAGCATCAGCAATTCTCAACCTTGCGGGCATTTGCCAGAGAGATGGAGCCTAAATCTACTTCAAATGCCAGATGTTTAAATGGCCACGGAACCTCTGTCAATCTTGTCGAACTTCGAAGTCTGTTAAATGACGCCATTATAAATTATGAAAGGAATCGCCCAAAGTCGTTGAGCATCCACAAGAATGCTCTCGAGGTCTTACCAGGAGGAAATACTCGCTCAGTCCTCTACACCGATCCATTCCCCATTTGCATGGACCTAGGGAAAGGGAATAGGTTGGTAGATGTTGATGGACATGAGTAAGTGTCTCCTTCAAAGGCCGGGAATTCATCAAGATCTGCTCAGTATTGATGCTGACTCTTCACCACAAGATACCTGGATCTCATTGGCGAGATGACTGCCGGACTCTGTGGCCACTCCCATCCAATCATTCAGGAAACCATAATTTCAACTGTCTTAAAAAAGGGATTAAATCTAGGTGCGACAACTGCAATTGAGTTTGAATTTGCACAAGAGATATGCCGTCGATTCTCATCCATAGAGCTATTGCGCTTCTGCAATTCAGGGACCGAGGCAAACCTCTACGCCATCAGCGTTGCTCGACAAGCAACTGGCTTATCAAAGATCATTGTCTTCTCAGGAGGATACCATGGTGGTGTTCTAACCTTTCTTCATGGAGTTGCGGCAAATAATGTTGACAAGGAAAATTGGATTATTGGGAAATATAATGATGTTGAAGGGACTCGCAAATTGATATGCGAGAACAAAGGGAAAGCGGCAGCGGTTCTCGTTGAAGGCATGCAGGGAGCTGGGGGCTGCATACCAGGCAACCCTGAATTTCTGCATACAATTCAAACTACCGCCAAAGAAAATGGGCTTATTTTCATTTTGGACGAGGTCATGACTTCCAGGCTTGGTCAAGGAGGTCTTCAATCGAGAATCTTGAGCCCCGTTGATCATACAGCTTTGAGACCTGATATCACAACACTTGGCAAGTATATTGCTGGAGGAATGACTATCGGGGCCTTTGGGGGGCGAACGGACTTGCTTTCAGTATATGACCCGCGGCCATCTTCTGTTTCGGGCAATAGTGAAAAATCACTTAAACCTATCAGTCACTCTGGCACCTTCAACAACAATACGCTGGCAATGAGTGTCGGACTTGTCACAATGTCGACCGTCTATACAGCCCATATCTGTTCTGACCTCAATGCGATGGGTGATAAGTTTCGACAAAATCTCATCGAGATAGGTCGAGGTACTAGAATGACCGTGTCTGGTGTGGGGGCCGTGTGCAATATTCACTTTGTTTCGCAGACGCTATCAGGAGACATCCGGTGTATGGAGGATTTAGAAGACATGCAGACCGAGACTGATTTAATCTTGAAGGATGTATTCTGGTTTCATGCAATCGAAAGAGGATTCTGGATTGCTAGACGTGGCATGTTGGCTTTGATCATGGGAACCACTGAGTTGGAGCTTGGAGGTTTTCTTGAATTTGTCAAGGAGTTTATGCAGAATTTTCAATCCGTGCTGAAACTTTAGAATCACTCTCAGTCTAGCCATCAATTTCGCTAGCACGGGGACTCAATCAACCATATCCAGAATCTACTTCGTGTTCTACAATATTTTGTCGGATATTTTGCCACTCATCTTTGGCTCTGCTTTGGAATGAACAGAATGATACTAGGGCAGGCTGATTGAAATACCCCATGGGCAGACGGAAAATTGTTGGGACTAAATGGTCTACTGTGAGGAGAAATTTCGAATAACATTCAGCAGCGCCGCTAGACGGCATTTATACCGTTTCATACTTTGAGAATACATGCTCCAATTCAGCGAACTCGCGCATTATCGTCTCCTTGCGCTTCTCAGAGCGGGGTATGATTTGGCAAGGAAAGTTGTTTGCAGAGATTATAAACCCTTCACTGTACGCAGTAGTCGGATTAATATCAGTCTCAATGGGGTTTCCGTTTTCGTCGACTGCCTTCTTAAACTCAAAAGCCCAGAGGAGTTTGCAGATTCCCAAGAAGATGTTCCGCTCGCCAAGGTGTATTCCGGGACACACCCGGCGTCCGTTCCCGTAGGCATAATGATCTCGAGCCACAGGATCACTGGCGGTGAGATATTCAGGTGCCAACTTTGTATAGCCAGCGTAGTGGTCCGGATCAAAGACATCTGGATTTGCATATCGCTTTTCATCATGATGCAATTCCCACAGATTCGTCATGATGGTGGCTCCTTTGGGTAAGAATTTGCCGTCGATCCAGTAGTCTTTTCTCGCGTTAGTAACCATCGCAAAAGGATTTAAAGATTAACTGCGTGCTTACCCTCAGTGAGAACACGAGGTATGCCAAGTCCACCCACTGGACGCCATCTCTGCGCCTCCTTGACAACCTGTGTGACATAAGGCAGTTTAGCAAAGTCGGACCAGACAGGTGTCCGGGTCTCGTCAACAAAGCCGTCAATCTCTCTTTGAGCTTTCTTCTGGATCTCAGGCCACTGGACCAAAGCATGCATGCAAGTGTTGATAACAGAAGAAGAGGTATCGGATCCACCTTCCAAGGCTACTCCACCGAGGAAATAAAGCTGGTGATCGTTGAGTCCCAATTTCCCATTTTGGTCCAAAACGTTATCCATGAAACACCCACGGCCACCAGATGTCTTCCAGCGGTGCATGACATGTCTCACAATTTCTCCATAGAGATCGACCATTTCACGTTGTACCTCCAAACTTCGTGATTTCCAGTTCCCTAAAAATTGTTCGGGGATAAATTTAAGCAATGGGAAAACATCTACCGGTGGCGTGGATCCGATCTCCATGATTTTAGACCAGTGGTCCATTAATCGGTAGAGCTTTTGCATGTGTGGCGTATCAAAGGTTGGCGTTCGCATCCCGAAGACTGCACATAAGGACAATGCAATGTCAGCTTAAATATTGATAGAACGTTGATAGGATAATCCCACTCACGGAGACTCATGATAATGCTATTGCTAAAGCGTTTGGCATGCAGCATATATTGGTCCGGATAGATTATAAAGTCCCGTAGCATCTGAACAGCCTCCGCGTTTTGTGTTTGGATGTGGAGGTTGTCGCATCGCGATGACATGAATTCCTGGTGCAACAATCTTCGGAAGAGTCTCCATTCTGTCCCAGAATCCATAAAGAGCAAATGATCACCACCCGTGATTGTATGAGCCACTGATAGATTTGGTCGATTGCTTGATACGGAGCTGCTTTTGTCTAGCACCTCTTTGATAATTCGTCGATCGCTCAGAATGATAAGAGTATTGGAGCCGATTTTGAGTGAGAACATGCCACCATACTCCTTGGCCATCTCAATAAATCTGAGAAGAAACATTAGCTGGACCTCGTTTCAGGATTTTCATGATATGCTTGGTAAGAATTATGTACGTACGTAAAATGTGCTCCCTTTCGTGGTATCAGATGGGCATTCCCTACAATTGGTATGGTTGGTGGTCCTGTAGATGTCTGAGATGAGCTGTTGATACAACCCGAAGCTTACAATACATGACTCACCAGGCGGAAGATCTTTTTCTCGTCGACCCAGAAATACAAGGGCATAGAGAATTCCGAGAGTAAATAGCGGGACCAACATCTTGATGATTAGAAGCGCCATAGTTGAGTCGGAGTGAGGGAGAATGCTGAATTGACTGTGTTCTGTCGTGTTTGACCGCACACTGCTGCATGCTCTAAGGAAATATCACTATCGAAGATTCATTTTCATCGATCTATATATTTTCAGCCTATCTAGTCTGGAAAATCATCATAGTTCCATATAAATCACAGAGTTCGCTTTCGCTCCCCGCAAAATGTGGGGAAGATGTTCCAGCCACTCCGGATACATTATCTTCCTTAATGGGAAACTCCCCGTCCCCGCGTCCATTGGGATATTTTCGGAAGCTCTCATATGATGTGTGGAGAGACATTCCGCAAAGCCCCACGAAAACTTAAACACGGGCGATTACCCTTTTCAGGTAATGCTGAAGACCAAATAATCGGTATGTAACGGATGAATCGGACTCGGCTTTTACGTGGGGAAGCTCACGGGCACAGGCTATTAATACCCAGGGAATCACATCATGGAGAAAATGATTATTTAATTTAGTACAACCTTCAACATCTGTTTCTTCTCTCCAGACACCCGTTGCTAGATTCTCAGCTCAGAGGCATAACAGTTCAAGTTACTCCTCAAGCTTGTAAATTACGCTATGTTGAAATCGTGAAGTGCCTGGAGCTGACTATAAGTTGCAGGTATTTCTATGTCTCGTTCAGCCATGGATACTCCCATGAAATCTTCGATAAATGAACCTTCACCCTCAATTCAACCACTTCTTGCCGAAGCTCTCGTGCTAGTGGTTGGCGCAGGGCCTATCGGACTGCTTGTGGCTTATCAGCTAGCAAAGCGTGGGATTTCTACCATCCTGATTGAGCGCAACCATGAAACGACAAGATGGCCAAAGATGGATATCACAAATGCGCGTTCAATGGAGCTATTGAATCATATTGGACTCGCCGACGGTCTGAGAAAATTAGGTTCGCTAACTAAAATGATCCCCCATACTGGAATATATCTAATTCAGTTCCACCAGGCGTCGACGAGAATTTTTCTTTGGATTGCCTATTCTCTACAGGTCTTTCAGAAGGAGGGGAGCTGTTGGCCAAATGGGTATTGTAATCTAGTATGAACCTACGAGAAGGAGCGAAAACTTACCTGAGAGTGTAGGACCTAGCATCCCCATCGGAAATGCGCCAACGTATTCGTCAAAAAAATGACGGATCTATGCCAAGCCAACCTTGGGTCCGATGCTCCCAGATATTGTTTGAAGCCTGGCTCAAATCACTTGTAGAAGCTCATCCATTGATTAAGTCTTTCTCTGGGATGAAATTTGAGCGTCTCACAGAACATGCGGACCACATAGAATCTATCATCACGAATGTCGATACTGGTGTAGAACATGCCGTTCAATCCCAGTATGTAATCGGCTGTGATGGCGCCGGAAGTCGAGTGAGAAAATCAACGGGCATCAACCTCACTGGTACTCCGCTGTAAGTTCAAGATCCGACAGTTTGGAGGACTGGTAATTTCTGACAAAACTTGACCATCAGTCCCCAGAGAACTTTACTTGTTCACTTCAAGTCGTCCGATCTAGAAGTTCTGCATCGTCAGGGTCAATTCTGGCATTTGTTCCTGTCCAAGGGGGCTTGTGTCATCAACCAGGACGAGAAGGATACCTGGACAATTCACATCACCATGGCACCTGGAATGGATGAAGATACACTGAATCCTGAGGAAATGGTGTATGCGGCTATGGGAGATTCGGGATCACCTCAACGATTCAAGATTGACAAAATCCTGGTAACCAGTGTTTGGAGTGCCAATCTGTCAGTCGCTGACGACTACTTGACCAAGAGCAAGCGAGTGATTTTAGCTGGAGATTCAGGTATTTCACCCGACTCAACTTTTTCAAACAGAGACTAACAGATATGACAGCTCACCAGAATATTCCATTCGGGGGTTACGGCATGAACACTGGGCTGGGAGATGCCTACGACCTCGGCTGGAAATTAGCAATGGTTCTTCACAAACAGGGCGGAGAAAAGCTACTCGACTCGTACGAGGTTGAGCGACGTCCTGTTGCGATTCGAAATGTCTCCAAGTCAGGCATCAACGCAGAAGTTCACATGAAATACGCTAGCTGGGTCAACGCCGAGCCAGCGGGTACGATACGCAGTGAGACACCCGCTGGAAGGAATCTTCGAGAGCGGCTTCGATCGCACGTTCTCACTGATGACGGCGAGAATAAAAATCTCGGGATCGAAATGGGATATCGACACTCGAAGTCTCCAGTTATTGTTCCTGATGGCAATCCAAACGACGAGCCAATTTGGACTGAGAAAGACTACTTTCCTTCAACGTGGCCTGGTGCCCGCGCACCCCATGTCTATCTAAATGACGGAGTGACTCCAATCTTCGATCTTCTAGGGTTTGACTTTACACTGGTGGATTTTACCGGCGATGGAAGTGTGGGCAAAGAGTTTGCTGTCGTTGCCACTCGGCTGGACATACCACTTTCTCTACTTCATCTTCCTAACGAGAAGCATGCACGACAGATTTGGGAGCGTGATATTGTACTGGTCCGTCCGGATCACCATGTTTCTTGGCGAAGCAATGTCTCCCAGTCACCAAACCAGGTGGAGATTGAAGACATTCTTCTGGTTAGTAGTGGAAGGAAGTAAGCATAAAGAATGGTTGATTTCTGTATTTACTGAAAGAATAGAATTTTATTCAAGTTACAAGGAAATATTTCCCTAACGATATTCTCATCCAGGGGAAAAGACCAAATGGTTGGATTTAATTTCACGTGACAACACCGTGGATAGAGAATCTTCCTTATCGGTTCATTCAAGTTTGTCAAGACGTAGAGAAGTCTCATGGAAATTCCCAGTCTCTGGTAGCATCCTTCACGGTTTAGACTCTTTAAAGTTAGCTTGCTGATCATTCTTAGACACAAACAGCTTCAAGTGTAAAGTTGAGTATGAACAACTCGGTGGTCGACGATAAGTAGCTTTCCCAATCCGTTTTAGAAATGCCGCCCATCAATGATGTTCAGAAGGAAGAAATGATGATGAGAAGCATATTTACGTAGTCTACTGATGAATCGCATTATACAGTTGTCAAGAGACATATTCATTACACATAGTTCAAGAATTAGGCTAAGTACATGGTCGGTGAGGTATATCATTAAATTATTTGTTCTACCCTTTCATTTGCAACTCACCAAATGGACCTGCCCTTGGAGACAAATTCCTAATGAAGCTCGCATGATTGTTGTTCTGTAATATGCACCACCTTTCCTTGAACAAGACCTCATGCTTGTTGTAGGAGTGCTCGCCACTAGGGCACAAATCTTTCCCCGGAGCATCCGCCATGAATGCTGGTTTTGTACTTATTTGAGACTTTGGTAAGCTCGACAACCTCTGGACATACTGTCAGCTTTATTCCAGTTTCGCACATTCAATGGTACATACCCAAAAGCGCCCTTCCCATGGGCCAATGCCGCCCAACGCTGCACAAAACTAACCTGATATGTTCCGCATACAGACAAGACAATTGACTTTCTCGATCTTGAAAGCGAAATTCGGGTACATGGGCTGTTCCCAGTCCAACTACTGCGCAGAATATAAAAGGAGAACAAACAGACATGGCTTGAGGCGAGAGGAGCCCTGTCAATTGATGGACATCGACGATTATCGACAGACATATTCGAGCTGGCTTGGGACCATCGATTAGGTATTTAATGCCAGCTGTTCTTCTCAACCTCTCGTGGAGCTCGAAGTTGATCCGACTGCGAGCCCTAGATCTAAAGTGTTAGTAGTGCGTCATCATCCCAATTTCCACTCAAACTTTCATACCAATTGAGAGCAATCAACGAGCAAGCCATCCAATTGTATGTTACAACATTAGACTGCCACGTTGCTTTCGATAATGGCAGGTCGTAGAATGAGAATGGCAACGCCAAGAATGCACATCCGATGATATCTTCTACTTTCTGAAGCTCTTGAATCGATGCTCCTGACAATATAGTATCCACTGTCCGCCTGAGAACGGCCAAACACACCAGGAACCAGGCTCGTTCACTCTGGTTGGATGATCCAACAATGCGCTGCCACGGCAGTTCAGTATTTGAACCTAGCGAGACAGACCGTGCTTGGGAATTTTTGATCCACTCTTGATCGGAAACAGGAAGTAAAACCCGTACCACTCGACTGTCAATCCCATAGGGTCTTGACGAAACCGTGGATGAGAATGTATCCATCTCCCATATCGTCCACCAAGCACGACGCTTCTCCTCCAGCAATTCCCACCGTTGTTGATTGCGCACCGGCCAATCGATTGGTTTGGAATCAATTTTGTCGGCATCCATAGTATGTAGGTCAAGGTCATACGCGAGACGCACACAAGTTCCGGTTAGATTCCAGGCAATCTCGGAGGGTCCAGATTGTAGGCAGTTAAATGCCAACAAAATGAGACCTTGAAGACATTGCAGAGTCCGGACTGAATGACTGCAATCCTTTTGAATAGACTCCCAAAGTTCCGTCGCTTTCTTCGCAAACTGCCGGTCTCGGCAATGGGGGGCCAGACCCTCAAAGTTGTACGAGGAACTGTATCTTGCAGAAAGAGCAAACATTCCGTTAAGAACGAATTGGGCCACTGGAGACAATTTGGAAAATCGCTCGCCTCGGGATCTTCCGCTAGGGAGGTACTCCTGCTCGAACTTCTCCCTCGTGAAGATTGGACAAATCCCCTGAACTTTTTCGAAATATAAGTCGATCAACTCCTCTGCAAGATTTGGGGTAATTGAAAAAGTATAGTGGCTGTTGATCTCGGTTTCAATCTGGCTTGGCTCAAGTGGGGTTGGAAAGCATTCCCGAATAATGGGCATTGCTCCTGGCCCAGGCGCTGCCCCAAAAGAGCCGAATCCAGTGATGGGCTCGGAGAAAGGTGTAACTAGGTCATCGATGCTCCTTAAATTGTAAAGGATGGTGTCGATATCGTCCATCAGAACGACCCCATCTAGTCCGAAGGGGCTCTGGCTTGTGCTGAGACGGGTTTCTCCCGACTCCGCCGTGTCAATAGATGAACTGCTGGCGGCTGCGGACCGCTTGCGTACCCGCTGTCTATGTTGTCCCCGGTAGTTACAAGTGGTGCCGACGCTGGAGCAAAGGGAGCATTTGGGATGGCGCATGTCACATCGTGTCTTCTTTCTGCGGCACTCGTTGCAAGCGCGCCGTGACAAAGGCTTCCCTGAGGAGTTCATCGAACATGGTGTATAATTGGAGTCTGAAAGTACGCCAAAGTTGCTAATAGTGTCCATTATCGGCAATGTATTTTGGTGAACAGGCAGTTGTAGGGTGATGAAAGTCGAAATTTCACCAGATGCTTCTCCAGATGGGAGTTGCAAGTTGTGGGGACTATTTCTGGAGAGTGAGAGGAAGTTCCCACATGGAACCTTATCCTCCACAATACAAGGCATTTATGCGGATATTTTAGTGGCCACATTCATGAGATCGTGTTTAAATTCCCCTCATTAGTGGCAAGTGCTCTTTCTCAAGTTTCGTATTTATTTTGCAGTCGCCTCTGTTTCGTATCCACCTAACAAGCTCAAGTTTTACCTCGTCAGGCTCCTCCCGAATTAACCGCCATATTGCATCATCCTCGAATCGTGAAGTCGCGAGTTGAATACAAAGGCCGATTCTTTTGGCTCGAACTGAAAACAAAACCTGCTTGGTCGCTTCGTTTTTGACGCCTACTTACCAAAGTCATCTTCTATTTTAAGCAAGCTTTATGCCAGCCTTTCAATCAAGAAATATGCGGGTAAAATAACAGGCCATCAAATGTTGGAATTTTTGATCTTCGAGAAAAGCTTGGTTGAAGTTTTCCATGTATTCCTGGACTCGTGGAACTGAATGGAGTATCCAGCCTGTTAATGGATGGAGGCAAGCAATGTCTCATAAAACTGAAAAAAATCAACTCCAGTGAACCAAGCTAGCCAATATATTGGCGAATGACTGCTGTACTGTAGTAATGTTTCTTTTCTACATGGGACTTCGGCACGAACGAGACTGGCTGGCAGGTTTCCTCTTCGGGCGGGACTATCTCCAAAAGACGGGGACTTAGATCACCGATGAATAAATGCCAAGCGAAATAGTTCAAACTTCGTTCTCTTTGCACATCTCCCGGGTTTTGCCTGGATAGGAAATTGGCCGGGCCCATTATTACCCTGCTTCTTTGAACAACAGTATGTACTGTAGTCTGTACCCCATTGCCGGCGCCAATAATTGGCAGATAAATAAAATAGACCACAAGCTTCATAGTCTCCACAAGCTGGCGCAAATGATTGGCAGATAAATCAAGTACCGTAGACCATGATCTACATACATAGTCTCCACAGGCCGTTATGTATCCAGCCTACCCGATGTCCCGATGTGTTTAAGGACGTCACTTTCTATCCGCAGCCGGATTCGTTCGACCTTACCATATGAACTATAAGTTGATTCAAGATTCATCTTTCAAAGGATTTTTCTCGCTAATCTATCTTCATCCTAGTCTTGTTCACCTGTTGCGCCTCATTCCTAGCCAAGACCTTTCACACAATGGCACGACGTATTGATGTGCATCATCATTATCTCCCCCAGCCTACTTGAAAGGTGCGTTTACTTTGGGTCTATATTGAAATTTAGATAAAGCTGATTGATCTCAAAGCTCTCGAGAAGGCTGGTGGCGATCTCTCGGGATTTCCCACACCCGCTTGGTCCATTGATGGCGACCAAAAGATCTGTGATGACTGTTCCATCGAAACGGCGTTCTTATCAGTTACCGCACCTGGTGCGGGTATTCTGAAAGGCAGAATCTGCCCAGCTGGCTCGAGAATGCAATGAGTATGGTAAAGCTTTGAGGGAGAAATTCCCAAAAAAGTACAGCTTCTTTGCAGCGTTGCCCGATATCCTCGATACTAAGGCGGCATTAGAAGAGATTCGATATGCCCTTGATGAGCTGAAGGCTGATGGAGTCACACTTTTCACCCGCTACGGAGATGCGAACTACTACTTGGGCCATCCAGATATCCGCCCTATCTGGGAGGAACTGGATCGGCGTAGTGCAGTAGTGTTTATCCATCCAACTCATGCAGTGGATACCAACCTCGTCAACAAAATGCTTCCACAGCCCTTTATTGACTATCCACACGAGACCACTCGCACTGCCGTCGACCTCATCACCACTGATACCGTTCGCAAGTACAAGAACTGCAAAATAATTCTCTCTCACGGTGGAGGTACTTTGCCTTCCCTTGCTCTGCGTCCCGCGATTGCCATGAAGGAATGCGGGCTCTGTGACATGACCGCCGAGCATTTCCTAGAGAATGCGCGAATGTTTTACTACGACCTGGCCCTTACCGACTCAACCTTTGCTTTGCCGCTTCTGCAGAAATTCGCTTCGCCTGATCACATCCTCTATGGAAGTGATTTTCCATATGCGCCAAACTCTGCAATCAAATATTTCAGCAAGAGCCTGGCTGAAGCTGAAATTTCGGAGGAAGAGGCGGACAAGATCAATTCTGGCAACGCGCTGAAGTTATTCCCTCGCCTCAGTGGTGTTTGAGTACAATTTGACAACTATGGTTTGGATAGTTCGCGTTGTGCAACATGAAGGATATTGCCAAATGGCTTCATTCCCGGGGGTTACTACGTAGAGATGCTTTTACTTGTAATTTTCAATGATCATGCGGTGATGAAATATGATTATGAGGCTCCATTTCAATGTAGTTCCTCGCTTTCATGTATAGCATGACTCGATACTTTGGCATTCCTTGAATCAGGCCACCTCGAGCATCCATAAGCGTTATGTTATGTCGTTTTCTTTTCACATCCCCAAGCATGATAGAGACAAACTAGCTGGTATATGGTCTATCAGGACAGAACAGTACGTGGAAGATATGAACAATTTGCAGACCAAGTCTCATACGGTTTTGAAGGATATATTCTGGTTTCATTCAATCCGAAAGGCTCTCTAGATCCCTAAATCTGGCATGTTTGCTTTGATCCTGGAATCTACCAGGTCAGAACCTGAAAGATTTCTTGAGTTTGTCAAAGAGCTTATGCAGGACAATAACCCAAAATATCACTACGCTGTAGCACATCTCACCAGTATGAGCGATGAGGCCCCCACATTTAAGAGCGGGTATCTGGCAGTCTAAATTCACGTTTCCGATTCTCATCCACAAACCAAAGTGGAAGTATCAACATCTTGGTACTGTTAATTCGAGGGTCAAGCCGGCACACCAGCAGAATCCACAATATCTCCATGCCTTCAGAAGTTGCCTCGCCAGGGTCGGAAGAAGAGTACCTATCCGACTCTTCGACCCTCGTTTATGGTCATGAACCCTTCGAGACCTTTCAGGTGCGAGTTCTTAAGTTATGTCAAGCCGTGCTGAATCCTGCCGGTGATATCACAATTGAACGAATGAACGGAGGAGGCTTCAACAGAATTGATGGCGATCTATCGCCACTACGCAAGGAAGCAGGAGAGAGAGGAACAATCTAGTTCGAATACATGGAGAACTATCTCTGCAGAAGAAAGGAAACAAAGAAGGGGAAGGCCTATATAGGCCGAAGCAATCAACCTGGCCCTGGAATCAACCTCCAGGAGAATCCCGACCAGGGATTCCCTCGAGGGAGATCCATATCGGATCTCCATCAAGAATCTTTGCATATCCGTGACCAACAACGAATGTTCCAACAGGCAATACATTCATCGCATTCCACGGTATGATGCTGCTCAGCTGGATTACGATCTTGCGCCTCTGCAATTACTTCGTCGATCGTAAATGCCAATTCCCGATGTTGTCACGTTTGATACAACGAGTCAAAATGTCCTAGAAAGCCCTTATATGACCCAGACGCGCATTCCTGGCTCATCTCTTTACCCAGCATATCCAGATCTGCCCCACGAAATCAAATGTGTTATTGCAAAGGAGCTTGGCAATGTCTACTCTGAATTACATTCAATCCGAAGTGTTACTGCTGGCCGACTCACTTTACGCCTTCTCAAAGACTTTGTCATTGAATACCTGGAACAGACCACAGTAAACTCCTGCTTTCAAGGGCAGCAGGCACCAACATCTGGGAATGGACACATTTCTAAGGTTGAGAGTTTGTTTATAGAGGTATCCGTCTCCAGATCAGCGGCTCGCAAGCATTATTACATATTCTAACAGCTCCTTCTTCCGCGAAGCTGCTCATAGGTTAGTAGTTAGCCCAAACCTGAATTAGTCATACACATAGCAGAGGTAACTTAGTTAGTTTAGGGATGGCGCGTACAAAGCACTTGGTCCCCACTTAGTTACCTGACCGATGACGAGGATGAGCTTAGTCTTGATGCATCTGGCTAGCATTTGCTTAGCGCCGGACGGGGTGGCACTGCTTGATCTTTCAGGTTGATCCTCTAAATTGAACCTGCCTTACAGGAATGTTCCCACCTTTTCACCCTCATTCCCACTTCATCTTCGTGAATCATACCTGAAGACTACATCCTTCACTACAACACTGCCATCAATATACCTCTTGACTCCGAAAATCAACGCTTCTGTGTCACAATGCGGACGGCCATCTGTACCTTTCTCGACACAACCTGGTTCCTGACTTCTAAATTTTTCGGGGCATTCTTTCAAATCTTGCTTCCAGCTGTGATTGCTGGTGGAATTGTCTGCGGTGTGCTTTTCGCCGTCGCCTTAGCTGTCGTTCATATCTTGGGTTGGATGGGATGGATTAATTTGGACTCTGGTCCCGAGAAGAAACAGAAGAAGGAGAAGGAGGGTAACGCCTTCGAAGCTGCCGAAGAAGGGTTTGATGAAGTGCTTGTCAATGTCTCGAATGACAAGAAACGATTGGAGATTGAGATCGAGTTTCTGGAAGACTTGTTGCGTGCCAAGCGGGAGAAGTTGACGGAAATTGACTAGAGGTATTCAACAGAGTTGCTACTCAAGCCCAACTCGAGCGAAATGATGCGAACAGGAACATGTGGGGCTTTCCATTAGGTCCTGCTCGTGGAATACCTGAACAAAGTCGCTCGCACTCATGGCTGATCCACATATCCCACGACGGGAAAAGACGCCGGCTCAGTTGTGACCCGTACTTTGAATGCCCGCGAGGATATGACAACTTGGCCTTCAAAAGCAGACAGATCCTAGAAACTACGTACTCATGAACAGCTTTAGGATAGCAGTGATAGAACCTATATGGCAAGCAAATGCAGTGAACAAGTTGATTCCATTGTTAGAATTCGCAATCAAGTTTATTGGAAGGGTATTCGAAACAAGTATCATCGTCCTCTACCGACTATCCATGCTTCGAATCTGAGCTCACTTATGGAGCACAGGTCCAACGAGCCATATCAGACCAGTTTCCTGGGGAGAAAAAATATTGGTAGCATAGGCGCTGATGTGTGGAAATGGGTAGCGGCCCTGCTCTAGATCAGCGGGAGCTATCATAAGCGCACGCGTATGATCATACCGGAGAGAGGCAAAGCCGTCAGATTGGGGGTTTCACGTCGTGTCTTCATAAATCATATCATCTACCATGTCTAAGGAAGAAAGGCTAGCCGCGAGAAGCTATCGCAGTAGTCGTTGTATCATAGCAGTTTCTCCTCCAAGTCACGCTCATCGAACGGATCTCCAAATTCATCTGTACGGGAACAAATCAGCGCGAGTTCATGCCGGCATTAATATAGCTCGATCCATCACATACTCAAGTTGAAGTCTTTATCGATGACCTGCTCCATCGCTCGCTGGTACTCGTCCTGAGCACGCTTGGTCTTCCACGCCGCGACGGGTAGTTCTGGGCCCTTTCCAGAAAGATTGCCGGGCTCTACTTCTGTACGAGGCCTGTAATCGGTTGTAGAAGAAATGTCGGGTATTTGCTGCGGTTGTGAGCCGGGAGGGGAGAGCTCGGAGGTGGGAGCCGCGGGTTGGGTGTTGTGAGTGGGAGTGCGGGCACCGGTATCAACTCCATCGGAGTCAGAGTGGGGAGAGCCGACAGAGGAAGCCATTTCAGAATCACCGTCGGCGTCTCGAGGTCCTATGTGGAGTGTGGTCAGTTGGGGAGCCTAGGCCGAGATGTTGATGGGTCAAGAACGCGGAAATGTTTAAATAGCGAAAGCGGAAGCTAGAGAAGCTGGATGAGGTCCAGGCTAAAGCCAATAGAGTTTGTTCATAATAAGGAATATCCCGAACTTACCGACAGCCATCTTGGCGGTATGAAAAGAAGGAGGTTGGAGATGTGTAGTAAGCCTTGCAGATCGTGGAAGCGATCAAAGGGCGGAGCTGAAGGAGGAGAAGCGGAGATCGAAGCGGACTGGGGCGGTGGCCGCCTCACCTCTGGGGCAGCCGCGAATTTTCTTTTCTTACTTGTCTTCCCCACCATTTGTATACTCCTTGAACATATTACATCTTGCTTGTCGCTTTCAGCACTTCATTATTACCTCCATTGGCCTGCTCATTCTGCTGTTTTGTTTATCCGTCTTTTCGTGGGCCATGAGTGCGAAGCCTGAAGTCCCGGATGCATGGGATGCGGACTGGGAGTCCCAAGCGGATGTAAGTACCAATATATCAAGCGGATCACTTAGTGAAGATCAAGTGCTTTTAGGCCTTAGTCATGGGATTCTTCGCTCTAACTCTGGATTGATATAATACCAGTATACTAACATGGTGGAATGTATAGAAACTAGGAGACAGGCCTACCCCGCCGTCCGAGAAGAAAGTCTCCTCCAAAGTCTCCAAAGCCCAGCGAAGAGCTCAGCAAGCAGAGTTTAACCGGCAGCTCTGGGCAGAAGCGTATGTCTTGAATCTAAATACCCTTTTGGAGGCCGTTCAATCCCTAACAAAGTTTCATTACAGTGAAGCCCCGCAAACATTCCACTATGTCGAAGCCCGATCCGAAGTACCCCTGAAATCAGACTTTAAACCGACTGTTACACTCCTTAGTCGGAGGCCTCAGATTGCATCACGCCAGTCATCTGCTTCCGGTGGGGTTGATGGGGCGGTAACCGGCATGGGACAACTCGGCCTAGACGAGGGCGACTCAGACGAAGATTCGAGTAAGTCTCGTCAACCAACTTTCGAGGAACGGCAAGCACAAGCTCTCAAGAATCGCGAGGAGAGGCAGCGGAAATACGAGGAGGCGCGAGAAAGGCTCTTCGGAAGCCCTTCAGCAACGACATCTGGCAACTCGTCTCCAGGAAGTACAACCCCTCCCCGTCAGAGCCAGCCTGGTGAAGGGCGAGGCAAAGGCAAAGGCCGAGGCGGCCAGCGGGATTATAGGGAGAAGAGAGATTCCTCGTCCGCCTCGAACAAGTCGAGGCAGCAGCTCTACGATCCAGCAAGTCCAAATCGGTCGAATGGATCGGCCCTACAGAGGCGAGACCGTCCCCAGGGGGATCGAAGTGATGCCGACAAGCAGAATGCTCCTCAGCAGCCACTACGCAACCCTCGGGGCCCTGATGGAAGCGGAAGGGGTGGTTTTGGATTTGGCACGAGGGGCGCTCGTGGGGGCTAAGAATACAGTGTATCCTGTGTTCTCCATCTGTGTTCCTTCCAGGCGTCTTCACGCTCAATTGCCCATAATTCCATCAACGCGTCCCCCCGAAGGCCAATCGGGGACCTTAAAGTCCAAAGAGAAACTAGGGAAGGCCCCGTCCCGAATTGATTGCATTCGCAACCTGAGACGTGTTGGGCCGGTTCTCTGCGGTTCGGGTCAGTATCCAACCTCTTTACCCGGGTCACGCCCAAGAGACTTACCGGCGTATCGCGCATAACTGTCCAGATATAGTTCATCGGAGCTAGTTGTTGCTCGGACATGCTCATTGGCGTCGATAGCATCTACCCATGAGGCCCATCGAGTTCCTGCCTCGGCATCTGGTAAGCCTCGATACGGCGTCAAGACTCGACGAAGTCGGATGACCCACGGGGCAGCCTGCACATCCACAAAGGACATCTGCGATCCCATGAAAAAGGGACCATCAGGATGTGCGGCTGCGAGCAGCTTGTCGAAGGCGTTCTGGAGCTCTTTTGTGTTCTCGATCTGCTTCTCTGGGTCCTGCTCTTGCAGTACCCGATAGAAGTTAGGCACGATATTCCGATTAATCTGCATGGACTTGTCAGCGATGACCCCAAAACCGAACGCCAAGGCTTGCTCACATGGTCTGCCCAAAGTCGGCAATGGGCACGCATCTTTGCATCTTCTGGTAGAAGTGCTCTGCCAAGTTTCAAGTCTTCGAGCTACAGGCAGCAGCGTGTCAGAACGAAAACGAGGGTCGATACCCTAACATGCGTTTTCTCTTACATATTCCATGAGTACGGTGCTTTCGTAGCACCCCCAGTCATCGTGTCGTAACGCTGGGACCAAGCCCCGTGGATTCACATCCAGCAGTGACTGAGGCTTTTTGTATGGATCGACCTCGATGTACTGATAGGGTATCTTTTTCATTTCCAGCGCTATCCATACCCGTTGCACGAAGGGACTTTGTGCAGAATAGCCATCGAATTAGCATGAGTCCATTTCATTCAACGTGAATTTACGACTGGCATCATAATCTCACCAGAAACAGCTTCCATAGAGCTTCAGCCTTGACTCCGCTGCATGTTGACCTGCGGTCACAGCGGCTTGGCCTGTCGCTTTGGTGTGATATGACTTCTGGTCCGACATAGTTCTGTTCTATTGGAGTGCGTTAGAAGTTTTTCGGTTTTTCTCGTTCAAGGGAAGTTATGAAAATGCAATTTCGCAATAACTTGATCGAAATGAGGGAGCCTGTGTTACTCGTGGGTAACAGCTGCCCGATCTTGACCGTGACGTAACACCAAGTTCTGCGGGGTGACGCCAAGCCAACGCCAGCTTGTCCATGCAAACATGCAGTACTCACATGAAATACTCGCTGGAACAAACAGGAGCAATGCGAAACATACCATATTCTTTTTTCTTTCCTTGTCCTCTTTCAAAAGAACGCGCTGGACACTATTCTTCTTGACTCGATCACTGTCTTCCAGAGTGTGTTGATGACCACATCCCAGTCCCTGCCCTTGAACGCCAGTGCCATTCACCCGTTGGATAGTGAAATATCTCTTCCCGTTTGCCCCGGGATGATTCTCCGGTAAATTTGAACTAGGTGCAGAAAGCACACTGAACGAATTGTTACCCTGTAGTGGAAACATAGAATGCATGTCAGGCAACATGTCCTCCGAAATGGCTACATCCTCTAACACGCCAGCAGTGGGAAAGTATTCGGTGATCTTGATCTTGACATCGCAAAGATCTCTCTCCCGTGCAACACGCTTGCGCTTCTTCTTATTTGGATCGTCGGACTTGGGGGTCCCCGATGCTCGGCCCTTTAATCTGCAATCCCAATAGTGAGAGGCGAATGGTTTGCGCTTGTATCGCTGAGTGGAGCGGTGGGAGTAAACGTTGTCGATGTGAGGGAAGTATATTTGAAACCTGTAAATAAATATCAGTCGTCATGTTTAAAATGAGTTGCACCAGGCAAAGGTGCATACTGTTCTTCGCTGAGGGTAATCATCTCATCTACATGGAACAAGATCTTTCTCCATGTGTCCAAGTCAGGTGGGTCTCTGACAAGCTTCATGCCTTGCAAATGACCAGGAAAGCTGTCCATAAAGCTTGTTATGTCTAGTGTATTAGCTACTAGCGCTGCATAGTCATGTTGTAGAAATGTTGTGTGTGACGGCGGCTGCTGTAGCTCCAGGGCCAATTCCACACTCGATGGTTCGGGCGCGTTGTTCATTACTGTCAAGGTCTGGGCATGCCGAGGAGCTGGAGGGGCTCCAGTGAATCGTGACACTGATGATTGCATGGACCCCTGCATAGTAGCATAAGACTTCTGTTGTTGTTGTTGTGCAACATGCTGAGATGAATTAGGTATAGATTGTTGTGACGGCTGGAGATGCCGAGGAGGTGGAGGAATGTTCTCTATTGGCCCGAATGTCTCAAAGGGGTTTGCTGTGCTGAACTGAGTGATTTGAGAGGACGGATTCTGAATTGATACTTCACCGACGATCGGAATTGACGAAGCTCTGGGCCTTCCTCTACCTGGGCCCTGATGCGAATCCATTGGAGGTGGAGGGGCCGCTGCTTTTGTGGTGCGGAGAAGAAGTGAAGTGGAGGTTGAAGCGGCGAGGGAGACCACCCGCTTTATACGGAAGGAGCATCATCTTCGACCCAACATTCTTCTCCCAAACATGTGTCATTCGGAGAAGAAAGCGGGTTAGTATACTCGAACGACACTTGTTCTCGGACTGTCCATCTGCGAGAGTTCCTGGTATAGTAGTATCACAAGTTCTGTGACTACAGGGATAAGAAACAAGCTTTTGTCGATCAACCAATCAACCGTGGACTTACCCATGTGCTACTACATTGAATCTGGAGACTAGAGAAATGGCCTGACCATATATTTTCTAATCCCTCCTATGAAGAATGTCCTGAAAGACCATTTAAATAGTCCCTCTTCGGGGCTTATGTACCATCTCTCTGGTCTGTTGTTCAACTCGTTGCTAAGCTGGCTTTGAAAATATGTCATGGTTTCGAACCCATCGAACTTCATTGTACTTGAACTATGAACACCCATGCCACCCGTGGGCCAGTCTTTGAGAGAATTGTCAGCGCAGGACGCAGACAGGGCTCAAAGTGACTTCTTTCCAGCATGCTTCTTAGCAGCCTCCGAGTTAGCAAAAGGAAACCCGGTAGTCCTCTTGTCAGCACCAGTCTTGCGACTGATCTTGCCATCACTGCTAGCGAAGAGCACACACCACAGGCCGATGGATGCAAGGACAGATCCTCCAGCCACTGCGACAGCGAAGAACCCTTGTCCCGTGGTAACATATCGGGTGTACGCGTAGAAGGCAGAGATGGAATGGAAAAAAGAAGTTATCATGAGAGTGGGGAGGGCATAGGGCGCTTTCGGATCCGACTCCTCGGTCGTGACGGGCTCTGAGATTGAGGATGTCAGGGGAATGGAGCCGGTCAGCATCACGGTCAAGATGGCAATAGTGAGGAGACTGAAGCCCAAGCAACGGGCGAAGTAGATCTCGATAGCTGTCCATCGCGGTTAGTACGGTGTTTTAACAGCTAAGAGACATTCAAAATAACTGAGATGGCATAACATACAGGATGCAGGTCGAGTCTCATCCAGTAGCATGGCCACGACCATACTGGGGCCTGCGATCAGGGTTAGACTCTGCAACGAAAGCCACCCCGCCGTCGAGTAGGTGTATGCTCGGAAAACCTTTCGCCTGCATGTCAGCTTACTATGTCCCGAAGTTTCATGGTCCTACTTGTAGGGAGAATAAGGATGTGTCACTCACATCCATTTTTGCTGTTTAGATAGAGTAAGTAGTGTCAAGTTCTGAACTCGGATAATGGGGAAGCTGGTAGCCTAGAAGCTATCGACGATGTGACGTCACTCGATTTGTCTCGTTTGCAACCGATGGACGTTTCGTCCAAACACTGGCTCCATGAATAATATTCGAAACAAAGCAGGAATAGAAAGTACTAGGTGTGATGCCCTGCTGGATGCAAAGATAGGCTGAATACCTTTGTTCAGCTGAAATGATTTATCCTAAAGCCTCGTCCATGTCTAGAGTAAGTTAAAACCGGCTATCAGAGGGCACCTTCGCGAATACTGTCACTCTAGCCGTCCATTTAATACTTATTTGGATACTCTTTTAAAGTCCCATTCTATCTTTCTTTCCAAATCAAAACAATATGTGATTTTATTTCAAATTGCAACAGTATGAAATCGGCATCCAATTGCCACCAACACCATGAAACCCAGGAAGCCCAAGCCATCAACTCCTTGTATGAATACCCATAATCATTGATTAACATTGCTGGCCCTCAGGTACCGGGCAAAGCTGCTGTCTGCCTCGGATGGGACACTCTGGGAACCCGACAGAGCCTGCTTGTACCGTTCAGATAGGCCTTCATCATCGCCTGCACTGGGTCTGTAATCGTATTCATAATCGCCATCACTGAAGTCCTCGCCATCGGCCAGACCTCGCTTAATGATCTCATCTTCCTCCTCATCTTCGGCTTCGCTGACAGTCTCTGGTCCGGTCTCAGGACCCTTGCGATCTTTGCCGGCTGATCCAGACACACTCATGTCCTTCATAAGCTTACCGAGCTCCAATTCTCGCTGCGAAGACTTTTGCTCTTCACGCTCCTTTCTCTTCCGCTCAAGTTCGGGCTTATAATCGCGCTCGAATTCCTGGCGCTTCGTCTCAACGGCTTCGAAGAACTCATCAACACCATCACCGGTCATGGAGCTCACACCAACGACGCTCAAGTGCCGATAGAACTCCTCTAACATCAGACTCATGCTGTTCAGAAGGGAACCCATGTATCCGCTTCCGGCGCCGAACCCGCCGGCACCGCCCTCGCCTCCAAAGGCACCAGCTTCCTCCTCCTCGCGCAGGGCGGCTTGGAACTTGTCAAAGTCGGTCATCCACTCCTTAGCGAACTCAGCATCCCTAACGTCGGTCTTATTGAAGACTAGGATCATCGGAAGCTTGGTCTTGTAGAGGATACTGCAGGCGTACAGCATGTTGCTCATGAATGTGCTGGTCGAGCTAGCGCGAGGGGTATCGATGATATATGCGATGACAGTTGGGAATGACGACGCGAGAGTTTCCAAAAAGATACTGCCTGATGCGCTCCATACAAATACTTCAATCTGGCCGGGTGTGTCGACCAGAATGTGTTCGACTGGCTTTGCGGAGGGGTTCTCGGTGTTCGGGGCGGTACGCTTCTCAAGAAGGGCAATGATTTGATCAACCTTGGTAGCGAACAAGTTCAGAGATGTCAAAATTCCTCCGTTGGGACCCAGGTTGTACTGTTTCATCACTTCCTTGTAGTTGATCGAATCACGGATATCAATGTTACTTTCGAAAGGAACCGAGTGCACCGCAGGGTCGAGGTTCATCACGTAGGGGACAGTCTTCTTCGAGTGAAGGTGCGAGTTGATCCTCTGCATGAAGGTTGTCTTTCCGGAGCCTGTTGAGAGTCGGTGTCAGTCTCATCACAGAATGCGCGACTCGAGACGAAAGGCGATCCATACCTGCCATGCCCACGCAGACCACGGACACCGCCGGAGACGCCATCGTGAAGTGAAGTCCTTGCAAATGAAAGTTGAGATAATTCTGTCTGCCCGGCTGCGGCGATTCCAATAAATGGGTTGGTCGAAGGAGGTTTCGTCGCAAGAGGTTGTAAAAAGATAGTGGCGGGGAGCTTCTTTTTTCTCCCGAAATTCTTTGGTCGCGGGGGGATTGACGATCGGCGCCTGGACCGCCCGGCGCGCCAAACGTCATTCCGCCGCAGCTTTTTGCTCCTCGACCTTCCTGAACAACCACATCTAAGGAGGGGCACAATGACCTTGGAAGATTTCGAAAAGTCACTAGCGGAAGACCAGGATCGACGTCGAGAGAGGAGCGACAAGGACCGACGCCATCGAGACCGTGATGGCGATCGCGATCGTAGCAAAGACCGTTCAAGTCGTCATCACCATCGTTCCAGCCACAACCACCGACGGCACTCGTCACGATCCCGCGAACGAGACAATAGACGTGATCGTGAATCTCGACACCGCGATAATGATGACGGTCACAGACACAAGCGTTCACGTCACTCGACCGACCATGGAGACGACCACGAGAACTCACATAAGCGCCGGCACCGACACGAGCGAGATGAAGAGCATTCGGCTCCCAAGACGATCATCCAGGAGGAGCCAAGTGCCCTGAAGCGCGACTCCTGGATGGAAGCACCCTCTGCCCTCGATATTGAATATGTTCATCGCCCAGACCCCAATCGCGTGGAAGAATCTACGAAGCCAAAGATGCTTCAAGCGGACTTTGAGCTCAAGATTCACGACAAGGAGCTTAACAGCCACCTTCGTGACCTTAAGGATGGAAAGGCGCTTGATGATGTTGAGGAAGAGCCCGCGCAGCATGAGGTGGATTACACATTCGGGGACTCTGGATCTCAATGGAGAATGACCAAGCTCAAGGGCGTATACAGAGAGGCCCAGGAAAGCGGTAAATCTGTCGAAGAGGTTGCTGTGGAGCGATTTGGCGATCTCCGCTCCTTCGATGATGCCCGAGAAGAAGAAACCGAGCTGGATCGCCGCAAGACGTATGGCCAGTCGTATGTCGGCAAGGAAAAGCCGAGCGGAGAGTTGTTCCAGGAGAGGAAGCTTAAGAATGTAGTCCACCGAGACCCGCATGAGCATACTCGTGATCCTGCCGAGGAGCTGCGGGCAGAGGGCCAAGGCAAGGTCATGGGTACGGAGGCTCCGTCTAGCACGACGAAGCTCCTCGACCAGACAGCCCTGAATCGCCTCAAGGCTCAGTTGATGAAGGCAAAATTGAAGGGAGCCGCCAATGCAGCTGAGCTTGAAGAACAATACAACAGTGCCGCAGCTGCGGCAATATCCAACCGCAGTGAATCAGACGTCGTTGTGCTAGGTGTCCAACAAAACCGCATGTTGGCTGGCTCAAGGAATGAGGTCAAGCCAGTTGATACTAAACGTGGCCGCGAAAGAGGCCTTATGGAGGACAACGAGGATATGACCATTGAGGATATGGTTCGAGAGGAACGCAAAACCCGGGGTCAACCCGGTGGTGAAGGAGCACGGCTCGCAGAGCGTATTGCGAAAGATGGTAAATTCGAGGTAAGTATTATTCTCTACCTATGCTTCATGACTTGATGGAATCCAGCAATCTGACAGTTTGATAGAATGACTTGGAGTATATGGACGATCAGGCTTCCAAATTAGCCAAACGAGTGCACCGATCTGAAATCGACATCAAGAGTGCCACGATCAATGACTTCCGCAAGATGAATCGCATCTTGGATAATTGTCAGCTCTGCCATCACGAAGATACGAATACTCCGCCAGTCGCACCCGTCGTCTCCCTCGCCACTAGAGTCTATCTCACGCTTCCCACTGAACCAGAAATCAGCGAAGGCGGAGCGTCCATCGTGCCCATTCAGCACCGAACCAATCTCTTGGAATGCGATGACGATGAATGGGAGGAGATTCGTAACTTCATGAAGAGCCTAACGCGCATGTACCATGATCAAGGCCGTGATGTGATCTTCTACGAAAATGCCGCACAACCACAGCGCAAGCGCCATGCCTCTATGGAAGTTGTCCCTCTACCATACAGCCTCGGAGAAACGTCACCTGCATTCTTCAAGGAAGCGATTCTGAGTGCCGAGTCGGAGTGGTCACAGCATCGCAAGCTCATCGATACTTTGGCAAAGTCCAAACAAGGGCTCGGTAGAAATGCATTCCGCCGGACTCTGGTGAAGGAAATGCCGTACTTCCACGTCTGGTTTGAGCTGGACGGCGGCCTTGGCCATATCGTCGAGGACGAGCACCGCTGGCCTCGTGGCGATCTCTTCGCGCGCGAGGTCATTGGCGGCATGCTCGACGTTGCTCCCGATGTCATCAAGCGACAGGGCCGCTGGAATCGTGGTGGGGATCCACGGGTGGATGGGTTCAAGAAGAGATGGAGGAAGTTTGACTGGACTCGTATCTTGCTCGAAGGATAGGGCTTGTCTCAGTCTACGCTAATGTCTGCTGTTTGGGTTTAAAGTTAGGCTCTGGTTAACGGCACTGCAAAAGCACTCGGAAGCGCATCCGCTTTTCGGGCCATGCATAACTTCCATTATTATTGGTAGAATTAACGTTTCCCGAGTCAGATCAGTCCTTTTCCGATATCATTTCCCCGGAAAGCCGGACTGTATAGAAGTCCTTTAAAGATCAAGGCTGGCTTCGAAACATTCAATGTCGGATTGTACGCAGTGGTACTTCCATTGAAGTTTAGTAATTCATAGAACAACCTATCATCGTTTAGCTGTCTTAGCAGTCTATTCGCAAGTATCACGCTTAATGGCGGCATGCGGGGAACTCGCCGAGATTATGAGATAAACCAAAATTAACGTAACGAGTCTCGCGTGGAGCCCATCGGTTCTCTCGGCCGATGCGTCGTATCGCTAATAATGACTCCTTTGGTTGCTGTTATCTTCAACATTTCCGTCTTGCATTCTGTTCGTTGCTAGAATTTTAGAATCTTGCATTAACACCTTCTTCCTCAGCTGATCCTCTGTTAGCTGATTCAGTGCCTTCAATTCTCGCTATCTGCCCCTCATCCTTATCAGTAAGTTTGCGCCTTCGATTGACATCCCCTCGATTCCCCTCAGGTCTTGAAAGGACTTGATTGCGTGACATCCCGCTTTGAAATTGTCATTTCGTTCCTTGGAGGAGAATCTAACACTTTTTCGCGCTCGATTTGGCCCAAACGCTTGACAAAGGTCTAGAAAAACAGTGAACTAACAATCCTCTGCATAGACTACCTTAATCTCATTTGGCCGCTATGGGCTCCCACGAAGCTAAGCCCAAGGTTCTCATCCTTGGCAAGGTTGACTTGTCTGTTCATCCTTTGAAGATACACTTTCATAGCCCTGTGCTAACTAATAGGCTGCAGCGCGCACGATGCCTGGAATGCTCTAACTCAAATCTGCGATGTCCTTAATCCAGCTTCAACCACCCGTGAGGACTTTGTGAAAGAATGCCAAAGTGGAAAATTCGACGGAGTTGTAGCGGCCTATCGTACTTTCCACTCTTTTGGTATCACTGGTCTGATTGACCAGGAGTTGGTGGGGGCGTTTCCACCCTCCTTGAGATATCTTGCTTCCTGCGGTATGTCTACCCTTGATACATGGTTATTTCCTGAGGAGATGATGCTGACACGCTTCCAATAGGTGCTGGCTACGACCAAATAGATATCGACGCCTGCAGTGCCCGTAACCCCCCGCTCCTCGTCTCGAACGTGCCCACTGCAGTGGACGACGCTACAGCCGATGTCAACATGTTCCTCATTCTTGGTGCGCTTCGTAATTTCAATGCAGGCATGCATTCCCTTCGAGAAGGCAAATGGCGAGGCAGACCAGCACTTGGCCACGATCCCCAGGGTAAGACTTTGGGAATCCTGGGAATGGGTGGCATTGGACGTAACTTGAAGAAGAAAGCCGAGGCTTTTGGAATGAAGGTCATCTATCATAATCGCCGACAGCTCAGTGAGGAACTTTCTGGGGGAGCGCAATATGTGACCTTTGATGAGCTTCTATCCACCAGTGATGTGCTCAGTCTGAACCTGCCATTGAATGTAAGTGGTCAAGCAGGGAAAACTTTCAAAACATTCAAAGTCACTCTATGCTGACTCGAAAAACAGAATAATACCCGTCATATTATTGGAAAGCCAGAGTTCGCTAAGATGAAGGATGGAGTCGTTGTGGTCAACACTGCTCGTGGTGCCGTCATGGATGAAGCTGCTCTTGTCGATGCTCTTGACAGCGGTAAGGTATTCTCTGCTGGTCTCGATGTCTTCGAAGAGGAACCCAAGATTCATCCTGGTCTGATCGGTAATCAAAATGTGCTCCTTGTGCCTCACATGGGTACTTGGACTATCGAGGTGAGTTAAATAGATGTCCTGGGATATGGTTGAGATACTGACAGTTCACTAGACTCTCATTGCGATGGAAGAGTGGGCGATGGAAAATGTCAAATTGGCCATTACTACGGGCAAGCTGAAGAGCCCCGTTCCAGAACAGGTTGATCTGCAATGATAAGGTGTACGCAGAAGTGCGCCGGTGCATAGACATCTCTAGTAGTATATAGAGTGACGGTACATGAGCTGAAAGTGTATTTCTTGGACATAAGTGGAGAACAAATCAACTTCAAGGGAACTAGTTGTGTATTTTTGAGATATGACTTGTCATTTGAACTTGAAATCTAAAGAGGCATGGCTCAATTCGAATTGAACGAAGAGTACACAATTCACTCTATACCCGCATTTCTCCTTTGGGACTAGTCCCGATTGCGGCGGGAGTTTGTCTCTTATCGCCGCTGTGGTCCTGCTCCAACTTCAACTCGACCCAACGTCTCCAACATGGCCGAATACTGGAAGTCAGCGGTAAGTTGTTTTTCTTTCAAGCTTTGCAATTTTCACCACTAACATATTCCTACCTTACAGCCCCGCTTCTGGTGCAAACAATGCAAGATCTTCATTCGCGACACGCCGTTCGAGAAGACCCAACACGAAGCCAGTCCTAAACATCAAGGTAGCCTCAAGCGCTTCCTGCGCGATATTCACCGAAACAATGAACAACAGTCAAGAGAGACACAGCGCGCGAAAAGTGAGGTCGAACGTTTACGACAGGCCGTAGCAGGCGGTTCCTCGAAAAGCGATCCCAACGGCCCTGCGCCTTGGAAGAAGGCCGCCGCACCCGCGCCTAAATCTGCTGATCGACCGGTCAGCGTAGAGGAGAGGAAGAAACAGATGGCGCAGTTGGCTGAAATGGGTGTTGCGATTCCGGACGAGTATCGCGGAGATATGGCCTTGGCTGGTGAATGGCAGACACTCTCGGAGACCAAGATTGAGGAAATAGAAGGCGCTGCCAAGTCTATTGGAGTACGCAAGCGCAAACATGATGGCGACGAGGAGGATGAGGATGAAGAAGGTGGAAATCCCTCCGAGCGACTTGTGAGCAAAGGGTGGGGCTCGAGGATGAGAGTGTACCCTGGGGCGCAGAATGACGACGATGAGGAGGGTCTAGATGCCTTACTTGCGTCTACAAAAGACTTGAAGAAGTCTCAGGTCGCCCCTCCGGATGCTGACTTGGAAGAGTCAAAATCAGCCGGAGAGCCGAAGCCGGAGCTCGCTTCATCCGTGAAGAAAGAAGAAGAGGCTGCGGAGTCCAAGGACCAGGAGAACGACCGCACCGCGCATGTCAAGACGGAAGAACCAAGTGTTCCTTCTGCTGTACCGACTGAAGAGAAGCCGCCAGTCGAAGACGCACCTGGGCCTGTTTTCAAGAAGCGCAAGGCCAAGATTATGAGGAAATAAGTTCTAAACACGACATGACCTAGCTGTGCCTCATTCCAACGAATAAACCTTCCCATACATGGACCGATGGGATCACCCGATACAGCATGTTTAGGCAGCCATACTACCACAATCATGTCCACGATGTGTGTTGGATTAGTGGCAGACTTAGACTGTGCCTCTGTGAGCGAAGACCTGAATTTCGGCCACCTCCAGAGCCGCATCCCTATTGTTGTCTAGACATACCAGCGACTTACTCAACCACTGTCGCTGTGTGATCAGGCACTACTTATCTGATTACTATCAAGCCATCTGAAACTCCGAGTTTGGTTTCCTAAATTGACGCGTGGGGTTTAGTGATTGATACATCCAGTCAAGTCTACTATGCAGCGGGATCATCGATGCCTCCGCTCCGCTGAAGCCAGCGGGCAAAAATACTGCCCTGATGCTAGAGCTACCGTGCAGCCTAGCAATCATTATTAAGATGTATAAAATTGATTTCGATCATGTTTTTGTATATAAATTAATGTAGCAATTCGATCAATAATTGTGTAGCTTCATAGACCAGGAGAATCATGAAGTTCGGAGTATAGAGTATAGAGTATAGAGTATAGAGTGGTTGCCACTCCAATTTTTTTCTCGGCGTCGAAGCGGAGACTTTGGATCGCCGGAAAAGAAAGCTCCTTTAGTTCACTCTCCAACTTCGCGCATCTCCCTCCAACTGCCCACCAGACCACAGACTCGCCGAGTTCCTCAGCAACTCGCGCCGCTCCTCTATATTGACCAGACACATAGTGTCCTAACCCGGTGAGTGTGTTTTGTTCCATGCAATCGCGAATTCTCCAGCCCAGTCAGCCCGCCTTGTCCTGTTCGAGGCGCATCTCTCTTCTTCCCACACGCAAAGAGCCCCGGAATCCCGTCCTCAGCGTCGTCATGATCGATCGTCTATTGCAAGGGTCCTCTTCATCTTCATGGCCGTCGTTGCGACACCAAATACTCCCTATCCAGGATGTGAGATCGCGGGCGGGGAGGAGTCTTCGGGGCCCTCAGGACAGAGAATGCGACACAAACTTTGAACGGCCGACGGATGCACGGTGAAAACCGCGATGGCTATTGCAGAAGTCAATTGCCCTCCAAAATATACTCGCGCGAGACTTTGGATGCGCTGATTTGTCTCCGCGGACATGGCCTTGTTTGCTGGGGAGTGGGTTGCATCTCAATCTATCCGCCGCGAATGTGTTGAGAGCGAATGGCCTTTGTCTGGGTGCTCTAAGGAAATGCGTTGTTCCTGCGCGGCTCTGCCAATCTGAAATCCTGGAAACTTTTTTTCCAACTGGGAGATGCTCTTTATTAGGAGCATAGGCGCGACTGGGCTGGAACTCTGCCAGATGGTGGGAAATCTTTAGCTAACAGATTGCGATCTTACTAGACCCAAGGCGATAAATGATTTACACGTCCCGACCCATTCGACCAGGTGCTGTGCCTTCGCCCAGCCACAAGCTGCACAACCTTTGACCTTGAGGATCTTCTCGCGACCGCAAAACTTGAAGAGGACTGCGGACAACAAGGTCTCGCCTTATACAGACTGATCGAATCCAACGCATTGCCTGGAGGGCCGGCTACTAGACATGGCAGATCCGACAGAGCCTACTCCAGGCGAGTCGGCTAATCCGCCGGCTGAATCGATTGCTCCAGCGCCGGCGACGAGTGAGGTGCCGGCGACGACTGAGCAACCTTCAGTTGAAGCAAACGTGCCCCCGCCAGAATCAAACCCGGTTCCTACGCCGACAATTGAGCCTCAACCAGAACCATCACCAGCGCCGCCAGCGGCATCAGAAATCTCAGCGCTATCAGGAACCCCAGCGCCATCAGAACCTCCAGTACCTCCAGCACCCGCGGAGCCTTCAGCACCTCCAGCACCTCCAGCACCTCCAGTACCCGCGGAAACCTCAGCATCTCCAGCACCCCCAGCACCGTCAACCTCAGATACAACTGCAAACCACCCTGAACTCACTAGCAGTTCTGCAGAAGAGACCAACCACTCGGCGCCTGCGCCAATCGTTACCACGTCCTCCATAATATCTTCACTTCCAGCAATGGACACATCCCTCCCGCCGATCGATTCGTCTCACTCTTTGGATGATAACGAGCTTCCTTCATTTGATGCAGCGCTTCGCGCTGTGAGCTCCTCCGCGGCAGACCTGTCGCTTCCGGCGATTGACACCACTCTGCCCTCGCTGGACTCAACCCTACCAGCGATTGGTACGGATATTCCGACCATGGATCACCCATTCGGTGATGATAGCCCCTTTGCACACCACGACTCACACGATGGGTCTGAACACGCTCTAAATGTTGGCCATGATGGCACTCACCAGGGATCTATCAATGGTTCTACCCATTACCAGGCGCCGTCTAATGACAACTACCAGACGTCAAATGGTAACTACCAATACAACCAGAACTCACAACACGATGGACGACAACAATCGCAGGTTTCCCCTCAGCACCAGTACCACTCTCAACCGCCGCAGGGTTACCAACAGCAGACTGACATGTACCACAACACTGGTGGAGGCTTCGCGAGTGTCAACGCAAACTCCAACAATGGCCAGGGACAGCCTGGCCAAATGCCTCAAGCCCCAATCGGATCTCCCATGCCTCCGATGTCATCGATGGGGCAGTATATGACTGGCTATCCATCAAATGTGTCTCCCTCGAACTCGTACTCACTACCGGGAGATCCCAATAAGATGCTCTCCGGTGGACGACATAAGAAAGAAGTCAAGCGACGCACAAAAACTGGATGTTTGACATGTCGCAAGCGACGAATTAAGGTATGTTGGTTCCTTGCGTTGAGATTTTGCACGTTGCGCTTCGCGGGGCGCAGGGCCTCGCTTGTTGCCGCAGACCCCGCCATCGTTTATTTTATTATCTCCCGCTTAACCCACGACCTCAACCACCCCTTTTTCGCGCGACTTGCATTTGGGCAGTGCACTAATTTGAACAGTGCGACGAAGGACATCCGGTCTGCAGAAATTGTGTGAAGAGCAAGCGCGAGTGTCTAGGTTACGACCCGGTGTTTCGCCCTCAAGCCTCTGCTCCCTCGGCCATCCAGCCAGCTCCAAACCCTCAGGCACCGTCGCTTGTCGTCAACCCCCAAGGCCCTCCTGTGCCTTCTGCGCCTTCTTATCCTTCTGCGCCACCTGGTTACATGCCCGCATCCTCCCAACCTTTCGCGCCATCTCTCCACTCCGAATCTCCCAGCGCCTCGACCGACCAGCACGATAACGGAGCTGGCATCGACCATTCTCTCGCGACCAGTAACGCCTCACATCATTCAAATATGCAGTCTGTCAATGAATTCCGGCCTCAGAGCTCGGAGCAGGTCTACAAAGGTATGTGGAATACCCTGCAGGGTTCCTGGCAGCTGGTCTGAAACTAAGCTTTCCCCATCTGCACCTTACTTTCAACGGGCGCTAACCGCTATACTGCGAACAGCCAAGAACCTGAATATCAATGACTTGATCGCTCTACGGGGTATCGCTCCACCACCTCCCAATCCTATCGGCTCCCTTCCTCCCGGCCGCCTCGAAGAGATTCAAGCAGTGTTCCTAGCCACATACGCCCCAGCAATTGACAAGCTGTTGGAGGTTCGATGGTACACAGACAAGGCACTATCCACTCTCATGGCGGATGCGCAGCTCATGGCGGACTACTCGGCCTTGATCAATGCGTTCAACGATTGGAATCTTAATGACGGAAACACGGTCGCCCGCTTGGAGAGTTTCGAGGCTTCCATCATCTGGAGAAGCATGACCCTGTGCCGGCAGGTGCAGACAACAGAGAATGGGCAACACGGCCAGGACTGGAATCTGCTTGCAGCGACTACGCGTCTTAACGCGATCGAGGCTCTGATCACCTGGACCCACCTCGATCAGAACTCCTTGTCACGAGCGCTACGAACGGAGGCTGCAACCCCACCCCATCAGCCTGATCAATTCATGCAACGGCAATTGGACTTCTGGAGCGAACTTGGAGACTTCCTCACTCTTCACGACAATGAAGCCAGCGCGGCCAAGCAGATCGACGACACCTTGGGCCGATGTCGCCAATTGCTCGATACATATGAAAACCGTGACATTATCTACTCCATCGCCATTGCACGGCACCTTGGCCAACGCTGGCCCGACTTCCCCAACAGTCTTCCCAAGGTTGGATACACGGCTGAGAAGGAGTCCGGCACGAAGCTGTTTGTCGCGCAGAAGTTCATCGAAGAAGAGGCCGAGGGTAAGGGCACCACGCAAATCTACAAGCGAATCTGCTGCATGGCAGTTCGCTCTTGGTGGGTGGCTCGCGAGTAGATGCTCTGCCTCGATTCTCTGACTCGACGATTTCTTCTCATTTTTTTCTTTCCTTCTAACCTGCCACGATCATGGCGGGTAGTTCTTCACCCATATTTGTGAATGCACAGCGGTCTCTGCTTGCGATTCAAAAAAGCATCATGGCTAGGCGTTACTATTCTTCGGATGATTTTTTGACTTCTGTTTCTTTTTGTTCTCTGTCGCTTTCTATGGAGCCTCGGGGGACTGGGCAGCGAGCGAGTAAAGTACCACGGCGTTTTCTGGCCTCTTCATCCCGCGGACGAGTCTTCTTCGTTTCTTTTTTCTGTGTATAACTCGGTCACTCTTCCCTGCGGGATTCTCATACCCTACGAGTCCAACAAGCGGTTAGACAATCTTTACATTTATCAGTGAATAGTTGAAAACAAGCACTCTATGAGTAAACTCTGGTTCCTTCAATCTTATCTAGAAACGTAGGTATGATATGTCTATTCAGGCAAAATATCGTAGAGATAACATGAATTGTATCTTCTACAGACTATACAGGAGGTACTTCAACCCGAATCTTCATCTCACCCGTCTCGCCCTGAAACAGGAACCCAATATCCCGCGTCGAATCGTCCAATTCAATCTCTCTGCGCACGAACCGACTAGTATCCGCTGAGGACACAGGAGCCGTAGCCTGCATTTCATCATCACTGTCTTCATCCCATCCCGCCACCCCATCATCCCCCGTCTTCTTCTCCACTGGATCCCACTCATCCGTCTCCCAAACAAGTCTAAACGAATACGGAGCGAGATGGAAAAGCCGAGAAACGAGCGCCTTCACCTGATATGAATCGAACGAAGTCGGAATTTCTTTAACACAGACTTGCGACTCAGACAGCTGGAACGCAAGCTTAATCAGACGCGTTGCCACAGACCGAGGGTGAATCACTCTCTTCCCCGAGCCATCCCGCTCAACGGCTCTCGTCACCGTAGGCTCTCCGTATAACTCGCAGAGTTCAGCGTAACGAGGATGTGCGGCTAGAATTGCGGGTTCCTCTGCTTCAGAGGTAGCAGAGAGCTCCTTGCCGATGAGGGAGAGATAGTACATTTCAGCGTTGGAGCGGTCCTGTGGCGAGATGGTGCTGAAATTGAGGGTTTTGAGGGAGGCGGGGAAGCGGGAAAGTGTGAGCATGAAGGATTCGTCTAGGGTCATTGGTTTGGATGCGCTCATAGATGAGGTTGCAGCTGCGATGGCGGGTGGGAGGGGCGGTTGGTCGTAGAGTGGGTTTCCGGAGAAGCGAAGGGTTGTTAGACCTGGGAATAGGATGGGGAGGTGGTTTAGGATTGTCCATGATGAGATGTTGTTGCGTGAGAGGTCGACGGAGGTGACTGTTGGGGGGAATGTAAAGTCTAGGGCTGTAAGTTGGGTGCTGTCGGTGACGGCATCGATGTTGTTTCCTCGAATGGAGAGGTGTTCGAGAGTTTGGATCTCTGATAGCGGGCCTAGAGCTAATAATGATCTGACCTCATTATTCTCGAGTGTCAACTTTTTGATAGATCCTGGGAGCGGGCGAGATATGGTGCGTAGTTGGTTGCCAGATGCAGTGAGTGATGTTAATGACGGGAAACGGGATGTCACTTCGGCAATCTATAGGGATTGTTAGTGATTAGAAAGGCGATTCGAGATATTTGCACTAGACACACCTCATCCCAGCTTAGCAAGGTTTCTTCGAGGTGTAGCTCTGTGATGCCTTCAAAGATGAACCCATCTTCTAAAGGTTGAAAACGGTTGCCACTGTTATTCAAGTCAGCCTCATTCAAAGTAATAACAGTGCAATGGCGTATATAGGAGTTTGTCGAACTTACTTAACCTTCAATTTCTTCAACTCCTTTAGCGGGTAGCAGATATCCCAAACATGACGCCACCTACTCAACAGACTGCGGCTGAGATCCAGCTCCTCGATCTTGGGGCATGTTGTTGCAATATCTTTAGCAGCCTCAAGGACTTCCGCCTCAGGTTGCTCGTAAGAGGATAGCACACCAACTATGCGCAACCCATCAAGCAAAACGATTCGTAGCTCCTGCAACTCTGCAAGTTGCTTGCGAATCTTATCGAAGCCCACCTCTTCAACGACCTTGCCGCTGATCTCAATAGTTTGTTGACTAGCCTGCCCAAGTGGCTTAGAGGTCCAGACCAGTTCCGAGTCATTCTCGGAGGCATACTTGTCACGCAACGCTTCTAGGAAGCTGAGCGGCAGGTATGATGGCCTGGAGGGGCGGACGAAAGACCCCGCCGTGGGGTAGTTACTCTTGCCTGGGGACTCTGTCAGTGTATTATGTCAAAGATATTTCGAAATGGGAGGTATGAATACATGTGAAATACCGGACTCCTTTATGCTCTCCTGAATGCTTGCCTCTCGTGGGGTCGTCCCATTCAACACCGAGCCAGTCACCTGAAGTGCCCTCGACACCTCCCACATAGCGAATGGTGCATAGTTGACCACCGTAGGACCGGCGCTGGCCTATTAGAGAGGCGTTCATTGCATAGGTTGAATATTAAATCCCGCCGTCTTTCTTGTTCAAGGAATAACTCCCGCATCAATTGTGTACTTCAGAAACCAGCGACTCCCGCGGTGCTTACATAACCACCACCTTATCGGGCTCCAAGACGCCCGCAGATTTGCCTTCTCCAACCTCCACAGCAACAGCGACAAAATGGATTACCAGGTACGTTCACACTCTACTTCCCACTGATAATGCTCAGGCTCGAGCTACCCAGATCTAGTCTAATCTCCCCTAGAATCGAGCAGGCTCCAAGTTCGGCGGTGGAGGCGTCGCCTCCCACTCCGCAACCAACGCCGACCGTCGCGAGCGTCTGCGCAAGCTCGCGCTAGAATCAATCGACCTCGACAAAGACCCGTACTTCTTCAAAAACCACGTCGGCAGCTTCGAGTGCCGTCTGTGTCTAACAGTCCACCAAAATGACGGCTCCTACCTGGCCCACACGCAGGGCAAAAAGCACCAAACGAACCTCGCCCGCCGCGCCGCCCGCGAACAGCGCGAAGGCAAAAATCAAGACCCATCCTCGCTCCCCGGAGCAATGGGTGTACAGGTCAAGAAGCAGACCATCAAGATCGGTCGTCCCGGATACAAAATCACCAAGATTCGGGACCCGTTGACTCGCCAAATGGGTCTGCTCTTCCAGTTGCAGTTCCAGGAGATCACGCCCGGTGTTGTCCCGCGCGTGCGATTCATGTCGGCGTTTGAGCAGAAGGTTGAGGATCCGGATAAGAACTTCCAGTATTTGGTTGTTGCGGCCGAGCCGTATCAGACTTGCAGTTTTAAGCTCCAGGCTAAGGAGATTGATCGTCGGGAAGGGAGGTATTGGAATTGGTTTGACGAGGATAGTAAGGAGTTTTGGGTGCAGATTATGTTTAAGACTGAGCGAGAAGAGCGCTTTAGTGGTGTGCCCGGTCTCGCGCCGATGCGAACTTGAGACGTGATTTGCCCTGGCACTCTCAATGTGTTTCTTAATCTTGATTTGCGACAAAAGTTTCGGCTCTGTCAACATTAGGGTCGCGTTAGGGTCGGAGCTTTGGCGTTTGGGACATGGTCTATGTACAATTTTTCTCTTTTGTTACGAAACCCGAGCGATGGCTTTTTTACTCATAGAAAGAAATGAGACTTTGGTGTTTGTTCACCGCTACTCTATTCGCTTCTTCTCATCTTTCCTCAATGTGTAGAGCTTGTATATAGGCATACTCCATCCCCGGATCCAGGCCTTGGGGACATGGTAACTCTTCCAAGTACGTTACACTATTCCAACCCAACCCTATACATATGATCTTAGGACTATCTCGATCTATATCCGCACATGTCATAACATAGGATCTTTTTTTGTTTTGATAAACTATGAATATGCAAATCACGACCTAAAATGCAAGGAATATCTGATCCTTGGTTGGCCCCTTTCCCCAGATCAAGTAACAACATGAGGGTATGTAATCATACCAGATAGCTCTAGCCCCGCGAAGCTTAAGATATCGACAACTAAAAGCAAAAGACGGCGCTCGGGGTCATGATTCGGAAAACATCGCGCTTGATATGCTGAATAACGATTCGTGGCGAAGAAATGAAAACATTCCAAGCCTCAGCCGAGACAGGGCATTTGCTAGAAAGAATAAAAGTGTGCAAGCCCCGCTGCTTCTCTCGGTCTTTCCTGGCAAAATTCCCACCGGTTGAGATTCTTCAAAGAGTGACTGACGGCCCCTAAGTACTTTGGAAGGCATTAAAGGCCTTGTAGGTGTAGCCGATGAAGGGCAAGCTCATCTCGGCCTCCTGAGAGTCTGGCATGGCCCGAGCCTGAGCACGGTGAATGGCGCTAGTATCCTCCTGGGGAATCTCGTCAATCGGGAAGTATGACACGTCAATGTTCGAGCTCAGTCTGGGCTCGAAGGGTGCGCGAATGCTGCGCAGCTGGTCCCACACAACACCGCGGAAGAATGGGTGGTTCTTGATTTGAGTTGCACCACCGTGCTGACCACCCTCGCTACCAATACGGTGCTCAGGGTCACACAAGAAGCTAAATGTATGGTCAGCGTTCATGCCATCTCCAATTCAGTTACGGATTGCTCTTACCTTCGGATCAACGACTCAGACTCGCGAGAGAGAACCAGCTCGTCGGGGAAGTACAGACACTCACGCCAATTCACTATCTTGCGGTAAGTGTCGGTGGTATCCTCAGCACAGAAAGGAGGCCAGCCAACAAGACACTCGAACATAATAGCACCCACGGACCACCAATCGCACAGATAGGTGTAACCTTGACCATTGAAGATCTCAGGCGCAATGTAGTCGGGTGTTCCAACAGTTGAGTACGCCATGGCGCGACGAGACTTTCGCCAGGTGTTGATCTGGCCACGGTTCGAAACAGTCAAGTTGATGGCGTCGTTGAAGTAACCGGAGTTACGGTTCCGGTCCTTTGATGTAGAGTTCTTAAGGAGGTTCTGGTAATACGCGTTGTCATGAGTCTTCTTGCCACCGGTTGAAAGACCGAAATCGGTAAGCTTGACATGACCGCCGCGGTCAAGCAGAATGTTGTCCGGTTTGATGTCACTGGTGTGATAGGTTAGTTTCAAATCCAGGCAACGAATTGTAACGGACTAAAATGCACAGAGAAAGCACATACCGGTGAAGGAACCCAAGTTTGTGAACAGCCTCGATAGCCATTACCACCTCAGCCATGTAGAACCGAGTAATATCCTCGGAGAAAATCTCGTACTTGATGAGCATCGTCATAAGATCACCACCAGGCAAGAACTCCATGAGCAAGTACAGGTACGCCGCATCCTGGAATGAGGCGTGCAACTTGACCAGCCATGGGTTGTCCTTCGAGTCTGCCAGGATATCACGCTCCGCACGGACGTGGGCCAACTGGTCCTTCTTGAACATCTCGGACTTGATTAGAGACTTGAGGGCGTAGATCTTGCCGTCCGTCTTGCGCTGCACCAACTTCACTTCACCGAAAGCACCCTTGCCGATGATCTTGATGGTCTGGAAGTTCTGAGGGGTCTCCTTGGTACGGAGGAATCGAAGGAAGTCTGACTCTCTCTTGGAGATACCCTCAGCCTCTTGGCGCTTCTTGGTGGAAGGAATGTTCGGGTCTTGGAGAGTCTTGTCAAGGTCGACGGAACTGGTAGATGAAACAGACATGGTCAGACAGGAACCAGTGGCAAATAGGTAATTGTGAAGAGTAAATACTTACCGCATGTTGCGATCCCGGGCCCGCTCAATGTTCTCGTGGAAGAAGACCGTCACCAACTCCTTTGCGGCCTTGCCGCGCTTGTGCACATTCTCCGAGTAGCGATCAGGGAGTCGCTGCAACTCCTCATTCTCCGCCGGTGGGCGAGGGCTGCGAGGCACTGGAGGGGCCAAGTGCGCGGCCTGCGCCTGGCCAGCAGGAGATCCTCCAGCAGTTCGAGGGCGAGAAGCGGGGGAGGCCGCCCGGTTGAAGAAGCCTCCACGGTTGGCGTTGAGATCCTGGTTGGAGAACTGCTGAATCAAACCATTTGTTCCATCGTTGGCGTAGCCCACGCGGGTCTGATACGCGGGCTGGGGCGATTGCAGGGCCTGCTGCTGCGCGTACTGCTGTTGCTGCTGTTGCTGCTGTTGAGCATACTGGGCCTGCGCGGGGTAGGGCTGGGCCATGAAGTATCCGGGTGCGTAGGCAGGATTGGAGGGATCGACATAGTCCTGGGCCCCCTGAGTCTGATAGATGGGCTGAGGGAAGGCGGAGGGGGTGGTGGGATAGGCGCGGTTGTTGGCCGCGTTGTAGTTGCGGTCATTGTACCCGTAGTTTATGTTCATGCGGTTATTGTTGTTGTTGGGATCCATCTTGACGGCAGCCCCTGCTCCCAGGTATGAACCAGGGAGAAATTCGAACGAAAGGAGGGGGAAGATGAGTTGGGGGGAGAAGAGAAGGAGGATCGGGGGAAAGGAGAAGGCGGGGAGGTGGTTTGAAAGGAGCGGTGGCTCTTCCTCAGGAGGCAATCCACTTCCACCCAAAATGCCCCAAAATGGCCTTCCTAGGGGGCGTCTCGCGGTTTCGGGTCTGTTTACTACTGGATGGACAGTATCAGAGTTGGCATTTTGCTTATTTGCCCCTCTCATGCTGCTATTCCTACAAGCCTACATGCATATCACGATTGATACCCTATAGAGGGGTCAACCCTACGGTACTTTTTTTCTCTTAGTGGGTGTCGTTTCAGATCTTCAATCGACCTAAAGATCTCGATACTCGACCAATCTGGGTTATTGCACGCCTTACGAACCCCTCTATAGTCGACAGATCAAGGGGGAGGGGTACACAGACAATGTCATGACTCGGAGGAGCACATTCCAATCGCGTTGTCAACAAGAATTTTGGGGCAAAAGTAAGCAAGTCGCAGGGGCTTCGGCACATCGCGCACGAGGCCCCAGCTTTGGCCCCCAGTAAAGAAGCTTAGAACAATGCCAGGCTCTCTAGGCCCATAGTCTGTCAAGGTAGTGAATATGTGCCTATATAGAGAAATCCTAGCTTGAATATGACTCGAAAATCCGTCCATTCTTTGTAGAAAGGATCAATATCTTGACCAGATCAAAAGCCGAGCTGCGCTACTGTATACTCGGCACGTGATGCGGATCATCCTGGCGCCGCTTGACTTTTTCCCGAACTCTCGTCGCAACGAGTTGTCTTTGCTGCCTCTATCTCAAGTCACAATGGCCGATTCCTCCAATTTAGGCGCCACGGCTGGTGCCGCTGGTGCCAGCCAGCCTAAGGCGGCTCCAAAGCCCCCTAACCCGGTGTTCAAGATGATGGGTATGTCTCTCTAGTCTTCTATCTCCGTGATCGCCTCCGAATCTCCAACTAATGCAATGCGATGCAATAGGTCTGCCGAATATCCGCTTCAAGCTGCCGTCCCGTAACTGGATGATTTTCTTCACCGTCACCGGTTCCTTCGCCGGTGCTATCATCTACGACCGTCGGGAGAAGCGCCGCTCACAACAGAAATGGTGCGACCTCGTGGCTCATATCGCAAACGAGCCGCTGGACGTGAACCAGATGCGCCGCAAGTTGACCGTTTACCTGGCTGCGCCGCCTGGTGATGGTCTCCGCGTGGCCAGAGACCACTTCAAGGAATATGTTAAGCCCATCTTGACAGCCGCGGCGTTGGATTACACAGTCATCGAGGGACGCCGTGAGGGTGATGTCCGGGCTAGCACTGCGGAGAGCATCCGGAAGTTGAGGCGAAAGGCTGGTGAGCAAAGCTCGGTTGTGGAGGAACCCAGCGTTGAGTCCGCTGTCTTGGACATGCGCGAGCGCATGGGTATCCGGGACGAGCCCGGTGCCAAGGGTGATCTGGTGATCGGACGGCATACATGGAAAGAATATATTCGGGGCTTGCATGAAGGTTGGCTCGGCCCATTGAACCCTCCGCTTCCACCTGTTGCAGATGTCCCAGCCATCGAGCCGGTAGAGGAGAACATGAAGGACACCGCAGCTGGTGACCATCCCTCCGATGACAGCCAAGCTAGCCCCGAGCAGAAGACCGAATCCGAGGCGAAGAAGGAGGAGAAGCCCTCCAAGCCTACCGGTCCTGCTGAAGCTTATATTTCCACTGCCGACTATCCCTCCGCTCACCTCCCCTCATCGCTCCCCCAGACCTTCGACAGCTCCGTTCCCATCGAATTCCCCCACATCCTCGGCTTCTTGAATACCCCGATCCGTATGTACCGCTACCTCACCCAACGACACCTTGCCGAGAGCATTGGCTCCCAGGTTGCAGCCCTCGTTCTCGCCGCCGACGCCAGATCCTACCGCGACGAGTCCTTCAGCTCCGACTCCGAATTGAGTAGCGCGAGCGTCGACTCAACCCCCTCGCCTAGTGGCTTCGAGCAGCAGACCGTTCTCGAATGGGAAGAAAACGAGTGGCACAAATCCGTGCGCAAGCGCGACGAGGAGAACCCAGGTAAGGAACGCGAGTGGCTGGATGATATCGTGCTTGATCAGCGCATCTCCACGCGCATGCAGCGCGCTCTTCTCTCGCCGGAAGACGAGGCTCGTTCTCAGCGCCTTGCCTCGCAGGAGGAGTATATCCTTGGCCAGGAACGGCCGGCCCCCGTCGCTTTTTGGCAGCGCATGTGGATTAAGTACGGCTACGGCGAGGACGAGGAGACTTTGAGGAAAAAGCCTATCCTCCCTACTGTTGATGACGAGGATAGTGCGTAAGGACTGCATTCTCGATTAAGAGAATGTTCTATATCATAGAAGCGTGTGGGTGTTTCTGATGCCTGGCGTGGGGCCTGTCATTTGTTTTTTTTTATAATCTGCATAACCATCTCCCTCTTCGGCTTGTATATTAGTATTAGAGGCGCAACTGTTTTTTTCAATGGGATGTACATGGAAAATTGCAATCTTGACGATTTTCTGATCTATCTTGGTGCTGGAATCGATTAGGTTGGGATGGACAAAGATTTCCTGTTGTATCGTATTGCCTTCAGAGCTACGAAGGAGAATCAGGACAAGCGGTTTTAAATTGGATGTGATTTGATTGGTATATTTATCGAGTTTTTAGTGCCGACGCCAAAGGTATGATCGACCCGAACCTTCTCTATTTTCACCTCCTACATTGAATCTCCCATGGATACACCAACTTCCACGAAAGAGTCACCAATCGGCCGCGAAATACAACCGTGGCGTTGAGACGACTGAGCATTCAGTCCGGAGTACCCTGAGGAGGTATCAACAAGCCGCTTTCTCGTTCCCATACACTTAGTTCGGCTGGAAGACAGAAGCCTCAGGCCACTTCTTGTTTGCCTTCTGGACGTAGGCAGAGGTCTCGCTGCCCCACTTGTTCAACAAATCGATAGCAGCAGCAGCTTCGTCAATGGTGATCTTGGGCGAGTCAAGAGTGTCCAGGAGATCCTTCTCGCACTCGGCCTTGGACTCGGGGTTCAGAATGTGACGGGCAGAGAGGGCGGCTTGCACATGGGCGACACTGTCCTTGTTGGCGGTGAGGAAAGACTCGTTCCACTCATCGAGCTTCTGGGCCTTGGGGAGCATCGTCTCGAATTCGGCGTTGACGACCTCAGCAATGGGCGCAGGAAGAGGTTCGGAAAGGCTGTCGAGAGCCTTGCGGAACCGAAGAAGCTGGACGTGGAGAGTAGGGTAAGAGGGGTCGATGGCGTGTGCGGCCGAAAGGCACTTCAGGGCCAGCAGGTGCTTGCCTGTTGCAGTATCAAGTCAGTTATCAGTTTATAGCAGTCTCTCTGGACTATGATTTACCTCTCCTGATGTGAACCTCAAAGCCAAGGCACTGAACCTCAACCTTCTGTGAATTGAGGGAGAGCAGCGGGGTCAAAAACTTCATCGCATCGTTCAACGGGTCCTTCGTCTGAACCAGATTGTTGCCAAGAGGGTCAGTATCCTCCTTCTTGACCTCCCCATCGGCACTCTTGGCGTTAGCAGCCGCCGCCTTCCGGGCCTCACGCTTATCAGCCTCAATCTTCTCCAGGCGCTCTCGCTCCTTCTTAGCCTTCTTGAGGGCCTTCTTGCGCTCAGCCTCATCTTGAATGTCGCCGTTGGCGCCAAGGCCATTCGGGCCATGAGCCAGATCCGGCTGGTCGTGGAGGAGGATGTAGGCCTTGACGGCAGAGAGGGCCATGCGTGTGTAGAAGGGGTGATCACGCAGGCGGTCTTCCCAGCGGACCATATCGACATACGCCCGGATCATACCCTTCCTAAGAGAGAAACTGTGGAAGTCAAACTGGTCCTCTTGCCATGTCTCAAAGATGTTGTAGACGCCGTGGAAGCGCTTGAGGGCGAGGGCCAGCTTCTTTTGTCGCAGATATGCCTCACCGTCCTCCGTCAAATACCATGTGCACTGCATCTCGTGCAGATCGCCCATAGCACCACCAACAGTCTCGTTGCGGGTGAACTTGCTCATGTTGTCCAGACCCTTCTCGTTCTCGTTGTTACGGAGCTGGTACTTCGCAGCCTTGGAGTTGATGTACCGATCCTTCTCATCCAGCAGACGCGCCTTCTCCATCTCCTCCGCCGCCTTCGCAGTGTTACCATGGTGCTTCCAGATACGAGCCTTGGTCATCTGGTATTCCACGGCCTTGGGTGACAGCTCAATGGCCTTATCCACGTTCTCCATGGCTTTGCAGAGGTCACGGCTAAGGTGGTAGTTGTAATGTTGGGCCAAGAAGTAGTAGGTCGAAGCCAGGAACTCGTCCTTGCTTTCGGCTGAACCGTTCTCCTGCGAGGCTGACTTGCCAGAGACGTATCCTTCAACCAGGTCCTCGACTGTATCCCGCTTAGCGGAGTTGCTGTACAGGATTTTGATGTTCGCGAACAAAGATGGGACACCCTTCTTAAGCATACGTTGCAGATAAGCATCTGCAGCCTGCTTGAAGTCCTCGCCTTCCAGGAAGTCCAGAGGGATGCGGCGCGCCGCATCGCCGCGCGGGTTCTTCTCCACCCACTCATCGTACAATGCCTTCAACGCCTTGTGGTCATCCTCTGAGATTCCCTTGGCCTGAATCAAACCATTATAGTAGACCGAGTTCTCTGGGTTACGATCGAGGAGAGCGGTGTATGCCTCCTCCGCCTCTGACTTGCGGCCCAATCGAAGCAGATAGTCCGCCTTCATCTCCATAACAGCGAGAACATCGGTACACCGATATCCAACCTTCTCCAGATGCTCGAGAGCTCTCTCCAAGTTCCCTGTCTCGGCAATGATTGTGTTCTTGTACAAACAAGCCTCCGAGTGTTCCATATCCGAGACAGGTGGTGTAGTCTTCAGAGTGTCCTCATATGTCGTGAGAACTTTTTCAGCCTCCTCCAAGTCGCCCGACAAGTGGTGAGCGATCGCCAGAGCTGTCCAGTTTTGGCGGAAGCCAGGGCGCGCCTGAAGCATCGAACTGCGGCTTTGGATGTATCCCTGGAAATCTCGCATCTGCATCTGGAGGAGGGCAAGATCGCGTTGGATGGGCTGGGACTCGGGCTCCAGTCGTAGAGCAAAGCGGTAGGCCTTAATCGCCTCCTCGTAGTTCTTTTCCTGTCGGTATAGCAATCCGTAGACGTGCCAGCAGATGTGCGACTTCATGTCATTGCGCAGAGCCTCCTTGGCCAGTACAAAGGCCTCCTCCAGTTGACCCAGATGGCTCATGATCAGAGCCTTCATCGCCTGCGTATCGCCATGGTTGGGGTTCTTTTTCAGAACCTGGTCTGCCGTCTTGATGCCTGTTGCGATGAAAACGAAGTTAGCTTACGGTGGAGCCATTGGGTAGTGGGGGTGGGAGAAGGGGTGCGGACCTTTCTTGTATTGCTTCTGCTCAAAGTTGCGAACCACTTGACGGAACAAGGCATGATCCTTGGAGCTCAATGGTTGCGGCATGGTGGGCGACGCTGCTGGGAGGGCGAAAGGATTGACTTGTGCGAGGGAGGAATCGATGTGTGCGGGGAGCGGCTTCTCCGAGTCCGAACTTGGCAGAACGTCTGGGCCGATAAGATAGTCCTGATGAATACACTCCCGTCACGTCAACAGGGTCATGGAAACAGAGGGCTGGGAGCAAAGAGGTTTGAATTTCTTTTTTTTCATTTCGTATTTCTCCCCGGATTCTGCGTGTATTCTCATTGTGTACTTGGGTGTGATTCTAGGGGCAGGAGGCTTTCAATGCAGCTAGCAAGAGCAAAGTGTGCAGTGTAACCATGAGTTGTGGAGAGGTTGTGACGAGCACATTTACATCTTCAACAAGACAAATAAGTAAGCCCAACATCTAGGGTTGGTAGATCCGCAGTCTAATGATACAGACCCGGACTAGGGTCATTATTTAGAGAATTGGATGATCATATCTCAACGCAGCGCTATATATATATATATGCAGTATTGTACACATTGTGGATTTTCAACTCCAGGGCCGGGATGGCGCATGGAGGATTTAAGAGTCGAGAGGGTCAAATTAGCAACCAGTCCATGCGTGCATGCGCATATGTCCGCATGGGTGTGCTATGGGCGGTCTACCATGAGAAAGCCCTCTCCGGGAGGAAGATCTCATCGCTGATGAGTGTGTCTCCAAGTATTCAGGGCATCCTCCCATGAAGGAGAAGACCCGGCGCACCTCTCAGTCACCATGCCCCATGTCCGAGCTCGGATGATCTCCTCCACGGTACGCTGGTTACGAATCAAGTTTGCTAATGATTCCGTCCGGGCTTCTCGAGGGAAGAAACGGGCCGAGTATGGATCTAATCGCTCATTGACAACTCGCTCCCGATCTCGCGCAGATTCTGTCTCTCGCAGTATCAGATCCGGATCATCGGGATCGGGGCTGGTTGCAACTCCCGCGCAGTAATTGAGGACATCTGATCGAGCCTGCCATGATGGAAATAGCACTTTATCTTTGAAACCCTGACATGCCGAGGGGTCAATCGCTTTTCGAGCTCTTGAATCGGTCTGTCGCATGGCAGTAGAGGATGGATCGAACCCCTCGCGCGAGGGTGTTACTAGCGCATTTAAATTCTGCGTAATTGAGTCATCAATAGTAGACCGGGATAGCCGAAGGAAATCTGCAGAAGTCCGGGGTTAGCTCTGATTGATTGTCATGAAGATAATAAGACCAATCAACATACCTCGGAGAAGCCTCTCATCGAAACAGAACTGAGGGGTCAGCACTGGGGCCTCAGTAGACGAGGGCTGTGACATCTTCTTGCTGGCTGTCTCCCCAGAGCCAGGATCCGTTTTGCTAGCCCAGAACCACTCCAGCTTGGGTGGAGACCTCGTCGGGTGGTGGCAACGGTCGGTGATACACTCGGATGTAGGGGATAAAAGTGGTGCAGCGGACTGGACCGGCGATGCACAAATTGAACTGTATATAAGGGAAGGCTCGAGATTGTCAAAAACTTGAAGGATCTCAGATGTCAGCGACGAAGGCGACATTCCCAGGTTCGCCGCATGAGCGAATGGTCGTCCCTATTTGGACTAGCGCCGATGCAGCTGAATAATGCCCATTAAGCTCGATCATGTGATCTCGTGTCGCGCGTCCAGATCCCCGTGTCAAGCTGATGATCCTCGAGGATGACGGTTGCATACACATCACTTCAATTGTTCATACTTTTGTAAATTCATCTGATCTCATCTACCTTGAAGTCAATATGCCTGAGCTGGCAGAGGTAGCGCGTATTGTGCATTTCATTCGACAGCACCTTGTTGGAAAGACGCTGTCCAAGGTGCAGGCCCAGCATGATGACATTGTTTACGGCAAAGTTGGGACCAGCGCAGCTGAGTTTCAAAAGGCAATGCAAGGGAAAAAGATCGTTGGCGCTGGCCAACAAGGAAAATACTTCTGGATTACAATGTCTTCACCACCGCATGCAGTGATGCACTTTGGAATGGCAGGCTGGCTGAAAATCAAGGATGAAGACACATATTACTATCGCTCAGACAAGCCTGCTGATAAGGAGTGGCCGCCAAAGTATGCGAAATTCATACTGGAAACAAAGGAGGATCCAAAGACAGAGGCTGCATTTGTGGATGCTCGCCGATTGAGTCGAATCCGCCTGGTGGATTGCCCTGGCGATGAGATCCGCAAATACACGCCTCTCAAGGAAAACGGACCTGACCCCGTCACGGACAAGGATACTGTGAACGAAGCATGGTTGATGGAGAAGCTGAAAAGCAAAAGGGTTCCCATCAAGGCTCTTCTTCTTGATCAGGCCAATATCAGTGGAATTGGCAATTGGATGGGGTAAGGTCTTACCTATCCTACTCGCGCAAGCAGACTACTCATTTCTGATTCTAGTGACGAGATCCTTTACCATGCCAAGATTCACCCAGAGCAGTACTGCAACACTCTGAACGACGACCAAATCAAGGAGCTTCACAAATCACTCCATTACGTCTGTTCTACAGCCCTCGATGTCCTAGCAGATTCGGAGAAGTTCCCTGAGCACTGGCTCTTCAAGCATCGATGGGGCAAAGGAAAGAAGAATCACCCGACCACTCTGCCCAATGGAGACAAGATCACCTTCCTTACTGTTGGCGGCAGAACAAGTGCCGTAGTACCGGCAGTCCAAAAGAAGACCGGTGCCGTGGCGAAAGAGATTGACGAAGATGAAACACCTGCAAGCTCAAAGCGAAAGCGGGCCGTGAAACAGGAGGACGGCTCTGATTTTGAAGAAAAGCCCGAACCAAAAGCCTCCGAGCCAAAGAAAAAGAGAAAGTCCGCTGTGAAGAAGGGGGTGGTCAAGGAAGAGGAACAAGAAGTGAATCCAGCTGATACTACAGGCCGTCGTCGCTCTACGCGGTCGAGAAATTAAGGGACTACTGGGGCTATAGTTCAAATTGTTTGTGGATGGTGAATTGTATGAGTTTGTCACACGTGAATAGACCGAGACCAATGGAATCGAGGTGAATGGGACACACAAGGAAGAGGCAATAATCAGTCTCTCGAACCGATTGCAGGGTAAGCCTGTCTGGAGTACTACGAAGGAGAAGACTATCTAGGCAGTTTCAAAGGGAATTTCTCACTAAGCGAAGAATAATTTTCAAATTGAAATTCACGAACCCGGATTCTAGAAAATAAAGTCCATCGCGGCCGCACTTGCCATAGCAGGAGCAGGAGCCACGGGGGCTTGGAAAGTATCAAAAAGACTAGGTCAACAGCGATTGAAAAGAACAAATCATCAAATCGTACTCCGTAGATACTGAAAGTAAATTCTGACCCAGCTCACATCTCGAGGTTGTGCAGAGCCTTCTTGAACGTAGTGATGTTGACACCGTCTTTCTTGTCAAGGACTGCGAACACGATGAACTCAAACCATCCATTGAACTCCTTCTCCTGGAGGACCTTGACCCAGCAATCTGCAACTTCACCAGCAGGGTGACGGAATGCACCACATCCCAAAGCTCCAAGCACGAGTCTAGTATGGTTGAAATCAGCTGCAAGGCGAAGAGTAAAGCGCATTTTTTCTTCCATCAGAGTGCGCTCACTATCCTTCGCGTACTTGGTGTTGGTTCGATCCAGGAGGGGACCTGACGTTGCTGCCACGCTGATGACGGCTACCATTGGAAGCCATTCTGGCTTCTTGGTCCACATCCACGAGTACCCTGTATCTTCATTCTCTCGGAAGATCACGACGTTGCTGGTGTAGAGGCCCTCGTCAGGCTTCCAGGGATAGAACTCCTTCAAGATACCTGAATAACCCAGAGTAGTTCGGTAGCAAATCTGTTCCTCCTGGGCACTGGCACCATTCAGCCATCCGCCTCCAGGTGTGATAGCATTGGCAAAGTTTAGCACACAGACACGCGCCGTGCTCTTGATCCCCATGATATCACCTGCGTTGCGGAGAGCGAGCGCGGCATCTAGAGTGTCTTTGTTGACGACCTTGGCTTGGGTAGTAGGCCAATTTGGAAACTTGGGATGCTTGAGATCATGCTCGAGACGTTTGGCTTTCTCGTGACTGATCTTAACACTGATCCCGAAGCCTCCTTCGCAACTATCCACGATTTCTTGGGCCACTTTGAGGGTATCCTGGGCGGCCTGCGCCCGCAGTGCCCTTTTTTGCGCATCAGGCAAGGTTGGCCGTGGCCTGTTTCGTGAGGGCCAAGTCCATGTTCTAGCTTTGGTCGCCTGTGGCAGTTTCTTGACAGATTGTTTCCGTACCGCAGGCATGGTTGAGTGATGATCGGCTGGTCGAAATGGAAGAGTGAGAGTTGACGTCCCGGATTCAGACTGTGAAACTGAGAGTTCTGACTGAGAAGTGTCCTCGGTGTCTTCCTTTGTGGACTCTGGGTCTTTCGAGTTGACGACTTGTTTCGAGTCGATGGGAAGCGGATCATCTGGGTTTTGAGTCGACATCTTGACGCCAAGGACTTTATTTGGAGTCTCAATCTAGAAGGCTAGAGTAGGTTTTGGTTAGCTTCTAAATAGAGTTTGATTAATAAAAGATTCAAAACTTCGAAATGAAGTGGGCGAAGAAAGAGAGAGCAAAGAAAGAGCAAAAGCATGAAAGACAAAGGGACTCTCTTGACCAGTAGTTCGCAGGCAGCCAATGACGATGCTCAGGCAACGCCCCCGGGCGGTGAGCCCAAAGAAGCTTATCGGTGCGTGACTGTGGCACCGCCGATGTCGCCACAGATGACAAAGCCCGCAACGCTCGTTGGTTCCTTTGCTTTGTCTATTTCATGACTTGACAGGGGCCTGGGTTCATATTTCTTTGACAGAATACCTGCTACTGCGGTTTATTCTCAGCTTTCAGCTTTCACCCCTCAAAGACCCTTGGTTTCTCACTTCCAAGCGGGGTTATTCTGCCCAAAGCGGCCCCCGCCACCATGAGCGCGATCCTATCGGCAGACGATTTGAACGATTTCATTTCGCCTGGGGTTGCGTGTATCAAGCCCGTTGAATCCCTTCCACAAAAGAGCACAAAGGACACAGAGGTAGGTGATATGCATTCTCCTCATCTGACTCTATGGACCCTCATTTGCTAACTTTTTAACCATAGAATCCTTACGAAGTGACAACGGAAGACAAAGTCCAGCCCGAAACCCTCCCCACAGCCCAGATTTCTTTGACAGATTGTCTTGCCTGCTCAGGCTGTGTGACCTCGGCGGAGGCGGTTTTGATTTCTTTGCAATCTCATGCAGAGGTTCTCAATACCCTCGATGCACACACAGAAATTCCATTGGTGCAAGAGCAGCATGGGACCGCGCTCGCAGATACTGGAAACTCAGGGGAAGGCAAGATCTTTGTTGCCAGTGTGAGCCCGCAGGTCAGAGCTGGTCTGGCCGCCACCTATGGTTTGTCGGAGAAGGAAGCGGGGTACATGATTGATCAGTTCCTACGTGGGCCGCAGGGATTACGCAGCGGTGGAAAGCATGGCAGTGGTTTTACCTGGGTTGTGGACACAAATGCCATGCGGGAGGCCGTGTTGGTCCTCACTGCCGATGAACTCTCAGAGTCGATTGCTGAAGGGGCTCCCACCGCTGATCAGTCTGAGCCTGCTCTTCCTAAACGACCCATCTTGTCATCTGCTTGCCCCGGGTGGATCTGCTACGCGGAAAAGACACATCCATTTATCCTGCCTCATTTGTCTCGATTGAAGTCTCCACAGGCTCTTTCAGGCACCTTCCTCAAGACTGTTCTGAGCAAGTCGCTTGGAGTACCGCCGTCTCGCATCTGGCATTTGGCGGTCATGCCATGTTTTGACAAGAAGCTGGAAGCCAGTCGTGAAGAATTGACCGATGTGTCTTGGCAGGCTGATGTTCAAAACGGGACTGAACCGCACCAGCCTGTCCGCGATGTAGACTGTGTGATAACTCCTCGCGAGCTACTCTCTTTGGCTGCATCCCGAGGTCTTTCCCTGCCTAGCCTCCCCCTCCATTCACTATCTCCTACTCACACACCCGCGTTTCCGATCAAGGCCCTCGATGCCTTCATTTCGTCCAAACGCTCGACGGCTGAGCAGTCTCTCGAAACTGGCACTTCTGGAGGTTACCTCTATCATGTTCTCAAGACTTTCCAAGCTCGGAACCCTGGCAGCGAAATTGTGACAAACCGGGGTCGCAATGCGGATGTTGTCGAGTATGTCCTCAACTCGCAGGAAGGACAGCCTATTTTGAAAGCGGCTCGTTACTATGGCTTCCGAAACATTCAAAATCTGGTTCGGAAATTGAAGCCCAGCCGATCCTCCCGAATGCCGGGAGCGAAGCCTGTGGCGGCGGGACGGCGTCAACCCATATCCCGCAATGCTACGTCAGGCGGGTCAGGCTCGGATTACGCATATGTCGAGGTGATGGCTTGCCCTGGTGGCTGCACCAATGGCGGTGGACAGATTCGGGTGGAGGATGCTAGGGAGGCTTCTGCCAGTTCTGCAATGGCTGGGCCATCGGAAAATGGTGTGGCGTCTAAGCCTTCTCCACATGAGCAGCGGGTTTGGCTTGCCCGGGTGGATGAGGCATACTTCTCCATGGAATCTGACGCGGAGTCTGAACCTGATCACCAGCCCCATCAACTTTCGATAAGCGAGAAAGAGGCCCAGATCCACGAGAGCTTGCGGTGCTGGTCCGAGTATATGGATCTGCCCCTTTCAAAGCTGGTATATACAACCTATCGCAAAGTGGAGAGTGATGTCGGCAAAGACCAGACCGCCGCCAATGACACGACTAAAGTGGTCGAGCTTGCCGGGAAGATCGGCGGTGGCTGGTAAACTCATTTTTTTCTTTTCAGTTCTTTTGTTTATTAGGTGCATTGCGTCGATACCTTGATCCATCATGAATGCATGTGAGGGCGGATATACCATAGTTTCAATCATGGTTTGCGGAGTTATGGAAGCATTTTTAGTCTATAGAAATTTCATCACATTTACAAATCATCTCACAATCATTTTCGTATTCCACTTGTAGAATCATGAGGTAAACCTAAACTGTTTACGACCGTATTCCCAAAAATCGATTTGTATACTGTGCAGTTAGCCTCACAGGCGGGATGTGGTAAAGCACTAAGTCCAATTGTAACAGAGACTGTTCCTTGAGGAGTTTCAAAACCACTCCTCAAGCATCAATCCAAATACAGTTCTTCTTCATGCAAACAGGAAACAAAGAAGAATCCAGCAGAATCAATAGGAATTAACAAGAGGGGGAAATCATACAGCTCACAATGCTGACAGGCCATAGGATTCGGCCTGCATGCGGGGATACCATCCCGCATCACCACAATGAGGGTGCCGACTGGTCACTGTGAGTGAGTGCGAACGGGGCAATAGTTACCGGGGTCGCTATAGTAGTTGAGTACTATAACGATGTGTGCTGAGATGGCTGGTCTCGGCCCGGTCGGAACTACTTCGAATTCCAAGAGTATCTCTCAATCGTACCTTTGCTATACAAGCCTTACTGCGGATGGATCCTGTTGAGTATCTTGCAGAACGTGCCAGAAGTGCGCGCTAAGTAAGCCAGTCACTAAGTGTTGCCACGAAATGAGCTCCCCTACTTGTAAGTTGGGTTGTCTTGAAGGTGAATCCGTGGAATACAAAGTACTAAAGGTAGCAACCAAGTAACAATATGTAATTGATCGCGAAGAACTAAATACGTGATGTGAAATGAGTGTCCTTATATATCTAGTCCCTCCTTCTCCCCTGGTATACTCCAGCAGGAGTATATTGTCGGAGTCACGGTGAGTGTCTACTCCTTCTTGGCGTTGGTAGATGGTCATGGTCACGTGCGGCTTTACCGTCACCTTGCGTTGTGGTGTAAAGCTGATCTGTTATTATGAAGGATTGTTGCTGTTGTGTGTCTTTGGTTTCCGATGATTGAGCGTTGGTGAGCCAACTTGAATACTATGTTGATCGTGTAGAAGATGTCTATAAGTTTTGCTATATGAACTGACCCCTGTTCTATTGACTCTACCTGTACCTGTTGAGATTCTGTTAACTTATGTTTGTTGTTGAGTGCGACGATGGTGGCCCCTAGATGACCCTTGCGCCCGGAGGCGTTCGAGTAGACATTAAAATATCCGATGTGTTTCCCTAAGTAGCTCCTCGTGTAGGGTGTCAAAATCAGCCCAAGCCTTGGCGTATTTCATCCCCTGAGCCTTTCTTTCTCGATGACTCGGCCGATTTCTAAATCGCTCACATCGTCGGTGTTCTTACCCATGGTGACTTCGGTGCTTTTGAGGGTCCTGATATTGGGCGGAAGGTCTCCCGTCTTGTCACCTTCTCCCAAACGACCCGAAGCCCTCAGAAGTCGTTCTGGCGCCACTGTCTATCTGTCCTGTTTGAACACATACTTGAAAACCGAGATTGCAAATACAACAGGTGGCGCTGATTTGTCCCTGCTCTTCCCGTTCCCAGTCACATCGCAAGTTCCAAAAATATTTCCCGTCGATCAATTATGAGTGACCAAATCATTTCGCTTGACACTTCCTTTCTGAAGAAAATGTGTCACCATGTAAAGCCACTTCTGATACGGTACCATGTCAGAATCCGTGACCAAACTTCGTACTGCTGGAAGATCCGGATTTCTTTCTTGAAGCTTGTGGTAACAGATCCAATTATGGCAGCCATTCTCCCCCGTTTATCATCAGCGGCGAGCTCTTGATCAACAACAGCAACCCCGCGGTGGCAAAGAGACCTATGAGTCCAATCTAAGCTTCTGCTAAGCCGTTGAGTAGCATTCTTTGAACAGATGATTGGCATTAGACATGATTCCAGACCCTCAAAAGCAAGCTCAAATATGTCATAGAAGCTACGAAGGCTGTTCTACCTTAACCCCTCTGTTTATTTACTTTCTCGCAACAAATAGTATACGGAATTATTATAGCAGGCACCCAGAAAAAGTTGAAAACTCATTTATAGCAAAGAAATAGGCCAGTATATGCATGTTGGACAGATTTCATTATGTCATGGCAAGTTGTGCAAAAGACCGACGAGCTTTTCTAGCCTTTCTCGTGCATGATATTCCCGCCATTTTTTTAGTGAAGATAAACAATTCTAAACCGCAGATTGTAGGATTTTATTAAACAGGCGCTGAGATACGATATACCTATCGCTTTGACGTCTCCAATGCCAAAAAGCGTTTTTTGGCATGGTAAGATCCCATAAACAAAAGTGACTGGTGTTCTGACATTTCCTTCGCCTGACAGACGCCTTGGACGAGTTCTGGTTTTGGAAGATAAAGGACATCGATATCACTCTCCCAATGCCTAAGGATTCTGTCAAAAAATGCTCTTTGGTGCAAAACATCGACCTCTCTATTTAGGCGACTAAGATTCAGCTTATTAGTCTCCTTTATGGCTTAGATTTCATTTTTTCAAAACCGATGTCTCTGCAGACCATGATGACTGTGAATTCAATATTTTGATGAAGCATCGTTGCTTCGGCCCCTTCCCTGTACCGCACGAAGAGAGTGTGAACCAAGAGAGGGTGGTAATTCTTGTTTGAATTATGCAAAATAGCGCCCCTGAGAACTTAAAGCCCTGTCCCCTCACAACTACGAAAGAGATATGTCAGGAGGACAAGGAATTCGTATTGAAGATCATGACACCTGACCCTCGAGATAAGTCTACCGCATGACAGCTTTAAGATGACGTATTGTCCCATCAATATAGTCCTTTATCCTCTTTGTGGAACTTAAAAGTACGGCTATTTTAGCTCACCAACTTGTTTAAGACGGAATATTGATTGACAAGCTAATCAACTGTTCCTAGTCTCAAATTAAGAGAATGTAACTAATTCGCCTACCCGTTCTCTATAGCTTTGAACTCATTTTTTATTCTAGATCCTGATGAGGCAAATTCAGAAAGTTCCACATGTAGTGGAAACGATCGCTACCGAAAAAGGGTTCGGCATTCCCTTTGCCATCGTGAACCCAAAACCAGGGGCATCCAAATGCCCCAAGCTCCTTGACCACTTTGCCGGTGACACCGGTCAGTTTCGACTTGATGACCTCAGTACTGGTATTATGCAAAATTTCTTGGACTTCAGCTGGATTGAAAACCTTCCTCAAGGCAATTGAAAGATTTTTCGGAGTCGAAATGTCGATAGAGTCATCCCACATGGTCCTGAAGCATTCAAAGAACGCTTCTTCATAAGAACGTTATCATGCCGATCTTTGATAAAAGTGAGGGCTCGCTGGGGCTGGAGCACATAGGGTTTGCAGATGCTCTGGTATCAACATGTCTGAGGTGAAGAGCAATTTTAAGACGTACCAACAACGATAGAATCGGAAAAAAGAGAGGGATATTGAACTGGTGCCCAAAGTAACTTTGCGATCACTTTCTATCGTACTTGGAATATGCTGCTTTTGCATCATTCTTTCAGGGAGGTGTGTTTCCTTGGAACCAGTTAGTATTTGTTCCTTTCACTATTAGAGAAACGATAGGAAAACGTACCACTGCCCACATTGATACCGCCAAGGAAAGCTGGTATAAATCTGCCATTTCATGTAAGCGTAGCTCATCAACAGCGCTCGATTGTTTAGCTGAGTTTGACACACTCTACTTCGACTTTGAGGGCCTGCAGGGCTTCTCGGTTATTTCTTAGGTTAGGAGAAGGCATAGTAGCTATAGGGTGATACTGTTTGATGCCAAGATTAGAGATAAAGTTGTGAATCAGCTTGGTGATTAACTAACCGCAGTCGATATAGCACTCTATCTTTTTTCGGTGATCCATCGTGAGAAGCGATAAGAAAATGAATTTGTATGGGATAAAAAATCAATGTATAGCTAAAAGCTTCTCTCGCACATTCGAACTTTGATGTCTTGGGGTCAAATTTGACCTTGACAAGGGGACACCGCTCTTCGGCATGAATTTGGTGATCCTTATATTGATGTTATGCACTAGCTGCCATGCCATGTTCTACGCCTTTTCCATTTACTTTATGTCAATCGGTAGTTAAAATAAGCTCTTGAGGTTCCATTATCCTCGTTGCAGCGTAACATCTGGTTTCAAACTTAAACCCTTGATTCTGCCAAACCTCGGCCGTTCATGAGAGAAATTGCTGACCAAGTGGCGCAGATATTACATTCAGCAACTCCTTTGCGGACAGTGGGAATTGCTATTCTACTCTCGCTGTATCCAGCCCCCTGCTTAAACCTCTAAGTCACGCTTTCGCGCCTTTGGGTCTTCCCAAGCACAATGGTACTTAGATCGCCCACAGGCAAGGTGATGGGGAAATCGACCGCATCCAAAATTTGCGCGATGAAAATATGCCATTGGTAAGCAAAGCGCGAAGTTAAATGCTCCAGCCATCTATTGTAAGCATTGTCAGCACAGATTGCAAAGGAATAATAATTCCATGACATACCTTCTGTAGTTTTGCCGCCAGTTCGAAATCTTCAAGAGCTAGTGTGAAAAAAGTACTGGAGAATAACCCAAAGGTGATGACAAGAAGCAATAGCGTTAAGAAGAGGCAGATGATGGTGCGAAGAGAGCAGATCATGTATACAAATGTGAGAATGGTGAGGCAGACATAGTAGAAGCCTGCATTATGTCAGTTCTAACTGTGTGGTTGAAAGATCCTGGGAACATGATCACTTACCGACAGTAGCATTGTATTCAGCGGTTGTAATCCCTTCTAATGTGTTACCAGTCGACGAATACATTGTACCGACAGCAAAAGAAGGGATAAGCGAGGTACCTTGAACTAGCCAAAAGGTTCCTTTGTCAAACTTAGCAAATGACTTCTTCTGCTTACTTCAACAGATATCATATACCGTATGTGAAGAAAAGTGCGCAGGAGAAGGTATTTCCGAGAACCCATTCGCCAATAATGCTAGTGCTTATCCAGGGCTCAAACGGAACTTGAGGTAGCTGATAGTAAAGATAAATGACGGCTGAGCAACCGAAGAGAAGAGACAAGCTACCTAAGGCCTCTTTATACTGCCATGTCTTGGCCTCTGTTTCCCTACTTTCCCCGCGTTTTCGCGTATCTCATCCTCAACCCCAGACTTTCTCCGTAGAGTCAGATCCGGTCTAGGCGCTTCGGCCGATCCTATAATCAGTATCAAAGTCAAAATCTGCTCCAGACCCAATAGATCCATCGTAAGTATCACTCCTCGGCTATTTCATCCTGATAGTCAGACTTTCCCGAATTACCCAGACGAACTTCCGGTCGGCAAGCCCCACATTATCTCCATAAGCATGATGTATACAAGAGAACCGTGCGGAGAAGTTCCGGTCTTGTGCCTGACTTTGACTTTGTATAACTCCGTTGGTGACTAAGGCATCTCGAAAGTTTGGCCTTGCACATAGATGCCCTAGGTAAGAAGAGGGGGTATTCTAATTGATGGCTTGGTCAGGATTACCAATGCCGTAATTGCTTGGTGACATGGAATACGGAAAGTTATTTTGATGCATCTTGCTTCAATGTTTCTCACAGTCTCCTATTTTTGCGTACCAAACCTCAGCATCTAAGGAACACATTTTGTGGCAAGAAAACTAGTCTGGGTGCTTGGAGTCAGTTCGAGGTATTATGACGAGATGAAGATAATGTCTGGGTTCGTAAATTCCGGAGCCAATGGATTTTACCTTTCTCACAATCTAGATTGTGATGAACTCATGTTCATTATTGGCATTACTAGCTGATTTTGGTGAGGCGACCGTTGCCACGATCCTATGATTGCATAGGCGGACAGACTTACCTTTCACCCTGTGTAACATTCAAAATTATGAGGAACAGCAGTAAGCATGCCCACACCCATAGCAATAGAGCACGGGAACTGACCAGAAAATTATGACAGCCAGAATATGGGCAGCGAAAATACAAATTTATGAACAAGCTAGTTATCCTGAATACATAATGACGAATGAAAGCCGGAATTTGAGCATCCTGATCTGCAGTTCGCATTCCGGCGGTTGCGAACAGATCATCTTTTAACTATCATATCGCGACTTGAGCATCAACAATCCAGCATCGCGCATCGGCTACCATTAACTGCTCATCGCAATTTGGCTAACTCGGTCTGTATCACTTTGGCACCACGAATTTAGCAGGACAAACGAGAGAAAACATAAATGTGGAACTCTAGATTTCTATTGATCAACTGATCAACAAACATGTCCTGATCGAGATGATTACCTTAGGAAAAATTAGTGCAGTGCCAGACGAAAAGAGTTATCAGCAAGCTAATTAGTGTTGGCGGTTTTCTCTTATCATTTACAACACCGACAATCGCTAATTGGGCCTCTAAAGGTTAGCAGCGGGAACCACGAAGAATGATGTCATAGTTGATGCCTAAGGAATCAAATACAATAGCCGAGATCTCCGGCCAAGGCCCTCGGAACAGTGAGTAATCATGAATTAGACAAACATGCCAACTAGTCCTCCGGATGATATTAGAGATAGCCGAAGACCCACTTAGATTGATTACTTCATTCGAAGTTGCATGATTTATAGGGAAATGCTTGACATAAATTGAGAATGATCCCGTATTCAAAGTAGGTTGCATTTGGGCCGCCACATAATTTTCAAAACTCCAAGCATACCATAAGGTCCTTCATCATGGCTACCTCGAAGGCTGTCGCACTTGTCATGGGTGCTTCCCGAGGTATCGGGCGCCAGATCGCCATTGATCTCGCAAAAAATGGCTATGCCGGTACCTATGGAGAACTTGCTTATTGATGAAATATTGATGCTAACGATATGTTCAGTGATGCTGGCTGCTAAGACGTCCTCAGACGCGTACAAGACCAGCCCATTCCCACCCGACCCAAACTCCTCGCAATCAACCATCAGCACTGTGGAGCGCGAGATTCATGAAGCAGGCGGCGAGGCCTCGTCTATTGTCGTGGATGTACGAGATGCTAGACAGGTTCAGCATGCAGTTGATGAAACTGTTCGAAAGTTTGGCAAGTTGGATGTCCTGGTATACAACTCTGGAGCAATCTGGTGGTCCTCTGTTGAGAATACGCCCCTCAAGCGTTTCCGACTCATGCAGCAGATTAACCCTGAAGGATTGTATGCCACCGTCCAGGCTGCCTTGCCTCATTTCCAAAAAAACAATTGGAAAGGCCGCATTATTGTTGTTTCACCACCTATTTATTCACGGTTCTTCCGGGGGAAGACTGCCTACGCTATGGGTAAATCTTTCCATGCCAAAATCACCTGGCTTGAAGCGCTTTCTGACATATGATCTAGGCAAAGTTGGAATGAGTGTTTTGGTCAAGGGCCTTGCTGTGGATTTTGTGAGACAGGGCCACACACAGATGGCTGTCACCGGTATCTGGCCGGCATCGGTGTGTTCTTCAAATGGAAATGCGGCAGAAAATATGGACTAACACTTATACTTGTTGACAGTCTATCGAATCAGCTGCAACCGAGCATACCACAACATCAGACCCATCCCATAAGAAGGATCTAAGAAAGCCGGTATGTCAGCATGCCTGTGTAACGCATTCAAGCTCAACGTTTACTTACATTCCGTCAGGAAATATTTTCAGACGCCATTCTGGGCATGCTCAATGCCCCGCCCTCTGTCGTCAATGGAGAACTCGAAACCGACGAGGACTTCCTCTCTAAACACTGTGGTGTCAATGATTTCTCGAAGTATTCTGTGGTCCCGGGATCTACGCCGCGACGTATCATGCCGGAAAAGTTCCCAGTTTTGGAGGTTGCGGAACAAGATGACGAGGGAAGGAGAGTGGACAGTAGCAAGATGAGAAGTAAATTCTAATACGTGAAGTAACCAGTCGGTTCGACGGAAGGAAGCTTTGGGATTAGGTCAGGAAAAGAACCCAAGGATTCTGTCAGGACAAAAACCCGAGGGTTCTCCACAATTCTGGATAAGTCAGCTTGTCCATTACTCATGTATTTAACAGTAACTTATGAATTGCTAACTAGTGTAGCTACATAGTAACAGACAGAGGTCTCCTATTTTTCCTGATTGGCCAGTTGTATACTGTTCTGACAGCATACAATGTGCAACCGATGGAAGTTAGGAAAAGTATGCGATTCACCTCAAGTGCTATGGAAGTGTCATCGTTTCTTTCACCCCTCTGATGTCTGCTGCTCTGAAAACGTATGCCGTCACACCAAAAGTCCTCAAGGCTCGCTCAGTGATTGAAAGCATAAATCATGTAACCACGGTTGCTGATGAAGTGATTCCTCCTCAGTAGCTGCATATTAATGGAATGCTTAGAGAATAAATTTATTCTGGCCTGGTAATGTATCATAGGTAGTTTGCCGGACTTTAAGGTTTAATAAAATTTCTGCGCGATTGATGCGAGATCTCCCATGCCAAAACAGATATCAAAGCCTGCCTCGAAAATTAGGTGCATGACCGTCAGTTTAATTCAGCACCCAGCAAATGACCTTTGTAAGCTCTCCTTGACCTCTGTATTTGACTAGTGTCAAGGTACTGGTATGTTATTGTTAGGATCTTTGTGGATGCCAACGATGCTGTCGATCGATGAATACTCCAATCATGCCATTAATAGTCAAGTAGAGATTCAATTCGCGGAGGAAGCAAATATGCATGGCACGTCGAAAGAGCGACTACGCAACTATAAACTGGGCGCTGTGCTTCATCGGTGGTTAGATTATGTATACAATAAATCTTGCACCGAGCCTTGGCAACTACAGATTACCTTTTTATTTATCTATATCACTAGGTCAGCGGCTAACGGACGGTCAACTCAAAATCTTGCACTCACTGATTGCCCTTTGATAAAGCCATCTTCGTTTATCAGACTCTCGGAATCGTCCAGCTTTGAATTTGGTCCCAACCAGGAAATTGACTAGTGAAAGAATAAATTGCTGTTTTTCAATCCTGCCTTTTGCGCTTCGGATCGAAAAACAAACTTTGCCTCAACTATGCCTTTTGACACCGCTTTAACGCGCAAGCTTGGGATCCGAGGTAATGTGGCTTATATGGCGTGAGTGACACATTTTCTGATGTATATGGTTACAGTGCCTGTCGTGTAAGGCGGCATGCAATGGGTTGGCTATGCCGAGATGGCATCGGCCGTGAGCAATGCAGGGGTCTAGGAATCGTAAGTCTGACATATCTACTAGAACATGATCAGATAGATTGCTGACGTTCTTTGATAAAGCTCACTGCCCTCACGCAACCCTACACTTGAAGACCTTCGCACCGAAACCCGGAGGTGCCGCACCATGACCAAGTTCCCATTCGGCGTAAACCTGACTCTACTCCCGGCTATGGTTCCCCCTGACTACGGAGCCTACGCCCAAGTCATCGTTGATTCGGGTGTCAGAATTGTCGAAACAGCTGGCAATAATCCTGGCCCGATCATTGCGCAATTGAAAAATGCCGGTATAATTGTCATACACAAGTGCACGACCATCCGACACGCCAAGTCTGCTGTGAAGCTAGGCGTGAACTTTTTGTCTATTGATGGATTCGGATGTGGCGGTTACGTTGGCGAGCATGATATAACAAACTTCATTCTGCTGAGCCGTGCCCGGCAGGAACTAGGCGTTCCGTTCATCACGTCCGGTTGATTCGCCGATGGAAACGGTCTGGCCACAGCGCTAGCTCTCGGAGCCGAAGGAATCAATATGGGTACTCGATTTATGAGCACCATTGAAGCTCCTATTCATCACAGTGTGAAAGAAGCTATCGTCAGTGCACAGGAGACCGATACTGCCCTGATCCTCCGCCGATGGAGCAATACTTCCCGCATGTTCTCCAACAAGCTCCTCCAAGAAGCTTTGACAGTCGAGAAAACTAGTAATACAGGTGACTTCAGCGAGATTGGCCCTTACGTTAGCGGTAAGCGCGGCATGTTTTCCTAAATGGCGACGTTGAACATGGTGTAAGTTAATACCAGATATATTTCTGCTTAACCCCTGAAGTGGCATTATTTCTAATCCCAAATGATATAGTTGTGGTCTGCTGGTCAAGTTATTGGAATGATTCACGACATTCCGACCTGTGCCGACCTGCTTAGTCGCATTGAGAAGGACGCTCTCGAAGCTATGACACGGATCCAATCAACTTTTATTGATCCCCCTGCTAGCAGGCTTTGATCGATTTTCTTCTGATTTTTGATCTTTACATGTTTAGGACCTATGTCAAGATTGATTAAGTCTGGTCTTGTGCTATACAAGTCGATGGTTTCTCAACTGTAAGCTTGTCTTCGAGCTTTCAAAGTAATTTGGAGGTCTCACCACAGGTTCCGAAACAAATTCATCGCAAACTAGGGTCACTTTTGCATTCTCGAGGCCGGGTCACTAGACAAACTCCCAACCCCGTTTCCAAGCCAGTATATTGATTTGAAAGGAGAAAAATGGAAATTCTCTGTCATAAAGATTATGGAGACATGACTTTACTGAGAAAATGAATTTAAGATATCTCAGTATTGACTGTTTGAGGGAAATTCACGTCTGAAGGAGCGACCACATATTTTTCATCATGTTGTAGACAATGGATAGGGGATTCTCGGCGTAAAAAGGTCTACATCCTAATGCTATATCAGCGCCCCTTTAGTTCATGCTGAACAGCACCTCAGATGAGGAAACATAAAACTTGATATTTGCTTATCTTCCTCTCGATACGACTGGAGCTGAACACTCAAAGCTTATGTTTCTTCTCACCAGAAGCCAAATCTCTGAACTTTCTGAATTCCTCCTGTGGTATGCCGCTCAGAAACCTTTCAAGACCCATAAATGCCTCAAGCCCACCCTGCCGATCAAGCAACTCTCTTCCAGGGCGTCTGATTAGCTCTTTGATCTTCAACAAAGAAGATTGGTTCAGATGCAGTCCAAGGCTATCTTCGACCTCGTCAAGCACCTTCTTTAAAAAACCTGTCGAGTCGTCGAATTTGCCGGAAGGTGCAAAGACAACTTTGTTCACGAAACCGGTCTTGACAAGTTCGTCACATGTGATCCGCTTGCCCATTATAAGGGCCTCGTTGGCCTTGGCGATACCAAGACGTTCGACGAAGGCTCTACTGTCGCCACCTTCAGCGACAATACCGAGAGAGGAGAAGGGAGTTAAGATAAATGTATGCGGGGCGGCGTACATGAAGTCAGCGTGGGCAACCAGGGCTGTGGAGAGGCCGACCGCTCGCCCATTGAGAGCTACTATGAGGACCTTGCTGTGAGTATAGAATGTGCGCGTTAAGTAGATATTGTTTGCAAAGCCTTTTACAAGTTCTCGACGAATGCTGGGGCTGGACTTCGCGCTTGGGCGGGAAGTTGAGACATCGGCACCACTATGGTTTGTGTCAGCGGATGTATACTGATAAACAGAGTGTCCAGGTTGTTCTGTTCAGATCCCAAATGGGAGATAAAGCATGACAACTCGGTATACCTACGCTGAAAAGAACCGACCGGCACCGATTATTACCGTGACTGTGATGTCCTCACGCCGGTCAATCTCGCGAAGACGCTCACCGAGGAGATAGTAAAGGTCCCGGTTGAGAGGGTTGAGCTTCTCAGAACGGTTGATAGTTACGACCGCAACGCGGTCTTTGTAATCAAAGGTGATAACTTGCTCGTTGGATACATCTTGATTATATGGCAATTAAGTAGGACGAAAGTGAGTTAAAAAGAATACATCAAGGAACAGGCGAGCAGACGGCGTGTAGGAGAGGATATTTTTATGAACTTTCTGAGCTATTTTCGAGTACGGCGCTCTAACTTCCAATTCCAATACCATTCTTTGGGTAGAAGCCGAGGGCCGCGATAAAGGCCATTTGTGGTCGGAAGATATGCGGTCTATCTAGCGAATAAGCTAGCTAGTCGCGGGTAAAATGATCGCATTATGGCACACACAAAACACCCCTCATGATATCATCACAACTGAAAGTTTCTGTTGCACGCAAGTTGCAAGTGGGAACCTCGAACTCGTCGAGCCAAGACCTAAGACCTCAATGGTCTCGACCAGCACGCTGTTAATCATGAAAGTTTCTTGATTCTACAGGTAGATCATCTTTGCTATCAGTTGAATGCCAAGGGTGCATGTTCCGATGCTTCGGCTTTTTTTCTGACTTGCACCAGCGTCATATCACAGGTGTATCGGCTCACCTTGTCTCAGCGACAATTGTCGCCAGCCTGCGTGGGTTTGATACGTCGTTTAATTCACAAAGTCTTGGTTGCAACGCTCAATTTAAAGATATTATCATTCTTCTTGTTTTCTGCCATATTGGAAACCGCAAACCGCAAATTTAACAAAATAACCTTGGATATAGTAATTGTTCTACGGGGACAATTCTCCGAGGCAAAGCAGAATAATTCCCAAGTATCTTTGCATACCGATATTTCCACGTTTAACTTGTCAACTTGCGCTACGTTGGTATACATCTGTTTTCATTCTGGTCTATTCAAATGGCCCCCTATGTCACATGTCTAGATATCCAGTTCTTTCATATCTTCGAGTCCCGCAAGGAAATTTTTCGATTAGAGACAACAGTGTCGGCCAGCGTCTCAACGATAAAGCGCACGACATCTTCAGCCATCCTAGGGGTCACCTCATGGCGCGCATTTTCGTCAACAATATCTTCGAAGGAGACCGCCGTTCTCAAACCAGCCGTTTGGCGAGATGGCATCTTTCAGCCAAGTAAAAAAAGTCTCTCCTTTGCTATATGGTACAACCTTATCTTTTCCTCCAGACAGACTCAGAATCCGCTTACCAGCCAAGCACCGTGTCAAGATAGGCCGGGTCACCTGCTGTTCCCTCTCCGTGGGATGAGGCAATGGACCCTCACGAACCGGAAGCGATGCTTTACCGCAATCTATGCGGCTTAGAAGAAGACTGGCAGGGTCATATTGCTTCACTAGATCCACAAAGGATCTTGGGAAGGCCTCAGAATACAAGATCTGAGAACCAGGTGGGCTGCTCTTCGTCCACGAGGGCAGTTTTGACAGACTCGCCCGGTCTGTCATAAGATTTAAATAGTCTGGGCAGCCAATTATAACGACGCCGCCGCTCACGCGAGGCTCATGTAAAAGGCAGCTCCACGCGGCATGCCCGCCAAGAGAGACTCCCAGAACGAGGTTTTCCGTGATCTTACAGTCATCGCTGGGGAAGACGAACGCGCCAAGATAATCCATCAACAGAGATGTATCTCGGGCAGTACCCTATATGAGTTTCGGTTAGTGTTGCACTATTGCAAGGAGAATAGGATGGTTTACGAAAAATAGAAAACGTATCTTGTGCATGACGAGGGTTTCCTTGTCTCCATGCCTCATTTGCAAGAGGATCGATCATTCTAGTGCCATGATTGCGCTGATCAAATGACACAGCAATCAATACCTTGGAAGTGGAAATCTCCTTTTTCTTATCATTTCAGTCACATATAGTGGCTTTTACGATACTGGCCATGCTTTCCTTAGTCACCAATCGGGGGTGGAGAAGCCAGAGACAGGCAACCTCCGACCCCTGTGACAATAGCTCATTTAGTCCAAAAACATTCACCTGGATGCCAGCAATGGCAAAAAGGTTTTTCAGAGACGGCGGCCGGTTTGAGGTGACCCCGGCCAAGCTGTTCATTGGATCGGCCATGTTGTTGATGATATCTCTTGAATTCTTGGAGATGACGAGGTGAGCTTTTGAGATAGAGTAGAGATTCTGTTTTCCGGAGCCTCCTTTTGCTTTGACCGGCAATAGCCTCGATAAATGGTGGGGAATCAAGAAAATTGATTGAAAGTTCAGGTTTATGAATTGGAGGGCCGAAGGCCGTTACTTTGGCCAAGTATCCCGCAACTAAACCGTGCTTGTAGACGACATTATATATGACAGCCCCTTGTGATATTCTTATTAGGGAAAGTGCAAACAGAAAGCGTATTCTAGTCTAATCGCCTATATAGGACGCTCTAGCTATCTTCTCCTGCGATAGAAAGCATTCTGTGGGTAGTGAGGAGTTTTGGTATTTCCAGGGGGCATTTTTTACAAGCCTCTTTGGGCCCTGTCCCTCTTTCAACTTAGTCTGAGCGGCACTATTGGTGGCCCATTCTACGATAGTAGATTTTAAGTTATGAAGTTATGTGCATTTCACCTTCCAAAATGATGCTAGCGAGAGAGAAAAAAGACATTGTGAATGCGGTTTCGAGCGAGATGACGGCATGAAAATAAAAGCAAAAGGACTCTGTATTTTCACACGGTCGGGAAGCCGAGGCAAACTACTCGGCAGTGATATCCTCATCATGAAATTCCGAGAACTGGGTTAAAGGGTGGAAAATGTCACCCAATCCCACTGAGTCGGCTGCGGTATTTTTCATTTTCGTTGGTAATACCCGCTACGTTTACTGTAGTTCTGAAATTTCAAAGTGCTGTGGATACTAGACGATGGCTGGCAAGACTTCTAGGCTTTTAATGGCGAAATGGTGTTCTCTCCAAGTTGACCGACATTGAATCTTGATATTGAGGTGGGGTCTTATATTGTGACGCATAAGCTGCTGTCATCACATCCACATCGGATTTATCAGACAGGCAAAGTGCGGCGTCGAGTATCCCCTGAGAAACTTGACTGCAGTGTTAAATTGCAGCCCCTCAATTCCACCCCGAGGTAATTGCTAGAACAATAGAGGAAAAGAAAATCCAATTGAATACTACAAAAATGAAGATGTATTAGGTGCATTGAAATCTGATTTCTATGGTAATCACGATACTATACCGTATCTCCAGATGAGCACAGCTGCTCTGATTTCAAAGCCGATGTGCTTTGATATCATGTACATTCTTGACATCCAATAGAAGAAGAACACTCATGTTTCTCAGCTCTTTCTTCATACTGTATCCTTGTTCTGCACCAGCATCCAATAATCTTCTCCGTTTGATAAGCCGTAGAGCATCCTCAAAGAAGCCAGACTCATCGACCAGCCCACATCGGACAGAATCTCGTGCATGGAGATATTTCCCCTCTAACATTGAGCGGATAATATCCGATGAAGGCAATTTTGCCTTCACAAAATCCGTCATCCACTTGGATAGTAGTGGCGTAGCGAATTGGCCATCATGAATATACAGGGAGGAACCACGGGATCTTTGAATTCTGAAGTCATGGCACAGGGAGAGAATGAAGCCAAGGCCCGCTGCTTGCCCGCTTATGAGGGTTATTGTCGGCATAGAATACCTGTCCACAGCTTATCTTGTCAGACAATTGAGCGAAGAGCTTCCGAGGTCCATTTAGGTGCTGGAAGTTCAAAAGTAGTAAGTATCGTACCGTAGAAGCTGTCGTAGAAGTGGCCATATATGCTCTTGTCCTTCAAGGGTATCCTGTGATATATGCGGACCGATGCCTTTACTGTAAATCTCGGGGATCCGACTTGCAGTGATGACGACGCCCGTTGGGAATGCTTGAATCTTGGATAAAGATGAGCGAAAGGCTTCGACGAAATCGGGCGTCAACTGATTTGCTGGTCGAGATTCAAAGGCAAGAACATAAACCCTATCAAAGGGCATGGCACACGTGAATTTGCCTCCTGACTTTATTTCTTGTGAGAATAGAGCCATGTCGTCCGGCATAAAATTCTACAAGAGCATATCTATCACCGTTGGCTGAATTTCAGGGCATGATAATGCTACTGAATTTCAAGTCAAAGGGATCATGAGAATCGGTCGACCTACAATTAACGAATTGGTGCGACCGAGGTATTGCAGAATAATAGAAATATCATGCCTCGGTTGCTGGAGGAACCCAATGGACCGACGGCCTTCGACGCCGTTAAATCAATACTGTGGTCCACTCACTCATTTCAAGTTCTAATAGAAATTGCCGCAGTCGGCATTGTGTGTCCATATTGTTAGGTAATAGTTCGAGTTTTTCGTTAGCAGGTAGGACTATCCACAGCACAGCGACTCTGTTCATGCAATTACAAGTAAACAATCAATCATTGAACCCATCAATGAAGTCAGAATGCATGTAATCGGCCATGGCAATATGAAAGGCGAAGAATTTTGTTTGTTAAATTCCAAATGAGAAGAACACTATAGCTTAGCCATGTTGTCATTGGTTTACTTATGACATGCATAGCAAATATGAGGCGAGGAGCTCAAGCCGCTAATTTGACTTTCGAAGTTCTGTACCTCCGAATGAGGGTCGTACATGCGTGCTTTGATCCAGGTTTCAAGATCTGCATCGCTCATGTCGCGTATAGCAATATTGCGATCTACTTTATCCTTTTGGGCTGTCCTTATGACATTGCGGGCAACTATCACGCTAACCTCTCGAATACGAGAGATATCAGGGTATATTAGACCACGAGCAATCTCATCCTCGTCGAGAGCCCGCGAGAGTGCCTTGCCTAAAACGAAGATCATATTGTCCGATTCGCACAGCCTTTGCGAGTTTCCATCCTAGGCCTATACCTGGAAAGACATACATATTGTTTCTTTGGCCCGGGGAGTATGTTGAAGTCTCGCCGAGAGAATTGGTGAAGGAGAGCGACGGAAAGGGTGATCCAGAAGCAAAGATAACGCGGCCATCGGTTTTAACGGCACACTCGAAGTCACACTCAGACTTCGAGAAGGGTTAGAAAGTGGGAAGATGATCGGTGCGGTATTCCAGGTGGCCATCTTGCCCAGGATATTCGGGGTGAACACGTCGCCTAAAGTCGAAAGACCGATAAGTATAGTAGGCTTCACGTAGTCCATGCCCTCGTCGAAAGACTTCAACTGGCGACCGCGGTCATTTTGGCGAGCGAAGTAACCTTATGGTCAGCTAGCTTATCCCCACGGCTTCGTGTTACTAGGCCCTTGGTGTCGACTAGGAAACAAGCACTTTCGTGCTTCCTCCTCAGTCAGGCCTTTATCCATGAAGTACTTAGCAATTTGTTTAGACACACCAATCCCCGCACTGCCAGAACCTAGAAACACCACCCTATGCTCTTTGAAAGGCAGCTTTGACCTCTTGATCGCATTGATAATACCACCGAAAACAACGGCGCCGGTGCCCTTGATGTCATCATTAAAACAGGCATAGTGTTCTTTGTATCCGTCCAGGGCGGGAAAGGGGGGTTGGAAGTCTTCAAACTGGATGATAATTCTAAAAAAGCTTGTCAGTGACGTTCTGGCAGTCTTGAATACATCAATTTACTTACTCAGGCCATCGGGAAGTGAGCGCAGCCATCAGCTCATCCAGGAAGCTTTGCTCTTCTGCAGGTCCACACCTCCGGTGTCGGCTACCCATATAGAATGGGTCGTCCCATGGCGACTTGTTGTTGGTACCCAGATCCAAGGTCAAAGGTAAGGTCATCTTGGGGCAGACGCCGGCACAAGCTGTGTAGAGGGCCAGTTTTCCGATCGGGATGCCCATACCATTGATTCCGAGGTCACCTAGCCCAAGTATTCGAGAGCCATCAGTGATACATGAGATCGCAACTTTCGGCTTTGGCCAATTGGCAATAACATCTGCCAGATTGCCTTGGTCTGTCTAACTCAAGTACATGTCTAATTGGATCAGTGTCTTGGTTCTCTTTTCAAAGATGAGCGTCATACCTTCAGGCTGTTCATAAATCTCGGACCACCGTTCACATGCATCTCCAACGACCGGGGTATATATCAATGGCGTGATATCCTAAAAGCACAATTCAGTATGAAATTGCTCATTATATGGAAGCCTCAGTCTCAACGAAGGGAATGCATACTCTGATGTGGTTGGTAACCAGATGGTAAAATGAATGCACGTTGTTCATGCGCAGATTGCTGAGGTAGAGAAATTTTTCGATTGAGTACTCTTCTTTTCCAGCTGTGACAAGCCTACCACGCGTAAGAAATCATCATTCAATCAATCGACGCTCGATCAGCCTACATCTTCTTTCTTGCTGCTCGTAAGCCTCGATACTCGGGGGTATTAGGCCATCTGTGCGAAGATTTCGGCGGACGTGTGGCGGGTTTGCAGTGTCGTACATCATGTCGCTATGATGAAATGATTGAGATCAGCATTTTGCATGAAATGGTATATTGAATGATCCTTTGACTTGCCCATCGTGCAAAGACACTTACATCCAGTCAGACTGGCTCATGGACCCTGTCAAATGAAATTGCATAACCTTTTGCTGAAAAGGAAGTCCAGCCATTTTTTATAGAATCAATGTAACAAATGGGACACAAATCAGACTACGTTCTCTTCACCGAGCTATCAAACTTACCCCGGCCCGAAATTTGAAGAGCCATATTTGTGGGGACTATTCGTCCCAAAAGTGAGCAGAAAGTTACCAGATCTCATCTCGTGGTATATTAAATATTCGCCGCCACCTGAAAGTTTAGTATCTTGTCGGGCAATCAGAAGCTGAGGCCTTATCTTTTAGAATTGGGTCGGTCCTTATTGGGAACCTCGGGCCTTATTTCGTAGTCCGTGATTACCAGCCCATTGAGTACTATTGTTAAGCTTCGAGATAATTATGAGTATGGGTATAGAGCTAGTTTTTTAACTAGGCAGGTGAAAATACCGGCCAGTTCTCTCTTTGAATATGATAATCAAAGAATGGGAAAGTAAAGAACTAGGAATATTTGGATATGAAGTTTACGAGGTTCTAAGTTGGAAGGTTAACGCAACTGTGTATAACAGAAGTTGATTCTCTATAAGAACAAGGCAGACCGTTTAGCTTCTTGCAGGCGGCCAGCAAATAGTGAGCTGACGAAGCCCTGAAAATTGAGGCATGTATGTCTGATCAGGATCACGTTATCTTGTAAACGGTTGCGCCGCTCATCAAGATTCAAATATTGGTGCTTCGCATGCATTGGAATGCGTTCGCAGGTACCATCATAATCATCTTCAAAGTTTCGATTGAGTGAGAGTAGTGCCTTTCTTAAGCTCCACAGATGCATCATGGACTAACTCATCCACGATTGCCTTTGCACTTTTTGTCTCATTGACAACGGCGGCTACTTTGCCCATCATGAAGCGCTCCATCTTATCCATCAAAGTATCGTCATCCTCGCTGTCCGCCTTCTCCATGTCGTGTTGCACGGGTATGACACCGTTGCGAGTCAGCTCCTTGATCTCAGATGAGCGATTATCTTCCCAGTCCAAGATATAAGGTGTCTTTCGAACTCGAAGTGGTCGGCCCTTTCCGTCCGAAAATGTTAGAAAGTGAAAATTGTTTTCAAGGGTTTCCTTGGAATGTCTATGGGGGAGTCTCACCGTAAATATGATGGTCCTAATCGTATCATCAAATCCAGCCGTGCGAACTGCTTCTTGGTGAGACTTGGAAGCACCAGCCTCTTCAGAAAGAATGAAACGTGTGCCTATCCAGGCAGCAGATGCTCCGAGCATGAGCGCAGCGGCCACTGTGGCGCCATTGTATAAGCCACCGCCGGCAATGACTTGGATGGGCTTTCCCGTGAGCGGGCTTTTCTTGCCGGCAACAACCTGGCAGACTGCAGGGATCAAAATCATAGTGGGCACGTCTCCGGTGTGTCCTCCACCCTCTCCGCCTTGGGCGCAAATCAAATCTGCGCCGGCATCCAATGCCTTCGGCACATGCTTGGGGTGTCCGACCATGTTCATATAGAGGATTCCAGCGGCATGAAGACGGTCGACAACTGCTTTTGGAGCCACACCAACCGCAGAGACAAACAACTTGGCGCCACTTTCGATGACTATGTCCACAAGGTCATCCAGCTTTCCCTTGGTGTAATCGTAACTGGAAACCATCAAATCAGATACTCTTATTTCTAGAATGGCTCAATATGGTAAGACTCACTTGGTCTTTCTCGCATTTCCGCCAACCTGGGGAATCAAGAGGTCGATTCCGAAAGGCGCATTTTTGTCGTGTAAGTAATCTTTCAACTCTGCAACCTGCTCTCGCAGCATGGCTGGGGAATAACCCACCCCTCCAATGACTCCAAGACCACCGGCATTGGTAACGGCTGCAGCAAGCTTCGGCCCCGCCGCGACATTCATTCCAGCTAGCAAGACTGGATGGCTTATCTGTAGAAGATCCGTGGCCGGGGTGCGGATTTTCTCTGCCAATAGTTAGAATACCGGTGGGTGACAACATATTCCATTGAGCGGGCTAGATTGTGGCTTACGCGGAAGAGACATATTGACTTGCACAATCTCACGGGTGTAATGCTACTGTAAGCCAATTGATGTCAGAAATATCTCTTGAGACTGGAGCTGATATAGATATACAAAGGGTGTTGTCTTGGTACAACTAACATTGGATAACGCTGGGCCACCTAGAACAAAAATAAACCAAACCTATTGCGCATGACCGAGGTCGAGTGTTTCAATTAAATTTCGGCCCGAGAAACTTAGCAGCCGAGGAAAGAGTTCCCCATCCCACAAGTACTAGACGTTGGTCAAAATATTATAATTGGGTCGAGTAAAGAGGTAGATTTAGTAAGCGAACGGAGTCCTAAAGTCTCTTTCCGGTCTGAAAAGCAAGCAAGACAGTAAGGTCAGTAGCACAAGTCCACAGCATGCTAAATAGCCTGAATGTCGTGCTGACTGGGCTGGCTGGACGTGTTTTCCATAGCTCATGGCACTTTTTGTATTCACAGGAGGGTGGCTTCGCTTTATTAGATAATGTCAGAAATATGGTGGTGGATCTGCTTGTGGATTTCTGGGTATTTACCCAGAATAAGAATATCTTACGACATCAATATCAGACACCTCGCATAAGAGAGCATATTTTTCTTTGTCGGCATGTCCTACTATTTATAGTTCTAGTTAGTTAGAGACTTTATTATTACCATTCTAGTTCCCATACAATACTGGTCACTGATTTCTGTTAGATAAAATTGCAAAGAGCTGATGAACTAGATTTACGCCCTACTAAATAAAGCCGAGAGAGATCGATTATGTTAAAAAAATTTCAGCAAGCTTGACCTGGGGGGGGGGGTGTCGTTCGCGATTGACTCGAGGAACCTTAGCCCTTAAAAAAAGTGAATTATACGTGGCCTCGCATCCGTTTGTAGAATGGCTGGACTTCTGCCCATTGTGCTAAAAGTCCGGGGTGGATTGCCAAGATCCTCGGCATTGTAGGTGGGGCCGTGTTGGATGCCCCTGTACTGATGGTATTGTCCTATCACCCTGATACGCACCACTCATGCATTAGGGTTGTACCAGTATCTATAATACTGGGTCATAGACAGAACTGTATAACAATACAACCATCATACACAATCTACAAGGGGCCGAAACCTAATCAGGTCCGCCGAAGAACGTCCGGGCAGCCGAGGTTTCCGGCGTCTGAATTGACGTTCATAGTGTCTTACGTCCATTAAAGGACTAACATGATTATAATGTAGTTGGCTAAGACTATGGCCGAATGCGGTTTAGCGATATTTGCAAGGGCTTTTAGAAGGGGCGTCAAAAGGTTTGACGGTCAAGCTGATCTTTGGTATTATTGTATAACACATAACTTGGAGGAACCAATGGGGCTCCTTTTCAAAGCCAGGCTCCTGTAGCTACGATTTGCCGACTACCCATATTGTACAGATGTTCAACTTGTCTCAGGGTCACCATTAAGAAACAAACATGGATATAGTTTTTTCAGAGATAGAGTAGGAATATATCAGTCTCTTTGTTCCAGACCTTTTTGAGCTATTTGAATGTTGTGAGTTATATCGAAATCTCGTACAAAGTAGGCTCGGCGACTCATATACGCGAAGTATGCGGGCATGAAATTTGAATCCCACGAGGCGGTCTTGCAGCAAGCTTGCGGGTGGAAACTGGCTCATATTATGTCTAGGTAGGTTTCTGGACTGCTCGGGTATTATCTCATTTCAGTCCTTCACTATGATCATGAACCGAGGCAATTTACGAAACTGCCGAAAACTCTAGAGATGCCTTGGATCCCATAAAGTGTTCTTTTGTTCCGAACAATCGACTTCTACGCCTTCGTTTTTCTCATCTCAGTTGACTAGACGCGTGCCTTGCGCTTTACGCATTTGCCTCTGACGGTTCTCAATCAGCACCTCATCCGTTGATTGCTCCTCTCCCACAACATGCCTGTCCCGTCAAATTACCCCAACTTCGAAATTCTAGAAGTTGATCTTTGGGAATTCCTCCTCGAAAGAGAAGATAGAAAATTCCCAGATGAAAAGAGTATGTCACCGAATGTCCTTGCTACCAAATATCTTTCCAATATTATTAACCCTGTACACGTTCAGTTCTATATCAAGATGCTGAAACTAAGCGTAAATACACCTATAGTTCTCTTAAGGAGGCCTCTGTGAAATTTGGAAAGGGCCTCATTGCAAGGTATGATTGGCAAAAAGGCGATGTTCTGGCACTTTTCACGCCAAAAAGCATTGACACACCTGCCATCATATGGGGTGCAGTCTGGGCAGGTGGAGTTGTCTCACCTGCCAATCCCGCGTATACTGTCAACGAGCTGTCTTTCCAGCTAAAGAGCTCAGGCGCGAAGGTGGTAGCCACACAGGTGTCTCTGCTGCCTGTTGTCACTGCGGCCGCGAGGAATGCCGGAATTCCTACTGACAATATCATTTTGCTGGGGGACCAACATGCAACAGAGGCGCGACACGTTACTTCAATCACTGAAACCTTCTCTAGTACTCGGCGCCAGTGACAGAAGATTGTTCCCGCCGTGGATCTGGCTTTTTTGGTGTTATCTTCGGGAACAACGGGATTGCCAAAGGGTGTTAAGTTGTCGCATGGAAATATCATTTCCAACATACTACAACAGGTTATTTCTGAAGGTGGACAGCTAGCGTGGAATGGCGGTTCTGATGGACAAGGTGATAGACTTCTGGCATTTTTGCCCTTCTATCACATGTACGGTACGGTTGGTCTTCGCCTAGAAGACATCGCTCATGCTAACCATTGCCAACCTTAGGCTTGTCTTGTCTCATTACTCAGACACTGTACAAGGGATTTCATCTTATCGTGATATCTAAATTCGATTGAGAGCTGGTGTAGGCACATACAGAACTACCAGGTCACATTCAGCTATGTCGTGCTTCCCGTGGTCCGTCTCCTAAGCAAGCACCCCGTGGTCGATAAGTACAATCTTTCAAACCTGCGTATGATGAGTTCCGGAGCAGCATCTCTTTCACGAGAGCTCGTGGAGGCAGTTTACGCGCATATTGGGGTCGGCATCGAGCAGGGGTACGGACTCAGCGAGAGTAGTCCAACTAGCTACTCTCAAGAGTGGAGCGACTGGCGTGAGGCAATTGGCTCAGTGGGCCGACTGACGCCCAATATGGAGGCAAAGTTCATGACTCACCCGGAGCACAACAAGGAACCAACCGAGGTCCGCGTCGGCGAACTTTACCTTCGCGGCCCTAATATCCTCTTGGGATACCACCAAAACCTGACTGCCACCCGTGAGTGTCTGTCAGAAGATGACTGGTTCCGGACTGGCGACGTCGGTTATCAAGATTCGAAGGGCCACTTCTACATTACTGATCGTGTGAAGGAGCTGATCAAATACAAAGGCTTCCAGGTAGCACCTGCTGGGCTGGAGGGCCTTTTTGATCGGTAATGAGGACATCGACGATGTAGCAGTGATTGGAATTGAGAGTGAGGTTCATGGCTCGGAGGTTCCTATGGCTTTTGTTGTGAGAAGTGCAACGAGCAAATCTTCCGGTGTGCGCGAGATAGAGGTGACCGCCAAGATTGTTAACTGGCTGAATGCTAAGTTACGATTTGTGACTGAGATTCCAAAGAACCCAAGCGGAAAAATTATGCGTCGTGTGTTGAAACAAAGGTTCCTGGACGGGCAGCAGTCTCCTGGGCCTAAGTTGCGAAAGAAATTACTCAGAATAAATGGAGAACTGTACTTTGAAGTTTAACCCATCTTTGTAAAGCCGTCTATAGTTTGGTGTCACTATGGCTGTTCATAGTAATGCAACCCGAAGTAAGAATCAATAGAAGGTAGTGCTGCAACTGGTCGAAAGGCGCACTGAGTATTTTCGTTCACACAGGTACGAGGTTCTGAAGTGTGTTCCAGAGGCCACCTCAAAAGACTGTCCAAAGAATGGTTCCTCGCTCAGCTTGGCAATCCTTTCGTTCCCCTTCAATAAATAGTGCAAAACCGAGGTGGGTGTATATGGGCAAGGTTGGAGAACGTTTATTGGGCCAATCCTCATGACAGTCGAATTCTTGATGACTGTTGCACTGACTATGCTCAACAACAAGCACGTCTTCTAGGAGATTGAATACCAGACTTTCAAGGCGCGGACGAGTCACGTTGGGATGGCTCATAATCAACATTTGGACTTCTTTGGATGATCAATTTAAATCCTGTTCTCGCATATTGATCAGCGCTTTCCTTTCATCTTAAGGAAACGCTTCATTCTTTTCGGTGTTCCAGACAAGTGCCCATCCGGTGCAAAAGATTATGATAAGACTTTTAATTCCTGGCAAATAGGAATTATTAAATTGAATCCATATTAGACATGCCTGCAGCAAATTCCAGTCGCCGGTATTCTGTCATCCTTTCCACAAATAGTTGATGAAAGTATTGGTCGTTCAAGACGCAATCAGCAAATTCAGCAATTCTGGTTGCCATTGGCCAGACCTCCGAGACGATACGCAATAATCTCAAGGCCATTTTGACCTGAGCTCTTAGTATCGGTAGGAAAGATGGTACTGCGGTCTTTGCTTGAGCTTTAAGAGTCACAAGAACAGTAGAAATATGATAAACGCTGTGAAGTTCCGTTAATACTACCATCATCATCAGGAAGCTGAGGTGCCATACATGAACGTTGGAGAATATTGAACCAGTTTTCGAGCGACGAGGGCTTCTATCACTGACAGTATCGTCAATGAGGCGTGGTATCCCATGACTAGGGTGGTCCGCGCCGTTCCGGGGGAATGTATATGTAAATGGCATAAGGCGGTACTAAATGTTGCTTCAGCATCCATGGTAAACTCAAGTTACTTCGGAGAACTCACTAGTAGCAGGAAGTCAATATCGCAGACCAGATAGCGTGGGTTTGCCCATCCCAGATAAGGGACTTAGGACAATTCACTAGCCATTCATGTAACTCAATTTCACATTGTGCGATTCTGGCAGCCTGTATGTCCAGTGTATCCACAGGTGACCGCTGCATCGAAGTAATCTTTTGCATAATCTTGGACAGCTCCACGTATTTTACGAAGAACTGGGGATCATGCCCCTGGAAGGATTCATCTTCATCCTCAATCAGGTCACTTTCATTCAAATCCTCCACATCAGCATCTTCGAAATTAATGTTTACGGGATGGCCAAATGCAGCAGCCAGCGATCGGTCTCTAGTGAAGAGTGTCCACCATATGCGTTTCCGTAGCCGCCGCTCTGATACGCCCATGTCGGAGTTTTCAACACTAGAATAAGGTCAGGTATTTGTAAACGGAAATATGATTTGTCAGGGATGTACCTTCTATGCATCCCACATGAATGTGCGACAACAATGCTCAATTTATTCCAGTAAAGCATGTCCTTCTCCCCTACATCTGATAAGTATTAGCTGGTTATGCCGTAGCGACCGTGTATCACACGCACCTTCCGATCCTTCCCAGTACTGGCCCATTAACACCAATGCCTGAACAACAGTTGTCTGATCCTGTTCGAAACTCGCATCATAGAGAGCTTTTGCCCGATCGTAAAACTGCTTAGGAGGGGATATTGAGTTGCTGCTGCCTTCCATGTGATCCTTGGCACAAAATCTTGCAGCCACGAGGAAAATTGCTTGTTGCAGTAGTAGTGAAGGGGGATTGTTGACATCTCGATATCTCTGCATGAAGTCTTTTCGGTTGATAATAGGTATTACAGGTGCCACCCAGCGAAAGAAGACATCGAGGAGTTTATCACATATTGGCCGAGGAGGAATCTCAAAAGCACCTCTTCCGATGAGTATTTCCAGATCGATCGTGTCTAAACGATCCGTAGTGGGGTTAGGCTGCCTGTGAAGCTCACTAGTTACGTAGTGAATTGCATGACTGAGATTGCTTATGGCTGGTGATGGACCCTCGATCATGTCGCTCACATGAACACTGTTTATATCTACTCTCTTAGGAGTAGGAGTCTCGTTCGGAGATACTAAACTTTCCGTTCGGTCATGGTGTTGCTGCGCGTTTACCATTCGTGGAACACATGCTATGTTACAGCTCCTACAGGCTGCGCATGGCGAATTAGGCGTTTCTTTTTGGCATCGCACCTGGAAATGAGATTGAACTTTTGTTAGCTTGAGATTCTTTAGGCCCTTCAAATTCCATCTTACCTTACCTTCTTTCTGTGACATGGCTTGGACTTTTGTTAGCCTGTCTGATCCATCATCTGAAACCTTAAGAGTGGTCTTTTTTTCCAATGTACACCTCAAGCAAATCTATTCTTACCTCGCATGCTTGTCTGAATCCAATTGTGTTCCGCCTTTGTGATGATGACCCCGGTGCATTTTCCAGCATCAAGTTAGATGCCCCCCAGGTAATAGGCCAAGCCATCGAATGATACATATGCCTGATTCAATAATTGCCGTTTCGACGACAGATTCGTCAACATCCGCGGATGCACCTGGTAGCAATTAGTGACTAGTCAAAAAATTGCAATGTACGTGCTCCAAAGAATTTGGCGGACGTCAAGTCAGACCTCGGTTTTCGGAAAGCATATATTGATGACGGGATCATGAAATGCCGAGCGCGGAGAGTGGGGCGACGCCAAGCCAAAATAGGCCACTTTGACTGCGGACCTCTCTTTTGTTCCAACATAAAACTGGTTCGCAATTTTTTTCAACGCGTCAATTGATTGATCCAAGTGATTATCAATCATATCCCGTTGCGCAAGCAATATTGACCATCCCGAAGCTCTAGAGCAAATGTCATTTCAATGGTACAACTGGAGTTTACATAATGCCATTTTGGTCTATGTGGCAAAGTCAACAGGCAAGGTTGAAGCTCAGCGGACGCTGCCGGCCAGCCGACCCTGCACTATACTAGTTGTGAATCCTTAATTCTTTGGCTCCAACGCAAAAGAACTGTTGTCATTCACCGCTGTTACCAAGTCAATGGACATCCAGCTGTATCCTTATACCACGAGAGCATATTGATTTAATCAGCCCTTCATAAACGAGCGAGTACGGTACGAAACTGCGGTGCAGCGAAAAAATGTGAAGCAATGGCTAAGGGCAGAAGAGATCGCCCTCGCGAAGGTCAGTGATCATCGAGACTTGCCTTTCCTTCCACCAATCTTGAGTCGTCATGCCAGGGTAGAAATACAGACCTTCTGCTATAATATATGTAGGGGCCTAAAAAGCTTATCGTACCGCCACTCCTTTTTAACATAGCAGCGCTATGGATTCTTGATGCTTCCTAGTAAGACAGCACTGATTCGATTTCTTGTCCACACGTATTCATATGTATGGTACGCAGGTCGGCGGAAAGGGGTTGCACGCATCTAGTTGTCTACGTCGAATGTTTCAGACTGAGAAGTTTCATGGATACCGTTCACTTCTTTTGGTTTCTGAAGTGTTGGGGTATTCCATATCGTACATTTCTCACTATACATTGGTCGGCATCCAACCTTTAGTTCATGCAAAGCCTGGAAATTAAACATGGTGAAAATGCTCTCCTGGTTTCCGTCCCGGATCTGCCGAGTATGGGGATGTCCAATGAATAATTTCAGTCGAATATAAGGTCAAATCTTATTTGGAATATAGGACCTGGAGATTTGAGGGGTCCGGAAAAAACTGCTAAGCTTTGCAATTTACGATGAAACGATCCGTGAATAACACCTCCAGAGTATGTAGAAATATGAGAGACTGGTTTGAAGTTACGAAGTGGCGAGGTAAATGTAGGCCTTCCTCAATCGATAACCGAGGACTCCGAGGCAACGCCGGTTACAGCTTTGGAGGAGCCAACTGCAAGCGTCCGAAAGTCCGGAGCATCGGCACTGGTTTTTGTAATTTTATGGTTCTGCGTCGGAGATCCAAGTAAGACCCACCTTGACAATTAGTTTTATAAAAGAAAAGAACCCTGAGCTGACAGCTCACAAAACCAGTCCACAGCATATCAAGCTTTATCTGAACCGGAGAAGCTGTACTTTGTCAACATGCGCGACTTTACGGATCATCTCCGTCCCAGTCAGCCCGATGGCTCAACCACCCTCGCACGTGAGAGAGCGCAGTCCAGCGTCAATGTAGAAGAGCTAGGACAGCATTTGCTATCTTCTGATGGATTCCTAGAGCGACAGGCTCGTGTATTATCCATCTTACAGCGGGAGCCGGTACTCTCGAAAGACAAGCAGCAGAACCTATCACGTCCCGATAGGTTCAAGCTCGCACTTGCTAGGGGAAAGCTGCTTCGCCGACTCAAAGACAAGCATCAATGGAGCCCGGAAGATCACAAAATGGCGGAATATTTGCTCGATGACGTTTCACCCTACTTTCTTCATACCGAAATGTTTGTCACTACGGTACGCGAACAGGGCAGTGAAGCCCAGCGTGCCCATTGGATGCCTCTCATTGAGTCATGGAAGATCATTGGCGCGTACGCTCAAACAGAGCTTGGTCATGGAAGCAACGTTCGTGGCTTGGAGCTTGAAGCTCGCTGGGATAGCCGCACCAAGGAGTTTGTGCTGCATAGCCCGACTTTGACAGCCAGCAAGTGGTGGAATGGTAGCTTGGGCCGTACTGCCAATCACGCCATCGTGGTAGCTCAATTGCTTCTGCCCGCCCCAGGCTCACCGGATAAATACGTGTCGCATGGTCCCCATCCCTTCATTGTTCAGGTGAGGGATATGCAGACACATCAGCCGCTGGATGGAATCGTCATTGGAGACATCGGACCCAAGTATGGTTACAGCACTATCGATAATGCGTACATGCTTTTTGACAATTTCCGGTTGGTCTTTACAACAATGCTGAAAGCACGACCTTTATTTGCTAATCCCTCTAACTTTAGTATCCCACATGCCGCCTTTCTTTCGCGTTACTCTAGTGTCGATCCTAGGACCGGAATCTACTCGAAGCCCGAACAACCCGCTCTTGTTTACGGGTCGATGACCTATGTCCGCGCTAACATTGTCCAACATGCAAGGCTTGTTCTTGCTCGGGCTACCACTATTGCTGTGCGTTACACTGTTGTTCGCCGACAATTTCAGGACCGCGACGGCGACAAGACTGGCCCTGAGCTATCAGTACTCGACTATCCAACGGTTCAGATTCGAATCTTGCCATTGCTTGCTACAGTTTTCGCGCTGCACTACACGGGCCGGGGCATGCAAGAGGTGTATCAAAGCACCCGGCAAGATGTCGAGCAGCGCAATTTTCAATCACTAGCTCATATGCATAGCATGTCGTCCGGCCTGAAGAGCCTATGCACCACTCTCGCAGCTGATGGTATCGAGACCTGTCGTCGTGCACTGGGTGGACACGGATTTGGAGGAGGGAGCGGCCTTATCCAGCTCAACAATGATTATCTCTCCAAGCCGACAGTGGAGGGTGATAACTGGATGATCACTCAGCAGGTTGCGGCATACCTCATCAAGAGAATGACCGCCGCTATTGAGTCGCCAAATACTCCTAGCGATAATGACACCGATGCTTCTTTCAAGGAGCTTATCCGCGCGAAGCAAGGAAAATCTCCAAGTCATTGCCAATACGATGTTTTGGAAAATGATCGTGACATTGTTAGAAGCTTCCAGCTTCGTGCAGCTACTTTGGTATATCCAAAATCACTATCTTAATGCAAAAATACATGATCACTAATATCACGAAGTCATACGAAGCTTACAGTCAGAGAGTTATTCAGAAGAAGAGCTGGAACAGCCTCTTGATTCTACTTCACAAATTGAGTCGCGGTAGGTCCTCCGTCGATCCGAAGAAAACAGTTATGTTGAAATTTGAACTTCGAGCTAATACATCCCAAGCACAATCCCAGTCGATGATGGTCTCCATGTTCTTCGAAGGCCTCTCGAGCGATAGCAGCATCTCGAGCCCCACCAAAGCTGTCCTGTGGGACCTCTACCGTCTATTCGCTATGTATACCGTACAGAATGAGTCTTATGAATGTAAGGAAAATAACGCTACATTCTGCCCCGCGCCGTTCTTCAAGCTACCTGAGCCACCTGTCCCGCAAACAAGATCATTGAAAGATATCTAACTAACCACGATTCCTTAATGAAGTCTTGCGCTGCAATGCAGCCTCTCAATCCTCCCTAGATCATATCCCGGACCGCATCCAAGAACTCATGGCTCGTGTCCGGCCGCATGCATTGGCATTAGTCGATTCTTGGATGATCCCTGACTATTTACTTGACAGGTGAGACAGCCTCTACCAGAAGTATCGCTTATACATACGCTGGCAAGCTTTGGAATACTGGCTATTTGACAAAAAGGCTTACAATAATTACTTTACAGTGCCCTCGGCCGCTACGATGGTCGCGTATACGAAGACTTGTTCAACCGTGCCCACCGGCTGAATCCTCTGAATCGGATTACTTTCAATCCCAATTACTGGGAAGAAGAGATTGTGAAGGGGATCAAGGACGACGGAACAGGGATTTTGGCGAAATTATGAAGACTTTGGACGTCAAGCATGCCGCGCACATGCAATTTAGAGTGTCAACGTTAGAAGCGTAGTCTACCACCGGGGCCACCTCAAGAACCCTGTGCTTGACCGTGGGCCACGTCATCTTCCAGACTATCACCGGCAGGCCGTCTTGCCAGGCGCTTTCCAAGACTTCGCTGCCAACAGTTACCGCTCTACCTCACAGATTATCAATTCTACTAAGTTTCGACAGAATTCCCTCTCCTCGTTAGTACTATACAGAAATCCTTCCTAGCTACTGTACGTTAGGAACGCATTCGCTGATTTGAAGCTACCTTAAAGAAGTCTTTTCACCATATTTCTCTACAAAGGTGGAAATTTTTATTTTTGTGTCGCCTTGGAAGACATCCGTCATGAATACTGGGTGGAAGGCTGTAGATATTTCACCGAGGACAATCAGCTCTGGGTTTCAAGTGGTGAAGAGTTTAGGAAAAATCCTGCCAGAGCAAAAAGAATTCTACAATGATGCTACCACCAAAAATGAGGCACGGTATGCTCCAAAGGGCAAATTTGCCACGAAACTCGCACGGTTTATACCGTTTGAGGCATTACCCCCCATGCCGAATACCTCCGATATGCAGGAATGCTAGGAAAAGGAAGATAAGTTCTGCCATTTTTTAAAGCTTTTCAAAAATCGGTCCAGACAGTTACATACCGAATGGGCCCGGGTGAATGGAAGTTTTGTCCAATAGGTGATGCTCACTCCGTTTGACACGGGCTTGCAGTATCTTGTGCGGATCAATTAACTATGAAACATCGACTGCAACTGCTGGATAGGCGAGTGTACACACAGAACGGGCGGTCGACAGGGCCTTTCCGGGGAGAGAGGACCGGAAAGACGTAGATTGATATGTCTGCTTTTGTCTGTTTGAACCAAACTTTCCGCGCGATTCTCATACCAACTATTCCTGCTTGTCATAGGATTGGATTTAGATCGAACCTGTCAGTTTGTACAAAAGGTTTTGAGATTTAAGACTGAACCAAGCGAAACGCCTACATGCTAAAAAATTCTAGCGCAGAAATATCTATTATCAAAATACTGTTGGTATCACCAGCTAGTCTGTGTATACAGAGCGAACTCATGGAGGGGAGAAGAAGTTGATGGAATTATATAAAATCGAATTGTTTGATTGGACTGAGACGAATGTAAAATTGAGCCATTCTATAGCATTATAGCGGAGTATTATAAGTAGCCTTTGCCCTTCAAGAAGATCTTTTAACAGAAAGCAAGCTGATGCATACATAGCTAGACCTTTTCTCCGGTCTCTTTATTCAAACATATAGACGATCACTGCATAGGATTGAGTACATGATTAATTATAATGGACGCTGGATGTAGACCTCCATGACGCCAAAGTGGGTGGAAAATACCCCACCTCCACAGTTGAACCCCTCCAACGGTTCACGATCGGCATGCACAGCACATGTCGATGGAGACGGGTGTATAAATTGCAGTAGAACATAATAATATTCCCGTACTCGAACGCCCTATGAGCCCTGCGAATCAAATTGGCTGGTGCCTGGCACGGGGCGATGGAGAAGCTGGAATCTGGGCGTCAGAGATTCCTGTGAGCTTCGAATCAGCTTCGACTGCCAAGAGAGAAAGCTCCACGATACGCGATCGCCCGCAGATCGCCTATGGAGGGGTCATCTTTCTTGCTCAGCTGTGCAGCCCTGTCGTCCTTTGTGAGCTTCACATATTAATTGGGACTTGATTGACTTTGCGTTGAGCTTCCACATCAACTTTGGAGCTATTTTCCCCCACACCATCCATCATGGTCGCCGAACAACTCACCATCCGCAACAACACCAGCACTCCCATCATCCTCAAGCGCATTGAGCGCTTCGAGGCTCCCAATCAGAGCAGGGGAGATGATATCGCTTTTCTCGCAAAGAACTTCACCCGTGTGCTCACCAACACGACTCGCACGGTCGAGCCCGTCAAGGCCATTCATGTAGACACCCGTCCCTTCGAGGAGCACAACGATGTCGACATCCGCCTCGAGCCCTTTACAACCCACAGAACCGACCAAAGGGCATTCATTCACTCTGATAAGGAACGCATGCGTCTGACGTTCGAGGTCGATGGCGAACGCCACTCCATCCAGACGCCCGTGCCAACTACAGAGTCGGCCACCATGAATTCTGAGTCCGAGAACCCCAGGTACCGCTTCACGGGCGTCTACATCACCCCCGAGTCGCACCTGGCGGTCTTCTCATCGGCGAACCTGAACGCATGGATGGGCGAGCTGCGCGATGATACATTGCTCTCCGCGCTCTCTATCCCTGGCACTCACAACTCACCAACCTGCCACATCGCGCCGCCCTCGGTGCGCTGCCAGGCCGTCAGCCCGCGGGAGCAGTTGAAGAACGGCGTGCGCTTCTTCGACATCCGCGTTCAGCCTCAGTACCCCGATGATCCTGCCAAGGATGAATTGATCCTCGTCCACAGCGTCTTCCCCATCTCGCTCACCGGTAACAAGTACTTCCGCGACTTGATGAAGGAAGTCAACGAGTTCCTGGAGCAGAATCCCTCCGAGACACTCATCATCTCCCTCAAGCGCGAGGGTCCCGGCAACGCCACGGACGAGCAACTCGCCAACATTCTTTCTCGTCATTACGCCCGTCCCGACAGCCGCTGGTGGGTGCGACCCAAGATCCCCACTCTGGGCGAAGCTCGAGGCAAGGTCGTTCTCCTCCGTCGCTTCAATCTGCCCGATGAACTCAAGGGCGAGCACGGCGGTAATGGCTGGGGTATTGATGGCGCTGCGTGGGCAGATAACACTCCCAATGCGACCTGTCCCAGTGGCCACCTCTGTATCCAGGATTTCTACGAGGTCCAGGAAACCACCAACATCGAGGAGAAGGTTCAATTCGTCAAGGAACAGATTGACCGGGCGAGTAAATGCCGCTATCCATTCGGGGAGCTGCCCGGTCCGGTCGAGGCTCGCGAGTTCCCGTTCTATATCAATTTCCTTAGTGCCAGCAACTTCTGGAAGACCAATACCTGGCCCGAGAAGATTGCTGCTAAGGTGAATCCCGCCACGGTTGACTATATCTGCCGTCGTGAGAGTCATGAGGACGGTGATTGCTCCACTGGTATTCTGGTGACCGATTGGGTTGGTCTGGATGGGGATTGGGATCTTGTGCGCTGCATTGTTGGCATGAACGCCAAGCTGCGCTTGAGAGAGAACTAGGAGAGGCGACTTTGGTAGATAATTAGGAGGAATTTTGTGCTCTTCTCGCCTATTGTTACGTATTCTCGAATTGATATCCAAATCCCAAGTTCCAGGGAGGAACAATTTCACCAAGGTGTATTTTTTGTGCAGTATACATTCATCCTAGCTAGAAAGAACAACAAAAAACCTAAGATCCTCTAGGATGCAAAACAAACAGTATGACCTATTATACAAGAATGATTGGGTATGGCCTCGGCCAACCTAAGACGACTCGCTCTTCTCGCCCTCGGGCTTCTGCTCCTCCTCCAAAACACTTCTCCGGCTCTCCAGAGTAAGATACAAGCTCTTGCCAGCACCTTCCAGAGTGCTGGTGACGCTGGATCCCACGCTCTGCAGGGCCATGATAAGCTGAGCGCGCAGACCGTCGATGCCACCCTCGATGCTGCCGACCCACTTGGTCTCATTGATATCAAAGACCTTGCCATCGACGCGGGCAGCGAGAAGGTTAATCTTCTGCAGACCGTTCTGGACAGTCGGGTCGTGGTAATCCGGGTTACCCTTGCGAGAGGGCGCAGTAAATCCTGACTCCTTCGGCGTTAAGATCGACAAAGCAGCCTTCATGTGTTCGGGGGAGACGGCCGGGATGGAGAGGATCGCGATGGGACCGACAAGAATGTCGGCAAGCTCGTGGCGGCCCTTGAGGTGCTTCACTGCAGCGTGGGCAGCGCGAGACAAGTCGTGGGTCAAGGCAGGATCGTCCCTAGAGCCGGAAATGGCTGGCAGCTCAGCGGACGTTTGTGTGATGGGGTTGACAGCACTTGGGGGCTGTCCAGCAGCCTGGGCGGCCTCGTTCGGCCGGAAATACTCGACGATGCGGATCGCAACCTCGAATATGCTAGTCTGGATGGTCTGCAGCTTGATGTAAGGAGCCAATTGCGGAGCTGTCCGGCCCTCAGAGGCAATCTTCTCGTCCACCTTCTCGAGAGCTTTTGTGAGCTCTCGTCGGATCGAGGCCCATTCCATGGACTTCAAATTGTTGTGTTGGAAGATGACCATCAAAGGAGATGTGCGGATGAGGGAGGTATATTGCCGCAGGAGTTGTGACCGGCGGTATTCGGGATTGCGGTGCGATGGCAACTGGGTAGTAGGATTCTTTGAGATTGGAGCTTTTGAGTGTGTCATTTGCTCAATGGGTGCAGCTGGGGTTGTTGCTGCCGCGGCGACAGTGCTAGCACTCCGAGACGCGATTCGGAGTTCTTGCGGGCATCGCAAGGCCTGTCGGCGAAGCGACATGATGCGTACCCGTGGAGGCATATTGAATGATGTGTGGTAGGTGTACAATGACACCGATTGTTCGAGATTGAGTGGATCAAAAGGACCTCCGGGGGACGGAAGGGCAGTTCAACGGGTGATATTTTTTGATTCCAGAATGGGAATAGTGCCATCATGGGCGGTGTATTTATTCTGCCGGACATGGGTCTGCGCCATGAGGGGCTTGACTCATGACTGTATCATTTCTTTGACACTTTTGAACACCCATTGACCTACTAGAGCTTTGGGAACTTCTCAATTTCAATTGAGTATTTACTCAGGATGTCTTCCCCCAAATATGAGAAGCCGGAGGTGGTCTCCATCTCCCCTCTTCTCCAACGCCTGGCATACCCCGCTACCGCGGATATTCGAGTCAGCGCAGAGGACATTGCGTCCGCATTTGCTCTGATCTTCGAGGACCGATTGTCAGATATTCAGACCGCAGCCCTCCTCACCCTGCTGCACTCCACAGGAAAGGACAGGCAGGCTGATGTCATTGCGAAATGTTCCCACCGCATGAGAGAGGCAGCTTGCCAGATTAAGAAGACCGAGCTGAAGAAGATTGTCAAAGCTCGTGGAAGGCGCGAAGGAAACTACCATGGCGGTTTGGTAAGAGGACATGAAGCTTTGCCATTTAATTGCGACTGACGATGTTTTTACTGTAGTGCGACATCGTCGGAACCGGCGGAGATTCACACTCGACCTTCAACGTCTCCACTACCTCTTCCATTATTGCCTCGCCGCTGTTGATGTCGGCCAAGCATGGCAACCGTGCCCAAACCTCTTTCTCTGGCTCTGCCGATGTCCTGAACGCGATCCAGCCCATCCCTCCCAAGATCTCCGCAGTCAACGCGACCAACGTGGCCAAGGTCTACGAGAGAACCAATTATGCCTTCCTCTTCGCCCCCAACTTCCACCCCGGTATGATGTACGCCAACCCAGTCCGACGTGGTCTGGGCTTGAGGACGATCTTCAACCTAATGGGACCTCTGGCCAACCCTATCGATTGGGCAATTGAGGCACGAGTAGTCGGTGTGGCTTACCAAAGCCTGGGTCCAGTTTTTGTCGATGCTCTCCGACAAGCCGGTGCCAAGAAGGCACTGGTTGTCTGTGGCGAGGAGGACATGGATGAGATCAGTTGCGCAGGCCCTACAAACTGCTGGAGGCTCTCAGAGTACCCCAACCCAGCGTACAAGCCCTCCGAAGGTGACGACGAGGACTCGAGCGATGGTGAAGAAGAAAACCCCAAGACACTAGTCAAGGTCGATACCTTTCAACTCCACCCCTCAGACTTTGGTTTGCCTGTTCACCCTCTCACCGAGGTCTATGGTCGCAAGATGCCGAAGGATAACGCGGCTAAGCTCATGAGCATCCTCCGCAACGAGCTTCCTCGGGACGATCCTATTCTGGAGTTTGTGCTCATGAACGTTGCTGGTTTGCTGGTCACCTCTGGTATCTGCGAGGCTGACACTAGCAACATGGGTGCTGGCGACGATGGCAAGGTAATCACCGAGCGCGGCCCTGGCGGAGGCCGCTGGAAGGAGGGCTTGCGCCGCGCCCGCTGGGCTATCGAAAGTGGCGAGGCTCTCAAGAGTCTAGAGCAGTTCATTGCAGTCACAAATGAGCTGGAATAAGCAACTCGGAGAAGAGACGGCCTCCGAAGTCTAGAAGGTTGATGTCATGGATTTTGTCGTGATTGTATCTCTTGCAATCTGTTTGGAAATCTCGGGTCGATATTGACTGATTTTTATTTCGTCGTCCAGGTGACTCAGGGTTCGTAAGAAGATTTCGGCTTAAACCTGTTTGAATTAATTGAAGGCTGAGGCTAATCGCAAGCCAATTTGTGCCTTTGCACGACATACTACTCTATTTTCGGATATAGTAGAGAATAGGTATACTAGATCCTTGAAATCTAGACTAAGAAACGCTTTTACAATATAAACATATCTGCTTTAACTTCCCTTCTTATAAAAGATCTTTCTAAACGTCTTTTGAGCCATCTTTCTTCATAGCTTAAGCAACCTTGAAGGATTAGTAGGCATGAAGGGATATCTAGGTACTCTATGTACCTGTTATGCATCATGTCCGAATGGTATAGTCTGCCGTGCGAAAGCCCAATTTGGCCTGCGATTAGCCTCGGCCTAAGTGAAGTGGGGGTCAGGAACTCGGACGAGTTTGCCAACATGAATCTAAAAAAGATCAAACTGAATAGAATCCCAGGATCATATTTTATTCGCCGTAGCTAGACGAATCTAGCCACAGGCCACAAGTCTCATGTATTTCATGAAGACTATTTGTGTATTGCAACTCCAAAGCGCCATTCGATGCATCGTGCCAAAAATTCGAGAAAAGAAGAAAGAATCATAGAATAACGCGAGCCCCGGTTCCTTCAAACTCCACTGCGTCTGGGACCTCACACGGCCTAGACGATTATTTTGCCGGCTCGTCATATCGGTTCGGCGCATATTTAACGGGCCTCGAACTGGACCATACTATCATGAGAGAAATCGAGTCAGTCCGAGTACTCTGATAAGAGAATGCGCGTTGCGCCGGAAGTGGGCTGATAGGATGGATCTTACCGCTTAGTCCGCTCCTTGTAGAGCACACGGTGACCGCACTCCTTGCAGCGAATGTGCTCACTGCGGCGCAGAGACACGCGCGACGCGCAGTGACCGCAGATGTAGACGACCGCAGGGCTGTCGACGGCCATACCGCTGGTGCCCTCGAAGGCGTTCTGGCCACTCATGGAGGGCACCTGGTAAGCTTCACGAGACATGGTGGAGGGCTTGTAGTTTTTTGGGTGGGATGTTTCGGTGAGAGGGTGTTCGTCGATGGAAGGGCAGCAAGAGTCGGGAGATAAGCGATCGAGGGTGGTGGTGAGCGTTGGAGTCGGCGAGATTCTTTTTCTTTCGCCGCGGGATTTTAGGTGATTATCTAAGCACATGATAACCACGGCCGAGCGGTTAACCCACCCCCATGATAAATTTTGAAAACATGATAAATCAACCAAAACGCATCAATTCTGCTATATCTATCGTGTATTACAATGATTGATCCTATGCCCAATCTCCCAGTATCCACTACACTTAGGCAGAGCCCTCCTGCGTGGCTAATCCTGCTGGGTAGGTAAATCGCCCTGTTCATGCGATACTACCTCATTAGCTTCTACTAGCTAAATTGGCTGCTGAGCTAGCTATAGGCCCTCTTCGATCGATAGGCCCCCTTCGTGTGCTATATGCCTAGTCGATCGAGTGTGCTTTTGACGTTTCTTCTCATTCTCTACGCGTAGATCAGCGTTCTCCTCCACTAATATCGTAGTGTGATGTAAAGCTTAATAGTGGCCCTTAAGAATCTAATCAACCACTAATTTCAACGAGCTTAGAGGCCTTTTTAACTGCCGATCTATTAGGTCTTTTATCATTTTAGCCTGCTTATATAGTTGGGCTACTTTTCTGGGCGTTTTTGGTGTGAATTAGCTAGATTTGCTGTTTAGTCGGCTTAATAGTGGTGAAGGCGTTCGAAGCGATATATTAAGCTTGGAAAGCACCCCTTCGGCACTAACTAGTACGATACCAGTAGCTGCAAAGCTGCTTTGAATAATATCCGGCTAGAAAGCTTCTAGCCGTGCGCGAGGATAATCTGCTAGAAAATCAAGCTTGTCAATATAATTATAGCCTGTTCGGGCTTAATCGCTCACGAAGCGACCGTACGCACGCTTAAGCACTGCAAAGCACCTAATATTAAGCGGTTGAAGTAAGTGAGACAAATATGAAGGCATACAGAGTGGTATAATATTTGTAAAGATATACTCTACAAGTCAGGATAGAGGCCTGTCAATCAGGTAGGAGAAAGGAGCCAAGTCAATTGTTCAGAAAAGTCAAAGACTGCTTCTTGAGGAATGTAAGACCTCTCCAACATGGATCAATTTAAATACAGTCATATCGCTCAAAACAGGAAGGAGATGTATCCGTGCTAGGGGAATGGGAGCGGGGAAAACACGAGGCTTGTGTATCCTCTACAAGGGTCTTCCTTGCAGGAGTTCGTACACGTACTGGCAGCGAAGCCCCAGTGAACCTCCACCGAAAGCTTGCCGGCTTACCAGGGTCCTGGTGGCCTGAGGCGCCAACATTTGTGAATAACCTCATATCAGGTGTATCGTAACAATTTGCTCTTTTACTACCCCTCTTATACTTATAGACTTATAGGTCTTTAGGTTTTAAGCCCTATCGTAGTTAATATGTATAGATATCTAAATTATTTAGATACAAAATTTGAAGAAGCCTTTTTAGAGACCTACTACAAAGGTATTAAAGATATACAGTGCATGTGTGTGTATATATATGTGTATGTAGATCAAGGCTAAGGTTTAGATTCTATGATAGGAGACTTAGGAGTTAAGTGTGTTGAGTCGATCGAGGCAGCGGAGATGGGATAAGAAGGTTGTTAAAAGACCCCCGAGGAAGATAGCAGACGAAGTATCTGATAGCCGGTCGACTAGGCTAGGCGAGAAGGAGGGGGCCCAATGTTCAGATGGAGAGGGGAGCCATACTCAGCGTCGTTTTGAGTCGTTAGTGGAAACGGGGGGTACAATCGTTAGGGCAGCCAGCTCAGCGGGGCCCAAAAAAGTTCAACAGAACCCAGAAAATTTCTGACTGATTTTGGGTCCTAATGAGTTATTAAATTTACCTTTATATATTTATAGAGGGTTCAACTTTACAAGTTTCGTAAGTATCTCAATGTATAATCAAAGGATCACTCATCGATGGAAGATTGTAGGGGATTGGGTCCCCCCCGATGAGATCCGGCACCTCCTCGGGACCCAGATTAGTCAGAACTTTTGGTCCCGCTGAGCTGGAACCCGCCCGTAATCGTTACGGTCCGGCGTCAATAAGACAGGGGTAGATAATAATAAGCATTCCTAGTTAGGTGCAGAATAGGGAGGCCGTAGCAGGCAGCGGGCGGTGAAGCGGCGGCTCGCGGTGTAAAGTTATGATCATGTTAATGGCACGACAAGAACGTTCATGACACGACATACTACACCCCTTTCGGGTTAGCCCCGATCCACCAACAAAAAAGGCCTCAGGTATACATCCATATCTCTCTATATAAGCCTTAATATCAATTTCAACTTAAGTATAGAACTACTTGACTATCATTGATTACAAAATTTCTGCTACTTTCAATGCTCTGTTGTAACACGGCATTAATGGCTTAAAAGTGTTTTTCTAGGGGCTGAGGGTAGGAGTATGGAGATCGGAAATCAAATGCCGGGGTACTCACAATGGAATTCGATTCCAGGTCACCCTGTCCGAACATATAAGAATCGGATCATGTCTGGAGTGTTACTTTTATTGGTTTGATAAATCAGTACATTTCACGCCACGATGATCACCAACAAGCTGGCAATTGGCAGTCTTTCATTGGGTCAGCATCCTTCTCATGCTCTAGACCTTAAAATCCGCGTTGCAGCCCAAGCAGGATTCGCTGGCATCGAAATAGTGTTTTCAGATTTGGAAAGATTCTCTCACTCCAACAACTTATCTCTGTTCAAAGGCGCCAGCAGAATAAAGGCGATCTGTGATGAAAATCATCTCAGCATCCTCTCGTTGGCCCCCTTCGAGAATTATGAGGGAGACCCGTCGCCATTGGCTGATAGGCTACAGAAAGCCACGCAATGGATCGAAGTTGCCAGGGTACTACACGCACCGTTCTTGCAAGTTCCTGCCCAGTATGGCGCTGATGCTATTGGCGATGAGGACGTGATAATAAGCGAGTTGCGGCAACTATGCGACTTGGCAAGCTCCAAGCCAACACTTGTCTCGGTCGCTTATGAGCCAATGTCTTGGTCGACCTATCACTCAACGTGGGAATCTTCATTGAAGCTAGTGGAATCTGTCGCTCGGGAGAACTTCGGGTTGTGTCTCGATACCTTCCATAGCATCACAAAGTTATGGGCGGATCCTTCCGCACCTTCGGGAAAGTATCCTGATGCAGACGATATTCTGCGCGAATCTCTACGTCGCTTTGTACGAGACTGTCCTCTGGAAAAGATATTCTTCGTGCAACTGTCCGACGGTGAGAAGTTTGATCCTCCGTTCTCCAAAGAACACCCGTGGCATTTGGAAGGCGAGGCTCCTCAGTTTACTTGGTCAAAGCATGCACGTCCGTTCCCGTACGAGGCCGAATTTGGCGCATACATGCCGGTTACTGAGGTTGCGAGGGCGTGGATTGTCGAGACAGGCTACACCGGTTGGGTATCAATGGAGATCTTTGATCGTCGTATGCGAGATAAGGGTAGGCAAGTGGAACATGCTGCTATGCGAGGCATGGAATCTTGGAGAAAACTCAAACAGGAGCTCGAGGCTACAGGGCCAAAGCTATGATGGGCAAAATCTGGGTAGGGAAGTACGTCAGCTACGGAAATTTCTTGCGAAATTTCATTGGTTGACATGAATGACCTAGTAGTCTACTGAACTTGCTATCTTCGAGCAATTGTATTTCGAAATTAAGCTTTCATTTCATACCCTAAGCTTCTAGTTAGTATTCATGCAAAGGTACACGGTATATCTCAGCTGCCCAATGGAAATAACAGTAAAGTGCCAATGTACCTCACGATAGAGGAACAGCACCCATGCTAGCGGCCCATAACCAATCGAAATCCTCCGAGTCACAATCAAGCAGAGCATCGCCCTTTTGATGTGAGTCTTGCAATGTCAGATTGTCTCCAGAATCGTTTATCTCTCCAGAACCAGGCTGAGGTGAAGTGCGTGACCTTTTGTTTTGAGGCGATTGGGCTCGAGATTTATCATGAGCTTCCGACATGGCCCGCTTTGCTGAACGATAAGGGCGGACCTTCGTCTCCCACAAGCCCTGCATATGGAGCAAAAAACTCTGCGCTCGTTTCGCACTCTCCCATGAGAAACCCAATTCTTCTAGCGCACGGAAGCAAAGGCTGAGATGGGCTACCGTTTCATGATCATGGTCGAAGTTGCGATTGAGGATAGTCGCGAATATCAACATTAGCGCCGCAGAGCAGGTTATAGCAACAGCTTGTATGTTCATGCGACGAAATGTGTAGCGCAATTCGTATAGGTGAAGAAGTTTGGCAATTGCGGTTGCGGAGTCGACACACATTTTGCGGGCATGGGTATGACCGGGGCCTTGAGCGGGTTGAGGCTGAATCGAACTTTTAGAGATCCATGGTCGATGTGCATGGATGATAGCTTGGTGATAGTGCATGCTAGATTCAGATTGTTAGCGTGTGAAAAAGGAATATGGCGGGACAGGTATTTACTGGAGCAATAGCACATGTGGCAGATATGGAACTGTCGAATCGTCGAGGTCGACTTGCAGAGGCGTGGGTAGATTAGCTTTCCATTCAAGAAGCTTTCGAGTCGTCTTTGCATTGAGACTCTGCAGATCATGTTTCGATATCTTCGACGATCCGTACCTGCGTGGCATACTTTAGCGGTGGCGTTTGGGCGATCGGAAGTTGTACATACAAAACATGTCCCAAGGGTGTCATGATCTCACATAGTAAGATACGATACCGACTTAAAGTTGTGACTGGATTCACAATCGGTGTGTCTTGTAGCGAGCAAAATGGATAGGGCAATCCATAGGGAGTCCATCGCTGGGCCTGATCCCAGGTTGAATCGCGACCAGGCTTGTCAACAGTGACGTCCTCCATATTAATTCTGAATGGGCGCCCGAGGAGGAAGCCCCATTGTCTGGTAGCATGTAATGTCAGCGAATTTTCATAGGATTAGCGGATGTGTTACTCACTGGTCCAGCGTGTAAGCCCCCCAGAAGACCATGCGTCGCAGTTCCGCTTCAGCCGCACTGATAGACCCATCCGATATGTAGGAGGACATGTCAAGGTGTAGCCCAAGATCAAAGGCGAGTCGCATAGCCATTCCTGATAACACATCAGACACGATTTTAGTACTGTATAATTGTGGCGAGCGCAAACTCACCACTGTAAAGCCATCCTCTCGCGTCGCGCTTGCAACCAATATCATGTCCACTCAACACTACCGTGGCCTGGACGGTTGCCAAGCATGGCGAATCAAGCTCAATATCAAGCAAAGTCTTAGCACGATCTGCAAAAAAATCCGATACAGATTTTGGATACGTGATGAAGTTTGGATGATAGCGAGGCTCAAATGCAGCACCAAGACAACACCTGCACATGTTAGCGTCGATGATAATACAAAATCAGAGCATAGGTATTGGGTGAACTAACAAGGCATTCGTCAAGGCCTCTGAATAATATGGCGTTTCTTCCATCTCATCTTGCCAACGCTGCTTTGCCCCCTCATACATTTTCCTATCGACGACATCAAACGAGGGATTGTGCCAGGTGAAGTAGAGGTTGATCAGATGGGCCTCCAAATCAGGTGGCACACTTTTGCCGATCCCCATGCGATACAAGTAGTCTTGACCATCTTTTCGTACGTTGCGATGTATGGTTAGTTTGTCCGGGGTTGGCATTCGCAGCAAATTGAAGTGAGAGGTCGGGCCATAATATCGCACTTGGCCATCGGAACCAATCTGGAGACTCCCCATGCGGTCTGAGAGGCGGTGCACAATTTCTTCCATGTCTTCGTTGCTATTGGAGTGTTGCTTCAGTTTATCATCATTCGGCGCGGTCTCTCCCGTCTTGAGTAGACGATCCAAAGGTAATGAATCAGGCGAATCGCTTGGGTGTGGTTGAAGTGGTATTGTAGACGGGTCAAGGCTAGGTAAGCCTTCTGGAGAAGGATTGTTTGAAATCACTTCTTCGCCGATAGTCGAGAGACCCTCCAGATCAACAAGTTCGTCCTCGAACAGGGGCGGCAGTGTGTCTTCCGTGAATTCACGAAGAGCTATAGGCGCCTGTGATGTAGGTTGGTGAATTTCTTCATAGCCGTCAACTGTCAGTGGTTGCGCCAATATATCCATGTGCGAGTTCAACTCGCTGAGGTCAACCTCAAGAACTGCCTCTTCATTCTCTTCAAGCAGAGCCCGAGTAGTCCCGGCGAGAGAAGAATGCGCCAATTGCCTATCTTTGGTCTCGATTTTCTCCAAGGCCAATTGAACATGGCCAAGTCCCAGAGTTTCTAAAGCATTCTTCAATGCAATTTCATTCTCATTGAACATGGGAGGTGGGGACAGTCCCTGGTCAATGAGATATTGAGATAGCTCATCTAGTCGGTTGACAAGAAGGTCAACCACAAATCGAAGAGATATTCTGAATTTTATCAATTGATTATCAGTAAATAGCGTCGATCGGCAAGCAACGCAGAAATTGACGAAACTTACTTTCTCTTATCTGATCCAGCCCGATACGTGCATTCCTTCTTTTTATTTTGGCAACTTGAACAAGATGGCTGGGCTCCATCACACTGTTTTACAAACCCGAGTTAGCTGAGTTCCTTGTAACAAATTTGCGGTTCTAGGCAGTCCAGGAAACCGATTTCCGACCTTCACTTTACTCAGCCGGCATGCGTCGCAGGCCGTTGTGACATATTTTCGTGTTGCATCCTTTCTCGCTGGCGCCATTTTGGGGAAATCAAACAATTATTCTCAGAATTCACACAGGCGCAGAAATAACCAGAAGACCGTTTGATAGTATGTAGTTGAAGTGTAGTTGGAGTGGCCGACAAATCTCGGGAATTGCCAGAGGGGAGATCCGAGCGAGACCCACATGGTAGTGATATTGACCAATCAGAAAGTCAGCTTGATACGGCATTGTACTGTAGGAGTGAGAGTTAGGCCAGTTGAATATCAATGGAGAAGGCGAGTAGCCACAAGAGGATAATGCAAATGCGAGATAACGAAAAAAACCCGATCCAACGAAAAAAACTGGATGCGTCGCATATTAAGAACCTCTCCAGGTTGACTACTATTTATCTTGCGCGAAGGTGGATAGCAGTAGCCAGAGAGGATCTAATAAAGTAAATGCAAAACATCGAAAAAATGGGGATCCAACGCAAAAATTGGGCTTAACCAAAAGACTGTGTTTAGCGAAAAAAGCCAGATGCATGGATCGCATGGATGTTAAGACCTCTGTTAACTATATGCTACTTATTGTGCGTGACGGCAGAATACCAGTAGCAGAGGGGGGATCTGATAATGCGAATGCGAAAAATCGAAAAAATCGTGAACGAAAAATCGTGATCTAACGAAAAAACCGGATGCATCGCATGTTAAGAACCTCTGTTGCCTACTACTTATCTTGCGCGGCGGCAGGATAGTAGTTAGCCGGAAGGGGGCCTAATAATGCAAATGCGAAACAACGAACCCAGAGGGTATTCAGTGGATTTGATCGCTCATCTTTGGAAGAGCGCTGGATCGAAAAGAAGTAAGGTCTTCTCGAAGGAAGTGACGATGTGGCGATGGAGTTTACACGGCGACTGCGGTGGTTGCTAAGAACACGGAACAATTTCATTGCAGGCAGGAATATATATCTGACGGCAGTCTCATGCTTCACGAGAACAAGTATGATAGATGGACAGTGTAGGTGCTAATACTCTATCGAGAATAGAATTGGTGAAACTTAGGTAGGTGATGGTACATGAAATATCTTGCGTCAGAACCAGCGACCACCCCAGATACATTTTTCCTCTATGGTACCCACAGGCCAAAAGCTTCTAAGTCTTTCAATTAAGCAAAATCTGTCAGGTCCCCGTTCAGCGATATCTCATTAAATAACCTGTCAATCATATTGACCAGTCCGTAGTGAATGAGTATAAGTTCTTTGTCAGAGCCAAGAACCTAAACCGATCAAGACACAGATCTCCGAATCGGTTCTTAAAACACGTTACCTTTGGTCTGAGTCATGTTCTTAACGTTGATGTTTCTCATCATTCCAACCCAGACGAAGCCGAGAACCATAAAGACTGTGCCCGCAATGAGCATACGAGTCTGAGCGTAGCCGTACGCCTCCACAATGGCATCACGGGTCGGGCTTCCAACCGGATAACTGAGCTGCTCAACAAGACTCTCGTAGATGAGCATCAACTTTGGCCGAGCTGAGTCTGGGAGCACCTGCTCAAGTTTCTTCAAGAATGTGTTCGTCCAGATAGCACCGCAGATGGCGCTACCGACTGAGCCACCGATGCTGCCCATCACGAATAGCAAAGCAAGCACTGCAGCGACGTGCTGATGATCAACGGAGGAGAGGACAGCTAGTTGCACGCAGAGAATGAATACCCCACCCGCAACAGAAAAGAAGACCTCGCACATGACAATGTAGCCAATGTAACCTCCTGGTGTACGGAAGTGGATCATAAGACCCAGGCCAAAGATATACATCGGGACACAGATCCAGAGAATCCACTTGAAGCGACCGGTCACGCGGATTAGCCAACCGGCAACGAAGAGGAAGACAAATGAGACGACACTGAAGGTGTTGCCAACATATCCGGCGGTTGCCACATCCAATTCGTACACCACTTGTAGGAACGAGGAGAGGTAACTGCCGTAGCAGTAATATGAGACTTGGTATGTCAAATCCAAGAGACAGGCACCCAAGATAGTGCGGTCGGTGAGGAACTTATAGTTGAGGAACGGCACCGGTGCGACATACATCTCATAGAACCAGAAAGCAATGATCATCACTAAGCCAACAACAATCATTGCGATAATATAGCCGGTCTGGAAGCCGTGAGGGGCCATGGCCGCCAGGGTAAACGGAAGGAGGAAAATGATGAAGCCTCCAGCGAAGAGGAAAACTCCGGGTACTGTGGAATGAGTGACAATCATGAGCATCGCAGAAATCTCGCAAAGGTAATGATGGGTACCACTTACAATCAAACTCGATGATGAACCACCAAAGGCCCTGAGGGCTGATGTCCCACTTCTTCTTCTCACGGATGAGGATGCCCTTTTTCTCCGCCTGGCGGAGGTTCCAAGCCAACATGAAGTAAATTGGCAGAGCAAACACAGGCACGAGGATTGCCCAAATGCCATAGCCCCAACGCCAGGTGGAGTGCACAAGCAGCTCACCAGCAGCCTTGGATCCGGCAAACGCGGAGATCAATGCTGGCGATGAGGTGAAAGCAAAAGCCAGACCTCGATTTCTCAGATTGGTCACGTCGGTAGCAAGGACATCCCATGTATAGACCAGACCTCCGAAGCCTACGGAGTAGAAAACCTAAGAGCATAAAGATGGCACGTCAGATATTTTCTTGCTGATATTCGACGTCACTGGAAAAATCGTGGCAACCGGATTTCTCTTACCTGTCCAGCGCAGTAAGTCTCGATATTCTTGGATGCAGCGAGTAGAACCAGGCCAAGAACGCAAAATGTTATCATGACGAGGAAACCCTCGGCACGACCCCACAGATCCAATGCCTTGGCCATGGGGATATAGATGGAGCCAGCCATGGCCGAGGACACAATAGTGATGACGGTTAGCAGCGAATGTCCAGCGAAAGAGCTCGTCGCATATGCGTTCAAGCTGTAGGTCATAGATCCTCGCATATTATTGACCAAGGTAAGGAACCAGATCCTTTTTTTACGAAGAGAATAGAACAATTAGTAGAGCGCGACACACCCTCCGCAAGGGTGCGATACTTACATTACTAGTAACAGGTAGGCGGATTTCTTGCTCCAGGCGATAGTCACCGCCTCAATCTTCTTCACACCCGCTTGAGCATCCTCTGCAGGCTTCTCCTGTTCGTTGCTCGAGGCATCGTTGACGGTTGGATATCCGGCTTCCTTATCACTAACCTTTTCTTGCAAAGCTGCAGGGTCATCGACCGGGGCAGCCTTGGTGCTGGCGGACTTGTCGCAAACCGTGGTATAAAACTTCTTCACAGACTCCATTGTGATTTAACCTGAGCCGAGAGAACCACAGGAAGAATGATGAACAAAAGAAGATTGACGAAGCAGCGTGCAGGCCAGCTGATAGATATTCAAGCGAGCGCGGACATTTTTATCAGATCTTTATCCGATCCCGCTCCGGTGGGCAGATATAATCTTTACGTAAGGATAGTGGACGGCGTGCATTACGCGGCAAGAAAAATAAGAGAAAGAAAAAAAAAAGACAAGCCAAGTCGGAGGCTTGAAGCGAGCAGGGAAATCGAAATTACAGCGTTACGGCCCCTGTACCGCACCGCAACGCCGAGGTATTCTAGGGCTGACGCTAACCCGAGACTAACCTTCCTAAGAAACTGTACTCAGAGGTAGAATCTCATCTCTGAGATCGGAATGGCTTTGGCATTTCTCGAGAGAAATTTGATGGGAGCTAGAATTATAGAAAACTGGCACCAAGCCCTTGATCTTTCTGATAATGGCCATAGCGTTGAGACAATCTGATAATCTGGAATGAGTTTCAACCAGTCATAGAAGACGATGCAGTGAGTATTACAGATGGCACCGGCGGCAACACGATATTTTGTGCAGTTGATGACCTTGGCTGGTAGTACTGCTCATTATATTTTCCATGAGACGACGGACCTACATATATGATGATAGTTCGAGGTATGAAGTTATGAAATTTGAAAACCTACATCCGCAGAGCCATAAAAGAAATTTTTTCACCAATTGAATAATCCCGAAAACGGGGCTCCAGTGCTCGACTACCACAGCATCTTCCGCAAATAGCCGTAGAAATTGTACAAGGCCGTGCCAGGCGACCAACTTTGCTGCTTCAAATCCCGCGATACACTAACTTCTTGTGTCGCGTACCACTCCTCCCTTGAAATCGAATAACGCACTTCGCCTTCTTCAATGCCCGGCGGTGGAGTTGGGTAAGTGTTGAAAAAGGTCTCAACATGTTTCAGTCCACAACTGGCCATCACCGCGCGTGATGCGGTATTGACGGTCATCGTTTCACCAATCACCTCGGCTAGCCCCAAGTCTGCGAACGCATGGCGAATCATCTCTCGTCCCCCTTCCTTTGCATATCCCTGTCCCCAGAACTTTGGCGATACCCGGAATCCATACTCGGTGCGGTCGGTCAGATACTCCTCAGGGCTGTCCTTCTTGGGGACTGGACCCAGGATCCACCAGCCTACAAACTCCCCATCGGCGAACCCTGCCCAAGTTCCGAAACCGGGTACCATTGTTGCGCAGCTCATCAGCCAAGTATGCACTTGGATCGCTTCATCCTCGGTAAAGGGCCGGCCGAATGCAACGTGCTTCATCACCGTCGGGTCCATGTCGAGCTTCATTGTGTGCTCCCGATGCTCCGGCCCGAGAGGCACCAGCTCGAGGCGTGCTGTTCGCAGCGTTGGCTGGGACTTCTCAGTCGCAGCCATAGTGTAGAGTTGTGGTTGTTATTGTGCGCTGGAAAGGTGGAGAGAATGATGGGAGTGTCACTCCAGTGTTTCGGACGGGTTGTAAAAGATATATAGAGATATAGGTGGCGTTGCAATGGTTTTTGAGCTTCTCACCTTTTATATATGTTTTCTGAGGCCATATTCCCATTCTGGGAGTTGAATCAGGGGGAGCTTACTGGTTTAGCTGACAAGACTACGTGCTATGCACTGGGAATAGGACGATCTGTCTCGGCACCTTGTACTACAGACAAGATTAGTCTCCGAATTTCTACATCTTGCCCATTGAGAGGCCGTATCTCGCGTCCCTCGAGATGCATGGTATAGTGAATAACTTCGGGTTACACTACTGCAAGTGTATTCAACTTCATTCTTCTTCTGCCCTTGGCGCCGAAGATCTTGCCTATATCTTGCCCGTACTAATATCCACATCCATGGATGGGGTCCTGCATCTTAGAATTCAGTGGTAGAGTCGAGGATATCAATTATTTTTTCGATTTATTAGACATGTTCGCGGCCGAAAATGACTGGACAGAGAGGTATTCTGATGAGTTGGGGGCCGCTCCTTGAGAACAGTTACGGCGAACAAACTTCCCAGTCTGAGAATCACCCGATAATTTAAAATGTCAAGTATTCTGTGATTTTCATGTCGGAATTGGACGTTATTCATTGTCTGGACGCTCAGAGCGACCTTATGCCATGGTGGTCTAGTAATGAAGTCAATCCTGTCGGAGCTTGCTGCACCCCCATGAACCAACAAGCGCAAAATTTGCCAGGACCCACAGGCTAGAAGCTGACCTCCTTGGCAGGTGTACAAATTCCTCTTTTGGTTAGCGGCGGGACTTCACAGCTTACTACGAAGTCGTACTACTGTACGGAAGGAAAAATAATTAGCACTTGTTAACAATTGAATAACTAAAGTTGAGGTGGCTCGAGTTGTAGTTTTGCTCGAGTCATGCTTAGGACAGAGGACAACCTAACTGCCACTCCTGATGTACCTACCATGACCCTGTAGATCCATTCTCTGGGTCTGATCCGAACTAGGGTACTCAGTGGCTCACAACTCGCGAGGGAAAGGGGTCTCCACCAGGCTCCAGTATGTACCCTATTACGACAGCTCATACCGAATCATTTCGTTCTGTATGAAGGGGGTTGCCGGAATGATAGTCTAGATTTTCTGGGGGCCAAATGTAAAATTTCAGGTCGCAATCCGGTATGTTACAGCTGGCAAACACTCCATCTGTCCTAGGCCCAGGCCTCAAAGAATGTGATTGAGGGATTTTTAGGTCCTCTTAACGCATGATGCACAGATGTATTTTACTTGTATTACGCTACGATACCACGGGTCCTGAGCGATCAGATTAGATTAGATACGGGGGCGGATTCTCGCGCCGAGGCTTGGCACGGGTGGCGCCTAAACTCTCCTCGGGTAAGGATCGGCCCGAAGATAATTGGAGATAATAATTGTGACCCCAACCCCAAAAATTGGGCGCATCTGGCGTACCGTCGTGGAAATTACTACACTCATGCACTGAGCTTCGAGCCAGGTCCTGGCCAAGCACGCCCAGCTGACGCCTACCCAAACTAGTCTCAACGACCGACCCTTGCCCATTTTGATTTTTTCTTTCCGTTTTCCAGGATTCACGAAAAGGGTTCGCTTAAATCCGACTGTGATCATTCCGTAGTGGGGGTGCTTGGTAATCTCGGAGTAAGATAATCAGAGACGCTTGCTCGGCATTTGGGACCGCTACTGATCGCCAAGGTGGGAAAGGGAAGAGATAAAATTAACGAACTATGCAAATGAACGAGCAAATTAGGTTGATCGTTGCCGAAAATTGGTGTAGAAAACCTCATGCAGATTAGGAGGCCGTTGGTTATTGTAAGCTAGACTCATGGAATCTTCCTTTTTCTTGTCAAGCCCTCAATTGCAGTAGTCTCTTCACAATTCAACGGTCAGGCTCAATAGTCTCTGTTGCAGTTCGGAATAAAAACTCTTGTATATCTAAGGGTTATCCATTGAAAGCAATTACAAAACAATATTGAAGTATTCTTAATCAAGACTAGCATAGAGGCCAATCTTCAAAGAACATGGTCAAGCCCTGGTTTATTGAGCAAGCCATGACGCTTGTGTGCTCTTCCCCCTCATACTCCTTCGACTGCACTGCGTCGAGCCGATTACCTCCACCTAGCATATTCACAAGGTCCAACGCATTATCAGCCATTCGCAGATCTGAGGCAATTTGCTTCCGCCCCTCATAATGATCCAAAGGCTCATCAGGCCATTGAGGTGGATTCTGCTCACAAGAGCCCCAAGACACGATCAGTGACGGCAATTTCGCATCCGAAGCCTTGGCGTTGTCTAAGAACTTTTGGGCCGAGTGTAGAATGCAGCGGCTATTCCACCAAATCGAGGGACTGCTAGCAATGTAACAATCGAACGAGTGTGGCCGTGTGAAGAGGGCATGCAGGGCAAACAATCCCCCGTACGAATGGCCATACAGGGCTTCACGAGAGAAGGTTGCGCTCGGAAATCGGGCCTTGACAGCTGGCCGGACAGAGTTGTCGATAAAATCGAGGAATGCATCCGCGCCCCCATATCCCGGGATTGGACTTTCAGTGGGTGGTGTCAGATCAAGACTCCGGCGTTGAGCATCGTACAGCTTGCCAGCCAGGGGATATCCGATGGCAACAACTAGACCACCGCCGGCAAAGTGAGATGAAGCTGCACGGCGCCAAGCTACCTCCGTCGCGGTTAGGAATAATGCATTTCCGTCGACGACGTAGCTAAGAAATTAGCGTTGGCTATATTAGCAACAGGAAAACGAAGTGCCCACTGGACTTGTAATGCAATGGAAAAGAAAAAGCCAAAGATGTGTGGGCACTTACATGATGGGAAGGGCCCCGCGGTCCGATGTGCGATTATCCAGCCAATGTAGCGGCCAGGACAGTTGTATGAGGTACTTGTGACCCTGGTCACTATCCATGAAGAATTGCTCTGCGTTGGCCAGCGGGACCGGGGTCGGCCGGTCGCCCATTCTCACGGTCTCGCCCATCTTTGAATTGTGAATGCTGAATGAACGAAGAGGGAGAGTTGGAGAGTTCACAAAAATTCCACAGAGAGATTATGAGCTACGTCTGCGAAGAAGGAGGCGCATCGTGAGATACCTAAGCGACGAGACTAAAATCATGAGGATGGAGAAGAGCCATCAAGGTGGCTGTTGTTGTTCCGACTGGGCAGACGGTGGACCGAACCTCATAGGGATGTAACCGAGACAATTAGTGGACCCACCTTTTGGAGGTCATAAAATCACATGCTGTGTAACTATGGAGTAGTATACATACGATAGTCTATGATTCGACCAGTACAGAATTGATTGTTGTGTGCCTAATCTTATCTGATTGGACTCTACTATTTTGAATTTTTTCTATTTCAGTTTAGTTGCTTACAGCTTATTATACCCGTCAGATAACAAGTATAAAACAAACATCCCTGTAGCACTAGCGGTAAATACCCAATACGGTGGCGGAACCACCCGCGCAGTGAAACTCTAAACCAGATCCATTATTTCGTTGACTTGTCCCCGTGCTTTCGGATTCATGCTGCATCCATCTTGGCGTCTTACATTCGCAGTTTTCTAGCTGTTGATGTACTTCCGTGGCGTGATCTGATAAGATTTTCCCCCCCCTCTGGGCTGAAATCTGAAGTAAAAGCCGATATCGGAAATCGGTCTTCTCTCCAGATCGTAGGGTCGGGTGGAGCGTCTACTCCTTTGGGAGTATGTACATATGCACCGTATCCACTGGTTGTTCGACTTACAGACGAGAGTAACCCCCTGATCATGATGCCAAGATGGTGCATGCCATGATGACAGACGACAAGCTCTTGGTTTTGCCGAGTGGTGCTCGTTTGACTTTTTTCTGTGGTGTTATCTGATCCGCAGATTTTTATCAGATCCTTCTTCAGTGTCACTGCCATCCCACGAGCTGAAACGCAGGTCCAGACACCATGGCAGCTGCACCCAAACCTCCAGCAGAGGCAAAGCCCTCTAAGAAGGTAGGTATCTCTAAGTCTTCCCTGGAACACCATTGATCCTTGATCATCGCTGTTTTGATCCAACTGATGCTCATCAATGTGGTCATTTCTTAGGCATGGCGGCGTGCCACCTCCTTCGCTCGTCTTCTCGTCTACGGCAACCCCTCCTCCAAGGACATAATTATCCTAGCCATTGGATTCCTCGCCGCAATTGCCTCCGGAGTTCCATTCCCTATTATGTCCATTGTCTTTGGACAGCTGGTCAATGGGCTGAACTCGGCCACCTGTGAAATCAGCCCCGACAGCGCGTCTTCCTACCAGGACGGGATCAACTCCAAGATTCTGTTAATTGTATATGTTGGCATTGCCTACTTTCTTCTTATCTATATCTATACACTGTGTTTCAATCTCAGTGCCGAGCGACTGGCTCAGCGTCTGCGAGAAAAGTATCTGAGCGCCATCTTGCGCCAAGATGCGGCATTCTTTGACAAGCTGTCTGCGGGTGAAGTGTCTTCGCGGATCACAGGAGAAATATTCACTGTGCAGCAGGGTACAAATGAGAAAGTGGGCCTTGTGATCAACAGTGTCTCCTTCTTCGTGGCTGCCTACGTTGTCGCCTTCATCAAAGACGCTAAGCTCGCCGGTATGCTGGTCTCTCTTACCCCTGCGTATCTGATCATGGCGCTGGGTGGTGGATACTTTGTGCAGAAGTACTTTGGACGTTCGCTCGAGAGCACCGCCAAAGCTTCCTCGGTCGCGCTGGAGGCTTTCTCAAATATCACCGTTGTACACGCGTTCTCGGCCAATGCGAGACTAGAAGAGAAGTTTATTCAGGTGTTGAACCCAGGCCTTTCGGCTGGCGTGTGGAAGTCCATTGCCATGGCTGCCCAAGCTGGACTGCTATATTTCATCGCATTTTCGGCGAATGGTCTTGCATTCTGGCAGGGGTCCAGGCAGATTGCGAGTGCCGTCGAGTCGAACACGGGTGGCATCACTGTCGGAGCGACATTCACCGTGATCCTGATCCTGGTAGACGGTATGTTGGTAGTTGATTAACCCATTGCAAGCCTGTCATAGATCCAGTGCTAACATAAATTGTTCAGCCTCTCTCGTCCTCAGTCAGGCCGCCCCCTTTCTACGTACCTTTGACTCTGCAGCCGTGGCATTTGCCAAGCTAGAAGCTGATATGGATCATGTATCGAGCATCGATGGTACATGTGAGCACACCGGACATGTTCTATCGGAGGTCAAGGGAGATATTGAGCTGCGAAATGTCTATTTCACATTCCCATCACGCCCAGAGAAGACTGTGCTGCAAGATATATCACTGACCTGTCCTGCTGGTCGGCAAACGGCCATTGTGGGACTTTCAGGCAGTGGTAAATCCACTGTAGCAGGCTTGATTACTCGACTTTACAACTCAACAGAAGGTGCTGTGCTTCTAGATGGTCATGATGTGAAAGACTTGAATGTCCGGTCAGTCCGGGGGGAGATTAGTCTTGTGCAGCAGGAGCCGTGCCTTCTTGATCGATCCATCCTCGAAAATATCGCGCTTGGCCTGGTAAACTCTCCTAAACACAGACATCTGCATTCGATCCTCATGACTGATGCCCTTGTCCACGTTGCGGAGGCTCTTTGTGATGGTCTGGATACTGAATCGGCGTCCCAATCACACGGGGGCCAAGTTCAAGAAATTGTGCAACTGGTCCTGAATGCTGCTTCTTTGGCAGATGCGATCGGCTTCATCCAAAATCTACCCGAAGGCTTTGGAACATCGGTCGGTGCAAAAGGCCATCTCATCAGTGGAGGCCAGAAGCAACGTATCTCGCTCGCCCGCGCCTTAGTCAAGGATCCACGCATTCTGATTCTCGACGAGGCCACTGCCTCGCTTGACTCAGCATCAGAGCTGCGTATCCAAAAGGCTTTGGAGAATGTGGCAGTAGGACGCACTGTGATTACGATTGCTCATCGACTTTCCACGATCAAAAATGCGGACAACATCATTGTCATGCGTCAAGGAAAATTGGTGGAGCAAGGAACACATCACGGGTTGCTTGAGGCTGACGGGGCATACGCCGAGCTTGTTCGTCTTCAGAATCTGAACGTTAATGGAAGTGAAAATGATTCCACGGAGCTGACTTCGGAGCATTCAAACTCTTCGACCCAGGAGCTTTATGAAAAGTCTAGGGCCTTAGACACCTCGGCCGCAACCGATATTACAGTAACAGACAAGAAAGAAACACAGGTCGTGATCCAGCGACCCACTACAGATGACATTGCGGGCCAAAAAACCATGACATCGACATTGAGGTCTATGTGCGCTCTCTTTCGGCCGTACACCTTTGTGCTTGTCATCGCAATCGCTGGAGCCGTGGTCATTGGCGGTACATACTGCGGCTCGGCTGTGATCTTTGGCAATATTGTGGGCAAGCTCAGCTACTGCGAGCAACCGAGTTCGATTCGTCATGCGGGTGAGCTCTTCGGATTACTCTTTTTTATGTTGGCTATCATCGAATTCATCGCCAATTTCCTCAGTTGGTCTCTTTTCGGCTGGGTCGCCGAGCAGATCATTTACAAGGTGCGAGTTCTCACGCTGCGGTCAATTCTGGAGCAGGATATGGCCTGGCATGAGGAAGAGCACCATAATGCTTCTCTTCTGCTTGATTTAATCACCAAAGATAGTACGGCACTGGGCGGCCTCACCGGTTCCGTTGTCTGTACAATTCTCTCCATTTTTGTCAGTCTCATCGCGACCATCACCATGACACACATCATTGCTTGGAAAATCGCAATTGTGTGTCTTTCGGTTGTACCGCTACTGTTGGGTGCAGGGTATATGCGCGTTAGTACGCTGACCAGCTTTGAGGAGCAGCATCTCCAGGCTTTTGCAAATTCCAATGCCATTGTCGTTGAAGCTATCAATTCGATCAGAACTGTGATGTCTTTGTCGCTGGAGCATGAGATTATCGGTACATACCGTCGCTCATTGCAAGCTCCCATGAGCCAGATCACTAAACAGAGTGCATGGGCAAATCTCTGGCTAGCAGTCGGTTATGGACTGAGCAACTTCCTTTATGCGCTCGCCTACTGGTGGGGCTCAACTCGCATCATCGCCGGCGAATACACCCAAACTCAATTTTTCATTGTTCAACTCGCTTTGCTAGTGAGCTCCCAGCTATGGGGACAAACTTTCGCTCTTGCGCCCGATGTCTCGCGTGCGTTTCAAGCTACGCGTCGCTTGTTGGATGTGCTTGATCTAGGCTCATTCAAGAAGCTCTCCTCTGCTCTCACGCCAATGAGGGATATCGAAGCCACTCCCGAGTCAAGTGAGAAGACACGGTCCATGGGCGATGGTGTTAGTGTTGCTTTTAAACAAGTAACATTTTCCTATCCAGCACGACCGGAGACTCGCATTTTGCACGGCCTGGATCTGAACGTCCAGAGTGGACAATTCGCCGCATTGGTTGGGCCCAGTGGTGCCGGCAAGTCAACCATCATCTCGCTCGTGGAGCGCATGTATAATCCAGAGTCGGGCATGGTTAAAATTGGTGGGCATAACATCGCATATGGAGACAACTCATTCCGACATGAGATCGCATATGTTCCACAGCAGAGTGTCATGTTTGACGGAACAATCCGCTTCAACTTGACGCTCGGCGCGCAACCCGGGCGGTCAGTGTCCCATGAGGAGCTTGAAGAAGCCTGCAAACTAGCCAACATTCACGACACAATCATGCAGTTGCCTGATGGGTATGATTCACAATGTGGGCCTAACGGGGACCGACTGTCTGGCGGTCAGAAACAAAGGTTGGCGATTGCACGGGCACTCGTCCGAAAGCCGAAGCTCTTGCTATTGGACGAGTCGACGAGTGCCCTGGATGCAGAGTCAGAGCGGTTACTGCAAGACGGCTTAGAAAAGGCGACAAAAAACATGACTGTCATCGCCATCGCACATCGGTTGTATACCATTCGCCGGGCAGACGTCATCTTTTTGATTGAAAATGGACGCTGTGTTGATCAGGGAACTCATGTGCAGTTGATGGAGCGCAATGAGAGCTACCGGGTGAATGCGCTCAATCAGGCGGTTGGTGAATGAGAGATGGTGGCTTTGCTATCCCAAGAGGTATAGAGGCGTTTCTAATTTTTATGTATCTGCATCGGTGGTTTGGAGAGATCATAGCATGAAGAGATCGGGTTTGCACTATTGATTGACCAGATACGCATGGTCAATTTGTTTCTGAGCACAGCTCTTTTTTATACATTCATACATATCTGAAAATATACAGGCATTCTCAAACGACCGAGCTTTCATTCCTCTCGACAATGTACTCCATTCTAAGATCCTTGATTCGTAAGCCTGTTCTTCTACGGGGATTCGGAGAATAAAAAAAGTCCGAATCCCCAGTATCTCCACTCCCGGATGCCAAGCCTTCATGCCCCACGCATTGCGTGGACACTGGGGTTCTGCAACGGAGCTTGGTGAGCTTTCTGAGATCTCAAAGGATAGGAAATGGTAGCCTTGAAATAGAGTTCTTCGTCGATCGCATAATATATTTGAATGCCTAATGCTACACCTACATTGGTTACATTGGATACCTAGGCACCTTAACATTGACAAAACAAGGTAAACCTCCGAATGTTGAATCAGGCAGCTGGCTATAGCCGCGGACCCTGAAAATCAATTCGTGGCTATATATACAAAAACACCCTTTCTCGTGGCTTGACACTTTTTCATCAAAATATCGAAAAAGCAAAATCTAGTTTCCACTTGCCGGCAATGAAAATGAGCTCCCCTCAGCAATCCTCTATGCCTCCTCCGCCACCTCCGCCACCTCAATCAGTTTATCATTCTTCTTCTGTTCCAATTCTACCTTCGACTCCTGCTTCTGATGGTACTCATGCAGGCCAAGAATCGGAGCAAAATTATTACAAAAGCAACAATGTGACGGTCTTTGCGTGGAATGGGAATAATCCAGAGAATATCGAATTCGAATTTCCCAGGCTGGAAGACAAGAGTGGGACTATTTCTCTTCGGAGCGTGGTAATTCAATATGTTGGAGCTCTTCAGTCTCGCAAGGTTGCCGCCGACAAGCTCTTCCAGATAATTGGGCGCTTGAGATGCCTGCAGTATGCGATAGAGCGTTACAATTGCGGCCTGCTGTCCCAGACCCAAGAGTTCCTTCAATACTGGCGCCGGCACACCCTGGGCTTACTCTCCGGGTTTGGATTTCGACCGGGTGCTGAATTAGAAACCATCCAAATTGATGGGCTTGCTGAGCTGATCTCTCGACTCGAATTGATGTTCCAGCAGAACATCCATGCCGCCCAAGAGTTGATCACAAGTGGAATGATTACCTTTGATGGATTGGGAGAGCTTTTCAAGCCAGATATTCCCATTAAATCAACGTCTATTTCCGGCTCAGTTCCCTGTGCATATCGCGTGACAGATTCATTTTATGAAGAATACCGTACACTCTTTGGATCACAGAAACACTTCCACGTCACTATGGAAGCCGTGGTTCTAGTGGGCGACCACTTCTCTGTGGCCTCATTCTCGGAAGTTCTGTCTGCTTGGAGCGGCATCCGTGTTCGCAGTCTGACTGAGTTCAGTTATCAGCCTCTTACTGAGAGCGAACGGCAGATATTTCAAGCACGCGGTGAACGAGCTGTCAGTCATGGACTTGGTGGGGCGAAGTACCTTAGCTATGGACCTAATACTTTTTACGTTCACACAACTCGATCCAGACGAGACGCTCCTGGAATGGCACAGGCTACCAATAGCTCAATTTCCCTGACAGGAGGTCGCGTTATGATCGACGTGGCTCGAGGCTCATCACTGGGACACTACCCATGCCAAGGAGTCGACGAGGTTACTTTGTCTATTATACAACTTGCGGGGCGTTACAGGCAATGGCTCTCGAAACGCTCCCGGTTCAACACTCTCGAGACAGAACAGCTGGTGTTATGGGACTCTGTACCTCAGGAATTTGTCCTCTTCTTTTGGCCTGCACTCGTCGGTTTCAGTTTCACCGCTAAGGCTTGGGGTCATGTTCTAGTTGACGGTCTGTCACCTATCAACTTTCAGGATCAAGCTTTCGACCACTTGGTACTTAAGCAAGAGCGCAAGGACCTTATCCGCGCTGTCGTTCGTCACCGAACAGCCCTTCAAACACCAGATGTCATTGGAGGGAAACAAGGCGGGCAAATATTTCTCCTACACGGACCTCCTGGTGTTGGAAAAACTCTGACGGCCGAAGCCATTGCAGAGGTCCTCTATCGGCCATTATACTACGTCACCATGGGTGAGCTCGGTGTGACACCGGAGGATCTAGAACGGAGATTGTCCGATGTTCTTGAGCTTTGTGCAGAATGGGATGCATTGGCTGTGCTAGATGAGGCAGACGTCTTTCTGGAGACCCGTAGTACCTGTGATTTGATCCGCAACGCGATGGTCTGTGTTATGCTCCGCATTCTCGAGTACCACCCTGGTATATTGTTCCTCACTACCAATCGGGTTCGGACACTTGATCCAGCATTCGAAAGTCGAATCACAGTTGCCCTTCGCTACGAAGAGCTTGACCGTGATGCACGAATGCAAATATGGAAGAGTCAAGTCGAAAGACTTCCTACTCAGCTGTCCGCGGACATCGACTATCACAGACTCGCGGAACAGCCACTGAACGGAAGGCATATCAAGAATGCGGCTCGATTGGCGCTCAGTCTGGCTACCGAAAAGAAAAGTCCTTTGACTGAATCCTTATTGCTTACCACTGTGGATGTCATTTCTATCGGTTATCAAAATATTCTAGCGGATGATGCATGGGAAACAAGAAGTTCATAGATGTTTTTATGATCTTTGTTCAACCGTCGGCAATAGGTTGTGATTGGCTGCCTACGAAGTCCGATTACGGCAGATTTGACGCTGTTAGATCTGCTGCTGGCGCCAGTTGGGCATCTTCAAAGCCGGTATTGACCTTGCCCTTGCTTACTTGTTTTTCTTTTCTGCATTTTTACCAGCTATGTTTCCGTATCTTTTGTCAGCTCAACTAAGATCAAATTCCATAACAAAGTAAGACTCAACAAGATAAATGACATAGCCGAACTAAGTCTGTTCTGGAGACTTTTGAAGAACGGCATGATGTGTCTTGGTCTGGTAAGACCCCTGAGGCACCTCAATCTTCTCTGTACCTATTAATAAATATTTTCCTTGACCTGGACCCGCACTTTTTTTTCTGATTCCGTTATCTTTTATTTAAAGCCCCACCCACCTGTGCTATACGTTGCCGAACCAATCCCGGGTAAGCATCGAGTTGCCTCCATTTAAACGTTGATCTCCCCAGCGATTCTGCTCGACAGGAAACTCTCAAATCTACTCCATACCTACAATTTCATTCACCATGTCAACTCAAGATTACGAGTACCTTTTCTTCCGCATCGCCAAAGACAATACGATCGCGTCATCAGCCACAAAGTACAAACAGCTGCGCCTACAGGCCCTATCCGTCGCACCAACCTCTTTTTCCTCTACATACGAGATCGAATCTGCCCTCACAGATGCCGAATGGGCCAATCGGCTCTCAGAATATGGACGAGAGACATTCATATGTGCTGCGACTCCCACACAAAATAATCTATCAAACTCGCAAATCCCAGAACAGAGCACATGGGTAGGCCAGTTAACTTTGCTGGGCCCGCAGAACCCCAAGGACTTCATCCTACCAGAGGAATCCGGCCAGAAGAAGCCCACCGAAGAAAAGGATCAAGAACTCTGGCAGATGCTCAGCTTGTTTACGCTGCCCGACCATCGCGGTCGCGGCCTGGGGAAGAAGCTGTGTCAGGAGGCGTTGAGCTACTTAGCTTCCTATAAGAACTCTCCACGTAAGGTCTGGGTGCGATTGATGGTGAAGCCGGGGAATCATGCAACAGTGAGCTTGTATCGGGGTTTAGGTTTTGCGGAAGCTGGGAAGTGTACGCTCGCCGAGGCACTGATTGCGAATGGAGATAAGGATCTGCTACCGGAGGATATTAGTGGGGAGAAGTATACTTCGAGAAGTGGATTGATCATGATGTTAGTGATCCAGCGTTCGTGAGTCGTTTGTTGTCATAGGCTACGATGAGCACTATATACTGAACGGGAGCGAGCACGTGTCGAACCGACTTCAATAGATTAGCAGAACACATATCTACTGTTAATATAAACTGTACATTGCTCAGACTCGGGGTATTTCCCCTCAAATGAGCAGTAAGCCCTTGGTAAAAGTAAATCTCTCTCGTGACGAGCCTCAATGGATGCTTGCCCTGGAACCTCAATGTCGTTGAAAGAAAAACTAGCCAATCATTCTTCGGAAATAGACCAATTCCCACGTTGAGATAAGAGTGAAATCTGCCCACGCATTATGAATTATGACTTGAATTTTCAGAGAAGAAAGTCGTGTCATCTGATAGCGCGAGACTAAATGCAGCTTCAACGTCCAAACGGCGAAATCCAGGTGCACCGCCCAAACAGACCCCCCTCGAAATAAGTTCTGTTCGAGATGTGCCGTCAGCGTCTCTACATATTCACTTCAGTTGCAAGTAATAAGGGAAGATGACGAACCTTGAAGAAATCGATTCACGTCAAGAACCTTGGCAATCTTCCTAACATCCAGATGTGAAGACAGAGAGGGCGCAGCCTCTGGGCACAATGTCATATCCTTGTAGGATTCAAACGAGCGAATTTCCGAAAGATACATAAAGGACTGCTCCCCTCCAATAACAAGTCCGTTCTCTTCAAGCCAACCCTCAATATCTCGAGGATCGAACCACGTTTCATCATTACTCATACATGACGAATCCGGTCCTAATGAGGCAGTATGGGCAATGTCGATGGCTGGCTGCCTTTTTTTGTAATGTGTCCCCGCACCACCTACCTGATACACATATGCCAATTGATAATCCGCATTTGTCTGTAGCAATATGTCAAATGTCGAAATCATCGTGTTGACATCTGAGTAATAGAATGAGTACTGGAAAACGCGGGCGACTTCATCCCCGTCCGCAAATGGGTCGGTGAGTAGGCCGTGAGCCCGTTTGATACAAGTAGAATAGAGCCGCTGAGCGAAATTATTTGGTATTGGGACTTCTGCTTCGAGGAAACGAGGGGTGGTCTGGTGAAGGGGCGCATGAATTGACGTTTCGATGGGTATAGTGGCTGGTAATGGTAATTCGGTAGGGCAAGAGGTGTGGATATTGGCAAATCCCACTGGGCTGGGCGAAATAGGGTCACCTATTGGGTGTTTGTCGTACGTGTATCCATCATCGTGTTGTGACTCGCTGAAATGCTCGATAATTTGAGACGATGACAAAAAGTCGCGAGTAATGTTGTGAAGCTCATGCGTGGGATCAGACTGCCCCGGGGCAATTTCCGCCTTTTGAACGTAAGATATTAATTGAAGGAAAGATTGTGTCATATGCCTGATTCGATTTTCAAGAACCTGCACATAATTCATGCGAGAAGCAGCTTCTTCCTCTTTGCGAGACCTGTAAGTCCGTTGTGCTTTCCGAACTTGGTTACGGCGCCTCTATCCATCAGTCAAACACTATTTCAAACATATGACCTGGAATGGAATGAGCAGTGTGTTACTAAACATACCTCTACTAGGCCATTCTGCGAAGGGTCGATTCGGGGTCTGCCTCGCTTTCCCGTACGCAATCGATGAAGGTTATCCGAATTCAAAGAGGACCGCTCACAGTCACCTGAGCTTCCCGACAGATTATTAGAGCTTGTCTCTGGAACATGCAAGTTGGCAGACATAGCGATCATATGGTGAGTGGTATATAAACGAATCAACGTGACTATAATCGGTTCAGAACGAAAGTCCCCCCGCACACACTAAATCTTTAGCATGGTTTGTTACTGCTCCCTCATTGGTCAGCGCTGCGGGGATCCACCCCGGAATGCTGCATAGCTGGTCTATACGGCTCGACGTATTCGCTAAGGAGGTTCAGGTGCAGGGGTAAGTCAAACAACCACGCGGGGATAGACACAACCAATGCGGTTGGTCCACACTTGGGGGATTACAAGGGTTATCTTGGGAACCCTTGCCCGAGCTCGGAATTCCAATGATCTGCTCGTAAGCACGTCCAATATATTCACCCGTGCGTACTTCATGCTCGGCATTGACAGTATGAGCTCCAAATAGGTACACATGCTCCACAGAGCAGTAGCGGTAGAAGGATCGTACCGTCAGAAACAGGACACTGCCTCAGATCCCCAAAATTGAACACCTATTCCCCGACCTCACGATCATCATCCCAACTGATAAACTGCACCACCTTCCATTTCATGGAAGACACCCTCATTTGCTTGCCCCAAATGTACATGGGAATCGAAAACAAAAGGCACCCACCAGAGATGGCCGCCATTTCACCGTAGGCGAGAGCATAGCCTTTTTCGACCCAAACATTGGTATAGAAAGAGAGCAGGAACCCAAAGCAAGCTGATTCACAAACAAGTTAGCACAATTATTCAGACTAAATATTAGTCCATGAGGAGCTTACATTTAAAGGCGAGCTGGGTAACAGTGACCTCGCCCGCAATAGGGCGGTAGGCATCAATACAATAGGTGAAGGAAACATTAGTTCCCTGGACGACGGCAAAGGCATCTATATATGCATCGTTAGCAAGCAGCAGATTTGATGAGGTAAAGCATCGGACAAACTCACTGAAAAACAAGCCAAGTGTCGGGACCATCCAGTGTAGTTGGTTCTGAATACCGACCCCATATAGAATGAGAGATAAGGGTGACGCTATAATGGTGAGAACAATAGCGGGAAGACGCATTTCTGGCTCGCGAATGCCACCATTTCGCTTGGTGAAATAGTCGGCAATCCAATCAGAGAAGGGCCCGCCAAGTACAATACCAAAAGCACATCCGAGAAGATTGCCGATATAACACAATCCAATTTGCCAAGGCTCCATTCCGTAGGATGCACTGAAGGCACTGCCAATATTGGAAGAGATGGCTACCAAGAAACCAATGGTGACGGACATGACAATCGTTGCCCAGAAGACGGGAGGCAATATTATCAGACCAAGGGGACGGATCATCATCCGCCACAAAGGCTCATTGGTATATTTGCGACCACCCCAGGGCTTCACAGTTTGCCAGTAGGACTTCTTTGGCGGAATAGCAACCTCACCCTGATTGTGCTCCGTCTCACCTTCGGCAGACTTCGGTGTCTGATCTGCACTAACTACGAGAGGATTGTTGTATCTTTCGAATGCAGTCTCCGGGAACAAAAAGATAACGACCAAAAGCGTAGCCCCAACCAATGCAGCTCCAATCCAGTAGATAGTTCGCCAGGTGTAGTTGATGACAATTAATCCGGAGATAACTGACCCAAATGCGACGCCGCCCGATAAAGCAGCATTGTAAGCTGCCATAAATAATCCACGCTCATGGAGGAAGAAGATATCCGTAATAGTCAATGGGGCAAGGCATTCACCAGCACCTCCTGCAAAGCCGAGGAGAAGTCGAGTCACAATCTCTGCACCGTAGGATTTCGATGCACCGGACCCAATGATCATGAAGAAGTACATCAAAAAACTAGCGATGTAGACTGGACGACGACCATACTTCAGCATTACTGGAACCCAGAATAGGTTTCCAACACCCTGTGCCAGGGCACTGTTGTTGAAGAAGAATGAGGCGTGCGCGGGGGTCGTGTTGAATGACTCTGCCACAGTGAGCATAGTCACCGTAGGACCCGCGGCCATGAAATTGCACATAACCATAGCAAACGCGACAAGGATAGCGATCAATATCTTGTACCATTGTTTCCTAGAAATTATTGAAGTTAGAGAAGAAAAAGTTATATAGGCCCTCCACGCTGAGATCGCGAACCAACCATTTTAAGGGATCATTAGGATCAAGAGACGGTGCAGGTGTGAGAATGATCTCATTTGTTGTTGCGTCGCGAAGCCGAACGTGTCCTAGGGTATGAAAATGGTCGTCGTCGTAGAAGTGCTCATGATGAGTGACAGCTCCTTTCTCTAAGCCAAGCTCTGCCTTGGTCGATGAGTCCGTCATATTCGAAACTTGCTTATTGGTGGCCTGGAGTTTGCCGACACAAGAGAGAGCCGCTGTCTGGGACTGATTGTCCCTATATCATATATGTGCCGTAGTTTGATGATAAGTTCCATCATATAATGGCCAACTCTGGGGTCATGGATCCACAGCTGGGGAAAGTTGTGGGGGAACTGGAGAAGAGGAGAGAGGTGGAGCCGAGTTTCGACGGCACAGTTGCTAATCGCCCAACTCCACCTTCGGGAAGCCCAGTTCACGTCTGCAGATGGTACCAGAGTTCGTTCTAAGGATAAATATGGTCCCCCTGTAATATGCTTGCCGGGCGATTGTATCTTGCTCAAGGCTATGTGTATAAGTCACGGTCTTCGTTTCAAGCCACAGATAAAGACAACCAATTTGGCTCGCGAACGTCTGTTATTCCAAGTAAAGTGCTGACGCGGCCAGCTATGGGGTACAATAGGAAGCATGACAAGGGATGGTCAGAGCGTTGTAGTGTTGGGATGACTTGAGCGAATCATCCTCGAATGAAAAGATCCATAATTTGGTCTTTAGCGCTACAGATTTAGCGTGCAAGCCTAATCGTCTCCAGCTGACAGAAGGACATCGGACTTCGAAGCGAGTCGGCTCATGACAATCGGGTCCACATTTCGGAGGTCCTCAGGGGTGTCAAGCTAGCTAAATGAGACAGCTGTAACGTGGATGCCCTTCAGAACTCCGGACAAACAATGAATAAGGGGAGTTTACAACCCTTTCCAAGGGGTAGGTTCTATCTATTCTTACATATTGCTTGGTGACATTCGCCGTGAAGATAGAAAGTAAGAGTACGATGCATAGAATGAAAGGCCTAGCGTGTGTGGGGAGTCCACAAAAATCGTATTATGCTAGACTCGCAAAAAGGACACCTAGTCAGATAGTTCGTGATCACTGGCTCTGAACTTCACTAAAACTATTCTTAGTTTTCAGAAATATGCCCCGCCACTCAGCTAAGTCAATCTCGATTACCAATTTACATACATCATTTCTGATTACTCATCTTATATCATTCATAGAATCATAACAAGAACCACATAAACGCTGTTACCTCCTTCCTCTACTCCATTGCTGGGAGGTCGGTCTCGTCTGGTCCCTCGTTATACCGATTCGAAGTGCGTGGCTTAGCATGGCGAAGTCGTTCACCACGTAAAACGTTGGACTGGTCTATCGCTTCCTTTTCGTCTTGCTCTGTAGACTCGTTAGTTTAAGACTGATTTAATCGAGCTGGATGTGGGTATTTCGTACCGAGTTGCTCATTCGAATTGGAATATGGTGGCTGCACAGGGTCCTCGACAGGCTGTTCATCTTCTTGGACAGGAACTGTATCCTTGTAGTCTGGGTTTGTCTCCCCTACGTAGTCATTGTCTGTTACCGTCCCGGTAACTGGTGACGGATCGTTGTCTCTCTCGTAGAGATCCTCGGCTTCTCGTTCGATAGGGTTGGACATTTTGGTTGGCAAGGAGGTATACAGAAGAATCTATGAGGTAATATAACATTAAAACGCGTAGGGAGTCTATTTGAATTGTCCTTTATAAGACACTGGTCGTAAATTAGTAATTTCGCTTTTTGCTTCATATGCGCATAGTCACGTAATACAACAGTAAGTCCATTCCAAACCTCTATCGGTATGAATATGTCATTATGGGTCATATACGGCGAAAGGTTATAATCGCTACTCAATGTACTTGACTTATTTATCTTTCCGTGGAACGCCGCAACCTCGACCCTAAAGGTCTACCGTCAAATTTCATGGCAGGATCATCAGATATCTAAGATTCCGCAATTGAATGGACTTGGCCGATAATGTTTTGTTAGGTTGTCAAAGGGTTCTTTGACCTGTCCATCTAAGCTCTGAGTCAAACAGAGACGACATTGAGACCCGCTAAAGAAGAATGTGAAGATATCAATTATTACCAGCAGTTTTTCAACATCAAATTCGCTCCGACGAAACTGAAAGATCTCGAGACAAACTGCCGGTCCTTAGAGCTTGGTTCTTTCTAACGCTGCAGCGAGATACTAGCGTCATACTTAAAGGAATAGCTGAGTTCTGCCATGCAGTTCTAAAATATACAACCTCGGATCAGAGTGAATTCTCCACCAGCTCTAGCTCTGGTACCTTTCACAAGTCGGCAAGAACGCAATTTCGATCCAATAGGATCGATTCCATAGAACACAGAATTCGCTTGAAGCACCCTTCGGGTTCTGGCCCACGTTTGCTACCCAGCCACGTAGATGTAATCATTACGCCTATATGATGTGACCTTATCTGGAATATCATAGGACGCAGCAAAAAAGACTGTCTGGAGATCTTATGTGATCAATAGAAAGAAAGTGATTCGATAGTCTTAGCAGAAATACAGTTATGGCAAAATATCTCTCAATTTTGTGCTCAGAACTTAGCTGACTTGAAGTCTTAAAATGCTACAAATGTCACTTTAGGTGTGTAAAGGGCACGGCTGGAGACGCGCTCAAGAGGCAACTACGATCATCGCCACAGGCTCTCATGCAATTCACTGTACCGGTGTAACGCAACCATGGACGCTGATATACCAAGAAGGATGAAACGTCCCTCACACTAAAGGCGACACTTGTGAGGCTCAGTTCTTGATAGCAACAAATCCAGCCTGGTCGCGTGCTAATTATTTACTGGAGACTACGACATATTACATATTCTGAGATCAGATAACCCGAAATATGGGTATCATGTTAGTATGAATTCGACTTCCATCAACCTTAGACATTACGAAAGGTGGCGGAAGTGATGATGAAACTGTTTTGTCCCAGGTTGATTGGAAGGCGAAGACCATTAGGATAGTGTTTTGTTGCTCCAGATAGCGACATATGGCGGCTGATCAATTTACAGCGAGTTTAACTATCACAGATAATAATTCGGTTATTTCTGGATTTTCACTCCTTCACTTGTTTGAGCTGCCCTCTAAAACTTCGAGACTATGTTCTTCTTTGCCAACTTATCTTCCGAAACCACTTGAAGTCCAACGCGCCTGATTTTACCAGGAAACCCGTTTACGTATGGAAGAGCAATAGCTTTTGTGGTCCACGAATGTTTATGTTAAATCCACCCATCCACGTGGTCAAAAGAAGACTTGAAACCCCTGGTTCTTCGGGAATAGACTGTTGTGACTTATTATTCACTGCACCGTGAACACTGAAATGTTTTGCCAGCTTGCTTCGACTCTCTTCGTCAAGGAGTGGTTCGACTAAGCACCTTTCGGTTAGGTACGATTGCTCCCCACTTTTGCCCCTCTATCAGCTCGCCTCGGCCACCATGAGATTGATCATTTCCTCATCCCATCATGACCTTGCTCATATCTTTATCGGGACTGGGCAGAAGACTACTGCACACGTCAGCGGCTGGGAAACTAATAAGTCCCGACGAGTGCGAGATCCAGTAAATATCTCATGGTTGCCAATCGATGGGCGATCGTCGTAACGCTAAGCTTTAGTGGGGGCTAGCTGCATGACAAGCTACATCATCGGCTCGGTTAAGCATCCTCACTACGGGACTAATCAGGCACGTGTATGATTCATGCCTTTTGCTTTGCGAGTTGCAATGCGTCTGCAGAGAAACCAAGATCTGGTCTTTGTTATGGCAAGAGGGATGGTGGAAGGATATAAATGGGAGTGGACAACCTGGTTTTGCAAGCGTCCAGCCATCAGCTGTCCGCTCTAAACCCTTTCAGAACCACTTTCGTATCATCATCAAAATGACCATCTCCCACTACGGTGTCTGGGTCTGTCAGCCTACTCACTATGCCGCCGAGACGGAGAAGCAGGACTCCAAGTCCCCTCACATCTACCTTTACTTCACCGACGATTCCTCGTCGAGCAGGAAGCTCGAGGCTGCCATCAATGTCAAGTCAACCGATAAGGATACGCGGCTCGTCTTTTGGCTGAATCGCAATTTCAGCCACCCCATCACCGAGCAGCTCTCGAACCTCGAGCAAGGGTTCCACCTGACTCAGTCAAATGCTTCGGACAACTCAGCCCAAGAGAACTACAGTCAAGATTCTTCTCGCCATCAAAACCACGGTCACCACCATAAACACGGCAATCGTGAACGCCTTGTTCGTCGACAAGAGTCTACCTTGCAGGGCCTTGACTTCGTCCGTACAAAGAACATTGTCGATATCGAATCCGGTCAAGTTCTTCCCCATGATATCCCCGGTCCTAACAATGACATTCTGGATAAACTCGACCCCATTCTGACCGACGCAATCAACAAGAAGGCGACTGCCTATATTTTTGGATCGTCATACGGCTCTGGAATTCATGATGTCCACATGAACCAGGGCAGTCTTCCCAATTTTAATAACGGTATCTACGAAGATGGGGCATTGCTGTTCAAGTTCGATGATGGACACTGGGAGGCTGTCTTCCTGGCTTTTGCCTCACAGAAGATCCCTACAGATGACCAAGGTGAAGCGCAGTCAAACAGCAAGTCGCTGGCGGATATTCTGCGGAAGCAATGAGCCTTTGATGGATCAAAGGGCCATGAAGTCGGATTTATCGTCTTCGAACGAGGTAGTGTTCTCCGTATCTACCGTGTTGGGCCTAGTCTTGTTTAACGTGAATAGCGTGGAACTTTACAAATTTATTCAAAACTGGCCTTCACTATACATACTCTTACCGCTTTTCCCGCATTTTTCCCCACAAATTTGCTAAAGGATACGCTTCTCCTGGTGGCCCAAGCTTGTTACAGTAGTCGTTCCTGAAGGTGTCACGTCACTGCTCTACATGAGAAATGTGAGAGACTCAGGGCTTTCCGAGAACTCGCAATCTTCAAGTGTAGCATATTGCAGGCGTAGCAGTCGAATTAACTGGGTTCGATACCACTTGGAAATTTATTGGCCAATTCCGGGCAGTGGCACTAGGCTTGAATGCTCGTTTGTAGGCAGTATTTGAAGGACTCCGCACCCTGATTGACAAGAAAGCAGCCACGCAAGAACCTCTCAATGAAAATTACAACAGGTCACTAACCAAACTTAAAAAGATTCACGAATATCTCCCCTGCCCCGTAATTTTCCTCGACAAAATAATTCCCCAGTTACCAACAGTTCTTCTAACAAAATTCCCCGCATGATGTCACGTGGTTTTAGCGTCGGTTACCCTCGGCGCGGAGAGAATCATAGATAAATGCCATGCTGATTTCATCTACAACGAAAGCCCCTCGATTGCGACTTTGAGAACCACATTTCATTTCTCCCAGTTCTTCCAAGGTGATTCATCATGAACATCTTGCGCACCGGGGCCAGTGTTCCCCGCGTCCTGCGGCCTTGTCGACCCCAGAGTGTTCTCCGCACTCGTTTCCCCATACCACCCGTCGCGAGCCGCGCCTTTCACGCCGGGCCTTCGTTGTGGGGGATTAAGTCGCAGATTCTCAAGGATGTTGGTGAAGGTGAGTCTCGAGATAGTTATTGTGGTCTTGTGGTATTTGTGAAGGGAATTGATCGCTAATCTTGGGTAGGTATCACCGAGGTCCAGATCATTCAATGGTATGTGGAGGAGGGAGCTCATATTGAGGAGTGGAAGCCACTGTGTCAGTACCAGTCTGATAAGGCAGTAGATGATGTGAGTTCCTAGTTATTGTCCTATCCTCTCTCTTAACTATAGCCATGCTGACAGAAGCTCAGATCACATCGCGGTATGCGGGTGTCATTAAGAAGTTACACTTCGAGGCAGACGATACAGTACCTACTGGACGGGTAAGTTGTCGGATCCCAGGATCGGGTTTATTGTGACAGGCAGAACTAACAACTTTAACTAGGCTCTATGCGACATTGAAGTCGAAGACGGAAAATACCCCGACGATCAACCTCCCCATGACACAACACTCGAACCAGAGCCGCCCGCGGCGGCTCCAGAGTCTGGAATTCTAGCTACGGCTCAAGAAGCCGAAACATCCCCCATCGATCCTCAAGTGCCAGAGGAAATCATCGAGACACCCAAGTCCAAGCATGCATCTCTTGCCACACCCGCCGTACGAGGCCTTCTCAAAACCCACATGGTGGACATTCTCGATGTCAACGGCACAGGCAAGGAAGGACGAGTCCTCAAAGAGGACGTCCTTAAGTACGTGGAGACTCGGGACTCTCCCGTATCAGCAGTCTCTCCTAAAGTGACACTTTCCATCACACCCGACACTCGACAGACGGAATCCGAGGTCTCTCTTACCCCCATCCAATCAGCCATGTTCAAGACCATGACCAAATCCCTCAGCACCCCACATCTACTATTCGCCGACGAACTAAAAGTCAACGATATCAATTCCATCCGGAAGAAACTCGTCAGTGATGCCCGTGATCCGAAGAAGATCACTTTCCTCCCCTTCATCGTCAAGGCGGTCTCTCTAGCCCTTAACCAATACCCCATCCTCAACGCCCGCGTCGACACCAGCGACCCCAACAAACCCAAGATCATCATGCGGGAAAAGCACAACATCGGCATCGCCATGGACACGCCCAAGGGCCTCATAGTGCCCAACATCAAAGACGTAGCCAACCGATCCATCTTCGACATTGCCGCCGAGATCTCACGGCTCAGCGCCCTAGGCAAGGAGGGCAAACTAGGACCCGCCGATCTAAGCGGCGGGACGATCACAGTCTCGAATATCGGGAATATCGGTGGCACGTATGTGGCGCCAGTGATTGTGCCTTCGGAGGTTGCTATTCTAGGCGTGGGGCGGACTAGGACGGTTCCTGTTTTCGATGATCAGGGTGAGGTTACTCGAGGGGATATGGTCAACTTTAGTTGGAGTGCGGATCATCGGGTTATCGATGGGGCAACGATGGCGCGGATGGGTAATAGGGTGCGCGAGTTGATTGAGTCGCCTGAGTTGATGCTTCTTGAATTGAGATGAATAGAATAGATAGAAAGAGGCATAATGGGTGAAATCTGACATCAAAATTGATGAATACATTTCGACTGCAGGCCCCAATTAGCCAGTAGGTACCTAGTAGTTTGATTTGCAACTCCGTATGAGGATGACTGACAGGTATATACGTGGTGTACAATGGCAGTTCAAAAGTCTGACTCGAGAAACCAGAGAATGGACCAACCAGACATGCCTCAATCACTCGTATTTGAAAGGTCTTTCTAAATTTCTTTCGAATCGTCTTTCTTGATGTAACAGATATAATTTCGTGGTCTATTGGTCAACTCCTGACTGCAAAGATGAGTTTGAAAACATGTAGTCGGGATCTCAAACTTATGGAACCTCGCTATACTTTACTAGATTAGACCTGTAATTCGTATAACAACAAAGCATTTCGTGAGCAAAGCTTTCAGCCAAATGCATTGGAGATCAAATCTATTGAGAAGATAGACAATAAATGCTATGCATTTGCCCCAACGTATGGGGGTATCAAGTCACGAACCAGCGCAGAGTCGTACAATCGCGCCACAGACAAAAAGAGATGCAAGCCATATGATAAACAAAACGCCAATCAAACAGAGCCCAATACCAAAGATTCCGACAGAGTGATAGCCAATCCTACCTGGGCATGGCCAAATCCAGATATCGCCCAAGAACACCAATGACACCATGCAGAGGAAGCGCAATTCCTCGTATGCAAAACCACACAGACGCACATCGTTAACTATTGCGGGTTATATTCTGCCCTCACATGTATTCCGAGAGCTTCTTCGTCACGGTGTCAATCACTTCGCGCTGCACACTCTCTGGTGGACCCTCGACATTGACAGTGATAGCATCCCATTCCTTCTCTGGCTCCTCCAGCGCCTGCATCTGGGAGCGAACCATATCACTCTTCATGTAGTGGGACTTGCGCTGGCTGACACGCTGCATGAGGACCTCCTCGCTAAGCTTGAGATAGATAAAGTGGATCTGGACGGAGGGCGAGCCGTAGGCGGCGACGCGCATGACGTCGCGGTACTTCTGCTTCAATGCGGAACAGGCGACCACGACGCCGGCAGGTGGGTGGAAGTTGTTGGCTTCGGAAGGGGAGAGCGCTTCAATTGCGGCTTGGCGTAGGGAGATCAACCAGTCCCAGCGGTCTTCGTCGGTGAGAGGGATGCCGTTGCCCATTTTGTCTTTGTTGGATTTGGGGTGGTACTATATCAATCGGAGTGTTAGTTTCGCGGTCTTTGTTTTTCATTTGGATGACAGGGTTCGAGGAACCATTGTGCAAGGCAACGTACATCATCGCCTTCCAAGAAAGGCACTCCTAGTTCTATGCGCAGACTATTGCCCACGGTACTCTTTCCACAGCCGGCAGGGCCGGTGACAATCCAGATATGTTGGACATGAGCTGGCTTGGGACGTTTCTCATGGATCAGGTTGGCCGGGTTCGAGGAGGAGCCAGGATTGGCTTCGAAATCAGGCATAATGCGCCCCTTGCCAACCGAGACGGAAGGCGTATCTACTATAGCAGATGAGTGCGGAGGCTGAGGCCGTTCGCCGGCGGAGAGCATGATGCTGAAGGCAAAAAGAATGCGATATGGCTTTATCGTAAAGAACGGACACGTCCACGTCGCAGGTCCTGGAAAGGGGGGTGTGATCCAGGGAAAATTGGCCGGAGGTGAATGGATGACGAAACGATGCGGTGATACGCGGAAGGGGAGAACGCGCTGGGGGGGTGTCCCGGGAGATTGATTCTATACAGATGATGCTAAATATGCACAATGCACATATACGAGGCGAGCGACACTGAGGGTTGCTTCTTTTTTGTTATCAGCTTTGGGAGTAAGTGCGGTCGGGGAGCGAGGGAAGGGAGAACCGAGTCGCGCGACAAGGGCCGAGTCAGGGCTACTTTTTAAGTATTTCAGGTATGACGGTGGGGACGGGGGGAAGAAGAAACCGAAGAAAGCAGAAGCCGAGTGGGGGACGTACAAGCGGCCTGGAGAACTCAGCGATGATTCGCTGGGCTGCAGGTCCCTCATTACCCGAGTGGAGGAGGTGTGGGAAAAAGAGTGGGATGTCCATTCGGTTGAAGTTCTCCAGTTCGTTGGGCGATCGACTACCCTGCAGTCCCAGTCCACGAGGGCATCGTATCTCGAGTTGGGTATCAACTCTTCAGGAGTAATTTCCGGAGACATGGTTATTGGTTCTGGTTCAGAATTGGTTAAATGTCGGCAACTGCGGAGGTGATGACAGCCTGACGAGGTGGAAGGGCACATGATGTCACTTCGCTAGATTTCATAGCAAAATACTGTATGAGACCTGTATTGGCTGCCCCCACGCTAGTGGGACACCACTGCGGAAACGTGGCGGCTCCGAGGACTTGGTACTAGGTATTGATACTCAGTAATTTTGTACTTCAGTCCCTTCTATGCTTTGTACTCCATGAACAAAGCATCACTACTACTATGGAGAACTCGGGATAGCTGCTGTGTTATTGAGTGATACTGTAGTTTATAGTTTCTATTGTATCCCTCCAGTCTCACGGGCTCAACAAAATCTCGAAAATGCAAGCTGACCTCCGATCGGAACAGACAATACTTCCCCGTCTGCCGTTTGCCTAACCTTAGGCATCTCCGACACCTATAGGTACGAGACACGTTTCGTCAGAACTGCTGGCAACTTCGGTGGAAAGACAAGTCAATCTCACTGTGAACTGGGGTTATTTTTTCCATGTTCAACTTGGCTCGAACCAACGTCTACCAAGGCGCAGGTGGGAGTTCTGCATGCCTAATCACACCGACTCGGACCAAGGTACTTAGGCTATAGTTTCCTGTCTGCCATGAGACATTTTTGGCATCGAGATGGAGTGATGGATAATTCTCCATGGCTACTCACACCCCACACCACATCCCAGGAAATCGAATGTTGCTTCTGTCGGAAATCCGGGGAAGACAATTCGCAGGGCTGTTAGGAAAAAGGACGTGGCTCGGGAAGCAGTATCCGGTGGCTCAAGTAGGTTTCAACTTGCACGTAAGATGACCTGTTCCAAAGGCACCAGGAGAACAGTAATACAAACTCAAAAAAGCTGTTCTCTCTTTATTTGACGGGAACTAGTGAAAGTTGCGGAACATAATAATCTTAGCTTGCTTTGGTGATATGGCAGTTGCAAGCACTTCTGCAGTGACGTGATGACATCAACAACCACCCAGCTTTACCATGAAAGCCCTAGCAAACAACCTACTCTTATTCTGGATTACCAGTAAATTCTATGGTCTATTACTCTATTAGGTAGCTCGTAAAAACATGCCTGCTACTTCATCACTCCAGCGGTTGACAAGGAAAATCGATAGCTGCCTGCGGGGTATTACGTAAGCAGCAAGGCCACGTTCGGGATCATCATCGCGAGCTCGACTCCGCGCATCTCCTCACAACTACACACGATGGCTTCCCTGTTCTTCTCCACCCCCGTCGACATCGATGTCGTTCTTGACGACCTCGATGAGCGCCAGACTGTTGATGTCAAGCTCGACAAGGGCCGCCGGGAGCGCGTCCCTTTGTACATGGACGGCGAGTCGGTCAAGGGCGCCGTAACGATTCGACCAAAGGATGGCAAGCGATTGGAGCACACAGGCATCAAGGTGCAATTCATCGGCACAATCGGTAAGCTTGCACCTTATTTGGTGCCCAGTACAAATCCCCAGAGACTGACAGCAGCCGGCTACCAGAGATGTTCTACGATCGAGGCAACCACTACGAATTCCTATCGCTGGTCCAAGAATTGGCTGCCCCAGGCGAACTGCTACACCCGCAAACCTTTCCTTTCAACTTCAAGAATGTCGAGAAACAATACGAATCATACAATGGAATCAACGTGAAGCTGCGCTACTTTGTGCGCGTGACGGTCTCCCGGCGCATGGCCGACGTCATCCGCGAGAAGGACTTGTGGGTGTACTCTTATCGCATGCCACCAGAGACCAACAGCCCGATCAAGATGGACGTTGGAATCGAGGATTGCTTGCATATTGAGTTTGAATACTCCAAATCCAAGTACCACCTCAAGGATGTGATTGTGGGCCGAATCTACTTCTTGCTCGTGCGGCTCAAGATCAAGCATATGGAGCTGTCTATCATTCGACGGGAGACTACGGGATCTCCACCAAACCAATATAATGAGAGCGAGACGCTCGTGCGCTTCGAGGTATGTTCCTCGCCATGGTTCAAGCGCTATTTCCCGCGTTGCCCTTGTTCGAGGGCTCTTCTGTGATATTCCCCATGACGGAGGGACTAGGCTGACGCAATCTGCAGATAATGGACGGTTCTCCTTCGAGAGGTCAGTGACTGGTCTCTTTTCTATTGTGCGAGTCATTGCATCAGGACTCTGGAATCCGGCTTTACTGGGCCGAAACTGAGCCTGCTGCTCAAATGCTGACTTGTGACAGGTGAAACAATTCCCATTCGGCTCTTCCTGGGCGGATTCGACCTCACGCCCACATTCCGCGACGTCAACAAGAAGTACTCGACACGGTACTACCTCAGCCTGGTGCTAATTGACGAAGGTGTGTAAATGCCCTCACTCCCTACTCCCAACCCTGTCCTGCATCGATGCCCATGGGAGAAGATTGGCGCCAAAAGTTGCATCTCGAATGATTTCAACCGTTGGAGCACGGAAGGCAAAATCGGAAGATATTAATCATACCAATACCCGTCGGCAAATGATACGAGCCGATCGGTTCGGGTTCCCAAACCCCACGCTGTTTCGCAGTTCCCGACTTTGCCGCCTCGCCCACCCCCACACTAACCTGGTCTTGGCATTTTTGGACCTCCACCGGAAGAGATGGACCATACCGTTCCTGAAAATTTTGTGTGGAAAATTGACCACTAACGTGTTCTGCTTTTAATTTTACAGATGCTCGTCGTTACTTCAAGCAATCTGAGATCGCCTTGTTCCGCCAAGCGCCAGAGATTGCCGCCACTCCTCAGATCGCCCAGCAACAGCAAATCCAGCAACAGGTCCTCCTACAGCAACAACAGGCAGTTCTGCCGCCAGGATCCGCGACTGCCGGCCCGGGGCGTGAAGTATCCTCCGCTGTCAGTCGGGACAACAAAACACCTGTGGCCGTCTCGGCGCCGGTCGCATGATTCTCCGCTTGAGGTTGATACCATTAGACACTGTATCTCCGGAAGCTGCGACGTGAAGAGACAGACGCCTTTGCATGTTTCCTTCTCCTATACCCACATCAGTCCTCGCACATCTCATTTACTCTCCTTCCCTCTGTCTTCCTACTTTTCTACCGTCGTGTGCCGAGTTCATCGGCTCCTCTCACGGTCATGTCACGATACCATCCTGTAGTCTACCGTTTACATCCATCTTCAAATCTCAATGAGACGAGGAGTCAGTCCATCCAAATTACTTCACTTCTTGAATTCTTGAATCCGTTTAAAGAAACGCTCTTCACTATGACGGCTATCTATGGAGAAAGGATTAGATACATAGATAAAAGAATACATGTCATGTCTTAGGCTTAACGGTCCTCATGCAAATTGGCCGATTTCCTGTAACACCTTGCCGAGCGCCTGCAGAACCTGTCCGTCATCTCGTTCTTTACCCGCAACCTGAATCGCTTTGACAATGAGCGGGTACATCCATTCAAGATGCTTCCGGTGGTGACACGCAGTGGAAGCGTCATCCGTGGACATGACTGTCTTGATGGATGGCGGATCCGGTATGGCCGATGGCTCACTCTGCAGTCGCACCATACGCAGGAGAAGATGGAGCAGCACTTTACATGCAGGCGTAGGCTGAGGCATCAGACCTCGGAGGGGCTGATCTGCGATATACCCCTTGAGCGAAATTGCACAGCGGAGAAGTAGGTACGGAGAAATTGAGCAAGCCAGGAGTGTCCGGGGACAAGGCTTCGAATCATCAGACTCTGGGCTTTCCGCAAGCTCGAAGAGAGTGTCTATGAGGGTATACGCCATGTTCGGGCGTAGCGTTGGCGGTGGGTCGAAGGTTCGCCCGGGACGTATGCGATAGAAGTCTTGTAACGGGTCTTTCTCGATCGAGTTGGAGGGCAGGTCCAAGCGCTGAGGTGGGTAGATGAACGAGGAGTGGAAGAGTGCCAGGGCGAAATTTCGACGGACAGCATCCGGGATGGCAGAGGCGCCGAGGGAGGGGAGAACGAGGGTTTTCAGACGGGTAAATGAGGCAATGTCGAAAGCCTCATCGGCGACGATGCGAGCATTAGATAGCTGTTGGGTCTGGAACCCGTGAGCGGACACAATGCCGTGAGTAATGTCAACCACGCAGCGCCAGAAGCGTGCTATATCGGCTTCGCTGGCAGTATCGTATTGCTTTTCGGCGTAGGGAACTGCAACTTGAAGGACATCCAATGATGCGGTGGAGGCCTGCTGCCACATGTATGGCTCGCGGTCTTTGCCTTCCCACATGTACTTTTGCAGGATAAGCGCACCGAAGCGTTCAAGGGTCGATGCCAGAGCATCATTTGTGAGAATATCCTGCTTGATACCGAAGTCGGCGATGTACCAACTGATCAGATCGATGGTGGTCTTCGAAAAGGCAACAAAGCCTGGTTTTCTCGAGTCATTGCCAGGGCGCCATTTGGTTAAAGCCGAATCGGACAGATCAGCCAAACACAGCAAGATCGCAGCCTGTGATTCCTCTTTCTCCATGCAAAGAGTTTTGATACACTCGATGACTAAGGCTTGCAGGGCGGAAGGGCGGTCGACATCTGGAGAGTACGGCGGAGACACGGAATTCCACACTAACAGGCGTAGATGCTGTAGCACCTTCTCGATATTTTCCGGGCCCAGGTGGTCCTTGTATAGGCGGTAGATCTGTTGGAAGCTTTGCATATACGCCAGGGCCGCATCTTGGTTGGGTCGATCGAGGTCAATAGCAGTTTCATCATCTGCAGGATGACCGTTGGCCCAAAGGTTCCATGCGCATTCCCGAGCCTCCTTGCTAAGGCCCTCGGAAGATTGTACTCGAACCAAAACGGCAGAAAGGCTGGCGAAGGTTGCCTCGCTGAACTCCAAAAGGTGCATGTCCAACAATCCCTGAAGGTACTTGAAAAATCTTGTCCAGGACTGACCGAAGTTCTCATCGCTCACGATAGTGTCAAAGAAATTCGTGATCAAGTTCAAGACTCCTTTGATCATCAGTACGGTCGTCTCCACCCATGACTTGAGATCGTCTTTAGCAGTTTCCTGTTTCTTGGCTTCATACAGGGCACTACTGAGATTCTCCACCATCGAGAATAAGACTCGGTTCAAACACAGTCGCCACGCCTGCGGGGAAAGCTGCTGTCCGTAGGCATCGAAAATTCTCAGGAGGGTGTGAATCGCACTGTTCCGGATCTCAGATCTGGTGTCCGTGGTAATTCCAACAATGCGAAGAAGCAGTAATAGCCACAGAGAGTTCTTGGACACGGACGGATCTTGATCGCAGGTGAGTTTCCCGAGCTCCTCCTCGCTAACGGAAGTATCAACATGGCTTTCAACTGCAAATTCTTCGATCTGCCCTCGTAGGAAATCAGACACATTCCAGAAGAAAGAAGTGGTTGACAATGAGATGTTGAAGTCCTGTGTTTGTGATGCAAAACTGGAGAACGAGTTCACCAAGGCCAAGAGACAGGGTGCCGGAAGCAAAGAGAGGAAATCAGATGCAACAAGGTGCAAAGACTTGTAGGCAGCTCGGACTAGGCGTGGGCCACCTGGAAGAGCAGATCTCCTGCGTTCAGTGGGTGTCGTAAGCTGAGTACTGCTTCCATCTGCCAGGCAAACACCCCTAAATACCCCAGCGATTAAGTCAAATATGGAAGTCCACCCGTCCACAAGCATTTCCGCATATTGTTCAAGAATATTGTGCAAAATCTCCAGACTCTGTTCGTGGATCTCAATCACAGTGATCGGAAGCGACTTTGCGGTCACTTGATCCGACGAATACAGTGTTGTTACCTGATCTTTAAGTGTCTGCAGGTTTCTTGTCTGCACCTTGTTTCGAGTCTGATCGTCATCTGCTTCCCTAGATTTCATTGTGAGATAGATCAATGAATTGAGGATACTGCTGGCCTGGAGGCGGAGATTAGGGCTGATTGCAGTGTTCGCAGATGTCGCGATTAGGCTTCCGCTCAGAAGCTGCCACGCCGCAAGGTTCTCTTCGTCAAGTGAAGAAAGCCTGTCGAGATTCGCCCGGGCTAGCTCATTCCCTTTCTCGAGCACGAACTTCAACTCCTCATCTAGCATTCTGAATTTACCCACAGTGTGCGAAACACGACGAGCATTTTGGTGCATACGTCCGGATTTTCGCGAAGACTGCGGGGAGTTAGGTGGCTCAGACACCTCTTGAGTCGGTTCTTGTTTGGTATTTTGCTCAGTGAAGGCAGAAAGATTCAACAAGGCAAGCAATATCTCCCGGAAAGAGGGACTTGGATAGTCGCTAGTGCTTTCAAACATCTTTGATGACGCCGACTGCACTGCAATCACCTCCGCTCCAAGATTGGCTGTCGGGATATCATTGCCAGAAATGACCGTGGTTTCTCCTGAGGCACTGGCTGACTTGATCATTGTACTAGAAGAGATGCCAATCACCAGTCCGGCGTATTGAAGTGTTTCAAGCAGAATGGACCAGGCCGGCTGGTCTAATGTTGGTCCCAATGCGATTCCTAGATTGAGCAAAGCTCGTAGACACAAAAGATTTCTTGTGCTCAAGGAAGCCGAAGAAGACTCAACGGCCGACGAGCCAGCCGAGTCTCCAGACAGGGAGCTTGATCGAGGCATATCCGAGCTCTTACGGCTCTTTTGAGGGGTATTATCGGACTGCGGACCACCTAGAGACGGCGTGGCAGGGGTCTGTGTCTTGGTACCGCTTGTGCCTGCCGGGATTGCAGACTTTCCAAGGGTTGTGAGGAATGCATCCCGAGGCACAGAGAGTCTCAAGAGACCCGCCACATGGGCCAATTTCTGAAATGCTCGAACGAGGTTGTGGTAGTATTCGTCGTCAAGTGAAGCATGCAAGAACGTCGAGCAAGCTGCAAGAACAGCGGGCCAGCAGTTGTCAATGATTCCAGCGCAGGTCTTGATGGCCGAATATTGAACATGAGACTGCAGCTCCAGAGGGTTGACTGGGACGGATGATTTCCCTGATGGCGATGCAGCCTGTGCGCGCAAGGTGTCCGGTGATTGAAGATCTTGAGACAAGCGGGCAGAATCAGTTGCTTGGTCCTGATTCATGATTCTGTTCTTCTTCTTGGATTTCACATCTGGGACGGTAAGTGGTAGGATAAATTTTGCAAGCCCCTCGGCAAAGCTGCTGATGCAGTTGAGAACAAGGCTGTAGATATAGGTCTCTGGGGGTAGCGGTGGGTCGGCCTTATCAAGGAGCTCTATGTAGGGCGTCCGCACAACACTCCACTGCATGCTGATACCAGGTACCTTAATTTCCGCAGAGGGTCCAGTGGATCCAATGACGCCAGCAACACCGCCAGTCTCGAGAGCAATCTGATCTTCTGTTGCAGACCTTGTATGCTCTGCTCGGAACGGTATTGTTGACTGATTGCTAACTCCAATTAGAGACGGCTTTTCTGAAGCCAAACGGACGAGAGAAGCCATGTGATCCCTGAGGACATTCTTTCTGTTCTCATCCCCATCATACAACGAATAAATCAGTCGCACAACTCCAGGTTCGCCGTACAGGCCCCGGAAAACTTCCATGCATAATACTCGTTTCCATGGAGCATTTCCATCCGGCTCCAGCAAGTGTGTTAGCAAACCAAACGCCATTTCACACTCCGCAGTCAAGAGGGACATATGGCGTTTCAGAAGCACGAGTAGAATCCGAGCAACGCGGACGGTCTGAGAGAATGAATGTCTTTCGGAGAAATATCGTACTGTGAGTGGCATCAGACGAACACGCAGAACTTGTAATAGTTCCGGGTGTCCCACAAATAGGCGACCACTGTTGAGTATGATGCTTTCTATGAGCTCCAAAACAAATGTGGGAGACAAAGTTCTCGTGCGCAAGAACTGCAATTGCTCTCCATCGATGAGACGGCAGAGATCGTCCAAAACCTGGGTCAAGAAATAATCAGCACTAGATACCAATAATCATTCACTTAGAATCTGACCTGCAAAGCGTCATATGCAAATTGGGCCACTTCGACTGAATGGCCATCGACCTTCACGCTCGTGAATGATTTTGTATCATTCGGTAGCTCTGTGTGGTGAAGTTATTAGATAGGGGATACCACACAATTTGATTCCCATTAATAACGTACTGTCTTCATTCGATACCCTTTCAAAGGTCGAAACCACCAGTTGCTGGAGGGTAGCAGCTGCAGTGCTGCTGACTGCAAGGGTCTTGCTGGCTTGCAAAGTTACACATATCTCCAACGTATTTGCCAGAAGATCACCGCTCAGATCATTGGAATAGAACTGCAGAAGTGAAGGCAAGGATTGCAGAATCTTCAATTGAATATCAAGGCCTATATGGTGTGAGCAAACCCCACTCCATTAGTCAAGTCAGTCAGCGGCAACATACTCAGGCCGGTCGTCTCCTTTAAGCCAGCAAGAACATCTTTCAGACGATGGGAAGGCAGTGACCGAGATGCGATCAGTCGTTGCAGGCAAATTACGCCGATTCCCGCAAGTTTCGCGTGCCTTGTACGACACGCAATAATGAACGGTTCAACAAATGTTGATTTACGCACGAGGTCTGGTTCAACTGTTAATAATAGTGTGGCTCAAAGACAGTTTTAAAAGCTTACCTGCCGATATCTGGGCTTCAGATGTTGAGGGTAGAGCCTTTAGCTCATTGAGGGACTGCTCGGCTGCCTGGATTCTTCTGGTCAATGTCCGGTCAGCCATGCATAAGAGGACTTCAACTAACCGTTCGGAGATCGGCATTCTTTCGTCGAGACTCTTGTATGAGATTTGCGAGCTCGGTCTGCAAAAATTGAGAGGACATTTCCGATGTAAAACGGCTACATTCAACGCATGACCGATGCTATCCCAGTGGCCGAAGATCCGACGGTCAACAATCAGTGCTCCCCAAACCACAAGGATATGAGCTGGTCGGTTTCGTAAGATTCCAGAGTTAATAAAGCTTCTGGCTAGTTCTCATGCAAATGTAATGACTGCAAAGGCCGAGATTCTCTCGAAGTCTCGCGAATCGGTTGTGCAGTCAACAACCCCCGGCGTGGCATCTCCAAATGCCAAGCGTCCCCGATAAGCCTCGTATCGCACGTGACTAGCCGTCGATTAAGCAGTGGCGGGCCACTGACAAGTGCCCCTCCCTCCGATCTTCCGATCCTCACGAACCGCTCCGTCACCTTTGTGTTGTCGCTCGATCGAAATTGATCATATTGACATAGACTGAACCCAAAATGTCTGCCACCGTTCCGCGAAACTTCCGCCTCCTGGAGGAGCTCGAGAAGGGCGAAAAAGGCCTGGGCGCAGGTACGAGTATCCTGGTCTCCAAGAACATCCAATAAGCCACTAACAGATCACGATTTCAATTGCAGAGGCATGCTCTTATGGACTTGCTGATGGGGAGGACATGATGATGAGCAACTGGAATGGAACTATCTTGGGACCCCCTCACGTTGGTCTACCCTCATTCCCCGCATAAGTGTCGTGTGCCCTCGTGTATATGGCTAATCAATTGTTGTTTCAGAGCGTCCACGAGAACCGGATCTACAGTGTCAACATCCATTGCGGTCCCGACTACCCCGACAACCCTCCTACCATTCAGTTTGTCTCGCGCGTCAACATTCCTTGCGTTGACCAGCAATCAGGCAAGGTACGAGCTGAATCGACACCCAACAAAGAGGCCTTGAGACTGAATCAGTGATATCATAGGTGGATCCGTCCAAGCTCCCGTGTCTAGCTCAGTGGAAGCGAAGCTACACCATGGAGACCGTGTTGATCGAGCTGCGGAGGTCAGATATGCATATCTATTCAAAATGCCGGCTTACGTTGTACTGACTCTCCATCTAGATACATGGCCTTGCCCCAGCACAAGAAGATCGCGCAGCCCCCAGAGGGTTCGACTTTCTGAGACCTACATCTCATCCATAGGATCCTAAGGGGATCCGGAGTATCATGGTCTTTTCTTCGAGGTTCCTTTGCTTATTTTTCCTTTTTCAACGATGATTCTTTTAGAGCGTGTACAGTCTATGCATGGCAGCATGGCGCGGTTTCTCTGTAGCCCAATTCAATTCATTCATAACATATCTGCAATCATGTTTTTATTCCTGACTTTTAATGGCTGAAACTAGCTGTTCTGAGTAATCTTCTCGTCGATTGCCATTCAAAAAGACCTTTGATTGACTGCTCATTTTTTGACTCGGGACTGAAACAACAACAGAAAGAGACATCGGTGATTTAGAGACCGGGCTTAGCATCTAGCTACAGCGTTGGATAATTGTAGTGTGACACCATCTGCATCAGTCCGTAATTTGGGCAATGTTTGCGGCAGATCAAGTTTCCATGGTCGTTGTTTCTTCTTGTTACCACCGTTCAACTTCTTCAACTCTCAGCTTGCATGTTGATCACGTGATGTGCTTCCTCATTGACATGCGGCGAGCTTCCGCAATTTCTCGAGTCTACCCCCGAGATCACGGAATGCATAAGGTCCTAGTTCCAAGTCGCTCTGGGGTCCATCGCTTTGCTTGTAATACTTCCTTCTCCTGCCCATTTTGGATTCAAGCTAATTTCATGGTTTCCCACAGGTTTGGCACTTTATCGGGCCCTTCTCCGACAATGTTCCCCCTCCGCCGCCGCGGGTGATGCGCCTTGGCGCGACGACACCGAATTTCTCGTCAAGCAAAGGTTTCGAAGATACAAAAAGCTACAGAGCCCGTCGCAGATTGCCAATTCTTTGAAAGCAGGATATGAGGTGCGCATGAGCAAAGGCTATCCTAGCATCTCAACAATACTGATATGCAACCTCTTGACGTAGGCTCTGGACTTGCTTGACCGCGCGGATAAAGGAAGCCAGCCGGACTCCCACAAGCTCACCACGATACTCTCACAGGCAAGGTCTTTCAAGGAGCAATATGCCGCTGAGCAAAAAAAGTTAGCGGAGATGATTCCACCGAAGCCGGTATCGCCGAGGCAGGCTCGAAAGGAACAGACAATACGTTTCGAACAAGAAACATCCCGCAAGCACCCAGATACCCCGTCAATATTTGATCGGCCACGATTATCTTTGAGCGGGAAACGCAAGGTTCCGGTCCTGGTAAATGCACGTGGGGTACCTTTCTTGCGCATCAAGAAGCCTCAGCCAAGGAACCTGAGCGGCGTTATACGAAGCAAGCTCGAAAAGCGCTGGAACCGTATCGTGACTCGAGACAGACTACATGTGGAGCTTCTCTTTGCCAAGGATGAGGATTCCTGGGATCATCTCACCCGAACCTCAGAAAAACCAACTTGGTCCGAGGAGGTCAAGCTTTGTCTGGATGACGTTTATGAGAAGATTCGAGAAACAGATAGGCAAAACCGTGAGCTGGCTGAAAATATGTGGAAGGTTGTGCTTGAAGAGAGAGAATTGGCTAAGCAAGAGGACCAGCAGAGACAGGTGGAGCAGTCGGTCTTGCAGGACAAGAGTACTTGACACATTCCCAAGGTTTTGATCATTTGTGAGCCCAATTCGCATGCATCCAGTGGCCTGCCCAGCGGAGCTGTCGGATGCGCTCTTATTTTTGGACTTGGCTGGCTGTTAATCGGGAACTGCCCCGGTTTGTATAATAAACACTTCTCATTTATGATACCCCCAATTTTACCAGTCATTCACTTTGAAAACATCCTTCTGTGAACGTATGAGTAGCCAGCGAAATTGGCTCAGTTCGAGTACCCACTTGAATACAGTAACGAGGTATTGTTCATGTCATCGTAGACTCGTTTTGTGCTATATGCATAACTCCAAAAACACGTAAACCGTGTAGAACAGTACTATCAAATACACCAGCCGTGCGAAAGATGTTGTGAATCACATCATACAGTAACCTTGAGCTTGTCCACGGCAGGCATAGCATCCTCTTCCTCCTCGTCATAATCGGCCTTGCCGGCGAGGCCGCGCTCCCATAACTGTCGCCCAGTAAGCTTCTTCTCTTCCTTGGCGGTCTTCTTCTTTTTGTCTTCAGCTTCCTTCTCCTCACGCTGCCGCTGCTCTTCTTCCTCTGTCTCCTTCTTGAAATCTGCAAGCCATTTCTGGAATGTCTCTCGGTTAACAGGTGTGCCCCGGAATTTCTTATTCTCCTCCTCCTCTGCCTTTTGAGCCACGAGCGCCTTCTCCTCCTCGACAGCCTGTACCCGTTCAAGCATTAACTGCTCCGCGGCCTCCTTCAACGCACTGACAAGAGAGAAAACCATTGCCATTCCCATATTCTCTTCAATTGCACTGTTCAGGGCGCTCGTTAGGACGGCTTCATCATCTGGGAGCTCGATAAGCGGATGCTTCGGCGCGTTGGGAACAGGTGAAATTTTGAGCTCGGGGGCGACATCGGGATATTCTTCTGGGTATGAAACTTCAAGAAAGATCACAGGCTGCTCTGGCTCGGGGCCATTCTCGGGAGGGTCGAGCGTTATCGAGATCTTGTATGAAGTTTCGGAAATGTCTAGCAGCAAGCAATCTTAGCAACTATGCATTCTCTTGGCCTTGCACACTATTATAAAGCAATTGATATGGCTTTACCTGTGATCTCATCTGGAAAAATCGAGTCGAGCACCTCGCGCTCCTCAATTTGGTCTTCGCGGCCCATTGCGTCTGATCCGCCCGCGGATTGGAGGGGTAGTAAATATGGTATCCGACTTTGGGTAGGTAGGGAGAGATTCCTCAACGAGAAGAGATCGTGCCGAAAATAAAACGAGTATGAGCAGTCAAGGCTCTTGCAGGCGTATTCGAATACAGAGAATTAGATCAGGTAGTCTAATCGCATCGCATTTGCTCGACGGTGGTAAATGCCAATCTTGCGGTCCCGCATGCAAACCTGTCAAACAGCTCCAATTTTTGGGCCGAAGCTTCACTTTTTTACTTCGAACCTCCGACACTGAAACACTAATAATTCTCTTTGTTTTGCATCAGGCATATTTCATAATCTCTCTGGTTGTTTCCGAATAGACCTGCCATGGGAAAACCCAGACCACAAAAGAAAAAGTCATCCAAGTCCCGCACAAAGTCCGTCCTCGGCCCTGGTGGCTCGATCTCGAAATCCAAAATGTCCCAAGACCCCTCCACATTACTCGACCAGGCCACAATCCTCCTCCAGACCGGCCGAACGGACGAGGCCTTGCCAACAGCACAGCAGGCGCTAGATCTTGCTACCAACAATGCCTCCGTCCAACTTCAGGCGGTAAACCTTCTCGGAGAAATCAACGTCGAGCTGGGCGAGATCGAGACTGCTCGTGAATACTTCCTTCGTGCCGTCGAGCAGGATCCCAATGGGTCAATACCGGAATCGGAGGGCGGCGGCGCCGAGAAGTTCATGTGGCTCGCTCAATTGAGCGAGCAGGGGGTGGACGGACAGTGTCCAGTGGTTCGAGAAGGGTGTTTCATCTCTCAGACAGACGCTCCAGTCTTTGCAAGGAAAGACGGGAGCTGAGGAGGTCACCCTTGCTGAGGAGAAGAAAGTCAAGTTGTCCAATGCGCTCTGCGCCGTGGCAGAGATCTATATGACCGACCTTTCGTGAGTTCTATCATCTACCACAGTTTCAAATGTTCAACCACTGACAGAATTAATCACAGTTGGGAAGAAGACGCCGAGGCTCGATGTGAGGCGCTGATCACAGAGGCTCTGACTTTCACACCTGACGCGCCAGAAGTCCTCCAAACTTTTGCCTCTATCCGCATTTCACAGCTGAAGACTGAGGAAGCTCAGGAAGCCCTCAAGCGAAGCATCAGTCTGTGGAAGGATTTGGCCCCCGAGGACCCCAAAGTGCCTGACTTTGCAGTACGCATCAGTCTCGCACGTCTTCTCATGGAGGTGACGCTGGAGTTTGATGCTCTGGAAGTTCTCGAGCGTCTGATCCTCGAGGATGACCAAAGTGTGGAGGCGTGGTATCTCGGCGGCTGGTGTCTCTATCTGCTGGCGGAGAAGCAACAAGCGCCAAAGGATCTTACTGAAGATGAGGCCGCTGAATCGCCGCGACACGCGTCTTTGATTGCCAGTCGGGAGTGGCTCAAGCAAAGCTTGAAGCTGTACGATCTATTGGAGTACGAGGATGAGCCCCTCCAAGCCCACGCCCTGGAGCTTATTCAAGGGATGGTTGCTGAGATTGGAGAAGATATGGAGGATAGTGAGGCCGAGGGAGAGGGCGAGGGTGAAGATTGGGACGAGGAAATTGAGGCAGACTCTGATGACGAAGATCACGAAATGGCCGATTCATAGACACAAACAAACAAACAGTGATGATGTTTTACGCATGTACAGCTCTCTTTCTTCTTTCTTTTTCTTTGTTGATACCACAAATCAAAAAGTTGTCCATCCCATAGATCTTTCTTCTTTCTTCCACCAACCATTTCTCATCTCACGCGCCACTTGAACCACCTCGGCTTCGGATTAACCTCCTCCGAGCACTGCAGATACCGAATTTTTGTCGCATTCACTGCGCGAAGAGTCGTCGAGGCTGTCAAAACTCCTGCAGGATGACCTTGGTACCAGCGCCGAGCGGGAAGACCCCGGTGAAGTCTCCTGTGGTCGAAGTGGAGGCCGTAGAGGCCGTGGACGTCGTGGAGCAGGTTGAAGCGGAGACGGTCGCCCTGGAAGAGGCGTCGTCCGAGTTTGAAACAGACAGCGATGATTCAGAGGACTGGGACACTCTGTCTCATGGTGGGGATACAATCCAGTTCCTGCGCGATGAGCAGCTACGTGATGGACTCGGTATGGACCTGTGCCTGATATCTTACATTGCCCCTTTACCCCAGTTTTCCCCGCGATCGATCACCCTACCACGACATGCTTGGCTAACATGACGGCGCGCTATAGTTCCCGGTGCCTGTACCCTAGAAGAGGCTGTCGCCTTTCGGCAACGCCTTCATGATATCGGCAAAGCAGCCTTTGTGGAAGAGACTATCGCGCGGGAGACCGTGACGGCTAAGAAGCTCTGTACGGCATTTGGAATCATGCCACCGGCATTCCTTGAGGGCGCGCCGGACGAGTCCTATCATCCGCTGCTGGCAGTCGCATTGTCTCGAGAGTTCGCTCGGCGACCAAAGCTTCCCCAATACAACACTATCGAAGACGCTGTGCGGCTCTTGCAGGAGTCCAAGAATATCGTGGTGTTGACGGGCGCAGGCGTAGGTTTACCTCTTTTATCCATATCCCGCTTCATAACTAACAGCATCTATTCAGATTTCAACCAGCCTCGGCATTCCTGATTTCCGTTCCAAAGATACAGGTCTCTATTCGAAACTGGAGCATCTTGGTCTGAGCGACCCTCAGGAGGTCTTTGACATCCACGTCTTCCGAGAGGACCCTAGCATCTTCTTCTCGATTGCCAAGGACATCCTACCGATGGAGAAGAAATTTTCCCCGACCCATGGATTCATCAAACTCCTGCAGGACAAGGGGAAGTTGTTGACCAACTACACCCAGAATATTGACAATATCGAGGGCAACGCCGGCGTCTCACCTGATAAGATCGTACAGTGCCATGGATCCTTTGCTACTGCCACTTGTGTCAAGTGCAAGTTCAAGGTACTCGGCGACGTGATCTTCGGTGATATCCGAGACGGCAAAATTCCGGAGTGCACTGCTTGTCAGGAAGCGATCGCCCGAGATGCGCTGCAACCACAAGGGCTGAAGCGGAAACGCAGCTCTAGTGGACATCAAAAGGATCGCAAGGAGTTTGAAGATAGCTCGGACGAGGATGATTATGAAATTCCAACCCCTGGTGTGATGAAGGTAGGCAGTGGCTTCGCAAGACTCTGACTGTTAAACGACCCGTGCTCACCTAATTACGAATAGCCCGACATCACCTTCTTTGGCGAGGATCTTCCCGATGAATTTGGCCAGCGCTTGATCCATCATGACAGAGAACTAGTGGACCTGGTCATTGTCATCGGGACTTCGCTCAAGGTAGCCCCCGTTGCAGAAGTGCCGGGGATTCTGCCCCGTCACGTTCCACAGATCTATATATCACGTACAGTAAGTTAGCTCCCTCAAACGCATTTATCGCAACTGGTGCTGACTCGTTTTATAGCCTGTATCCCACACAGGATTTGATATCGATCTTTTGGGCGATTGCGACGTGGTCGTTTCAGAGCTCTGCCGCCGAGCTGGCTGGAACTTGGAGCACCACATGATACCCGCGGATGAGAAGGTAGAAGTTACTCCCGTCGAGGGACACGAGTCACGACATGTCTTTAAGGTTGTTGGCGCATAGCGGCGGAGTTTTGGGAAATGGTTTCTGCGTGAGGGACGGCGTCTCGGCGTCTCTTGGGATTCATCCTTACTTAGGGAATGAGGTGGTTTTTGGCTCTTGCTTTTGATTACTGGCCCTAGGTATTCTCTGCATAGATTTATTTTGATGCTTCAGTCAATACCATAAAATTGCCGCACTGAGTTTGAAGTATGTCTTGAGCATTTGTACCTATGAATGATGTCTGCCTCTTTTGTCGTAAATCTACACCTACATATCGTAGCGCCAAGGTAGGTAAGCAGAATATATCTCCGCGGGGGCATACAAGAAACCCGACAAAACATAATTCTTGACACTAGAACTTATCTTGAAAATACTCAAAACTTGAACGGTTCCAAAATTATGCCCTTCCTGCACGTATGGATAACATGGCCGAATATACAATGTGCTAAATTGGCTGCTGTTGTGTTCTTCGGCGACCCAAAGACTGGCGAGGAAAAAACTTCAACACCCGTCCATTCGTAACAACCCCACCACTCACGATCAATCTTGACATACATTTCAGGAACCAGACCCCAACTATTATCTGATACTCGAAAATTCGAGAAAGAGAAACAAGCAATATATCGCAACCTACTCGCTGCCATGGAGTATTTAGTGCGGCTCGCCCAATGTCATGAGACATTTCGACAGCCGGAGCTGCAGGCCGTGGCTACGCTGCTCGGCATTGAACTGGAGACCATGGCCTACAATGAATTTGTATGTGAATTCAAACTCAACAGTTTGCCTGTTAAACAAGCACTCAAACTGAAATGTCATTTATTTGGCATTACATACCCTCCTTACTCCACACCATCTTTATCGTCCTTGCATGCCTCGACCAGGCACTAACAGAAGCCCTCCAGACACCATTCTGTGTGGTTAAGTTGAAAGACGAAGCAGCGGCGCGCGCATTGATCTCGCGAAGTATCCTGGCCAAGGATATTCTGGAACTCTGGGGCCAGGGCACTACCTATGAAGAGCTACATGCCGATGTCCATCAGCGAACGAAGGACCGATGGGCAGACTACCACCTCGTCACGTACGCACTTGCTGTTGACTGCTTCGCGGGTAAGCGGAGTACAGCGAAGAAAAGGGAGATTTTCGAATCATTTGACTACTTGAATCTCAAAGGCGAGGTGCGGATCAAGAACCCCGACGAGCAATTCACCGTGGTTGAAGACTACGTGTCAGACGTCGAGGCAAATGCCATCGGCACAGAGAGGTCATCCGAGCCACGGATGATTTACATGGGGCGTTGGCTTGCAAAAAGCCCTCGGGATATCATCCTGACTCACACTCTCAAGAAACGCAAGTACATCAGCACGACGTCCATGGATGCGGAGTTGTCGTTGGTGACCGCAAATATGGCTCTTGCGGCTCCTGGAAAGGTCTTCTTTGATCCTTTCGTTGGAGCTGGGAGCTTTTTGGTGGCGGCATCGCACTTTGGTGCTTTGACTATGGGCTCTGATATTGACCCTCGGGCTTTCCGTGGCAAGGATCACGAGCGTAAGGATGGAATGGCGATGCTGCAGAATTTCAAGCAGTACAATATCGTCAGTCAGTTCCTGGATGCATTCACATCGGATGTCACAAATACGCCTTTGAGAGATACCGCTTTGCTGGATGGTATAATCTGCGATCCTCCATACGGTGTTCGTGAAGGTCTTCGGGTTCTGGGAACTCGCGATGGAAAGGTTATTGAGCCGGTCGTCATTGACGGAGTCCCTGCTCACTAGTATGTCTTACATTGGTATCAACCCTCCTGAAAAGAAGGTTACTGACCATACTGTTTAGCCGAAAGGGGTACATCCCACCGAAGCGACCATATGGATTTGAAGCTTTGCAGAGGGACATCCTTGAATTTGCAGTTCGCAGGCTCGTCCCCAATGGGCGGCTAGCGATGTGGATGCCGACAGCCAGCGACGAAGCCGTTGAATTCCCGGTGCCTATGCACCCGAATTTGGAAGTAGTCAGTGTCTGTGTTCAGCCTTTCACCAACTGTGAGTATAATGTACTACTTGGAGAGATTTAACAACCGAAATCTGACTGATCTCCCAGGGTCTCGCCGGTTGATGATTTACCGTCGTCTACCGAAAGGAGAGACTTCCGACATCACACTTGGAAGAAGCAGGACAGACGGCGAGGGTGTATCTGCGGATGATCTCAATGCCTTCCGGGTGAAAGTATGTACATTGTTGCAGAGTTTCCAGAGTTTCCATTACCCTACATCTCTAACAATCCTTGGCAGTACAACAAGCGAAACAGAACAGAGGAGAAGGAAAATGCAACGCAATGAGGATGGACCCGGAAGCCCTTTTACCGATAGACTGACATCTCATATACTCTGCTGAGAAGACAGAAGGCAAACAGACGCCCTTCCCCACGCGAGAAGCTGCAGGGGAAGAAAGACGGATACAAGACTAGACCGTCTTCACAATCTGCCCTTCTCTGAGGTATGACTGAGATCCACGCCCTCTTCTTTTTGAATACGCTTGATCTCAAGTTCCAGCTCAACCCTCATAGCACGAGCCAATGCAGCACCCTCGTCATCATCAAGCTCATGTCGCTGACCGCGACCGAACATAGCAAAGCTCGGCTTGTGAGCGAAGTCTGATGGTCGAGGAATGATATGGAAGTGTACATGGGGTACTTGCTGTGCTGCACGGGTGCCTATGTTTCTCAGTTAGCTTGAATATTGAATGCATTGGCACCACCCTCGGGCTGCTAGACCACGGCCTTTTGGTATGTCATTTGAAGAGTACTTAAGATAGTAACGAGGTGGCTTGCAGGGGCCATCGGCCATGTCCATACAGTACATTTGACAGGTAGGCAACAATGTAAAATTCACGTACCATTATTCTGAACAACGTTCCAGTGTCTATCCGGGTCGTCCCCGAAAATCGTTTTCGTCACGACCCTTGAAATAATCGGAAGCCATTTCCCCATCTACCAAACCATTAGCATCTTATTCTGTCTGATCCTTCTGGCCTTATAACCAGTGTATAAGGGTGAATTGAATCATTGGATCATGAACATAATTCAATATCCACGGGAAGCCGACGAGAAATGAACATACCTCCTGCCCAGCAACAACCCCCATATCACCCAGCTTCTCATAATGCCGCCGTGGGGCAATCAGGACATGTCCATTCGTTAAAGGCATAATATCCAAGAAAGCAAGGACATGCTCCGTCGACAGAATCAGATGAGCTGTCCCGTCGGATGTGGATTCGGACAAGCTTGAGCCTGACTCGGGATCATTGAAAGGGGCTGGCGGGTTGGACGCCGCAATGTTGCAGAAAGGACATGGTGATATTTCATCTGCCATGGTAGATTGTAGAAGGTGTTAAATCTGTTGAATTGAGGTTCAACGAAGATTATGACCGCCGGACTGGCAAGTATAGTCCTGTACTTGGTTATGTCTCACCGGGAGGCCGAGATGTTCCCCGCAATCTATCCGGAGTTCACTGCACCGAGGAATCTGGCTTTGGCGTAGAGACGAATGACTGCAGTCTGCTAGCAACTGGCACGAATGCCAAGAATAGTAGGCAGTTTAGGATAAAGAGAAACTCGAATCGTTAGACACATAGGAGTCATGCCGTCAGTCAGGCAGTTGTCCGTTGCAAGGGACGAACCTCGGCTAAGTCTAAATGGACGTTGGCCAATCACAAAGTTTAATCAGACAAAGATTCATTCAAAAGACCTTTTCTGCGCATCCGATCCAGAAGAGAAGACGCCTATGTACACCTCCCCCAAATTAAAGACAGACGCGAGAATCAAAAAAGAAGATCAGAATTGCATCCAAAAGCCACGCCAGGCACCCAGCGCAGAACAAAACTAATCTAGGAAAGACCCCAGCCAGAACACAACCTTGACAATAATTAACCCATCCTTCCAAACCAATCCACCTAGTATCCGTGGGGAAGACTCCTTCATCCTCACCAACCTGAACCTTCCAGATGACAAGAGACCCTCAAAGATCAAGCCAACCCCTTTTTGTTCCCACCAAAAGAAAAGCCACTGGAGTCGGCAGAACCACCTGGTTAACAGCAGTGGAGAAAAAGAGACCCAAGTAATGAAGACAAAATCCAAGGGTGCGAAAAAAGGTCATATTCCGATCTTGAAAAAGAACTGGAAGAAAGAAGAAAATGATAAGATAAAAGTCCGACGCCAATCACACAAACGCGAATAAGGAAGAATGGGAAGGTATCAGGGTAGGTGAGAGACGGGGCACCCCATGCAAACAAGACGCAGAAGAAAAAAAAAACCACACAAGCCGAAGTCAAACAGTACCACAAGGCTGAGCGCCGAACACCACCCGTCACAAAAGACAAATGCCGAAGAGCGCACAAATCAATCAAGTCATCGTTAAGAATATGCAAAGAGGTAATTGATACCAGCACAATGAAATGCCAAAATATGGAGGAATTCGAAGTTCCCTGGTCGCAGTGTCTCGAGGGCCTTGGGATCGTCATGAAGGACAACGACAGAGCCGACACAGGGCTAGCATAACATCGTAAATGGCATCATTACTGTTCGCTATCCTTGATGAAAGTGTACGGCTCCGTGGTGGAGCTCTCAATGTACATCGAGTGATACTTCTTGGCCCATTGACGGGTCAGGATGGAGGCTATTCGCAGGAGTTAGCATGTATACATACAAAGGTTGGTAAGGTGGAGTACATACCCTTCAAGAACTTCTTGCTGGCATACTTCTTGAAGAAAGCCTCGTGGGAGACAGGCCGGTGAAGATAGTCAATCATCAGGCGGAAGACCGGGTCAATCTCCTGTTCGGTGTATCCGGCGTAGTGGGCTAGAGTGGCATCCCAGGGTCCACGCTCCAGGATGAGGCGTGCCAGGTACATGGCCGCGGCAGCGATGTGGCTCTGAGGGTAGCTCATGAAACGGTGGTCGAGCAGGCTGATCTCCATGAGATACTTGCCCAGGGTACGAGTCTGAATGTCGTAGTTATCCGCCTTGGAGATGCGACGCAGGAAGTTCATAGGGTTGGGGAAGCTCATGTTGTACTCGAGGGTGGCGAGGACGTGGCGCTCGGCATCGAGAATCTCCTTGTCGGAGAAGGTCTCATCGGCGACGTGGCTGAAGTTGGCGACGTGGGGAGACAGAACCTCTTCATACTTGGAGGCAATGAACATGGCAGTGACACCAACAAGCTGGAGACGATCCAGGGCCACAACCTCGGCCGACAGGAAACGATCAATAATGTTGACAGCGAGGAACAGAGTCTCGGGAAGGAGACGGAAGCGAGTGTGAACCTCAATCAACCAGTCGACCAGGATTCCGCGCATCTTCCACTCCAAATCGGGTTGGTGGTCGATGTAGTCAGGGTTGGGCAGGGTGGTCATTTCAAGGTCGCGCAGGTAGTCGAAGATCTCCACCACATACTCGGCAGCCATCAAGGGGTCATCGAGGTCCTCAGTATCAAGGTCCACCACGTCGGGACCCAAGCCAACATCCTGCCCAACAGGCTCATCCTTGATCTTGTTCTCAACCTCGATCTTCCCCTTCTTATGAGGTGGCTCCTGCTGCTCGCCCTTCTCGACCTTGGGGCGCTTGTTGGCTGGCTTCTTCGGGTTGGGATCGCGAGGCTGCAGGGCAGTGGTTCGTGATGAGTTGTTGCGGCTGAGCTTCTGAACACCACCAGTCTGAGTGGTTGCCTTGGAGGTCAAACCGGCCTTACCGGCGACAGCCTTCTTTGCACCCTTGAGTTCCGCGGCATCGACCTTGTTGACATTGCTGACGTCTCCCAGGGCGGCACGGGGACGCTGAGTACCGCTGGTGGTCGTCGTAGCCCGCTTGGTCTGCAGAGGCTTCTTGACGGCATCGGCAGGACCGTCGGTGTTGAGCGCGGCCTTGGCCCGCGTCATACGCGTGGAAGGGCCGTTCTCGTCGTTCTCATTCATGGTGCCTCGGGAGCGGAGGCTACGGGCCTATGAAAAGGTTAATGTTTTGACCGTAATGAAAGGTTTTGACGCGTCAAGATCTTCAATGCAGCATCAAGCCCAGTCCTGCAGTGAAATTGACTCGAGCTGTCAGGGGTTAGAATTGCTTACCACAGGCATTGTGGTAGTCTCAAGAAAGAGGGAGGGAAAAGGCGGACGTGTTGAGAGAAAAGGAAAGGGCGAGCCTGATAGTCTAGTCCAACCCGGGTCACTCAGGTCAGCATTCCGTTCGACATTATCTCAGTGGGGAACCCCCAAATACCAGAGTATCAAGGTCGAAGTGCACGTACCACGCGTGAAAATGTAGTTACCCTGAGGAAGCTACACTCGCCAGAAGGCAATGGCAGCTGCTCAGAGGAGTTAGGATGGGACGAGTCGCGAGTCACGACGCATACAAGATGATGTTGATATTAAGAGGACTCGCGAAGTCTCTGCGAGTCGGAGTCGAAAACACGCGTGAATAGAGAATTAAAGGGTGCAGAGGTATTTGAATAACACGTGGAATCCTCCTGGGAAGATATAGCCCAAGGATGGAGAGTGGTGGGAGGGGAGGAAGGGTATCTTGAAATGGAATGATGATGATGAGGGAAAAGGTGGAAGAAGTCGAAAGAGGGCCAAGCGATGTTTGGCCCTACTGTGCTAGCGTGGAAAACCGGTCAAACTTGAGTGACGCCCCACAAAGCAAGTCGCGACGGGGTCTTTCCACTTCTTGTCCAACTGGTAATAAGACAAGTAAAGATGCTTTAGAAGGGAATTGATGAGATAGAGAACCAAATAGGGTAAAGGAATCCTGTATCTTGAAAAGTGCAGATCGGAGTTTTTGGGGGTAATGGATGGCGAGCGAAGTGGTAGATCCAGAAATGAAGGGGAGGGGTGGTTGGTAGGGAGGCGGTATTGGGTGACGGTAACGGTGGATACGCGAGGGCGCGGACGAAACGTGAGGCGCGAGTGGATGTCAACAACGCCGTTTCCCCCGCAACCACCCTCAGGTCACGGGATGATCACGAGACCAAAGCGGGTTGAGCTCGGGTTCCGGACTTCCATGCGCCACAAACTGTGGCAGTACCAATCAAAATGAGGCTGTGCTGGCGGTCAGGACAAAGTCACATGACGTGCTTCCCAGAACTTTTTGCCTGGTCATCAGTTCCAGCACTGACGAGCGACGAGCGGACAGGATACCGAGAGCCCTGCGTGCAATTGGGCCCCGATACCTTGATTTTTCGGTGGGAACTCAATTCGGATCCTCATAAATTGGCCTACAAGCTAGTGCTTAAAACCACGATCAACCATGCTCCAACCCCGACTCGCCCTCCGGGGTATTCGGCTGCCCTTCAGGTGTTTACCTACGATTCCGACTCTTCCTGTGCGCCGGTTTGCGACTGCCGTCAATGAACTAGAGACGCCCGCCAGCAAGGTCTCTCCTCCTTCATCCGACTTCAGCGCCTCTTTTGCTCCTCCTCCCACCCGTGACGACTCCGGTGTCCAGCTTCGCACATACACTCCCCGTACCCCCGGTGTACGACACTTGCGGCGACCAGTCAACGACCACCTCTGGAAAGGCCGTCCCATTCATCGATTGACTTTCCCCAAGCGTGGCCACGCCAAGGGTGGTCGTAACAACAGCGGTCGCGTCACAGTCCGCCATCACGGTGGTGGTCACAAGCGTCGGATACGCATGGTGGATTTTATGCGGACAGACGCTGGGCCCCATCTGGTGGAGCGAATTGAGTATGACCCAGGTCGTAGCGCACACATTGCTCTGGTTAGGAGCAAGGAGACCACTAAGTTGAGCTATATCCTCGCCGCAGATGGTATGCGGGCTGGAGACGTCGTGCAGAGCTACATGTCTGGTATTCCCGATGACTTGTGGCAGAGCATGGGTGGAACTGTCGACCCTGGTGTGCTCGCCGCACGAACTGCCTGGCGAGGCAACTGCTTGCCTTTGCACATGATCCCAGTCGGCACCCTCATCTTCAATGTTGGATTGCGCCCCGGAAAGGGCGGCCAGCTGTGTCGAAGCGCTGGCACACATGCTACTGTGGTCGCCAAGGGTAGTGACTCCCGGCAGCAGGAGATTGAGACTGATCAGCCCGAGGAGGAGAAGAAGCCTTTGACCCTCCGCGAGAAGCAAAAGCAGGAGCGCCTGGCTCAACACATCACTGTCCGCTTGTCAAGTGGTGAGACTCGTCTCATCCACAAGGATTGCTGTGCCACTATTGGTGTTGCCAGCAACCCCAACTACCACTACACCCAGCTGGGTAAGGCCGGTCGTTCGCGCTGGCTCAACATCCGTCCTACCGTCCGTGGTCTGGCCATGAACGCCATGGACCACCCTCACGGTGGTGGTCGTGGTAAGTCCAAGGGTAATGTCGACCCGAAGAGTCCTTGGGGTATTCCGGTAAGCTCTTCTTTTCTACTAATCGATCTTTTGATTATGACCAAGTTGCTGACATATGAGCTTTTTCTTCATTATAGACCAAGTCCGGTTACAAGACTCGTCCCAAGTGGAAGATCAACAAGGCCGTCGTGCACCCGAGACCTCGCAATCAAGGCCAACGTCGCCGTGGATACAACTAGATTGCCTCTTTTCGTGGTATATCTCGAATTTGAGAGAGACGGATCGTGCCCGCTCTTCCTGCTTTGCTCTTGGAGACAATAACCCTTTACTCATCTTATACCTCATTCTCACTGCACATGGGATGGCTGTACGATATTTTTCCAATCTGTTTTCTTGCCGTGTATTCTCTATTCCGCCGTGCATTATCGGGGATCCTGTTTCTATCATCCGTTTATCATCAGTTGGAGCTTGGGGCAGCGGGGCTATGTATAGTATGACGGCCCATGGCCATTCGCCAGAAAAATAAAGTATTTCAAGATAATCTATTGACTCGTGGAATATTTCCGGGCTCGTATCGGGATATAACGAATCAGAATGTTACCAATACGCCTCTCGTCCTTCAAAGGTACGGATCCAGTTAGTAGTACGAGGCACTGCATACCTACAGTAGTTAGTCCAAGCCTACAAGTAGTATGTGGTGCGATATGTGATAAGAAAGATCGACGCTTTGATCCCCCGATCCCTGCCAAGCCCGCCAGGCAGCCTCGTGGTGCGTACGCCGTACACACACAGCCCACAGCGACACTAACACACTAACGGTCGATCGCCAGGTATCAGTCCTGTCTTGGGTAAAGGAAATTGGAATGGCTTCTTCATAGTTTCGATTCGAAGCTGGTCGAACCACAAAAAAAGGGGATCTGGGTTTGGATGAAATATATGTAAAGTCGGGGCCGAGACCCCCAAAAGTCTCAGCCTTCTCTCCCAATACGAAAGCGTGCCACCGTCATCCATCAGAACTCTCTTCTACTTGCTTATCCCCACCCACCCACCAGAGATTATCACTCTGATAATGAAACCCGCTTGTACTTGACCTCTTGGCCGGTACAAAGCCTCATCTTTACCTTCCTCTTTGACCTGCAGGAGACTAGAGTTGCCCGCGCTGCGGTGATAAGCGGTGGGCTGTCAACCTCGTCATCGGTCAGGATTCTATCTTCGCTCCTCGTGTCCGCTGTCGATTCGGCCCGCCATGGAGAACTTTCCGCCATCCGCGTTTGCGTCGAGCGCTTCGCAGTATGCTGCTGCAGAATCTTCATTCCAGGACTCGTCGGCCGTTGACAATAGCCATCTGACGGATGGCGCGGTCGCTGGAGACAGCAACTATGTTCCCCGACCCAAGCGCATTGCGTGCGTCGTTTGCCGCAGGAGGAAGCTCAGATGTGATGGGAAACGGCCAAGCTGTGGAACGTGCTCGCGCCTGGGTCATGATTGCGCTTACGATGAAGTTCGAAAGAAGAGTGGTCCAAAGCGGGGATACGTGAAGCAGCTGGAGGCGCGCCTGGGTACGAATGACATCTTCAAAGCACTGTCGCATATCCTGCGATAAGACCCTCGTGGAAAGAAACCATCGCTGATCGATATTCCTCAAATAGCTCAAGTCGAAACCCTTCTCAAAGGCCAGGAGTCCGATCCCTCACCGCGTACCTCCCCACATCAACCGCTCGAGACTTCTTTTAATGCGCCTATCAATGATGATTCGATACTTGGTCTGCCAGACATTTCGGGCCTTGGAAATGACATTGGCGTCCCGATGCCTCCATCTACAAACGGTCTTGGTCCATCACAGCCGACGCCAATGCTGTTCGCAGGGCCAACGGGTGCCACCAACGATCCGTCCTGGGACTTGATTAGTTTGGGACTGGAGGAGCCTCTTCCGACCCAGGACGTTATTGACGAGTTGTGAGTGAGCTGGTTTTGGGGAGGGCATTGAACCTCTGGCTAATCTAGCATCTTAGGGACAATCTATTCTTCGAGAAAATCTATCCGATGATGCCCATCATCCACCGTCCTCGTTACTATGCCAGCTTGAACCTCGCTCCTCACATGCGGCCCCCAATCTGCCTGCGGTACATCATGTGGTGCCATGCAGCATCTGTCAGCGACAAGTATTACTTTTTGCATCATCATTTCTATCAACGGGCTCGCAAGTATGCGGAGATGGATGAGATGAAAGGCTTTGGAGAGAATATCATCAGTCTGGCGCATTGCCAAACGTGGATCCTAACGGGCTCTTATGAATTTCGAATGATCTACTTCCCCCGGGCATGGCTCAGCGTGGGTAAGGCGTCGCGATTGGCACTCATGATGGGTCTTAATCGCCTGGACGGCAATGGACTCGATGTCAAACAGTCCATCATTCCACCCAAAGATTGGACCGAGCGTGAGGAACGTAGGAGAACATTTTGGATGGCCTTTTGCACAGACCGCTATGCCAGTATTGGAACTGGCTGGCCTATGGTCATTGATGAGAACGATGTAAGTAAGCTATTGATTGACTTTTGTGTCCGTTGTATGTGGATGGTGATGCTAATTGTGGTAGATTATGACCAATCTCCCAGCCTCTGAAGAGTCGTTCCTGAAGAGCAAGCCACAGCGTACGCTTCGACTGTCTGACATCATTGCCGGCGAAGGTGTATCTACACTGGCCCCCTTTGCTTGTGTCTGTGTTTTAGCCAATCTGTTTGGCCGAAACCTCGTTCACATTCATCGACCTCAGCCACAGGATAATGATCATGACCTCAATGGCGAGTTTTGGAAGCGCCATAGGAGCCATGATAACATCCTTCTTCATATTGCACTTTCATTGCCCGAGCACCTCCGACTACCAAGTGGCATGGATGACGTCAATGTCATCTTCGCCAACATGAGTATTCATACATCCACCATCTGTCTTCATCAAGCGGCGATATTCAAGGCTGAGAAGAACAAGATGCCCAACCAGATCATCACCGAAAGCAAACGTAGGTGCCTCGTGGCAGCCAACCAGATCTCAAGTATCATGAAAATGGTCAGCCACATGGATTTATCAATCGTATGTCTGTCTTGATCATGTACCGTGCGTGACGAAGCTCGCTAACCATCGGCAGTTGAATCCTTTCATGTCGTTCTGCCTGTACATCTCAGCGCGAGTGTTCGTGCAATACCTTAAATCTCGCCCCGATGACTCCACAGTCTACTCCTCCCTGCAGTTTGTCGTATCAGCTCTCAATGCGATGAAATCTAAAAATCCACTCACGGAGTCCTTCCTAGTGCAACTGGACGTTGATCTTGAAGGAACGGGGATTCGGGCAGTGGATAACGCCAAGACTGGCTCCGGGGCCAGCCATGTTATCAAAGCGATGGTTAGTCCCTTCCCCCTTGGCATCACACGTTTTCGTTGTGGAGTTGGAAAGTCTTCGTGGCTAACCTTATTCAGCAATCATATTGCTCTGACAACGTCGAGTGCACTCCCGTATACAATATTCGCCAGTCACAAGGTAGCGGCGCCCCAAATGAATCCTCGCAGGACAATTCGAATTCGAGAACTTCTGCACGATCTTTTCTGCCTGGCGCGACCACTTCTCTCCCCAGTCGACACAGAGATTCACCAAACATGGACTCCGAACGAAGGTCACTGGGTAGTGAATCGCAGCAATTCTTCCCCCACGTGCGATCTTCGAATGGAATCGTTGAGCTCGTTGGCCAGGGAGTCGTTGATGGAGACATGGACTTTTCACCCGACTTTGGCCTTGGTGAAAGAAATCCGCCTTCCGATCACCCTACACCATCCACATTGAACTCATCTTCCAATACGTCCTATTCTCTATCGGGGATCGACAATCCTTCACCCGATAAAAAGCATCCGAACTCTGCCTCGACCTACCCATCCTCTGGCTCCGCTACATCTGTCGATAAATCCCACTCCGTCCAGATCTCCCCTGTTGCTACAGAACCTTCCCAGATTCTTGATATGGGCTCCATGGCGGGCCAGGGGTACCCGGCTAGCTCCGCCGGCCCTATGGGAGTTACAGGAGCTGCCAACGTATTCAGTATGGCTAACCGCTGGGACATGCCTACTCCGGGTCAGGACTTGAACAACCTTGACTTTGAGAATGTCAATGTGGAGGCAATCAGTGAAGCTCAGTGGGCCCAAATTTTGAATACTGAGAATGGTCCTGGCTGGGAGAGTTGGCGACCATCTTGAGAATCGAGAGGATGGGTTCCGTAATCGGAACATTCTGGCAGCGAGTAAAGACTTCTTCTGGTGACCGAGACTGAGGCCTCTGGACTGAAACGAGACGTCCCGGCCAATTGGTGCGACCCTTGATCATTCTTACGCCCTGAGCTGGCTGTATATACAGCTTTGTTCAGGGCATGCAGATCTAACAGGGCACCTCCCGAGCACCGAATATAAGTCCGGGGCTGAACGCAGCACGCGTCCTGACTGCCTGGCACTACTACGAGCACTTCGTCTCCATGGAAGACCATGTCCCTCCTCTTCGCGCCGTGTATCACCACAAACATACAGATTCAAGATGGTGGGTGGACTTTGGCTTGGCGCTATGGGTGTCTTTTGCAACGACTTAATGATGATGAACACAGACACTCCACTTATTTTCTACTCTCTTCTCTGATCTGATATTTTTGGACCATCTCCCTTCAGGAAGATTATGTTAATAGGACACCTAGTTTCTACAATCACCCAATATAAATTCTTTGACACATTCAGATATTCCAACATTTGTTATATGGGAATCGTAAATTAGCAGTAGATTCCAAGGTCATCAATCCCTGGCAACAACCATATCAGGGCCACAGACAATCGGGCAGGCCTGATATTACATCCAAGCTTACAAGCCACCACCAGCAGCACCAACAATCTTCAAACCCCCAGAGCCACTTCCCGGCCCATCATGGGTCGTCGAGTATGCCAACCAATATCTAGACGGGTGCCACGCGACAGCGGGAACACCCACATTGACACCAGTCGTGGGTATAGTGTAGACACTCTCACCCGTCTCAGCATGGAAAATTTCCAATCCATTTCCACCACAGAAAGGCTCATCACAAGCGCCGCAAATAAACCGGCCATCGAAACTCCAACTCACGCCACGAATAGAACCACCATTCTCGCTGGATAATGTGCGACGGCAAATCCAATCCGTCGTATCCCATAGAGAAATTAGGGCGTCGCTACCGCCAACAGCCAAGTAGCGGCCTGTAGGCGCGAGTGATATAGCCATGCAGGAGGAGGTGTGTGCGTGGAGGGTGTGGAGGATATCAAAGGAGGGGTAGGACATTATCTTGACGGATCCTTCGCCGGTTGTGGCGAAAAGGTGTAGGTCTGGGGAGGTTGGTGTCGCGACGTGGTTGGAGAAGGTAGTGGCATTGGTTTGGATGGGTTGCGGGTGTGGTGTGAGAGCTGTATAAGTCGAGGCGCCGGGTTTTGAGCCTCCGAGTGACGATACACCATTGGTAGTAACACCGGTTGATAGGATGGTAGGGGTGGATGGGGACTGAACAGAGATGGGGATCAAAGTATCGTCCTAACACCGGAATACAAATGAGTTAGACATGCTAGCAAGCGAGGCTCTTTAGGGAACACTCGAGACTTACCTTCCTACCGACGACCATTGTACTCCCATCTGCCGACCAGGAGAGTGTAAACGCCTCGCCGCCAACATCGAGGCGACTCACACATGTCTTGGAGCGCACGTCCCAGAAGCGCACCGTCCCGTCTGTCGAGCAGCTAGCCAATTCTGCATCGCGTACTGGATTGAAAAGAACTTTCTCGACCGCGGCGGAGTGTCCACGGAGTTCCGTCGAGTATTTAATAGCAGGGCGTTCGGGGTTCCATATCCGTAGCGTACGGTCAGCCGAGCCTGTCGCGATTAGCTGACCGGTAGGGTTCCAGGCCAATGTCCGAATGCTGGTGAAGAGAGCTATCAGTACTAATCCTGAAACAGAGGAGAAAAGAGAACTCACGTATGCGACCCCGGTCCCTTCGCAGCTGGGTCATAGTAAGACTGAGTCTTGACGCCCCCAAAGACAAACGCGAAATGTTCCTTTGCGAGGAGATCGCGGCGCGGCGCGGGCGCCATCGTCGACTGTCTTTCTGGCGCTCGCGGCTGCTGAAGGTATTGGTGTCTTATTTATAACCGGTCTGCGTGCGCGACGACAGGAATTTTGAATTAAGAGGTTTGGGCGAGTATCGCGGGCTTTAGCTCATGACGTTTTGAGGGACCGCGATCTCGCCGCAGCTAAGATCGACGATGGGCGGAGAGCTCCTTGGTGCCTCAGGCATCAATATTCTCATGTCTTGATGTACCAGGAACGAGTTAACAAGACAACCCAGTGACGGAGGGTCTATGCCCGACAGAACTCACCAGAAGTTAACTTGTGTCGGTCAATATCTTTACCTGCACTTCAGGACTCCTTGTGTTTTGCTGGCATCAGGTACTTCTAATGTAACGAAAGCCACGTTGTATATATCCGCGTTAAATACAAGCAAATTGTTAAATACAAAGCAGGACAGCACAGATAATTGCGGTCGGGATCAATTCATTCTTATCAAATTCCATTGATGTCCCAATCATCTCAAGCATGATCAAGTATTTTGCTCTGGACCAGATGGCGCTACTACTCGGGAGTCGAGTGATGATTTGACAGTAAGATTTTGGTTAGACGACAGATAGGTATAGCTATCAGGCAATCTCTCCTTCTATCGTGGCTCTTTGTGAGTACAGTACCGGCAGGTTATCTCATAGACAGGTTCGCGTTGTTTCCCAAAGTATATTACCAGAAGTCTCTCTGAGCCACAAGATCTGCTCTCACTTAGTTGGAACCAGCAGACTATGACCTATTTCCTGGGATTGATTAGATCTAAGTATGATCTATTCTCAATCTGTATGTACTAATTGCCCGCTAATCTCAAAGCTCTCATTGTGGGTGTGATGTTGAGATCATTGGAGCCTATCGATAAGATGAGCTTAATCAAACCTCAGTCAGTCTTCGCGTCTCCGCCTCGCGTTGCGCTCCACAAAATTCTTGCCGCCAAATCCTGTTCAGCGAATTGACCATCGGAGTTCCCACTGAATTCCCACAAAGATCTTTCATTCTGTCTCCCTTACAATAATATAGCGAATTGACATGTTCGACTTCACAGACGACGCGTCCGGACGCGAAAAATGCTACACCACAGTCTCTCAGTTACCTAATTTCATCGACCCGAAACAGGTGCCGAGCAAGAAGTCTCCATTCTCTGCTATTGTGAACCATCCCTTTGTGCATACAGTAAGCCTCTTTGTCTCTGTAATCAGATTGCAAAACTAGCAGAATCTGATCAATATCATCAGGCCGAGGTCATTCTTCCAGAAGATGTTTACACAGACATTCAAACGTCATTAGACAAGCTGAATAAGCCTCAGTCCGCTCGAGTATTCATGTCACCATCTGATCTGCTGGAGCATGAATTTTTCAACACATATATCAAGACCGGTATCGTTTCTTGACCAGAAATTTTTGCATCAGCTTCTAATCAGGCCTCTAGGAAATATTCTCATGATATCCGAAGGCCGAGCAGGTTCTGACAATGTGTTCACCCTACAAGAAGGTTAGCTTCCCGCAGCATTTTAAGCGCTAGCAAAACATTCCAGGCGTCAAAGCTGATTTGTCATGGGCAATCAGGAATCCTCAAGATTGAGCTTGGGAAAGAAACATTTGAACGCACAGGACTCACAGGGAAACCTATCCGAAGCGGCGGAAGAAAGCACGCAAAGGAGAGATTCTGTATGCCCAACCCCTCCTGAATCTATCTCTTTTAGAAGGAAGCTTATAGCAATGGCAGTGATTGAGCTCAATTTGCGCCTCCCCTCGATGCTCCATGGCAAGAAAGGGTTTGACAGGATCATATGGGTCTTCAAAAATGTGTTGAGTCAGTCTTTGGCTTGGCTTTTCTGCGATCTGGAGTCCACCTCTGGGAACCAAGGTTAGTTGTTTTCTTCTACCTGGGATTCGTTGGCGAACAAAGGCTAACAACTTTAAAAAAGAAACTAAGCCCATCCAAAAGCACCATCCGCAGAATATCGATTCTGAGGTACTGAAAACCAACCTGGGTCGAATTTCAACACCCTCTCTACAAGGACTAGTTTCAAATGATTCTTCCGAGGGAGATATGCAGGAGAGCTGCGGTGCCTTTGCTGAATGGATTGCCATGGTCCAGCTTGGGTCACCCCGTGTTTCTGCAGACGATGACGTCGACTCGTACCTGAGTCGCTACAGTGTACCAGGAGTCGATGCAGCCAGTACCACCGATCTCGTTAGCCTAAAATGGCATGGTATGATTTCAGCAAAGTGGGTTCAGGAACTATTCCTATCTCTGCTGTGAGTTCCATACCCCAGATGTGATCTAGATGAGAAGACTGCTCCAGGCACTTACTAACATGACCCTGAATTGGCGGCGGCTCTAGATCCCGCACCCCCAGCTCAAGTTCTGGGCCCGCCCCGGCCTGGTTCGTTCTTTCCACTTCTACGCTGGGGAGACAATCTGTGGAAGGAAGGGACGGCTATACAATTGCGACCGCTCCAGACATTTGTGCCCCAGTGATATCCAGTAGAAACGATGCCGATGCGTCCAAATCTAGCAGCCGCTATGCGATATGCTGGGAATACGTTGGGGCAACGTCTGTGGAGTAATGAAGAAGGACTAGTTGCTTTATTGACCATGGCAACTTGAGCATCTGTTATTGAATTACTCGTCGGCGCTGGCGGTCTCTATTTGCGCTTGACTGCATTTTTACATCATATGAAGCCATAAAACCCCAAGCATCTCCCTTCTTCCCTCCCTCTCTCCTCAACCCACCCACTCTCTCTCTTTCTCCTGACAACCAGAAACCCATCACTCTCTTTGCAGTCTTGCTCTTAACCTCGCTCTCTTAATCCTTCCTCACCTCGCTTCTCCTTGCTCTCTTTACTCCCATCTTGCTGTCCCTTGCTCTATTCTTTCAGTCCAAGCGGGAAACAGCATGGAAATCAGTCCTTCGGGCATGGACAGCACTCTTTTAGCAGTTCCTATTGAGGGAAATGATCTAATGGACGCATTATTCCCTACTCTCCCCCTTAATCCAGCGGACATGGACACCACTCTCTCAACATTTCCTATCGAGGAAAATGATCTAATGGATGCATCACTTCCTACTCTCACCATTGATCCAGCGGACATGGACCTTGATACCATGACTTTTACATTCGATGATGAGGAATCCGCCAACATTTGGGCCTCCCGCGACCAGCTTCAGGATCTCCCAACACTCGACACTGGGCTTCAAGAAAACAATGTTGCTGAAGCGCCAACAACCGTTGAGCCGCTTGCAACTCTAATTTCGGATGAGCACTCGTTTGGCAGCACTACTTGCCCTGACTTGTCAAATGATTCGACCTCGGAGAGAGAAGACTCCGTGTCAAGTCAGTACACCCCACCAACTCCTGTCAGTAAATCGCCTTCTCTCGAGCGGGCTCTTATCATGCCACCAGCACCAGCGGGCGTGACTAGCGAGGCTCAACATCAAATACCTCGAGATCCGACTGCAGAAGAGATAGAGCTCATAGCCCAACATCTCCAAAACGAATCGATCAGCCTCAATCAGCATCCAAGCACTCCAAATCCGCCTCTTGCGCATATCATTATGGAGATACGTCCGGGGGGAGGATACCCTCGTCAAGTCCCGATATATTACCCGATGCATTATCATGAACATACGGCAATGCCTGGCCCTCAACTTGGTCAATTCTATCAGGTCTTTCCACCTTTGGGGCACCCTATTCCCCCGACATACCCGATGCCACCAACATACCCGATGCCACCTCGAGCTATACAACCTCCTCCAGTCTCAAACAAACGAACTTTCGAGTTTGTTGAGCCCGAGGTACCTGAAAATTTTGTGGCCAATCCTAATAATCATGGCCGCTGGCAATACGACCGACACGGCAACCGGCACTACCTCAATGCCTCAAAGACGAAAAGGGCTCGTACAAATTGATCTTTTTGATGACTGATTGTATTTTCGAGACTGTACTTTCCTTGCTTGATGGTCTCTGTCTAATGAACTTCTGATTTTGTTTTGATGTTCATGGAGCCCGGCCTTTCGCTCTTTTTCATGTTGTTCTCAGCTTGAAGTCTTTGTATGGCCGGCTTCACTGTATTACTATTATTCTGTTCAGACACACCTCTTTGTACGAAATGCATTCTGTTGGTTGTTTGTCTCAAATACTCAAGTAGGCACGTCCTTGTACCACTCGGAAGGAATACCTAGCCCTGTTGGCATAGCTAGGCAAGCTATGTAGAATGTATTGGATCTTGTTAATGGCACGACAAGAACGCTCATGACACGACCAACTAAGCCCCTTTTGGGTTAGCTCCGCTGCAAATGTCAAAGGAACCTTTTGATGGGTCGGCGCTAACCTAAAAGGGGCTTAGCAGGTCGTGTCATGAACGTTCTTGTCGTGCCATTAACATTATCCAATGTATACAGTAACCCCAAACCTTACTAAGTATCGTATCCAATATTAAGCTTGTCTAATAAACTTGAAATCATGTTCAACGTGCACAGAGCCCAGTTTCTGGGATAATCTTGAGTTAACAGCTTGATCTGGAATTTAGACTTCAATATGTCCCACCAAGACCCTCTTCTCAGCATCAGTTCCCACCCATACAGAGCGTTTACCACGAGCAAGTACCCAGCTGCGGTCGCTTTGGCGCCAGAAGCTGAGCTGCCGCTCTGAGATGAGAAAGCTAGCAGTCTTTGTGGCTCCAGGGGAGATAAGCACGTCATCGAATCCAACTAGAGCAGAGACGGCGAATTGATAGCCCGGATATTTAGAGCCAGCATCTTCTGGCGGACCAATATAAACCTGGGGGATCTCCACACCAGGTCGAGAGCCAGTATTTGTGATGCGAACAGAGACCTCGAAAGTAGAACCTGATTTCTTTTTGATATCCAGGTTGCGGTACTTGAAAGAGGTGTATGATAGCCCATAGCCAAAAGGGAAGAGAACACTAGTGTTGGTGCTCAGATACCATCGGTAAGCTGAGTTGATGCCTTCTGAGAAGACTGCAGTTCCGCTCGCAGTAGCCATACGCTCCGGATACTTTGGGTTTCTGGTAGCAGTGTCGTTGACAGACTGCGGGTACGTGACCGTCAGTTTGCCTTGGGGATTGTGGTCACCGAATAGAAGTGCAGCAGTAGCACGGCCACCTTCTTGACCAGGATTTCCCATCCAAAGAACCGACGAGACGTGATCGAGCCAAGGCATCAGCACGGGATCGGCATTATTGAGTACCACGACAGTCTTTGGATTGATGGCGGCAACTCGTGAGATAAGCTCGTCGAACCCATGGATAAGCTGCATTCCCACTTCTGCAGGGCTGTTGGCATGTGCAAAAATGATTGGCACCTTGGCGTTGGATGCAATCTTCTCTGCCTCGCGAATATTTTGTTCTCGCTGGGCTGGAGTAACCCAGTTCAGACGAACCTCTACCGGGTCCCCAAATACCCTGGTGACACTCACAGTGATGTTGTGGAGGCCAGCCGTAAGATAGACGTCTGTGCCAACATCGTCCCAACCATCTTTGGTAGCAAGTGGTGAGCTCCAGGGTCGGGCTCCACCATCTCCCAGCATTCGATAACCGTCAATTGCAGACCCATTGACAGTAAATGAATGAACAGAAAAAACGCTTAGATAACTCGAATCATTCAATCCTCCACCGACGTTTGGGAAGCGCCGTTGCAGCGAAATACGGTAGTAGCCAGTCTCACTTGCTTTGAGAAATCCAGCCCAGTTGTATGAAGTATTTCCTGGTAAGGCTGAATCTCCGGAAAATTTTATCTGAGAATCAACCGAGGTTTCACCGGCTGAGTTTGTCCGAACTATACCAGGCTGCCCATTCTCTTGGACCAGAAAATTAGCAGGGACTGTGCTGCCATGAACATCAACACCAGATGATGTAATAATGTGGTCATTGCCAGTAATTTGCTGAATCGCATCCAGGGAGCTTTTGAGTCGTGAGGGGATGCCATATGCTCGCTCGGCAAATCCTGCGCCATGGTTGTACTGGAAGGCGGCTGGGCCAATGACAGCAAGTTTGGAAATATCCTTTGAAAGAGGGAGCACTTGATGGTCATTCTTCAAGAGGACTCCAGATCGGCAAGCGATATCATAAGAAACTGCAGCTGACTGCTCAATCACCGCTTGTGGCAAGGGATTTGGAACCATATCGAGCGCAGTGCGATTTTGGCCAATTAAGCCAAATCGATCGTAGGTAGAGAGGATTTGGTGGAGTGCACGATCAACATAGGTCTCCGATAGATTGTGATGAACATAGACATCATCGTACAGAGGTGTAGTGTAGTATGCTCTGGATCCCATTTCCAAATTCAAGCCAGCCTCGATGCTCGGAGCTGTTGAGTGCGTGGCACCCCAGTCACTCATGATGATGCCTTGGAACCCAAAGTCTCCACGCACAGTGCGATTCATGAGCTCTTGAGACTGACAAGCAGGCACTCCGTTGACCTGGGCATACGAGCACATCATAGTAGCAACCCCTGCATCCACCAAGGCCTCATGGGGCTGCCAGTATATCTCATGAAGTACCTGCAAATCAACTTGAGAATTTGTATCGCCACTACTGGCACCACTGCTAGATGGGCCTATCTGCTTGGTATTGGCCATTGTTCCCTCGGCCTGGATGCCGCGAACTGCCTCCGCTCCGAGCTGGGCATTCAGGTAGGCATCTTCCGAATACGCCTGCCAGGAGCTTCCGTCAAAAGGATCACGAAGGAGGTTGACACGTGGGGCAAGAGCAACGCCTGTGAAATGTCAGTTCCAAATTCGGAATTGAATGCTCAGGGCTTATATTACCAGCTTTGAGTAGTCGGGCCTCCAGGCCAGTGACATGGCCAGCGGATTTTGCCATGTCCCTAGACCAAGTCGCAGCAACATTTATCTGGCTTGGAATGGCAGTGGCATCTTGGACGCCATTGATTCCACTGTTCCCCATATATCTGTCAACAAAGCTCAACCATGAAGGAGAGTAAAGGAGAGCTTACGCTTCGCCATCAGCTAGCTGAAGGGGAGGAATCCCCAGCCGAGGAACTCCAGTCAAATATCCGGCATAATTCTCACTTCCAGCATAATTAGCCCCAGCAAGAAGTGAAATCTTCTCTTCTGGTGTTAGGGCTGCGATGACTTTATCGAGCTTCCCGCTATCAGAAGGCCAAGCGCCTGTATTGATGCTAGCATGAACTCCCACACCAGCTGTAAACACTAAGGAAAGTGGTAGAAATGCAAAATTGAATGAAAGCATTGTGCTCTCTGTGAATAAGCCAAAGAACCCGCCGATTCCTTTGGACACCGAACCGAATCGTTCATCTTAAATACAAGGAAGTCACACCACGCGGCAAAATATCGGATTTGGCGCATTTTAACCCCCACCGGAAGGGAAGACCGGCATAGTAGACGGCACTTGTGATCATCCTACTAGGATAGATCTGCCCTATGTTGCAATATTCTGGGGTAGTCCTATGCAGGGGTCCCACCTCCTCCCCCTCGGGTTGTGGGGAAACCGCGGGACCAAAAGTGAGGGGATCAAACTATAGCCAGATGAAGAAAATGGCGCAGTACAGGGTTGCTTCGCACCGGAATACATAAAGCCGAGAATGGCGCACTTGGAACGTCTGGAGTGATGATCGCTTCTCTGCCTTCCGGAGGAGGATTAGGTAGGCACCGGCACTAATGCAGGACTATAGGCCTGATCGCTCGTTCGCCTGTGTAGATCTTGCTGGAATCGTAGAGACAGAAGTTTAAACGTAGCATGAGATAAGGAGTATTATAAGATCATAGATAGCGGTAGGGTTTGTATTTCGCTTTAGTGGCAGGTACGTAGCCTAGATTTCTAAGGCATCAACAATGGCGTTTGTTGCTCGCCTCGCGGATCATGCACTGGAAGAAATGGGAGAAAGGAGCGTTTCTTTATGCTATTCAGTTGAGCATTCCACGGTTTCCATAGAAGACTTGCCAGTATTCCTTTTAATCGATCTTCTATCTTTGTACCCTCTGCCCGGTGCTTTATCCTACGACCCATCCGGGCTCCGTTTCTTTCACGCCATATCGCTTAAATACAAAGGTCTCCCACAAATTAGACCACCTTCAAAGACTCCAACCACAACCATCATCAATGCTCTTGTGTCAAGCTTTGAGCAACGAGCTAGCTTCGACAAAGAACAAGCGATGCTATCAGCAATTCTCAACAATTATTTCATTCAAGAAAATGGTTTTTACACTGCATTTAGCAGTCAGCTCCCACGAAATCTACCTCCCTACTTTCATATCCGACGAATGAATCAAATTAGCGGAAAAATAGAGTATTGGGCTATGCTCTTCATGCCTAGCAAAACTGCAACTGCGGAATGGACAGACGAGCTTTATCAAATGCTTCAAACTGAGGTTCCAGAGGTTCCAGCACATGGGGGATGCTGGATGATCATTTAAAATGCCGGAGAGATGCAACTTTTTCGATATCGACCTGGCGCGGCCAAGCACAAGTTTCTTGACCCGTATGTTCATGACGATAATCGGGGACAGAAAGCTCAAGGTCAAGGATGAGGGAATTCTTATCCACAGAACTTTCAACTTCATCCTGATTAAAGATCCATAATTGACTGGCTTGGCTTGTCTGCAGCTGGAGGGGGTCGTGGCTTTTTGAAATTAACAGTCTGTTCAGATACTCCCTCCTTGAATCACAACCACCCCCTCAGTGCAAAGGCACATGCGATAGGCCTCTACACGGAACTATCATTATTCGGAGAACAACAGCAGAAAAATTTCAGCAGAATCAATTCACAGCAGGGACTGGGTGTTGGTATCAGATCTTGGGTTCACTTGGGCTTACAGCGCCAAAGGTTGGCCTATTTAGCAGGATCATCTCCACTCCATGCTTCATCTAAGAATCAAAGATTTGAATGCAATTCCATTCTTGTAACAACTTCGGGCCACAAGTATACAAGACAATCAAGGGAGATGTAGAAATGAAATAAACCTGTACCCAAACACCCACCAACAGTATGCAGACCATATTCACCGTCCATGCTATGTACAAAAAGTCGCGCCAGAAAAGAACGAGACTAGTAGCCAAAAGTCGAATCGACTTCAACGTTTGAGTCAACCAGCGATATCATTCACAATGTCTTGAAGAATGGGTCTGTTGCCCACCACAGAGGTGCCATTGAAAAGCTTCACGCCCCGCTTTGCAGGTCTCTTCAGGCCGGATGAAGGTTGTCGAGAACCCAAAGGACTGAGAGGTTCTCGCGATGCGGGCTTCTTCTTGACAACGGGACTCATCTTGCTTTTCATGCTTCCAGGGCTCCGAGCCGCATTCGGAGACTGAAAAGACATCTGTGTAGAATCAAGAGCAGCGGATGGGAAACCATGGCTGCCAGCTGCACCGGGAGGTAGGTCGTAGGCCCAGCCCTTCCCCTCAACTAGACGGACATACTTGCCCAGGAGCTCATTACCGTCACGAAGCGTCGATTTGCTGCCGAGTACAAGAAGCTTGGTACGGGCGCGAGTGAAGGCAACATTGACTCGTCGCCAGTCACGTAAGAGGTCTCCGACGTTGTTTTCGGCATTGCTACGAACGCAGCTGAGGATGACAATCTCCTTATCACGGCCCTGGAACTTATCGGTGGTGTGCATTTCCAGGTCCGGTGAATAGTGACGAAGACTCTGGCGCAGAAGGGAGAGTTGGCTGCGATAGAAAGTGATGACACCAATTTCTCGGGCAGGGATCCCGCAAGCGATCAGTGCCTCCACGAGTTGAGTACACAAAATAGCCTCCATATGATTCACAACTCGTTGTCCTTGTCCCTGCGCTGTTTCGAGGCTTGATGCTCCCAGGGTGTCGGTGTTGATAAGGAGACTTTTAGCACATGGCACCAGAAGGTCGTTGAGCCAACAGCGTCCATGGCCGGGCCCGAGACAAATTTCCTGCTTAGGTTCGGAGAAATGGACGTCGTCGGTATGGAATTGCTTCAAGGCCTGTATATTTGGAATCTCCAGCGAGCGAGCTGCGACCTGTGGCGTACCACATTTCAACCGGCCAGAGTAGATGAGTGTGTTCGAAAGCAGCATGATATCCTCGCACATGCGATATTGATGCTCTAGGTTAACAACAGAGTCCGGCTGTGCATCTGAAAGCAGTTTGAACAAGCTAACATCAAGACCTCCTTCCTGAGCAGCCTTGTTCTGCACCAGCGGGGGAGTTGATAGTGATCACCAACAAGAATGAAGGTTCTTGCCATGCGAATTGGACCAAGACACACGGGAAGCGTAATCTGTGAGGCCTCATCGACAATGCAGTAGTCGAAGATTCGCTGATTAAAAATGTTGTGGTTGACACCGAGGCATGTTGTTGCCACAACCTGCGGTTTCTCGTACGAGTCCTTGAGCTCTTCAATGGTTTTCTTTGGGATTGCCGCCAGATCTGCAAACTGTTGCACTTCCGGATGAATTTTCGTGGTTGCACCAATGCGTAGCATACGGATATTATCATCGCGAATCTTCAACAGGATATTATCCACGGCAGTATGCGTGTACGACGTCAGAAGGACGCTCTTTCCCTGCGCGACTAAAGCTCGAATGATGTGTGCGATGGTAGTCGTTTTACCTGTGCCAGGCATCCCCAGCACGAGGGCGTAGTCCTTCGCACTCATGACTTTGTCGATGGCTTGCTTTTGGTCGACATTGAGGCTCTCTGAATCGGGAAGTTTGTATGCAGAAGATGTCGGTTTGAAGACAGGCGGTTGACCTTCAATGATAAGTCGCCGAAGGTGCCTCGACTGGAAGAGATCTTTGTCCATCATGCAAATGAGGTTGTTTCGAACAATGGCCATGCCGTTGCTAAACTCATCCTTGTCAATTCGATATACCATTTGCTCGTCAGGGTTTTCCAACTCAGAGAGCCCGTCAGTTCCAATTTCCATTATTCCTCTGAAGGACTGGTTCGAGATCGCGTCAAAGCCAATTGTCTTGGCTCTCGCATTGTGTAGCCTGCGATCGACAGCAACGGTGATGTGAGATGTGCTCAACTGAGTCACGTAGCCGTTGGCGAGTGCGAAATGGCCCCTTTCGTCAGAAACGACGATAGGTTCACCAACCGAAATCTGTGACTCAGCAAAAGAGAAGCCCGGGGATGCTTTCCGTTTGTGGAATGTGTATCTGAAGCGATTGATTCTTGTCCCATTTTGGTCTTCGTGTGCCGTTCGCGGGTCGATCACGACATCTCCAAAGCATCGACCATAGGACTCACGCTCATTACTTAACAACGTCCATAGCTCACGCTTGAACTTGATCAAATTTCCTTCCTCCTTAGTCAAGAGTTCGTCCCATTTGCGAAAGAATTCGCGATCGCCTTGGTTTAGGTGCTTAGTAAAAACTTCGAAGTCTTCACCAAGAGCGCTTGTCTCCCCATTGCCATCTTCCGAGAGCTTGTGGTAGATCAGGCACGGTGTCTTCGCATAGCACTTGTTGCATTGCTGTGCCTTCTTGAGCATTGGTGGTAGCTGCATCCTCTCGCGGATGTACCCTACTAAGCGGTTTCGCACTTGAATCATTTGAACAAGCTCGTGCCGAATGCCACGGATACTTAGGGTCTTTGAAAGCTCAAGGTAATACAGCAGACCGAAAGTCACATCGACATCTGTTTATGGATCAGTCACAGACCAGACTACAAAACATGCCGCTCCTAGTACTCACCATAACGATCCGAGAGCAAAAGCGTGTAAAGGGCTGTTTGGGCCCTATGTGCCTGATTTGTGTCCCTTTTACCTGTTTTCAGCTCAAGTGGCACGACAAGATTTTTCAGCCCATCTTTATCTTGGCAGGTAACTTGGACTGTGGCATCGATGTTTCCTTTCAGACCATACATTGGAGACCAGACATGCTCTTCAACCTCAAGCAATTTGCCGATACTCAAATTGAGCTTTGCACCATTGCGATCTTCAACGAGTGAGTTTGCCTAGCGGAATAATCAGAAAAACGAACCGGAAAGCTTCGTGAGGATTCATACCTTTGGTTTGGTTTGAAGGAAGACGTCTGCCCAAGCCTGCACCTGAGGAATTTTCCCCATTATTGTCTCGATAGCCTCAGACATAGTCATGTTGATTGAATACAGCTCTTCAACATGATTCCCAAGAACCTTTTCAACCAGCAGTCGCAATGAGTCTAGATCCCACCGGTTGGCCATCAGTGCTTCTTGAAATACCTCGTGGAAGATGATTCCAAAAGCTTGAGGTTTTTCAATCTGGCTGATAACCTTGACACGGTCCTGAAGGACAGCGCGGCGTTGACAGTCCACCGAGTCCGCGACAACAGTAGCAGATATCAAGTGATCAGGATGCAGAATGACCATGTGGTTGGTGTTGTCCACAACGCATTGACCGAATGAGTTGAAGTCCCCGACCAGATGAATGAATGAATCTTTACTGCAAGGCGTGTCAAACCATGACTCGCGCAAGATGATGACCTTGCGGGCGTCGGTCTTCTCGTCCTTGACAGACAGCACCTACACACTTGTCAGCGACCTTGAAAAACTTGGAATATTATGAGATACGGCATACCTGCTCAGGCTGTGTACGTCCTCGTGAATTGACAAAAGAGCTCTCTGCAGTATCCACGATTTGGTAACGCTTGATAGCTTTCCGGGATTTGAGATTCTATATGTTCATTGTCTTAGCATACACCTAGGTATTACCCCACTAAGAGTGACCAACGTAGGCTGCGTCTTCACCAGTTTGCTTCATAGTCTGTTCGATAGCATCCAGGTCAAAATCATCATCAAACTCATCATCAGAGAGCACAGCAGCGGCATGAGCTGACATCTGTGGCACATGGGCTGGAACTTGAGGGGCCGAGTTGACTGAGACTGCATCCACTTTCGGCGCAGGCTGGGACTTCGCGATGGGTGGATTTGATGCATCAGTCGGCTTCACATCGCACTCCACAAGGGCATCCGCGAAATCGTCGTCAAAGTCCCCATATTCGTCTTCAAATTCGTCAAAGTCGTCAGGTTTAGTTTCATTATTCATGGAATTTTGCGCGGCTGGTGGTTTCTTGTCAAATACAGATTCCAATGCTGAATGACTGGATTCCAGCTTCTCTGCAGCTAGATTGGACAAAGCAGAAGAGCCCAGAGAGTCAAAGTCGGTGCGATCAACCGCGAAATCAACGAAGGGGTCCGCGGCAGCTTCGGCTAGGTCCATGAAATCTTGATCAAGATCATCGTCTCCAAATTCAGATTCAGAATCTTCAAGAATTGCACCTCCGGCAGCTTCCGGATTGTCCGCAGATTTGCCGATAAGAGCTTCTCTAGCAGCATCCGCATCCACTAGGCCCTTTCGGTCCATCGTGGGAGATGATGAACGACATCTTTGCGCGTCCATACGCTGCCGCAATGGAGAAGAGTTTGGCGGGCCCATTTTGACTTGTGGGACTGGATGGAGGCTCTTCTCGATCCTGTCGAGGAGAAAATTGAGTCTGGATGATTTGTTCCTCCCCGAGTCCAAGACATTGCTACTTGTGCGAGAGAAGATACCTCGGCCAGAGCCTGGGTCCTGACGGTTGACCCGTCTTCGCTTTGCGCGAGATGTGGGCCATTCGGCAGCACAGCTAATCGATCTCCTCAGACCAGATGAATCTCGGCTGGTCCTGCCTGAGGCCGGGGTTTGTGGTGACGAGGAGAGTAAATTTGCGAGACGAGGTGGGGGAAGGTCATCAGTCCCATCAACCATATTCTTATCCATGTAATTGTTCCACAGCTCGGCCGCCAGATCATGCTGGGGTGTTTTGAATAGAGCCTGAATTGACTGAAGATCGAGTGGCTCCTTCTGGGCCTTCTTGGAGGTCCCATTGGTGGGAGAACCGGCAGATGAAGAGCTGTGACGCCGCTTCCTTCGACGACCTGCCGGTGTCTGAGACGAAGCATCTGGATTTGAGCTCGCTGGGACATGTTGCCAAATGACATGATCAATGGGGGTTACCTCCGGACCGGGCGCGGGGTCAAAGGCATCTTCGGCATTGCTGATCAAGTCCGCGAGAGGTATACGGTTTCCTGGTGTGTGAGGGCATTCTTTAACTGGTTTGGTATCCTCATTCAATGGCACAGCTTGAGGCGGAGGGTCGGCATTATCGGCAGATGTTTGCATTGATTCCACCACTCCGTTCAACCATGAACTTTGGTTCTCCTTGTTGTCATGCACAGCTTTCGTCTCATTCTTTGAGGTCGTATTATCGAGGGCCACTGTCTCTTCTTTGTAGCGGAATGCGTTTAGTTTCGTGCGGGAGTTCGAGGAGATGGGGTAGGAGTTGTTGTTGTTGGTTGCCATGATTCGGCTTCGATTTCGTCCAAGGGCTTTCTTCTTAAAGTGGGTAATGATGCATTCTCGGCCTTCTATCAGCAATGTTAGCAGTGAAACGCGAAATAGTCGCTCGTTGGAGGCAGTATATCCTACCCAATGGAAACAAAAGTATGGACTCAACAACTTCCACGTTTAATATGATGGAGATTCAATTGTAGTCCAAAAATGGCTCTGTTGACGACCCCAGGGAGACCAATGGGGTAGGATGCGATAAGAACGCGTCGCGCGTCAAGCGTTGTTGCCTTATTTGGAAGGCGCGCTTCCTATGCCTGTGTAATAAGGCAACAAAAGGCGGCCAGAATAAAATCGCCCAAAAGGGACTAGCGTCATGACTGGTCAGCTCTCCGTCGGCCTTTTGCGGCTTCAACATCAACCCGCCGAACAACCCCTCTCCTCTCCATTTCACCAAACGGTGCCATACCAATTGCGATAGTTGCTGCCACGTTGGCAAGGCGACTTCTGATTGGCCTTGTCCTTGAACCCGCAACTCCCACAATTGTCAGACCCCTTCCGATCATCTCCAGCCGTCGCACCCCCGTCTTCAACATGGTTGCCCGGCCATTGTCGCATCTCCTTCGTTCGCGCTGCCTGCTGCGCAGGCCTCAGAACACCCAGGCCTTCTCCACCCGAAGCAACCTCCGCGCCGCTGACCATGGCAATCACTATGACCCCCCGACCGGCTGGCTGTTCGGCGTCAAGCCCGGCCAGAAATACGAGAAGGAGGGCTGGGAGGGTATCTGGTACTACGGATTCATTGGCAGTCTGCTAGTTGCCGGTGTTGCATATGTTTTCAAGCCCGATACCTCGTAAGTTGCACCCTTACGTCCCTCCTAGAAGCTTCCTATGACTACCCTCTGTGCCTAAGTGACTAGCTTGCCTTGGCCATTGTGTGTTGGAGATGAGCGAGATCAGTCGATGCTAATACTTTCAATAGTATACAAACCTGGGCTCTTGAGGAAGCTCGTCGGCGACTTGAGGCCGAGGGTATCCTGGAGGACCCCGAGAAAGTCAAGAAATAAACGGATCGGTTCTTGCGCCTAATCTGTACAATGTACATAGAGAGATCGGAAAAGGATTATTTCGGTTGGCGCCTGTACCACCTGCGATGGCAGATATGATTTTCCGATCCTTTGGTTAGATGGGGTTTTCGCATGTCCTTCCATTCTATTTTCTTTTCCGTCCGTTGACCTGTTGTACTACTTTATGTTCCGTCTAAACTGCTTTCCATCGCATCACTACAGGTGAATTGAATCAAAATGGTGATCATTATTAAGATTTCTTGCACGAAAGAATTTCCAACAAGTATTAATTCTGGACTGGTGCCCCCATCTTTATGGTATTATCGCTTTCAATCTAGACCACTGGGTAGATATCAGTCCTCCTAAGTAGAGGCATCTCCCTCCGAATCTTCGCAACAAGGTCGAGATCAATGTCGGCAGTCACAATCTGTGGTTCTGACTCGTCCCCCAGTTCTACAACCACCTCGCCCCAAGGGTTGACAATCATAGAATGGCCATAGCTGCGTCTTTTTTCATTATGCGGGCCTCCTTGCGCAGCGGCTATCACGTAAGACTGGGTCTCGATAGCTCTAGCCCTAAGTAGAGATTCCCAGTGGGCCCTACCGGTTGGAACTGTGAATGCGGACGGATAGGTAATGACCTCAGCGTTTTGACGTCGCAATGCCAGGCTTATTTCTGGGAATCGTAGCTAGATTTCTTTTGAGTGAGCGTGTATTGAGGACAATTTCGAAAAGGCTTTCAAGGCCGAGGACAGAAATACGACATGGACTTGTAGGTTCCGACACTTACATCAAAGCAGATGGCTAAACCGACACGTCCCACGGGGGTGTCAAATGGTGGCAAGATAATCTGTCCGGGCTCGACATTCCTACACCCACAATGTCAGGTTCATCAAAACCTAGCAATGAGACATATTGACTCACTTGCTCTCTTGCAGTTTAGGGCCATCCTTGATTTCAACGTCGAATAGATGGACTTTCTGGTAATTCTGGGTGATGGTGCCCTTATCATCAATCCAGACCAGGGAGTTCTTGAGCCTATGCTGAGAAGCCATCTCATGTATGCCAACATTTATATGCATACTCTCCCCTTTCGCTTCTTGCTGTAGAACTGAAATGAAATTTCCACATTCTGGTGACTGGGCAAGGGCAAAGGACTCCTCTGCAGAAGACGCAATATAGTCTGATGCCTCAGGTAAGAAAAGAACCTGCCATGATTTCAGCCAGATGTTCCAGATAAATCAAGACTAAAAGGGATAAGTTGATGTATGCTTATACCTTGGCACCTGCCGCTGCAGCTTTGCGAATCAATGTCTGGCATTGAGCTAGGTTGGAGGCTATACTCGCTGTCGCGCAGAGCTGTCCAACAGCCTATCTCGAAAAGAAGACAATCAGTAATCAAGAACAGAGATCAACAAACAATGGACTTACTGCAAGGACCATTTTGGATTCGAATTTCAGAAGCTTAAGCAAATTATTTCTTAAAAACTGTTGGTATTGCTTACACCAGATTGCGATGTCGCAAGTGAGCAGATGAGGAGGCCGATACCTGGTGATTACTCAGCTATCGCGATTCCCGCAGCGATAACCAGATCATCCGCCCGCAAAGATCATTTCTCACGCAGACTTCTCACCAAATTCGTGGCTCGCAAGTGACCCAGGAACTGCCGCCAGGCAGATAAATACCGTCGCGATGAAGAGCTTAAGAAGAGATACCTCTTCGAATCCGCAAGCCGCCAATGTCACCAGCAAAGTCTTCGTGCGGTCTACGAAAAGTGGAAAGGTGCAAAAGATTGTTCGTGAGCTCTATCTGAGACAAGACATTCCCTGCTCCTCGAAGCTTTGCGCCCTATGCCCTTCAGTTGCCCCCGCAGATGCCAATGGAAACAGTATGAGCGCTTCCCCGATCCTGGTGAACCCGTTTACCCAGCTAACACAGAGCAGTTGCGCCATTCGTCCTGTCCGATCGTCCCGCCGGCACCAAGGCATTCCCCCGCGGCCATTACCTCGTTCCCGATACGAATGCGCTTTTGAATGGCATGGATCTTTTCGAACATACTGGCGCCTTCTACGATGTCATCATTCTTCAGACCGTCCTTGAAGAGCTTCGAAACCAGTCCCTGCCTCTCTACAACCGCCTGCTTTCCCTGATCAAAACCGACGAGAAGCGCTTTTACCTCTTCTTCAACGAGTTCCGCCTGGAGACTCATGTCAGGAGAGGGCCAGAGGAATCCATCAACGATCGGAATGACCGTGCCGTTCGCTCAGTGGCTAGCTGGTATGAAGATCATCTCCGCGTGTCGGTCAAGATGAGCAAGAAAGAGAAATCCTTGCCTGCTATGGTGGTCATTACCGATGATAAAGATAGTATCCGCAAGGCTAAGGCGGAAAATGTCACGGCATTATCTCTTGCAGACTATGTCGCCGGTCTTGAGGATTCGGAGAAGCTACTAGATATGATGAGCGAAGCTAGAGAGGCTCGGGATACAAAGGGCGCTGCTCAGGGTGAGCTATTCTACCCCGAGTACTACTCGATGTCAAAACTTATGACTGGCTTGCGAGCGGGAACTTTGCACCAAGGAGTGTTTAACGTCTCGCCATACAACTATTTGGAAGGGTCTATCAAGGTCCCAGCCTTTGACAAGGCCCTGCTCATTCTGGGTCGCGACAACAGCAACCGTGCTATTGCAGGCGATGTCGTCGTAATTGAACTCTTGCCCAAGGACCAATGGAAGTCGCCCTCAACGAAGATTGTTGAGGAGGAGGCCGTAACGAAGAACGACAATCCCGATACGGACGAGACGGAAGCTGTGGTCACTGATAGAGAGCGCAAGGCTCTTCAAGAAGAGGTCAAGCAGGCCCATGGCAAGAACTCGGAGGGCAAGCCGCAGCCAACCGCCAAGGTTGTGGGTGTCATCAAGCGCAACTGGCGTCAATATGTGGGGCATGTGGACTCCAATTCGACTGCCTCACTCTCTGGTCGCCGACAGCAGACCGTGTTTGTACTACCCATGGAGAAGAGGGTTCCAAAGATCAGAGTCCGCACGAGGCAAGCTAGCGATCTCATCGGTCAGCGCATCCTAGTCACCATTGACTCCTGGGACCGGGATTCCCGGTATCCCACTGGTCACTACGTCCGATCCCTGGGTGAGCTGGAGACGAAGGGAGCCGAGACAGAGGCTCTTCTTCTGGAGTACGACGTGCAGTACAAGCCGTTCCCCAAGTCTGTCTTGGACTGCTTGCCTGCAGAGGGACATGATTGGAAGGTTCCTGTCTCCAAAGAGGACAAGGGCTGGAATGGTCGACGAGATCTCCGTGATCTGCTCATCTGCAGTATCGATCCCCCTGGCTGTCAGGATATTGACGATGCGCTGCATGCACGCCCTCTGCCGAATGGCAACTTTGAGGTTGGTGTTCACATTGCAGATGTCTCACATTTCGTCAAGCCGAACAATGCAATGGATCTCGAAGCAAGTGTCCGCGGTACGACTGTGTATCTGGTCGATAAGCGTATTGACATGCTTCCACATCTTCTTGGAACAGACCTGTGCTCACTGAAGCCCTACGTGGAGCGCTACGCCTTCTCAGTCCTCTGGGAAATTACTCCCAACGCAGAGATTGTGTCTTCAAACTTTACCAAGTCCGTCATTCGCTCACGCGATGCTTTCAGTTACGAGCAAGCACAGCTGCGTATTGATGATCCCTCGCAAACCGACGAGTTGACGGAGAGCATGCGGAACCTTCTGCGCTTTTCGAAGATTCTCCGACAGAAGCGTTACGATGCCGGTGCCCTGAACCTTGCCTCGCCTGAGGTCCGCATTGAAACGGGTGATGAAGCCGGCGACCCTCTTACAGATGTGAAGACGAAAGCCATGCTCGAGACCAACAGTCTTGTCGAAGAGTTCATGCTTCTCGCCAATATCACCGTGGCCACAAAGGTTTACAACTCTTTCTCACAGACCGCTCTCCTGCGTCGTCACGCCACCCCACCGCCGCAGAACTTTGAGGATCTCATCAATCAGCTGTCCAAGAAACGTGGCATGGAGCTTGACGTCTCCAGCTCCGGTGCGCTGGCCAACTCTTTGGATCGCTGCGTCGACCCAGAGAACCCATTCTTCAATACCCTGGTCCGTATCCTGGCGACTCGGTGCATGACCTCGGCCGAGTACTTCTGTGCCGGTGCCCATGCGGAGTCTGAATTCCGTCACTACGGTCTTGCCTCGCCCATCTACACACATTTCACCTCACCTATCCGTCGATACGCCGATCTTCTTGTCCACCGACAGCTTGCCTCGGCTATTGGGTATGAAGGCGAGGATGGCCACGCCGTCATCGAGGGTGTCAGCACTCGTGGCAAGCTCGAGGATATCTGCCGCAACATCAACTTCCGTCATCGTAATGCTCAATTTGCCGGCCGTGCCAGTATTGAATATTACGTCGGCCAGGCCCTCAAGGCCCGTGGTGAGAAGATGGCCGCAGGCGGCACCGACACCGGTATTGACGAGGAAGGCTACGTCATGCGTGTTTTCGAGAACGGTGTTGTTGTGTTCGTTCCCCGTTTCGGTATTGAAGGTGTCGTCCGCTTGGAAGACTTTGTTCTGCCTGGCGAATCTGGCGTTTACTCTGTATCTGAGCGGCGGGAACTTGCGGTTCACCGCACAACGGACTTTAACAGCGAGGAGTACACGCTTCGGGTGTCAGAGAAGAACCACGCCGAGAAGGATCGTAGCGTGCAGGTTGAGCTCTTCCAAAGAGTCAAGGTGAACATCAGTTCGGTCAAGGAAGAAGGCCGTGGTGCGGGCAAGCGCAGAGTCCGGGTTTTGATTACTGGTTAATGACCTTGAGCAAAATCATCATGTAAGTATAGAGAAAAAGCACGGCGTTAAATGAGATTGGTTATGAAGATTACCACCATTTCGAACTGTACTTGTGTCTATTTATAAACGGGCCTATGCAAATTCAACCTATGTACTGAATTATTCAAATGCTTTTTAATGGTAGGTTTAGACACGCTTGAGAGCAACCATTCTGCGCATCAGGCTGAAAGGAGCCCAGATCTGCGTATCGGTCGCGCCATCATAAGCAGTCGTAGATGCAATAGTTGCAGGACGATCCTGCTTTTCTCCACCAGGAGTCTCTGTGTTCGTGAGAGTGTCTTCACGCGCAACAGATTCTCTTCTCTGCTGCGCCCGCTCCAGCTCTCCCACCTTCCAGCCCCGAACAAGCCAGAGACACAGAGAAGCACCGATATACATAAATCCGGTAAAGATCTGGATATGCAGGTATGAAATCCCCCCACCGATCTTGGTGGTGCGAAGCTCGAGGGCAATCGCCTCAGAAACAGTACATGGCGCGACGAGAGCAAGCCAAGTAATACTCAGTCCAGAAGGCAAGTCTCTCAGACCGATGATCTCAGCCAAAACTGGAGAGACAGTGGCCCAGTAGGTTCCTGCAACTGTTCCAACCAACACGGCAAAGAAGCATACCACGCCCATGCTGTCGGCGAAAATCCAAATAACCAGACAAAACAGTCCACACACGAAGGTGAGGAACGTGGCAATGTTGATTCGACCCAGTCGATCACTGAACATCCCGACAAAGGGACGGCCAAGACCCTGTCCGAGATTCAACAGCGCAGAAACAACACTCCCCTGGTGCGACGTCAAGCCGACAGAAAGCGCAAAGTTAGCCACGCTGAACAGCAATGCCACATATCCCAACATGCTGAACACACCCCAAGCCAAGAAAAGAAGAAACTCAGGCCGCCGCAGCAACGGGAAATGAAACGCGGTCAAACGACTTCCCACAAGCTTATTCCGATCCCGAAGGAGATTCCCACAAACCAAGTTCACCACGCACGAGACGATACCCAGGATCCGGAATGCCCAGCCCAGACCTAAGCGGGGGATAATGGCACCCACGGCTAACGAGTACATCAATCCACCGAAGCCCGATCCAGCGGCGGTGATACTCATTGCAAAGCTACGCCGTTTCAGAAACCACTGTGGAGCGATGCCCACGCTCCCGACGAAGAGGAAGCCCATGCCCCAGCCGAAACAGACGCCTTGACTGAGGAAGATGTGCCATTTTTGCGTGGCGAAGGATGAGCCGATGAGGGAGAGCGTTTCGAAAAAGACGCCTAGGTTGACAACGAGTCGGGTGCCGAAGACTTGGATGAGATATGTAGCTAATGGGGCCACAAGCAGGGCACAGGAAATACTAAGACCGCCTGTAAAGGCGTAGGAGAGAGCTGTTGTATTGGGGAAGACGTTGTGGGAGAGATAGTAACTGAGGAAGACGCCGTAGCTCTAGGGAATAGGGTGAGTTAGCGGGAGTCTGTCTATACTTCTTCAAGGAAGGATATACTAACACTGTTGATTCCCCAAGTATGCGCATTGATCCAAAAGACACACGCAACGCAGACCCAGCCATATCCTCCATCCGGCGGGACGTCGCGCTTATACTTCTCATCGGGATCGGTCCGAGGTTCTACCTGCGGTGGAATATCAAGCTCGTGCTCATGCTTGGAAGTAGAACCCGCTATCGAGTCCTGATCATCGTCATGATGAGACTGGATCACATCGACAGGTGCATTATCAGCCATGCCGAGGATCTATATAATCCGAAGAGTTCCTCCGACCTAGAAGGTCTGCGAGTGTATGAGATATTAACGGTGGCAATACTAAAACCGGGACCCGAAGCAAATTGCCGTTTCCGTCACGACATAGAGCCCGGCTATTAAAGAAGGAAGTGAATGAGAATGATGGAGAAGAGAATTATTTTGGAGATTGGAAACTAAAAAGGAAATTCCAGACTCAAAAGATACGAGAGGGCCATCATGGGGTTAGCTTCCCAAGCTAGTCTCTAAATTATGGGGTCCACGTCGGACTTGAAGCCGACATTTTCTACCGGACATGGAGTTTGGGGTCGGTTCTTGATCGAGGAGCTACTAGTTACAGTATGGAGCACATCTTGGCCCTACCAACCGCGGCAGGTCGGTGAATTCAAGCCAATGGCGGAGTAGATTGACCCCGAATGAATCGAAGGTTCGATGGGAGCTTGCTGCAGTTGTTAAGGTCAATCATTGGGGGAAGCTTGGAGTCAGTCATGAAGCGGGCCATCGGTGGACTCGTGGAGAGAGAAAAGACTCCGTATTGCTGGAGAAAGAACTGTCAAAGTGGGGTTTTGTGGTGCCGAAGACCCGGTGCGGAGAATTGAGCTGAGGTCAGTGACAGGGATGGCAGGGAAACTGACTCATCAGTCACGATCCATGCTGTGCAGCTGTGGGGCGGTCTGGGTGGCTGGTTGTTGAGCGTATCTGTTGTCCAGGCTGTTCGTTGGCAGTTGGGTATCAATACGTTAAGTGGTGGAACCCAAGATGGAGTATATAGAGTCGACACAATAGACATACTACTGCTGTAAGTAACAACTTGACGAAGAATTGATAACTATTTAATCTTCATGTGACTGACTCGGCATCTGAGCACAGAATATCGCCAGCTTATCTTCACGTGGAGCAAGCCCTAAGCCCTATCCCGAACAGGCAAATCAATGACGGCGTTGCCCGGGGCCCGTTTGTTTTGGGCTCCGCAGTCATCGGAACAAGATCGCGACTAGCCCGCCTCGGCTTGTCTTTAGCTCCTTATTCTCGAATCCCTTAGTAACTGTCTCATACCAAAGAGAAACCTTAGCTGATCCTGACAGCCTCTCCCCTGGGGTAACAGTCGGATCAGATTCATAAGACTAGCTACCATGATGCACAAACATACCAAGCCCATCGGCCAGCGCAAGGTCTCGCCGCCGGGCCCAAGCTATATGAACAACGACCAGATGGGTAAGCTAACTGTCAATTGCCATTTGGTTGTTTGAGTTGGGACTGCCCGATGCCTCCTGAATCTGGTCTCAGTCAACAATCAACATTCTCAATTAGTTGAAACTAACGCGCGCTCGCTTTCTACAGCAAACTACTTAAAAGACCTCCGAACCAACCGCCCAGCTCGACCAACGGGATCACGACCGTACCCGGGCAAATCCATCGCATCATCTCCTGAACTCGAGGACAGCCTGCCTCCACGCGCAGCATCTGCATTCGCCATGTATCGAACCTCTGAAAGCCCTTCTAAAGAGGAACCCCGCTGTGGAAGCGCCATGTCCCACCGTCGCGCCAACTCCACTGCCGCCGAAGGTGGTCCAACCGGACGCCCTTTAGCCCAAGAACCACGATCAGTCTCGGTGCGAAAAAACGTGTTTCCCTCACAGGTCTTCTCGCGCCCCGTTGCAGCATCGCCAGTTCCCTCTTATCGGTCTTATCGCGAAAGTAAACACCGGCAGGAGGAGAAGGAGGAGGCACGGGAGCTACGCGACGCGCTACAGGGGTTAGATGTGGAAGATGATGTTCGATTGCACCAGGCAGCTCAGGATGAGGCGACGGAGTTGGTGTGGATGCATCAGAATCCTGGCATGGCCTACAAGAACCCATATGCGCCTTATCATAACCCAGACGCCACGGAGAGAGAGCCTTCTATCAAAAGCCAGACCCGGAAGGGCTCCGTACCAAGCTCTTCCCCGATCAAGCACCGCCATTCGATTGCCTCGAGTGGTTCCTCGAGTGGACCTTCGAGTCCCGAGTTCGCAGAGTCACCCGCCAAGAGGCGCTCGTCTCTCGCTGGGAACTTGAAAAAGAATCTCAAAGTCAACTTCGCCCTACCTGAAGAGGAGAAACCAACACCTAAACCCCGTACCGTGAGTGGTGATTCCTCCAAGGGAGTCTTCCGGAATCCAGAGGACCATATCTACGAGGAGCCCGAGGTGACGGACCCCAAGCCCGACTTCTCCAAGTCTGACTCCTCGGTCCTGCGAAACACACCGCGCAATGCCCTCCCACGACTCGGCAAGCCGCTGCCCTGGCTACAGGGTCGGAATACCAATGGTTCAGTACGCGACAAGATCTCCCAGTTTGACATCCACAAGAACCCGCCAAGTCAGTCCAATAATCCAGGGTATACAAAGAATGAGCCCGTTGCACCATCACCTCCCAGCAAGAATGAAGAGCCCGTCCCCATGAAGGACGGAAAGGAAATCCGCAGCGACGATATCCGAGCTGCAACCAGCAAAAGACTCAAGGACCGCAGTGAGAACTTGCCCATGCCTTCCGCAGTCAGTAACCGCATGGGCAGGCCCATCGTGAGCTTTGATCCGAAATGGAAACCAAGCGACCAGCCTAAGCCCAAGCCGCAAGCACCAACAGTGGCTCCTCCAGTCCCCAGCATCACGGTAGCTCCCAGTATTGAGATCTCTGAGCCACAGCCTCCTCCACCAATCCCAGTCATCAATATCCCCGATATCAAGGAACCAACGATATCCGAGATGATCGAGCCAGCCCGGGAGCAAAGCAAGCCGACGCGATCAATGACCCAACCCTCGGCCAACCAGAGTCGCCAGCCACCTGTGAGACGACACCCATCCGAGCCACAGGGCCGTTCATACACTCCATACACACGATCCGGTGTCCCAACAGCCCGTTGCGAGTCCTGCTCACTGTCCATCTCAGGCAAGATCGTCACCGCTGGAGGATGCCGATTCCACCCCGAATGCTTCGTCTGCCACCACTGCCATACTGCCCTGGAATGTGTGGCCTTCTACGAGGAGCCGGAAGCATCCCGAGCAGAGAGGTTGGCGCATAACCCCGACGAAGAGGCGCATATCCCGCGGTTCTACTGCCACTTGGATTTCCATGAGCTTTTTAGTCCTCGCTGCAAAAGCTGTAAGACACCCATCGAGGGCGAGGTCGTCGTTGCATGTGGCGCAGAATGGCACGTTGGCCACTTTTTCTGCGCCGAATGTGGTGATGTAAGTCATCTCCAATATCTCATTTCTTACCTACTACACACCCACTTACTAACACGCATCCTCCTACAGCCCTTCAACTCGACAACCCCCTTCGTCGAGAAAGACGGTTTCGCATGGTGTCTCCAATGCCACGGCCGTCGCACTGCGCCCCGTTGTCTGGGATGTAAACAGCACGTCCTTGACGATCTGGTCATCACCGCTATCGGCGGACAATGGCACGAGCGTTGCTTTGTCTGCCACGAGTGCGGTGACGGGTTTGGACCCGAGGGCCGCTTCTTTGTTCGTGAGGGTGAACCGAAGCGTACTGCCAAGGGTCGGATTATTGGTGGACCTGTGCAGTTGGCTATTTGTGAACGATGTGAGGGTATTCGTCTCAAGGCTCCTGGGATGTGTTGAGGAAAGGCACAGCTATCATGTGTTTTCCCTCGGGATTTGGAGAGCTTTGGGACAGGAGCCTGAACATTTGATGCTTTATGAATTTACTGCATAACGATTTATTGATTGATTTGGGGGGGGGGGGGGTTTGTTTCGGGTTTTGAGGATGGAGAGTGCATTTTCGGTTCTATGATTGTGTTCTATGTTAAACTTTTTGATGTTTCGATTTGCCATTGCCCTAGTTGGCGGGAGTTTCCAGTTTGTTTCGATTTAGCAAGTGCAGATTGGTTATTTCCGGATTTATTTCATGTTTGTGGTATCTGCAATGCATGCATTATGGAAAATTGGACTTGGACTTGAAGATGGGAAAACGCCTATACACCAGCTTTCTTTTTGAAGCCATATATAGACCAGTCAAACACACTCATGCACCCTGTCTTCTTTCTTTCTTCCCTTAAGCAGGCCACTCGGGATCGGCCTTGCGTCGGAATACGGCAACGTACTTGTTACCATTGTTCCGAGTGACCTTCTTCGACTCCTCAGTCTCAAACTTCATCACCCGCACACAAGGGTCAGCCTCAAGTTCCTCGTCAGAAACAAGTTCCCAAAGATCCCTAATTCCCCCAGTGATTTCATCAGCTACATTCTCCCCCTCCACAGTCTCATACTTGAAATGCCGCAGGACCCAGTGGTGATACTCCTCCACATCGGTGATAGTATACAACAAACCGCCCGGCTTCAATACATACGCATACTCGGCGTTCAAGCTCTCAGAGATAATACGAGCCTTGTGCTTGCGCGCCTTGAAATGCGGATCCGGGAAACAAACAAAGATCTTGGAGAGTTGGTGGTGGCCGAAGAAGTTGGGGAGGAATTTCATCGTGTTGGCCCGGATACCGGTAATGTTCTCGTAGTTACCCGGGACGATAGTTGTTGTGCTGCCGACTTCGTCGTCCTCGACTTCTGGGGTGGCGGGGGTATCGGAAGGGGCTTGGGTTGTAGTACTTGTCGCGGCGATCTTTTTGAGAGCCTGTTGTTTTAGGCGGAGGGCGGAGATGCGGCTGCGGACGTATTCGAGGACTGAGACGCGGATTTCCATGCCTGTATGAGTGATTAAATATAAGTATGATATGAGCTCGTAATTGAGGTGATCTAGGTGTTTTTGAACGTACCAACCATCAAGGTGTCTGGTAGTAGAGGTGCCAGCCCAACGAGCAATCCACCGAATCCACATCCAATGTCCACGACTTCCACGTCCTTGGTCAATTTTCTTGTGCCACCGAGGTTAATATTGGACGCATCGGGGTCCACAAAGGCAGGGTAATGCGACGCCCAGTCCATATGCGCGGGGCTAATAGGGCTATAGTTTCGTCATGATTAGCTCTAGTCAAGTAGACAGTCCAGAGTACATAGAACCACATAGACCATGACGCCAATGTCTTCACAGTACACTCCACGGTATTCTCCGGAAAGAAATATAAGCCACATACTAGTCCAAATTATGATCCGAGAAGGGATTCGCATGCGCGCGCTGCCGGAAGAATCTCTTCTGCGGCATCTTCACACTGGAAAGATCGCCATCACCGCCGCGCTCGGCCTGTTCCTGGATCTTGCGGCGATATTCTTCGCGCTGTTGGCGCTTGGCCGGTATTGGTGTAGCCATTTTGTGAGTGACCCTGGGCACGGACAATTGCGTGGTTGGGAGAAAAAGCGAGGCTTCGAGACGAGAAAGTCGGAGGTCGGTGGAGGAGGAATAATTTGCGCGGGCTGGTTTCCCCCCACTCCACACTCCGCCCGAGCTGTGCTTATCAGTACCTGCTCCGATCTCCTCTTTCATCCGATCCACGATTCACGTCGGATACTCAACAAAGCTGTTAGAGACTTGTATCTACAAGTATATACTCTGTAGAAATGGTCTCTACAACAGCTGCGACTGCAGCCACCACCTCCTTCGTCTTCCCATCCACCTACAACTTCCCACCCTTCTTCACCCCGCAACCAAACAGCACCACGCGACACTCCCAGCTCCAGAAATGGTCCTCATTAATCCAATCCTGGTGTCGACACCACCGCACCTACCGCCTCTCCCTCGTTGACGCCGTCGATTCACCTCTCTTCCACAATACAGCCCTACGAAAACGGCTAGCTCTCGCCGAAGCTCGCGCCGTCGTGGACTGGATGACCAAGAAAGAGGAGGAAGGTGGCGGTGGACAGCGCGCGGAGTGGATCGAGGCTGGAGGGAATACAGCACCGAAGATTGTTGCTTGGATTTGGTGGCGGAGACCGGAGGAGTGGGCGGATGTGCTGGTGGATTGGGTCGATGCTACTGGACAGAAGGGGGTAGTGTTGACGGTGTTTGAGCTGTTACAGGGAGAGGCGACGGTTTCTCAAGGTGAGTGATTGTTTCTCTACGAAATGACTAGGTGGGAAACGGTTATGCTAATTACCTTGTAGAGTTCCACGGCATGGACAACGATGTCATGATGAAATCGCTAAACGTTCTCGTCAAGCGAGGCAAGGCATCAGTCTTTGGTAACGAGGGCGAAGAGGGAGTCAAGTTCTTCTAAACAAACAGTGTCTGAATTGCTATGCCCTATGTGATGAATCGTGGCTATTCGTTACAAAGCAAACGCTCAAAGGGGTCCAACTGCCAATAAGGCCTAACATTTACAATAACCGCGTCGAGCCCATTGACTTGAATGACTCTCGAGACGAGTCCTACTCGTCTGCATCCTCAATCAAGCTCTCATTCAGCTCGTACTCATCCGCTGCCCGCAGCTCCTGTGACATGGCCATGTCGAGCAACCAGTCCACGCGCACGATCCGAGGAGTCCGCTTGACATCGCCGGCCAATTGACGGAATCGAGGCCAGAGTCGGGAATGCTTACGCTCGGCGCCGCTGAGAAGGAAAGCCTCGCTGCGAGCTGGCTCATCGTCCTGCATCTCCTCATCTTCGTCGTCGCTTTCCTCCCGTCGAGAAGTATTGTTCAGTGCGAGACGACCACGGAAAAGCAAGCACTCTCCACCGTTTGCCTCTACAATCGATTTGAAGGCTTCAAAGCCTCCGCGGATATCCTCCACGCAATAGACACGGAAGCCGCGCAGAAGCTTGTTCTTGTTTTTCTTTGCATTTCCCAAGGACTTGGCAAGAGAGATGTGGAACTTTGATTCGGCGATCTTGTCCACGAGTGGGAAGTCCTTCGGATCGAGCAACTCGTCCTGCTCGAGGCAGCTATCAACAAATTCGGTGCTCATAATCACTGGCGCATAGGCCAATGCATTAACAAATTTGGCGGTGCGCAGGATGGAGGGCGCGGCCAAGTGAGTGCATCGGCGGGCGTCCTGGACCACCATGATCCCGAGATCTCGGAGATGGCGCTGTTCATGCAACATTAGCATTCGCATATAGATGTAAACAGATAGTGGTCACAAACCTTATCGGCATCCTCTTTCTTTTCATTTCCCTTGCCAACCCACTTTTGATAGCCAGTAATCATCAAGTGCATAGAAATTGGTGGCCGGGACTTCTTCTGTCGCTTGGCATCCGACGCTTGTTCGCCATCGCTCTCATCCTGTGGCTCGGCTGAGCGGCGCTTCTTTGAATTGTTGGATACACGATCCTCATCGGACTTTCGTCGGCCCCCGTAGATAACACCACCAACGCGCTTCATCTCTTTCTCGTACAGAGCAATGTCGGGGGCGATCTCATGGAGCCGAGCAGTTGCTGCGTCTTTAGACTTGCGGCTGCTGGTCGAAGATGGAGTCTCATTCTCCTTGTCGTCGGGAATCAGCCTAGACCGCGCAGGTGTCTGTGCCTGCTTGTTCTCTGGCGCCCGACGAGTGGTCTTGGCCTTCGCCTGGGGAGTGTCTTGTGCAGTCTCGGAAAGCTTTTCGGCCTCCTTGTGAGGCTTCTCAGCGGGGGGTTGCATTGTCGCCGTGTTCTGGTCTTTAGCCCGCATAGCACGAGGAGGACTCGAAGGTTCTTCCATATCTTCTGTAGAAAAGAAGTTCTTCTCAAGAACGTCACGATCCAGCATTTTCTGTCCAGCAACGTCGCCAAGGTTCGTCCGAGGCGGGAAGTAGCTGTAGCGGGGGTTAGACACCGGTTGCAGTTTCCATGCAGCGTAGCTGTCTTCCAACCACAAGTGGTTGACCACCTGTAGTCCCCATTCTCGTGCGGCACTGCATTTCTCACTGTTCCCGTGAGCAGTGATCAGATGCGTGTTCTCCTGCTTCAAGGTCTTGGTGCATTCAGCACCCGCTGCTGCAATCAAATTCTCGAGGTAAATTCTCGCCTCGCCAACATAGTTGGAAAGACTAATCTTCAACCCTTCGAATCCAGGTATCGGCGTGCGCGACACGGGATAATGCAGGAGTCGACTCAATGGTCGGGTGAAAGTGTTAAATGTCATGAGATGGTAAAGCCAGGCAAGGTTTCCAACAATCTTGTCCAAGCGGGATGCTGTCCTGTACACAAAGCCCTCTCGGAATCGGCACACCAACCAATCCGCATCATCAACCTTGGATGTGATGGTAGCGCCACCTTGTCTGAGCACGGCCTCGATCGATTCCAACATATGTGATCCAATGCCCAGATCTGGTGAGAGCATGATAGATTTGTCTGCAAAAACAGTCGAATGGTCCCCAGTACTGGATGGTGTAGGCATTGCGGTTGGTTCGGGGGTGGATGCGCCTGCCAAACCCTTATTCTCATTCGAACGAATGGGAGTATCAAGATCTGGGCGCAAGATTTCAGGGTCTGGGAGTGTGTACGGGCGTTCATCAATGCGTTGACCGAGTTTTAGACAGTCATCGAACCTAGATCACGTCAATTAGTGTCGCGTCGTGACAGGCGGAACATGGGTGAAGCATACCAGTGTGGCAGGACAATCTTCACCTTCAGTTTCTTCGCCAGTACCAATCGCGCCTTGTCCGATTCCACCGTCAAGTCCACCAGATGGGTGACCATTCCAGTCATTCGAGGGCTGTACAATCCACCCTTGGCCACCACGCCGCCGATAATCGCATCCTTGTCGCCTTCAGGAATATCACCACAGGTCACGACCACATCGCTAAGGAAGAGGCGCGGATCGGGGCTGTGTTGGCGGGGGTTGGCCACTTTCCGTTTCGCTAGAGAGCTATGCACCCAAGACGGCTTCACCACGGGAATAAGGGTCTTGCGAGCGAGATCGTAGGTGTGGAAGTGGGTGTTGTTCGCGACGATATGGGTGCACTCGATAGTATCTTCTTTCTCGGGGCTGGACTCGTGTATTGACGGTTCGCCGCCATATTCTCCAATCACTGCTGCAAGCTATTATGGCCAATTTTATGAGTTTCGTCGCCGTTGTATGCGCTGGGTCATCAGAGTAATACATACCTGTTCTGCAGTCTCCAAAGGTAGATCAAGTGAGCACACAATACAGATGCGACACTGATCGAAGAGCTTGGAGTCCTCGTCTGCCATGGTGACAACACTGGGTTGCTCTCGTTGTGGTTGTCAGGAGCGAATCATCAAAGACGCGCCGCGCGCGTAAAGGGCCGACGCCCAGTCACGTGTCGACACGCGGGGCGAGATGCGTGAATGGAGAGTTGGGCATGGCATTGAATGTCATTGCTATTCGAATATTACTATTAATATGCCTTTCAATAGGAATACTATTGTTAGTCTCAAAGTGAGTATTTCTGGCTGGTATGATTGATCGACTTTGATGGTCCTTGACTTGAAGGGCCCCGATGTATATTCGGGACATATACAAAGAGCCCTCACAAAGGCCTGGGACTTATCAAAAGCAACCTAATATAGACCTTGTCTTTTCTCTTGTCTTTTCACGTTTCTTTTCACGTTTCTTTCTTGTCCGGTTAGTAAAATGGGCAGATTCAAACAAAGATACATGCTTAAATTATCTCCTCGCATGTTCAAACAATGCACAAAGGAATGGCGAAGTATACTTTCAAGGCCTAACCCACGAGTCCCAACTAGCATAAATAGTCTCCTCAACCCCTCGTCCATCCGATTCCTCGTCAACACTCTCGTATTAGAGAATCTAATCTATTTCCAATCCTCCTGAACTCAATAACCCTTCTCCAACAATTGTTCCCCATCGCATCTCACAGTTTAACTCGTCATTCTCATCATGCAGTCTCGCTACGACCCCCGCGAAGACGCCATTGGCCCTTTCGACGTGGATCCCAACCAAAAATCCCAAAGCAAAGCCAAGGGTAGAGAACCTCCTCTTTTCCCTATGACGCCTGAGCAATTCCAAGAAATCCGTGCTAACTTTGGGGCCAAGTTTAAGGAATGGAGCAGTGGCTCTTCCGGAAAGACCACCGCGGACATGGCCGAGATCCTCGAGTACATGGTGGATGATTTTGATCACTTCAAGACCGCCGCTGATCCTATATCGACTGCCCGCTGCTTCCCTAGAAAATGCGAACTTATCAAGCACGAAGTCCTGCGATTGATTCAAAGGCTCAAGAGCATCCCGAAGTTGGACCTGGAGACCGAGGAGATTATGGCCTACATTCGCAGCGCTATCCTCAGACTCACAATCGAAGGCAAGTCAGACCTCGTTGCAATAACTGAAACTGAAAGGTTTGAGAGAATTCATCAGCACAGTGTCTGGGATATGCCCGAGCTGGGATGGGGTAAGGAAGCCGAAGGACTGCGCACGAGGCTGTGGACGGTCTATACCAACGTCAATTTTTCGAGAGCTGACTGTTGCTTCCAATGCAAGCCGTACTGGTTTAGTGAAAAGGCTCCTGAAATTCGTCGTGGTACAATCTAGCATAAAGAAGTGAGGTCAGTCGTTCTCTTTTTCCTCTGGTCTTTGTTCGTTTTTCTAGTTTTGATCTTTTGTTGCCAGTATTCTCAAAAGCTCGTCTCTCCTTACTGTTGTTCTACACAACTCTTTTGATTTATCCATGTTTGTGAGTACACTCGAATTTACAATATTTGGAGAGAAAAGCTTAGCCTGTCTCACCTCCCAGATAAAATTCCTATCACGTAAAGTAGGGTTTCGTAAGCCTCTGTTGGATTAGTCCACGCCCTGTATTGGTTATGACTTACTTCCTAGCCTCTGAGAGAATCTAGGAAGGATCAGTAAGTACTGTAACTATGGCCAGTATACATTCAAGGAAGTAAACATCAGACAGACGGAATATTGTTTAATTCAATCAACTCTAGACATATAAACCCAATATTCCGAACCCAAAAAGGTATGAAGCACTCTGTGCATCGATTAGACTTATGAACGTATAAATCGTGGGGCCCCGGCAGTTGCGATCGCGGAGAATGCCTCTCGGGCCAAAAGGGCCTCGGCTCAATTCTTCGGTATCATCCGCATTTAATACCCCGGACATCCCTGGCGAACGCTGGTCGGTCCCCCACAAAAGTTCTCTACGGTACGGAGGGTTATCGAGGTCTAAACATGTCATCTTCTCCGTTCCGAGTCGTCGAGCATGTCGTGCCTTGCCAGCACCTTCGCGAGTATCCTGCCGCCACAGCCAACGAGCAGGAACAACCTTTGCACCTCGCTGTGAAACAATACATCCCACTCGACAACCCGAATCCGCAACCCGGCGATGTGACCATCCTCGCTGCGCATGCCAATGGCTTCCCAAAGGTACGTCGAGGGTCAAGGATCTTCGCGCGCATTATTGCTGGGTCGGTCGCATACAATTTGCGCTGCGAAGGCGGTGGTGCTTCTGGCAGTTGATTTCACACAGGCGCACTAGAGCACTATGCTAACTAGCAGTAGGAGCTATACGAGCCTCTTTGGGAGGAGATTCACGCTCGATCTCAAGCCAACGGATTCCGAATTCGAAGCATCTGGATGGCCGATGTCGCACAGGAAGGCGAGAGCAGCGTCATCAACGAAGACTCCTTGGGCAATGACCGTACGCGACATTCGTTCCGAATACCTCAAACGAAAGGATGATTACTTACAATGCCACAGCTAGCTGGTTCGATCATCCCCGAGACCTCCTCCACCTGGTCAACGTCAAGCGCGCCGAGATGCCCCGGCCCATCATCGGCGTTGGCCACAGCATGGGTGGCGCACACCTGTAAGTATCCGAGACTGTTGCACATATCCAATTTCCATCGCACTAACAAGAACCTGTAGTACACAATTGAGCTTGATGCACCCCCGGTTGTTACACACTCTAGTACTACTGGACCCTGTCATCCAACGCCAGAGCACTCAACTCGACATCATGAGCATGCGCGAGCGCAGACGTCTCATCGCAAAGACCACCCAGCTATCCACCCACCGACGTGATCTCTGGCCCTCCCGCCAAGCCGCTGCAGAAGGCTTCAAGCGCAGCCCCTTCTATCAAGCCTGGGATCCACGTGTTCTAGACCGCTGGGTCAAATATGGCCTCCGCGATCTGCCCACAGCCATCCACCCGCTCGACCCCAACACCGTCGTAGACAAGAAGAACCCCCCAGTCACACTACGAACCCCGCTCCACCAGGAAGTCTTCACCTTCTCGCGTCCAAACTATAATCACATCCCCGGCAGCGACAAGCCCGTCAACCGCGTAACCCACCCCGATCTAGATGCCGACCACCCAGACTCCTACCCCTTCTATCGGCCCGAGCCGGCTCGTATCTTCTCACAACTACCACACCTACGCCCTAGCGTGCTCTACATTTTCGCCGGCAAGTCAGACATGTGTCTCCCAGATATGATGGCCGATAAGCTTGCGACTACGGGTACGGGGCTAGGCGGTAGTGGCGGTGTCGCAAAGGGCCGTGTGCGAGACGTCTTTCTCAAGGATTTTGGTCACTTGCTCGCCCAGGAAGCTGTTAATGAATGTGCCGATGCAGCGGCATGCTGGCTGGCGCCGGAATTGCGGCGCTGGCGTGATGGGGAGGAGAGCTTCCGGGCGCAGTGGAGTAAGAAGTCGAAGATTGAGAAGATGACGGTCGATAAGCAGTGGATGGAGAATGTTCCTGCGCCGGCGCGTCGGCCAAAGAATGGCGAGCAGAGGGCTAGTGGATCGAAGCTATGAGGAGCGTGGTGTGACCACCTTGTATATAGATTCGCATCTCGAGGAGGACCGTACATATCAAGTCTTGTACATATCGATTTGACAGCTATTACATTGGAAAGATGGCGGATACTTTTAAATACAAGAACAATTAGACCAATCACAGTTCAAGTCACTTCATAGCATTGATTCTTTCTATCACCTAACAATGGGGGGTACTGGTACTGAAAGAGCTTGAAAAAGCAGCATCAAAAAACGACAAAAAGCTAGCAGCCACGAGAAACTCCTGTCTATAGCAACAACATCCACTTGTGCCTCACTTTCCTGTTGTACGTCGTCGTCGGAATATGAGACTAAGGTATACACCCCGGGCGAGACGTACAAACTAAGATCAACTGACATCCCGTTCCATCACCGGGACGAATGGAGGATACACCAGATGGAGGGTGCCAGCCCAATGCACCCCCAAACCAGCGGAGAGTACAATTCAACAGACATCAAGAAAGAGAAGTCAGTGGAAGCACAGTTTCAACTTCATTCGGAGGGTTCACATTCCAGGGGTTTTCGCAATCGCCATCGCCAAACCTCCCATAACAGCCAAAATAAACGAGGTAATCAACCGAGGTATTGAAAGACTTATGTAGACTTTTTGGCTCGAGCAACCGCATTCTCAGTCAGAGGTGTGGTACGAATAACTTCGGGGATGTGCCAGACGTGCGCCCAGCGCAGATGGAAGTCGTCCTGGCGGCCATTCAGGCAGTGTCGTAGCCAGATACCCCAGATGATGTACATGTATGCACCGATACCGGTCATGATATGCCTGAATCAGCAAAGTCAGTAAAAGCTAAAGGAGAAGGCAAGGGTTTGAACCGGTGAACGTACCACCAACCATGTCCCTCCAAGAAAATCCCCCACGGCAAACCCACCGTCCGACGCCACACACGGATCTGCGAACAGAACTGGTTGTCTAGATTCCAGATGAAAAAGCCGCCTAGAAACATACTAAGTCCGTAGACGACCATAAACCACATCGTCTTCAGCGTCTTCATGTCGCGCTCATTCTCAAAATGCTGACGCTCCTTGGTAGGTACGGGGAGACCCTTCTTCTGGCGCTCCAGGCGATCTTCCTCACGGGAGTGGCGCCACTTGGGGCGAAGGGCTGTCTCCATGGTGTGCACGCTGCGAAATACGACAACAATTGTTAAGAGGGCGTAGGCATTTTGGTGGAATACCGGGTCTTGGAGGTAATGGTAGTAGAGGGTGATGAAGACTGCCAGGCTGAGTAGGGAGAGGGCGAGGACTAGGCGGAAACCGGTTGGGCGGGAATATGAGAATGAGGCGTAGGCCATCAGGCAGGTTGTGTAGATCATGGAGAGTTCATCGACCAGCTGCATCGGGTCTGTGTGTGTGTCCAACGGTCAGCGGGATGTTTGAAATGTAGATCATTATGGCTGATCTATACAATTGAGAGAGATAGAATCTAGGAATATGTAGGGTCGGAAAGGAAATGACACTTGCATTTCAAAGTGGAATGGAACAGGAAGCTGCCCGTTCCTACAACCAGGTAACCCAAAAAGGCAACGGTGAAGATCTGATCGTGTCCATTGCGGCGACAGCTGATGATGCCCTTGACACCCAGCCACATAAACAGGAGATTTGTCAGGGTATTGACAATCTCTGCGGAGTAGACGGTCGCATAGTAGTCCTGAAGACCAAAATAAGTCTGGTTAGTCTGGTCTTCTGAATCGAGTAAATTACATCCAGGCAGCTGCCTGCCCAGTTCGGATGTAATCGCGGGGTGAACCGCGATAAATAAGCACAGAACAAGAAGATAAGTATAACATACCTCTTCGCACCAGTTCAGTGTCGATGTGACGGGGCTCCAGAAGCCAGCCTTTGCAGGCGGATATGGGATGTGAGGCAGAGACCACCCCATCATTTGAATTGGAAGAGGATTGAAGAAGTGAAGAAGAGAAGCAGTAACGAACGCCCCAAAGGCGACAGGTGACGTCGATTACACACGGACCGCAATTGGGGCCCACTGATTGGCCCCGAAGTGGCTCCGCGAGTTGCCGGCTGCTTGCGGGATGTTTTTGAAGGCGATCGTCGGGACCGTTTTGGTCAGGAATTGATGAGATGCAAATGGTATATGTTATGTGGAGATTTCTGGAGACGGATAGTACACAGATTAAAAAAAAATATCAATATTTTAGATCATGCTCACTTTATTATTTTTGTCTATGTGGCTGTTTAGTACTACACCACTGGTGATCCCTTATCGATACGACTGATACGGGCGATACGGGCGAGACCGAGGCCCTTCCGATGACTAGTGACCACTCCGTAGTTTAGTTAACTTAAGTTAGTTAGAGAAAGTCACTGATGACTTCACCGAACCCTGTGTAATCTGCCAACTTCTCAACTACCACCGCAAACCCCCAACACACTCCTGGATTCTGCCATCGGGGGAATTACTGTATACTCGGGAATGCAGACTGCCTCACACCCATTCCAATCGTGACCGTTCCGGAACGGGCGCTTTTGTCCCAGTTTCGGCCGACCGTGAGGCCCTGCGGAGAAATCTTCCACCCGGAATCTTGACGATTCGTTCATCCGATATCGAAGTCTGCTTCTCTACACTTACACAGCTCATTGACACACACGAGCCGCCGGTTGACTCCGCGCAAGATTTGGCTCCGAAGCCATGTCGAATAACAGCGCCTATGCGGTGCCGCCCGTGAAGAAGACTACTACATCCACATGTATGCATATACCCTGCAGGCCTCGACAGGCCCCATACTACCATGAAGTGCCTAGACTAATCACTCTTCTCAATCTCGCAGCATCCAAAACAGTCTTCCACTTCGCCGCCGGCCTCTGCTCAGGTCTCACCTCCTCCATCCTCCTCCAACCAGCCGATCTTCTCAAAACCCGTGTCCAGCAATCCGGGAAAGCCAACGCCCTCCTCCCAACCCTCAAAGCCATTCTCTCCTCTCCAAATCCTATACGCAGTCTATGGCGTGGCACACTTCCCTCCGCCCTTCGCACGGGCTTCGGCTCTGCCCTCTACTTCACCAGTCTGAATGCACTCCGCCAGACGATCGCACAGACCAACCCTCCGCTCGTCCTGTCAAACACATCAACAACCAGCACCTCCTCCTCCGCTCTTCCAAAACTCTCAAATACAGCCAACTTGGCCACGGGTGCCGTCGCTCGTGTCGCCGCGGGATTCGTAATGATGCCCGTCACCGTGCTCAAGGTGCGCTATGAGTCAGACTACTACGCCTACCGAAGTCTCTGGGGCGCTGGCCGCGATATCGTACGCACCGAGGGCATGCGCGGTCTATTTGCGGGCTTTGGCGCCACAGCGGCCCGAGACGCCCCATACGCCGGCCTCTATGTGCTTCTCTACGAGCAGTTAAAACGGCGTCTTGCCACCATGACCACAACCGGGTCAACCAACCCCGACGGGACCCCTCTGGCAGGCGTGTCCTCGTCGTCTATCAACTTCGTCTCCGGTGCCTCGGCAGCCGGTCTAGCCACCGCTATCACAAACCCTTTCGACGCCGTCAAAACGCGGCTGCAACTAATGCCCGCCAAATACGGCAACATGGTCCGGGCAGTGCGCTTAATGATTCACGAGGACGGCATGCGCAGTCTCTTTGGTGGTCTAGGTCTGCGCATGGCTCGAAAGGCATTAAGTTCTGCACTGGCCTGGACGGTATACGAGGAACTTATCCTCCACGCTGAGAAGCGTTGGGCCGCGAATCACCAAATGAGCTTGTAGAGGCGGACAACCTTTGTCTCGACTTCGGCTCATATACACTCCATATACAAGATCAACTCCCTATGTCATGTACTATTAGCTTTCATCTCAATCTCCACTTGCGGGTCTGTCCTGCAGATGCATCACGCACACCCTTGCATTATGACTCGGCCCAATAGAGCTTTTCTCTACACTTTACAATTTGCTTTTAGAGTTGACACCTACATCTGCATCTTGCAGCTACACGACATATGAAAACATCGGGACAATAGAAGTGGACCCGGTGTCCACCTTACGTCCGGCCAGGATCGATCTTTCCAGACATTAACACACCTTTCTACAACGAACTTATTTCATCAAGAAGCATACATTCGGTGACATGGTTGGATACATAGAACAGAGTGGGGAACGAAATGCGATTGACATGGCATAGAGAAAGAAAAAAAAATTCATCAAGCAAAGAGGGAAAAGTCATCAACTCGTGTCTCGTTACTGTACCACTCTCACGGTGACGACCAGCTCCAAGAAATCTGGTGCAAAAAATCTCAACTCAAAAAGGAGAGAACGAATTCAAGGCATGATCTGGGTCTCGTAGTAAAGCGCAAAAACGTGGAAAGAATAGAGGAAAGAAACGATATAAAAATGACTTTGTCCAACTGATCCAACTGATTCTAGTTGGGGGGTATGGGGATGGACGGGACTGGACGAGGCAAGGTGAAACGCTTTATGCGAAGATGCGTAGTCGTCGGCTCGGGCTCTTCTTCCGCACCAGGTACATCTTGTCCTTGTTGCGGTCGTTGATCTTGAGTTCGGTGGTGGAGCTGGAGGTCTGCGCGACCAGTTTGCCTTCGCGGATACGGCGGGTGTGAGCGAAGAGCTCTTCTTGGAAGTCCTCGGTGACCCAGCGCTTGATGATGATGTAGTTGCTATCGCGCTAGAGAGAAGGGATATATGGTTAGCAATGAAGGGGTTAGATTGCTTGTTTTCCTAGGATATGCTTACCTCGTCCCAGTCCCAGGGCAAGTTGTAGGCAAGAAGGGTTTCGGGGAGCAGATGCTTGCGGTGGACCTGAACCAGAGTTAGTATGATCGCAACCCTAACCTGATAAGATTTCGGATTTCATCTCGGACGTACCTTGATCCAAGTAGTCTTCTCCTCGATAATTTCATCTTTCTTCTCCTTTTTCTCTTTTTCCTTCTCGGCCTTTTTCTTCTTATTGAGAATCTCCTCGATCTCTTCCTCGGTATATCCAAACTCCAGGCGCAGGCGCTCTCGGAACTCCTTGTCCTTCTTGATCGCCTCTTCCTTCTGCCTCTGCTTGATACGCTCCTGCTCCAACTTCCACTCCTCGATCGCAGCGAGCTTCATTGCTTGCTCCTTTTTCTTTTTCTCCTCCGCCTCAGCTGCCTTGCGACGCTCCTCTTCGAGGAACTCCCTCCGCAGCTTCTCACGGGCTTCAGCCTCCGCTTTCTGCTTGACAAGCTCCTTCATCTTTTCCTCTTGGAGCTCCTTCCGCAGCTTCTCGCGTTCTTCTTCTTCCTCCTTCTGCTTAGCGAGCTCTTTCAGCTTCTCATTGCGGAGCTTTTGCTTTAGCTCTTCACGGTCGGCAGCCTCCTTCTCCGCCTCCTCGAGCCTCTTCAGTCGCCATGCCTTCTGGTCGGCAGCCTCCCGCTCCTGATCCTCAAGTCTCTTTAGACGCCACTCCTTCTCTGCATTGCGCCGCTCCTCTTCGGCGCGATTCTTGCGCTCAAATCGCTCCAGTCGGCGCAGTCGGTCACTAATCTCATCCTCATACCACTCCTCTTCTTCGCGGAGCAGCCGTGACTCCCGTGGATCGCGAGGCTCGGCCCGATCGCGGTGCTTCTCCAGCTCACGCTCCAACCGCTCGATCTCCTGCTGCTGCTTCCAGATCTCCATATCCTGGCGGAGATCACTCTTTTCGAGGAGTTTCTGGTTGAGCGCAAGTTCGGTATCGCGGTCATGGTGGAAGGGGGAGGGATCACGGGAGACACCAGTCACTGCACGACGACGGGGTAATATCACCTCATCCTCCCACTCAGGCTCGACGACCTTCTGCTGCACACGGCGGGGCTTATTGGTGTTACTGTTGTCGGTACGTTGGGCCTGCTCGTTGACGATCATGACAGCGGGGACCTCGTTGCGATCGCGGTTTCGGCGACCACCTGTCGAAGCAGACCGATGGACTCGTGTGGATTGGACGGGGACCATAAGGGTTTCTCGTGCCTCGGGACGACGGTGACGAGAGACTGATCGCCGGCGGAACGAGGTACGACCTTTGCGGCCATGGACGGAGAGATCGGTCTCGGAGAATTCCGAGTCATCGGACTCAAAAAAGATATCGGCCGGCATGGTGGACGATAGATGGGATTTCAGAGGAAATCAGACCAAACTATGGTGTGACAATAGAAATAATTCAAGTCGAGTGATCGACCCTGATGGAGGGGAGGGGAAAAGGTCTGAGCACTCGATACCAGTTGGAGGGGCCCGAGAATCAGAATGAGGTCAGGTTGGAGGAGTGCGGGGTGTGGGAAAGAAGAGAGAGAAAAGGGGAAGAGACGAAGAAGGAACAGAAGAAAAGAAGGGCTGGGCCCCTCAAAAAGTAGCGAATTAGTTATTTCGAATGGGAAAAAGAGGAGTCAATACGAGTGTGCAAGTCGGGCTTATCGACGATCGCTCAGCTGAACGGAGAGAGAGAAGGAGGGGCTGGAAAAAAAAGGGAAATGGACCATAATGCCGTTGGGTGACCAGGCGGCTATTTATTCGAACAGGGCTGCAGTAGTGAGTAAGTTACTCCTGTTTCATAAATAGGTACTCCTCATACTCACTGGCTTAAGCCAGTGACTTGACTACGCCATGGTCATCTTCTGCGAGACGATGCATATCAGCCTCAAAACGATCGCCTTATCCGATCGAGGACGGAGGAGTATGAGAGTATAGTAACTAAGGTATAAGGTTAATGAGGGTGGTAAGAGAGTCTATACTCCCTCTCTACACTACTATATCAAACTTATTTTCTCCTTCTATTCAACGTTCTTCACCCTTGGTGATCAGTATCCCATACACCATAAAGTACCCTGTACCCCTCCTCTTCCAAGGTTTTCTGCGGGATAGCATCATCGTCTCCAGCCACCCACCCAAAAGGCCCCCACTTTGGCAGCCCAGCGACCGTCAGACGGGCTTAGACTCTTTAGAGCCAAAGATGGGGACTCCTTGTCCTGGCCCTGCCCCACTACAGACTGACTAACTACTGTACTACAGCATCGAGGTCTGTCTCTTTGCTCTTCCAGTGAGTTCTCAAACTTGAACTCGTCTCTGCGAACCATCTTGGTGTAATGCTTGCGCCGCAAGTCCCCAGAGAAGACAGTCACGCTCCCTATGCTGTTGCATTACGCTCCAATGATCCATTACCCCTGGGCGCTTCAAGAGACAGATTAGCGGGCCAGCGTCTGTTGAAACCGACCAGATCTATAAACGGGAGACTATTTGCACGAAGTATTGCGCTATCTAAATCTGGTTCCTGTCTTCTTTCAATTTTTATTCTGTTCATTGCACAACGCTGGATCCGCCACCGATGGGCCTGGCCCTGGAATTTTGGGTACCTGGATAACATGCGGTGTACTTTGGGTACTGACTAACAGCACTTGGGTAAGTTACCTGCGTGATCTCAACGGGCGAACAATCAAAAGATCGGGCAGCCGCCCCATCATCCCCCAAGAGATGAAATGTTGGGCACGAGAAGAGACTCCCCGGATAGTCATCGGACTATTGCTAATATCTTCAAAAGCAAAATAAACACAAAAACAATCAGGTCGAATCCCAAGGGACGCGGTCGGGTGTTCCCGCGGGTGACCCATGGGACCTACGCGTGACTTGAACCTCACTTTCTCATCCTCCCTTCTCACCTGCCTTTCCTCCTCTCTCTCTCTCTCTGGAATTCGCGGGCTAGGCGAATGTGGATGATGCCTCGGATACTCCGTGATCACGGTCGAGGAATTGTCGTCACTAAGGGCCAGAGGCAAGGTATCGCCCCCATTCTGGCTGGTATCGGTACGTATTCGGAATATGCGCTTCAGTTGACGACTAATCGCCTCAAGTCTATGAACGACATGTACTCTTTGGAAATCATTTCTATGGCTACTTGGTGGTATGCCTTGACCTGCTTTTTTAAGCTGGAATCCACAAATTCCTTCATGAACGATGACAACCTTTACTTTGGACTGCGATCGCTATACAAGCGCGCAATGTCGTTACCGATGGCACCAAATCGGGGCTTGTCGATAAGTGCTTATTTTGCTCTCTCTTCCTGGAATTATCGTTGAGACGCCTAGGCACTCTACTGATTCGCATTCCGGTTGGAAGAATAACTTCCGGGACGGCTCAATAACGAGCCATCGACACATCCAGACAACCAGAGGTATATCAGTTTCAGATCAATCCAGTAGACACAGACATACTTCAACTACAGACAACCGTATATCCGCCACTTCTGACTAGTCATTATTAAATAGCTCCAGAAGCCATACCCTTTCAGTCCTGGAGAACAACCCAAATACAAACACAAACACAAACACCCTCTACAGCAGGCATCTACAGTACATGTCTCTCTACCGATTGGCTCTGCAGAACAGGGATAGACCCGGACGATCCTCAATCGTTTATTAGCGGGTTCTGCTCACACGTCATTTTTAATTTAAATTCCGGCCGGGGCTGGGCGACCCTTCTTCGTCAGGCGCAGAGAGACTGAAGTGTATGGATGACGATGACGGCGGCGGCGAATTTGGGTTACAGTTGGTGAAATACTGTAGTGTATTGCTGTGCCACAGTCGATTCGGTTGGGCGTGGTATCGTAGGGCAGGTAAGCTGAGTGGTCACGAGCCACTGTATCTCATCGATAGTGTGGCGGTGTTCTCTTGTTCGGGCGGAGTATTGGGCTGTGCTAGCTTGACCTAAAGTTGTATGTATTTGTTGACTTCGATTTCCAAGAGATAGCCGGTGTGGCTGTTACATGGTACATTTATCTGCTTTCTGTAAAGCTTTTGGAATTCTAAAGAGCCGCTTGTGGGTGTCTATCCCATTTCTGACCGTGATGCCGATAAGCTCTTATCGGGCCAGCGATGCTAAGTTGAGAGGTTGGACTAAGCAGCATCAGTGACTAAGTCACCATACGAAATTTAAGCTTGAAATCTTATCTTGACCAGGGGCTCGACTTTATCTTTGTTCGGGGTCCTCGGATTTGGAAACACAACAATGAATATTGATGTCTTTTGTATTGAACAATGGCCCGTGTTACGGTTTTGCCCATTGTTTGCAAAGCCACTCTTCACATAAAACTCCTGGGTATCCAAATTGCCGGTAAACAGAGCAGTTCCTCGGTAATACAAACCAAGGGACAGATCTGACAGGCCAGGGACTCGGCAGCCCTGGGCTAGATTTCTTCCGTCCTCGAACGAAGCCTTCGGCTTTCCACTACTTCCACCTGGGCCATTCCCCTCATCCGACTGAGGAAGCTTCGATCAGTTCCTTTATGGCCCGGTAGCACCAATGCAGAGAACCTCTCTTTCTGAAAGGTTCCCGGGCCCCCGACGATATCCATCGTCAGGGCGGATATCTTCTCCTTAGCCGTGTCCTCTCAATGCCATAATCGCTTCTATAATCCCATCACAACTTTATCAAGCGCGTCCTCCGGAGCTCAGAATCTGCTCCAAGTTCTCCCGGCTGTTCTTGAACGTTGTTTCGTGGTAGTGTAGCTTCTTCTCGAGGTTGTTGATCTCGGAAGAGGCCTCCGCACTCTCGCGAGTGAGACGCTTGTTGACGGTGCCGATGGGGACGTTGACGAACCTGGATCCCAGATGTTAGCTCCATTGCCATGGAAAAGAGGACAAGAGTATTCCCCGAGGGCCGGTAATAAAGATCGGAGGGATCAATGCAGGATCAGGTAGGTGATGACGAAACTCACATCTTTCCCACCCCCTCGTACACCGGTGTCTCCGAGGGCAACTCAGCCAGCTCCTTCGATGTCAGCTGCAGCATACGGATGTCGCGCTGCTTGGTGGTGATCTGGGCCTTGGTGACGCCAATCTGCTGCTGCGAGGCAATAGCACGGGTCTCAATCTCTTGCAGGATCTAGTGTGGCCTCTTGTTAGGATTCCTAGTTCAAGGTGTGCGGGTTCCTGGACTCTGTGGTAATTCCGGAGGTGAAACTTTCTCACCTTCTGCAGGGCCTCGTTGGGGATGGACATTTTGGGGGATGTGGGGGTTGGCTGTCGAAGGAGGGGAGGGGTAGTTTGCGAGTCGGCGAGGGGATAGTCAATCGATTGAATATCCGGCAATCGATGATTTCTTTGAAAGTGACAGGATCGAAGTGATCTGTGATCGGAGCAGCGACTAGTTTGGGAATGGCTCTCAACGTGTCTCGCGAGCTGTCGTGAAGCTGCTCCGTACGTGGGCGGTGGGGGATTAACCTGAAGGCGGTGAGGCTGTCCATTGTTCGAAAGACATCCACTAAAGCTTCTCTACTCTGGACAGATCAGTTCATGAGCCATTATAATTTGATTTCAATATTCTCACTCGACATAACCACTTCTATCCGCGGAGTATGCGATCCCTACGACTGCCTTACGGGCAGCTACCAAGAGGAGTATGAGCTTAGCGACATTACACACCATTTCAATCGAATGGAACCCATAGACCTTCCAATCTGAACCTGGAGGATTGGGTATGCTTAAATTGCGCAATTAAACCCATTTAGACTTCGAGGAGTCACGGCTTATATCCTTGGTCATTTTGATCTCATGAACTATACTTATACCCTCCAAATTTGGGACGAAGTACTCTTGATAACCATGGTAATAATGGGAACATGGATGGGTATTGAAGTTGCCCAAGGTGGGCAATTAGGGTAGACCACTTGGGACGGATGTTTGTAGATATCTGCAGGTATTAACTATTATTCCGTTGTACTGTTCAAGCAGCTTAGGATTTAGTAACTGTTTCAAACTATATCCTCGGCTCCACATATATATCTCAACCGCAGATTAGGACACAGATGGCGAGCATGAATGAACGAGAAGGATGTAGAGCCTGGATAGGAGCAGTTTCCCAATGGAATGGCACATATCTGCCATTGTTATTAGTGAAGGCCCAGTAATCGAACTGGCGAGATAAATTAGTATCACAAAGCCTCCCAGGGACAATATCAACAGGGGATCCTGAATGGGAATTACTATGGATAGACGACGCTATTGGTATCCAGGCTCAATATGCACTTTTCTTCGGCATCGTATATACAACTGGGCTTGTGGTTTAGTGGTATAATACTCCCTTAGCATGGGAGTGGTCCGGGGTTCGATTCCCCGCGAGTCCATGTCTTTTTGTCCCTATTTAATCCACAAGAGGTGATGTGGTGGATCACTTGAAATTTATGGGCTCTGTATCTCAAGTTTTTTTTTTCTTTCCGTCCGTGGGCGGCCCCTTTAGAGAGGGGCGGTGTGGAGCCAGATGGCAGAATCTTCTCGACCAATAGGAGTCCTGCAGAGTATACAACCTCAACGACCTTACTTGTGTTCGCACTTTTTTTTTTCTGCGTCTTCTGCCTCGGATCAATAAGTACCTCTAGGTAGACGGTGGACAGAAAGCCGGTATACCAACAATCAAGTCTATGGAAAATAGCCGAGAACTACTTTGCCACCGTCGGCCTCTTTGCCAGTTCATGGTATTTTGAAAACACCACAAGGATCCCGAATGCATTGACCAGTAAAGCTGTTATGTCCATTTACAGGTTAGGTTGTAAGGGTAAGGCGATTAAACTCGTTTTCTAGGGTTTAATGAGATTTGTTATTTTCTCATATAGACACCCGAGCTTATATTTATAAGCTAGAAGGAATTATGAAGACCGCCGTTGAGATAGACCTGGGCGTGAAACTCTAAGGATCTTGCCCACTTTACATATAAATCAACTCACCCTTTTGTAGGACCTGCAGGTCATTTCAAATATCTCACTTTTCAATCGATAAATGATAACATCAAACAAAAGACGAGAAAAGTATTTCGAACACACAACCATTACCCCCTAAATGCCGAGGCTGAGTCCTAGTTATAGAAGAAGCGCCATCAGTTGACCAGAGGCCCTGATCTTGCGTTATATCCGCGAGTTCAATGACTTCACATTAATGGCACCAAAAGCTCGCAAGAAGTCATACTGTATTTTTGAGATGGGGGATAAGACTGCTTTTAGGCCAACTCCCATTCCGTAGCCAGGTTACGATCACTATTACGCTGGATCAAAAGACCAATCAAGTAAAGAGAATGACTGGATGAGCTTCATCAATACCAAGGAAATCAACAGAGTAATGACCCAAAACTAGTACAATGTCTTAAGACTCATCTTAATATGGAATCTGGGCACCCATGAGTAGACAATACATACCCGAACGTTGATTGCATCAATTAGCTAGGCCCGCTGGACCAAGAACAACTCTGATTCAATGAACCGCAATTATCTTGCTAATCTAGCAGTGAAATTCAATCTACTAAGGCCTTACATACTGATGGACAGTCCGACAGATACCATAGCCACCATGCCTCCTCAGAATCCTAGGCTTACTACAAAGCCCAGGAACATGAAAGTCAAGTTAACTCCGAGAACTGACCAAAAAGCCTTCAATATGAGGCTCACTAGGATATTTCACGACACTGGGTCTCAAACATATCCTTTGATGGAAACTATTACTTGGTTTCTGGTACAAAATGGAAGTAATTGAGAAGCGTGATAAGTTGCATTGATTCAAACAGATAACCGCCCGCCATTCTCTAACATACGCGACATCTATCATGAATTAAATAAGGAAAACCCAACACCAAAGAGAGAAATAACAGGTATCCTCCATCCCGCAGACCAAACAACAAGTTAAAAGAAAAAGAAAGAAAAAGAAAGAAAAGAAAACATCAAGCACAAGGTCAATAGGTCAAAGAAGGGAGACAAAATAAGAAAGAAGACATAACTCCAGTGCCATTCCAACTCCCACGGCGCCTATAGACGCCTCGCTAATCTAAATCCATTCCAATTTGCTTCTGGGACTTTGCTCCACAAAGTCCATCGGCGTGATCCAATTCAATCTCCCAAGATCAACCAGGAACGCAGGGAAAAGAAGCATAGACCAGCCAGTTCGTAAAATGAGATATCCATTTCGGAGACATTGCTTTTCTCGCACGCTTCATGGCTCATTCTCGGTCGTGGGCATCAATGATTTCTCCTCACCGTCACCAATCTAGTAGCTTGAGTTTGATGGGTCCATCCAAGAGTCTATTTCTTGACTCGTTGAGTCGCCCAAGAGGTTGCTGGGGTCGTGATACTTGGCATCCCAGGAAGGCTCACGCTGCATGGCGGCGGAGTAGGAAGTAGGAACGGGGAATGGGACTGGGCTGGGCAGAGCGGAGAGTGCTGCTGGGAGATAACACTCTTCTTCGGCCCAGCGGGGGTAAGGGTTGGGTGGGGGAGTGGGAGGACAAGAGACGATGGGAAGACCATTAGTCTCGCTTGGGTAGCTAAGCAGCTGAGGATCCAAGTGGCCGCCGACAATGTGGCTGGGCACAGGATGGGTGGGTTGAGGCTGGAGGAGCTCGTGCGAGGCGCCGGGGATGCCAGTCAGACCATTGGTTGAAGAGAAGTATGGAAGCTCGTGTGGCATCGGGCTGGCTCGAGAGAACTGCAGGTCTTCAAAGTGTTGTCCTACGGGTTGCAAGCCACTGCTAGGGTAGCTGGTGTTGCTCCACATGGGGGTCATGTAACCAAGTCCTCCTAGCGAAGAGTCAGGAGTACCGAAGGGTGTAGAGCCTCGACTACTGGGTAGATAGTTGACATCGAAGCTTTCCGCGCGGTGGTGCATCATGCTGGGCGTTCCCTCTCGCATGTACCGGTCGTCCCAATCAACCGAGCTCCCACGAATCGAAGCTCCAGGAGTAGCAGTCGACCGTGGAGGAGTGTACTCATCATTTCTTCGCGTGGTGGTAGCAGGCCCTTTGTGTGGCTTGAACTTGTATCCCGGGTGTGCATCTGCGTGGTTTTGGCGCTCGAGGATGGCCAAGTTCTCAAACTTCTCACGAATCTCCTGCGTCTCTGCTCTCCAGCTGACACCCGCAATCCGGGAGACATTCTGATTGCAGTTCTTGCCGAGCATGCTCTTGATGAGAGCAATATAGGCGGATCGGTAGAGCATGAAAGAGTTCATGGGACGGGGGATTTCACCATTCTTGGCCTTCACCTCGCTTTGGCGCTCTGCGAGTGAGCGATTAACCCAAACCTCCATGTCTCGCACTGGGGGATCAACCATATCCTTGGTGATTACACTCAGTGGCTGGGCAAGATTAAGGTTACAGCTGGCAGCTGTGCCGTCTCTCTTGCCACGAGGCTTTCCACTGCGCGACTTGGTGACCTTGGATTTAGAAGCTGGGTTTTGGCTGCGACTAGGGGGAGACCATGATGGAGAAGCTGAAGACAGTCTCTCTGCTGGGGGTGTACTGATGGGAAGCTAGAAAGATTGTTGATTTTCTCAGCTCAGTTCAATCTCTCCGGAAGGAAAATGGAGCTTACCGTGAAAGGAGGCTGATAATCGCTACCTGGGGCATAGAAGGGCGTTGGTACAGGATAGATCTAGAGAGAAATTAGTACATTGATGCCTTAATCAACGAAAATGGGTGCCGAGTTACTTACAACTTGCTGAGGCTGAGAATGAGGGTTGATCCCCTCACTGTGGAAAACCCCTTGATCCAAGCCATTGTTGGCGATGGCGTACATTGGCACTGGAGGATATGATTCCATGGAGGGTTCCATACGGCGCTCTGGAATCTTCTCCTCCTCTGATGTCTGTGGAGGAGTTGGTGGAAACCCACCAACAGGAAGTGTTGAATCCATTGTCATGATGATGATAGTAGAGTTATCTTTGAATTGCCGACTTCTCCAAGATTGAGAAAGTAACCGATATCCCTGAAGAGCGGGCCGGTTCGCAAGAGACCCTGGGAAGGAATAATCGCTAAGCTAGGCCAGCGATCAACGCGAGTTTCCAGAAGAAGGATTTCTTTCCAGAAAGAGAAGAAGAGGAGAAGAAGGGGGAAAAGCTAAAAGAAAGCCTACGTGGCTGTTGTCCGACCCTGTGGAAAACGGTCTTTCGTTTGAGGGCTTTCTGGGCAAGAAGCTGATCTCAGACACCTACACCGTACAGATGGAAGGGGAGCTGAGACAAGCAGACACGGACAACCACAATTCTGGATTGCCGGGTAGAAGAAGAGTGGGTTTGTTCCCGTCAAGTGGAGTGGACAGGAAGTTGGTTGATTGTATGTAGAAGTGGGAAGAGGAGGACAAACAATAAGTAGACAAGTTTTATAGATTGTCGGATTGATAGAAGATGGTGGTCCACCCAAGTTCCACTCAGCGGGGTTACTTGAATAAATAGAAAAAAGAGATCAAGGATATGGACTGCCGCGAGGGCCACAGAGAATCGAATATTGGAGAGGGGGAGTGACAGGGCGAAGAGCGCCAAGTGGGTAAAAAAGAATATAGGAAGGACTTTTGGGCTGTGATTTTTGGGTGGCATTTGGGGGCCCCCACACGGGAGATCGCGTCTTTCCAGTTGCAAATACCCGTCATGAACCAACCGAACCTATTCGAACCAGAGGCTGAAACTGACTCAAGAAGAAGGGTTGCTTGTAGGATACGATACAGATGGCACAGATGGCGTGGGGTTATTACTTCTGGTCGCCGTTAGTGCCACTATTTTTCTCCCCTATAATTCATTAAATTATGATTTATTTTGGACCTTTTTTATTTTAAATCTAAAAATTCGGCTTTTGGAGCCCTTTTTTCTCCATTATTATGAATTATATTTCCTATCCAATTATTATCTTCTAACCTCCCCTCTAGCGGCGGGGTACTCTTGTCACAGATTGGTGTCTTTGTTGCTAAAATGATTCTCTCTTGCTTGCAATTGGTTGACCGTCTTCTTATTTCTATTCGTTCTTTGATGCTGATTATTTTAGGTCATATCGAATCTATTTCGCATCTTCATCCCTCCTGCGCCTCAACCTACACCACTGTCGCAGAAGCTCCCCGGTATGACCCATTTTCTGTTACATCTTTGTGCCAAATATGGAGACATAGGATAGAATTCTTCGAGAATGGACAGGGTTCGTTATTTTGGGATACAGACATAGGATGGAATGTATGGGTCGACCAGGATCGAGAGCCCACATGGGCAGATCTAGTACCTAGAGAGCCCAGTTTTGGGCCATTCAATTGCCTGGATAAGAGGGGGGATGCATAGGTCACAGACCATGGGCCCTCTAGGGAATTTCAAATGCCCGTTGCAAATCACCCGGGGATGGACCAGGACTGATGGTAATCGCAGGAGACGATGGCCGGGGTATGGAAATCTGCCAAATGTCCGGGGGGACCAAGTTCTCAGATCCCTGGACTTTTTTCCCTGTGACCGGAGTAGTAAACGCAGGAGGGGGAATGGGAACTATGGGACTGAGCCCGGAAAAGCAATCATGGATGAAGTTTGTGCATTTCAAGAATGCAAGTCTCCAGATTGAGTACACTTGACGCAGGCAGAATTGCCATATTTTCGACTCTGTAGTCCTTTCTCTATGCTTGCCAGCCTTCACCCACATAATATAGTGTGGACAGGGACGCGGACGTTGAGTGTTGGGCACACCGAATGTCGAGGGATATTTAGATAGCAGCTAGCGCTAAAATGACCCGAGCTAAGCCTGCAAGACATTGTAACGGGTGTCAAGTTCATGAGTGTAACGCAATCGGTAAGAAATCAGGAATAAATTACACAGACTCGTGGACTAGTTTTATTGTTATTCCTCTACCAAGATTGCTTCCTGGAAAGCATACTCATTCTCCGTAGACCGACGATACCATCGACCAGCCACTCACTTAATGATCCATTCTTTTGTAGCAACACTAATGCCCTGATCAGGTCCATCAAAGGTATAGAGGGGCTTCTGAATAGCATCCAGACTTTTGGCCCATTGCTGGCATCTGACGGCCTAGGACATCACAGAGATGGCGACCATGGTTTGGACAGCGAGGTTGGTCTTGGCAAACGATTCGGAAGAAACTCGTAGGATATTATTATGGAAATAAGACTATTTCGCGATTCGATAGATAGAGCCGACGCGGCCCTTCGGCTATTCGCTTGATTGGGAAGAAAAGTACTCCGTACACGCCAGGCCTATAAGGCTTAAGGGTGACTTCGGGGAGAGTCACGATGGGTCTCCCCTACGGTCAGGCCCGTCCAGCTCGACCGTACAGGACACAGTGGAGTACGATCCTCCTGATCGACGCGGGTTGGACCAGGAAGTTGACAGGCTGAAAGTGGAGTCGTTCAGGTTCTCGAGAGATCGTCCAAGCATCTCCTCTAAGCCGCCACCATCTCCCAGTAGGTCAACGCCACTGATGCGTTGATTGGTTAAAAGTTGCAAGGGTGTACTACTCCAGCAGCCTAGACTGGACTACCCAACCCAACGCTATGACAGAAATGGATTAGTCTGGCTGAGCCCAAACCTATCCGGGGTATGTGCTTTGTCCACTCACCCAACATCATAGTATTTGCCTACCCCCCCCCCCCCTTGGAGGCTTGAATTTCTGATCATTGAGATTCGAGGTGGTCGTGGAGGTTTCCGAGGAGATTCTTGAGATTCTGAGAATTCTGGCCTAATGACTCTATTCCATGACACTCGTCATGTGTGGTCACGGGACGACATGCCAAACACCGATCCTAACATCATTTCCCAAGTCTAATTTCCTGGGGAAGTATATCCTTTGGAGGTGTTAATAATGGTGATTACCTATGGGTGTTCTTGAGAGAAGGTTACTAAAATTCCCATCAGGGTCTACTATAGACAACCCATGTTGTTATCAGAAGGGATTATGCAGGATAAGCATTCAAAAGTGGAACAGAATCAAACGCATAGCGGCTTTGCGCTTAAAGGCTGACTGGCTGGGAAGGTAAAAAGGGAAACAACATGACAAGGCATACTGTACTACCGTACTCTGCTCTCCGCCCCTACCCGAATTGAGTCTAGTCTACTCTAATATAACCAACAGACCACGTCTTTCTCTTTGATCAACCCTTGTCCAAATCCACCGCTCTTCACGAGGAGGGGGCCGTATCCCAACCCCATGTAATGAAACTACTGCAAAGTCCCATCAACCGTGTTGGTGGTATACCTCTTGCTCCCCGACAACGACTCACGCAGGAACGCCCTGCCACGTTTTGTGCTATGATCCTCGTCCCGCCTTTGGCAAGACTCTTTTCTTTGATGACCTTTTTGCATATTTTCAATAGGTTCCTCGGAATCGGTCTGTGCGGGGGCGCCCAACCAGCCTATTTATCGGACTGATGACCAGATCGACTGCCATGTGGTTGACAGAAAGGGAAAGGTTGAAGGCTGAGTCGTGCATGAACCGCGCGGAATGGTCAAATTTAGAGAAAAGAGGCCTGTCGATTGCTGGCTCGAGCTTGTCTTTGCCCTAAAAGTTCATGTTTCTGTCGGTACTCTACCCTTTTTGATCATCCTCTGGGCGTTGACCTCGACAGGAAACCATGGCACTGCCTCCTCCACCGTCTCTTCATGAAAGCGGGAGTGTATGACCATAACTGACCCCACTGTTTTAAGGAATTAGGATTCCTTTCAGCCTTCCAAATACCAACATACCGAAGGGGCCAGTGAGATGTTATCGGGGAGACTATTCGGAGGGGCTCAGACCTTCTCACCCATACTTTGAACCTGCCAAACCCTGCAGCCGTTTACCAGATTCGGACATCCATACACAAACCAGGGTTCAAATCTGCAGGGATCTTCCGCTAGAACCTCTAAGACTCCTTCATGGCTTCTAGAAGAGTCATGCCAGGGGCCAAGAACATCAGGACAAGCAAAAGAGGACAGAAAGAAAGAAAGCATCGACATCAACACCCCCTGTCCCTTGCTTGCCCTCGTGGTCTGGTGACTCTGCCACGAGTATCTTTGGTGATTGTCCAGATCTCCCCATGGTCGGACTGTCAGATACACGTTTCAGCAATGCCTCCTGATTCCCTAATCCGGCGAGTACGCTAAAGATATCCATCGTAAATCCCTCATGTGTGTTCCAGGGTGCTTCAGATGTTGTTATTCTTGTCTGCTGCGCCGCCCTGAGGATCTCTGGAAGATCGACAACAGTCATGGAAGCAGCCGAAGCTATGATAAGCCTGCAAGTGTCAAGATGGGGGCACATTAGACGTATCTCGCTACTCAACTATGACGATGAAGCCACGAGTCCACTATAAACCCACTTGGGAGATCAAGTGTTCGTCCACTGGTTGGTCGGGTGGACATGAGTGGCTGTTGGCCCTCGTCACCACTGACTACGTGAAGAAAGAAAGCAAAAGAGGGGAAACTATGCCAAAAATTACAGTTAGCGTCCATCATCCGGACGGGCTGGTGTAGATCTACAGATTGAGTAGCCCAGCAATCTCCCTCTAGGATGCTACTCATCAATAGAATCTGAATATTTCTTTGGTTCTGTGGAGGCTATGACCCCTCGAGAACTTGTGAAGAGGTCTATCGGCGGTGACATAAGTTCCCACGTTGTAACACGGACGGATTTCCATCGGGGCTTGGAGATTCCAGCTTGTCCAGAATTTACACGAAAGCAGAAGAGTACTCTGGTTTTCTTTATCCCACGAGGTAGTTGGAGGGTACCCGTTGGAAGATCCGTTCAAGCCATCGTCACAAACATTATCAAAATGAATGGCTCCCCGAAAGAGAGATGGAGGGGATTCATGAACGCCATCGCGATCAAACCCCTTCTACGTATATACTTCTGACCGCTCCTCTGAAGAGGTCCCGCGTAATCGGCACTTCAAG